GGGGGGGGCGCGAGAGAGCATCTAATAGTCCGAATGCCGGTGCTACTTGAGCGGCGAGCGATCTAGATCGGAACAACTCAATGATCCGATCCGCATCGTCATTGGGCGAAAGTGCGAGTCGAGAAAAACCACCGCTCTAGAAAGGAGCTCGACCGGTTCCTCCGGCAATAATCGACGACACCACGACACTCTCCTCATTCGCAACCCACTCCGCCGCGCTCAGTAGTAACGGAAACCACCTACTTCTTCTTATCGCTCTTACTGTCGCGGCCTGTGGAAAAACACGCGTGGTGCGAGCGACTGTCCTCCCGATCCCCGGCATCCGATGCGATGAAGAGCCACCCGGGCCATGGTTGACACGACTCTTTAAACCTCCTCCAGGTGACGAGATAAAGTGGCTCACTGTCGCCAGTGGGCTACCATCAGGGTGCGCTCTCAGTCACTCCTTGGCTCCCTCGCACGCCTCTGAACAAGCAGGGTGAATGAAGAAACTCGGATCGGATCCTTCGCCAAGTTTGCCTCCGCGTGCGGATTCGGACTCAATTTCATTTCGCGTCGTGTACAGCTCTTTCACCCCCGACGTCCTCGGAACTAGCTCCTGCCCGGACAGACTGCGTGCTGCATCTACCAGCAATCAGATCCTTACCCGCGAGGCCTGCATCTCTCGCGATGACTTCTCCAAGGAGCCAACGTCAGATGCCAAGGCCTGTTCCTGCGCCCTCGAACCCCGTCCTCATCGCGACCCAAGCTCAATGGCTTTTCACCGATGACGAGCTCACACGAACGCCGTCTCAGCTCGATGGCATGAAGATGGATGCGGAAAGTACCTCGCGCAGCAAGGGCGTGAACTTCATCTCCCAGGTGGGCATCATGCTAAAGCTGCCGCAACTCACGCTTGCGACTGCGGCCGTGTACCTCCATCGATTTTTCATGCGATACAGCATGGTCGATCTACCCCACCGACCCGGAATGCACCCCTACCCCATCGCTGCAACGGCCCTGTTCTTGGCCACGAAGGTTGACGAAAACGTGCGAAGGATGAAGGAGCTTGTGGTTGCCTGCTGCCGGGTCGCCCAGAAACAACCAAACCTGGTGGTCGACGAACAGTCGAAGGAATTTTGGAAATGGCGCGACACGATTCTGGTTCACGAAGATATCTTGTTAGAGGCGCTCTGCTTTGATTTGCAGCTGGAAGAGCCGTATCGCATCCTCTACGAATTCCTGCAGTTCTTCAAGGTGGCGGATAATAAGCATATGCGCAATGCGTCCTGGGCCTTCGTCAACGATTCGATGTTCACTGTCCTCTGCTTGCAATTCACAGCCCGCAACATTGCCGCTGCCGCTCTGTACGCCGCTGCCAAACATTGCGATGTCGGGTTTGAAGACGACGAACTCGGTCGGCCGTGGTGGGAGCAGATCGATGTGGACATAGTCGAGGTGCGTCGTACGGTCACGAGAATGGCGCAACTCTATGAAAACAATGCCTTGCAAAGAAATACGTACTACCTGTCCGCCCCCACCGCGTCAGACGAGGGTACTGAGAAGACCAGGATACCGCGCGCGGGCGGGTCGGCAGAGGCTGCGCCAGGGGCAGACTCCGTCAACGGACGGAAGCGGTCCAGAGAGCCCGAAGAACAACCTCACGACCGCTCACTGCACGAATCGACTACATCCCGAGATGACGAATCCGTAAGCCAAAAGCGACAGCGGAGGGACTCGGAGGATTTGGTGGCCGACAAAGGCCCTGCGCATGGCTCCTCGGCTGCCCCTCGCTCAAATGGAGCGCCATCATCACCTCAAGATCGATACCATGGAAATGGTCACGCCTCCGCGGGACAACTCCCGCCTCCTTCGCATCACTCACAACCTCGCCATCCGCACCCTCTACCTCCTGCACCTCGACCCTTTCCTCGCCGTGATAGTGCTAGTCGCTCTAGTGGCGCCAAGCCGGGGCACTCGGTCGATCCCATCCAACAACGGATCGACGAGATTGTACAGCAGAACATGTCTTCCCACGGGTCGCCTGGCCCTGCTCGTCGGCAAATAGACCGTCACCGAAGCGACTGGGATGCAGAATCAGACGACCGCAGGCGACGTCCGTCTGCCGGTGACAGGAAGCCATCGTTTGAAGAGCAGTCAAGCTACTCACACGTACCACCGCCCCCTCCCCCTCCACCTCCCCCGCCGCCTCCAGAAGAGGCCCGGCCACCGTCGCCGGAGCCAGCGAAGGCTGCCGAACCCGACGAGGAGGGCGGCGGAAGTGAGGAGGGCGAGCTCTAGCGAGCTTTATTCTTCTTATATTTCTTACTCGCATTCACGTGAAAGTGATAGATGTCCCCTATGCATTGGGAAAGAAAGCGGTGAGAGGGATTTTGTACTATACCTTTTGCTTAGACATGAAGTAATTATTCCAGAGTATTGCAGCCGTGCTGTATCCACTTGGGTGATTCATGCAGGATGCTTTGTATACGTACGTTGTCTTTATACTAGGCCCTGGCCACCGGGTGACTCCTGATCAACCTGTAGTCAAGGAATGCAGAATTCGGAACTATCTTCTCAGGCTCCTTACCAAACGCTTGTCCATAAGCTATCTGTGTTTCGATAGACCGGGTTGTTTCCCCCTGAGTATACCAGGCACATGATACAGCGTTGCTAACACCATGCAGGAGTGACCAATCAGCACGCAGTCAGGAGTTCTCTGAATGACCTGCATACGCCGCGTAGTCTAAGGTAGTAACTATTTGGAATATGCAACCATGCCACGCCGACCTCATCAATCATATTCTTCAGTCGGGCAGGCGGGAGAGCAAATCCGAGAGACCGGGCACTTGACGATCCGGCTGCCGGAATTGTGGATCGAGTCTAGACCGCAAAGGTATGTCATCATCAATCATTGCATATTATCAGCTAGTTAGCATATCTCTATATAATGTTATGGCCTTATATCGCACCACACAACACCACACCACCTATCGCGCTACACAACCAATCCTCAAGATGAGCAGCAACCTATTCACCGGTGATCCCAACAAAGTCACCGTCATCCGCCAACTCAACCCCGATATCACTACCTTCAGTGTACCATTTGCTCGATTTGGAGTGTTGAAGTTTGGGGGAAGAGGCACATTAGGTATGTTGTTACTTGCCTTGGATGATGACCATATCCACTAACATCCACAACAGTCAAACTGCCATCCGGCTCTCTCCTCATCTTCTCGCCCGTCACTCTCACCGCAGAAATCCAATCCGTCATCGCCGCCACCGGCACCGGCCAAGTGGCCTACATTGTCGCCCCCGACATCGAGCACCATATCCACCTCTCCGCCTGGAAAGCCGCTTACCCGGAGGCCCTCATCATCGCGCCCGAGGGCCTCCACGAGAAGCGCCAGGCGCAGTCGCAGTCCGCGACAACAACGACAGACGCAAACCCCACCTTCGACATAATCTACACGCCCACCAACAAACACACCTTAACCATCACGCCAGAGTTTCACGCAACGTTCGAGATCGAATACGTGCACAGCCACGGTAACCGCGAGATCGTGCTCCTCCACAAGCCCACCCGGATGCTGATCCAGGCGGATCTGCTGTTCAATCTACCGGCATGGGAGCAGTATAGTCTGACGGACGAGGACGCCGGGGCTGGGTGGTGGAATCGGACGGGGATGGGGTGGATGAAGACGGGCACCGCGGCGGAGAGGAAGGCGCAGGCTAGGTTCGTGTGGTATGTGCTTGCGGCCAAGGATCGGAAGGGCTTTGGGGAGAGTATACGTCGGATTGCTGGGTGGGGTGGTCTGGCGGGTGTTGTGCCTTGTCATGGGGATGTCATTGAGGGTGAGGACCGGGCGAGGGAGGTGTTTGAGGGGGTGTTTGGGGATTTTTTGAAGGAGTGATCATACTTTTGTTTCTTTGTAGTATGTAGTATAGGTGTATATATCGTGTATAGTACAGTAGATGAGATAGAGCTATCTGCCGCTACGCTCACACCTCATCCCAGATCTCAATCTCCTGCACATCAACCTCCATCGACCAGTCTCCCCTCCGCTGTCTCGCCTGATACCCTCCTGTCTGAGCTACATGCATCACCTTCATCCGGCTGAGGTCGTTGTCCAGCACCACCTGCACCCCTTTTCCCTGCTCACCAAAAACCAACGTCCCATCAACCTCATCCAGCCGGTACCCCGGCCGAACCACTTCGGCACACCCAGCCCCGGAGAGACATCCTGCACGGGACTCAATTGGAACAGCAGAGACGAGGCCCCTTCGATGCCTTTCCACGGCAGATGGAATCCAACACCGCTCTCAGCCCGGAGTGCCTACAACGACCCGCCACAAACAACACCGTCCGATCCTCATCGTCCATGAGGTTAGCCATCAGCGCATCAAGGCGTTTCCCCTGGTGACAAGCATACGACTTTCGGCACAACAACGAATCAAACGCCACCGTCTCCGCCAGAATCATCCCCATCTGCGCCAGTACCGGGTACGTGGCTATCCTCCCCGGCGGCGGCGAACGGAGGATATCATTCTTATCCAACGGCCGATACAACGGCGCCAATAACCTGTCCAATGCTTGGAAGAACTCGGGCTATATCCATCCTTTAATCCCACGAGCATAATCACCACCCAACCCAGATTGCAGAGAACTCACCAGAATATCCCTCACCACCTCATCGAACACCTCCCACCTAATCCCGGTATCCTCCCCGTTCTCCTCTGTCCGGGTGCTAAACGCCCGAACCACACACTCCGCCGCCTCCTCTAACCCGTCATCATTAGCAGCACCCCCCAGCTCGTAAGTATCATAATCACCCCTCGGAACCCCAAAAAACACCCCCAGAAACAACCGCACCACCTCCTTGAACTCATCCCGTGAGATTCTCAGATCCTGTAATCTCACCTGCACCTGCACCTTTTCCCCTTCGGAACTCCTCAAGCGCCTCGCAACCCCCCGCCACCCCTCCCGCGGCACCCCGGCTTCCCACACCTTCTTCGTCTGGACGTTATACAGCACGTCCAGGAGATCGTGGCACATTTCATCCCCGTCTTCATCGGAATTGCATTCGCAGAGGTCTCGTTGAGGGGGGTCCAAGGCGGAGGCGTTGTGGTGGGCGTGGGCTCCTGCTCCTGCTTGCGCTATGCTTTCCTGGTATCCATCCGGTGAGGAGGGGATGTGGAATGTAGCTAAGGCCTGGAAGAGGAGCCGGCGTTGGTCTGCACGGGTGCGAGGGCTTTCATCAAAGAGAGGGGTGGTGAGTTCGTAGGAGGTTAGGGTCAGCGCGCGGAGGAGGGAGGAGGGGGTTAGGATTTGTTCTGGTTCAGAAAAGGAGAGGTGGTGGAACGGGTAGGTGGATAAGTAGAGGAGGAGGTGGTGGATTTGCTTGAGGGCTTTGATGCATTGGGAATTGGTATTTGTGAGGGTTGGGAAGAGGGGTGAGGAAGGTTGCGGGACTGAGGGTGAGCGTTTGGTCTGCGTTGAGGGTTGTCAGTGCGCGGTTGAGGTGGGTTGTGTCGAAAAGGTTCGGGGTTTGGGTGGTTTTGGTGGTTAGTGCTTGGAGTACGGTTGATGGGGTCAGTAATGGCATTGTGGTGTGGGTGATGGGTGTTTTTGCTGGCATGGTGGTGGTAGTATTGGATTATTGGGGAGTTGCCTGGAGAGAAGGGTGAGGGGATCAATAGGTAGGTCTAGACGTCAGGGTAAGCTGGCTAGCTACCTTGTAGGCAGATTACTTCGCCACTTGATATTTCAGTGTCTCTGACGAAAAGAACCATGTATCAACACTATTCTAGACATACAAACGATGCCTCATCGATCGGCCCCCAAGCCCTAACCAACTTCCTCGCTGACACGGCTCACTGCCCCGGCTATTCAGGAGTGAGTGTTTCGGCCCAGATCCTCCATCCTCCTTAAAAGGTAACAGGCCTCGCCGTTGCGCAAGCAAAGGGGCAGGAACAATCATAATCTTACATCAGTGACATACGATTAACTAGCAAGAGACATACTGCTAGTATAAAGCCCCTTTCTCACCCTCCACCCCAGTCCTGAGAGCAAAGCCCATCATCCATCTGCGTCCACATATGCAACAGATCCGTCCATCTATCTCCTCATAAATACACCCTCATACTCGTTCGTCCGCATTCACATATTCGCTCATCTGCATTTCAATAATCCAGAGTACACACATTCGCACCTCCACCCCCATAACAACAACCACAACTATCCACCATAAACAACAGCAATACCAAATCCTCAACTCGCACCCACCCAAAATGAAGCCAACATCCCTCCTCCCCCTCCTCCTCGCTACCCTCACCACAGGCGTTCTCGTAGCCTCCACGCCTATCATCTCGAACTCCGAGGGAACCAACCACGGCTCAATTCAGAACATCCACGAGAGATCCGTTGCGCATAATGTCGATCCGCTTCGGAATAAGGTCTCCACGCGCGAGAACGCTGTCGATCAGGAAGGAAACAGGCACGGCTCGATCCAGAGTATCCATGAGAGATCCGTTGCGCATAATGTTGATCCGCTCCGGAATAAGGTCTCTACATGAGGTCTATACATGGTAACACGTTTGCGAAAGGTACGCGTGGAGGGATCGGGGATGTTGTGTCTGTTAGTTTTGTTTGAGTGCGGTAGCGCGGAGGGGCTGGGTTGAGTATGGGGGAGAGGGTGGAACAGTGGGAGGGCATGTTCTACATGTATTATGAGAAGGGGTGGATGGTGGTTTTGAGTATATGTGGATCGAGATTCTGCGTATGTGGGTTAAGACTTTGAGCATACGTGAGTACTCAACGTGGCTGAACATAGATCCCTGTGCCTCGAGAGGAGGGTCGGAGCAGGAGGTGTGGATGGCTAGGAGGAATGAATATGTTTGGTAAGGTGTTTGAAGGGTGTGGTTGGTATGAAGAGAGGTTCATGAGTTCTATCGAGCTGTAGCCTACTCCAGGTACGTAGCTAGGTATGTGGGTGCTTCGTCGAAGCAGAAACTTGTCTCTTGACACTATATGAGATAGGCATGAGGAGTTTACTTATTTATCATCATCCATCCTGTTATCCTTCCAAGTGCTTTTATCACCCTTCTCCTTGCTTCAACATGGAGCAGACCTATCTTCCTCTGTTCAATATGTCCCAGAGTAAAGCTCTTAACCGCGTAATTTATACACTAAAGAGCATAAAGCCAGCCTACCAAGTGAGCAAGTAATCAAGTAACCACAAACTCGTTAGCTTGAACATACCACAAACGACGGGTTGGAAATTGAAAGAAGCCAAAGAACATGCGAACACAGGAAAGCGTGGTTTGTCTATCGAGTATACCTACTACTTACCCTCTTGTCTAGCCTGGGAATTGGAGGAGCAACTGCAGACGTGGCTTGGGGAACGGCTCTAGCAGGCCCTTATCAAGACTCTTTCACACTCGTAGTCTTTTTTTTTAGAGAAAGAGAAGCAGAAAGGGAGAAAGAAGTGAAGAAAGAAAGAAAGAAGACTCCTGAAACGTGTGAAGAAGTCTCTCCCGAAGAAACAAAGGGATACAAGAGAGCTCTTCTTACCCATTGCCCTTAAAAGCATTTCTTTGAGCACCTCTGAACGCAAGTACTTCTGTAAGTGAGCAGTCCTCTGGCCAAGCGGTTCTCTAGATAAACAGTTCTCCAGATAAACAGTTCTCTAGATAAATAGTCCTCTGGGCAAGTAGTTCTAAACAAGCAGTTCTGGATGGATGAATAAGTCCTGGACAGACACCCTCTCTAAGCAAAACACCTGACTGAGTAGGTATCTCTTCCCAAGCATCTCGAAGTTGACTCCCTGGTGGGCAAAACACCTTTAGTCAAGCACCTCTTTAAGCACCTCTCCAAGCAAGGGACTCTTGGTACACCGATTCAAGCCTTTCAAGCAGCCTACCAAGCGTCTGCAATCACTACAAAGGCACCTGAAACTGCGTAACGGAGTGCCGCTCTCCTATGGAGGACCAGACAACCAACCCATCATGCAAAACGTCATTCATTTAACGACGGTATATCGAGAGAACCTTCAGAGAGCCTTTCTAGGCGCAGTGTAATCCACAATCCTTATGAACTACTTCTGTCATAAAGTAGACGTACGTGAAGCCTGATTCGTAGATGGGTGGACTCCCGAGTCCTCCCCCAGTCTGATTGACCGAACTGTCAAGCCCTATCAAGATCATGGATAGCCAGGGTCAAGAGGTAGGCAAGACGATTTAAACCTATCAGGTTAACGCAAAAGCGACCGCTAGTCAGTTGTTGATCTGCGATTCGCACGCTCTCAACATATACCACCCGCCTTCGCTACGAGAACACAAGCTACTCCGATATGATGATTCAGAACAAGTTCTTGTTTAGATTTTAATCAAGCGATCTTTTTTTTCATTATGCCAGCCATTTGTTGCCCGAAGGCGCAGAACTAGACTGATTAATAAGTGGCCACCATTCGACCAGCGCACAGTACCGCCCCCATGTCCTGCGGTGTGCGACTTTCTAAAATGGGGGAAATTTGAAATGGATAAGGGAATTGTTGAGTCAGAGAGAAAAAAAAAAAACACATCGAGGTCGCTAATAACGCCGGAAAGATGCTAGCATGACAAATCGTGATGTTGGAAAGAAAAAACGCAGAAGCAAAAGGTTTTGATAATACAAGTCGACGAAAGGTTGGGGTGGGATATGAAGCCTGTTAGACTTTACGGAAATCTTTTTACGCACGTTAGTAAATGAGCCACCTAGGGAGGAGACAGCAGTGCATAGCATACCCGAAAGCACAGGATAGATCAGCTCGAAAGCCTGATAGATCTCCTCACGGACCTTAGCACCAGTGAGGACGATCTTGCCGCTGACGAAGATCAGGAGCACGATCTTGGGCTTCATCATACGATAGATGAGACCAGGGAACAATTCGGGTTCGTAGGAACTGAAGTTGTGGTGGCGACTAGCCAAGCCCTCCAGGCGAATCGGAAATTTGATATCGCAGGAACCGACGATGTTCTGGATCTTGAAATCCGTAAACTTCGCATTGAAGCCGAGCTTCTGGATGATACGCGCGTACTTCCTGGACGCCAGCTTGGAATCATCTTCCGATTTGGCACCAGTGACCACCATCTTGCCAGAGGCGAAGATCAAAGCAGTCGTCTTCGGCTCTCGGATACGCATGATCACGGCCGCGAAACGCTATGAAGAAAGAAAGACCAGTTCAGCCACACAATCCCCTGACATTTCACGCTCAGGGAGGTGTGGGAAGTAATACCTTAGGGTTGTACTCCGCATTTCTTGCGTGAAGCGCAATCGTCTTCAGGTCCAGTCGACAGTCAAGATTGACCGTAGCGACGATGTTTCTTTTGCACGGAAAAAAAATTCTTGTTCAGCAATCTGGATAAACCAGGAGAACGAGAACAGCAAGAATATACTCACTGCAAGGTAGGCACAATGCCGCTGCCCGGAGTGTTCGCACCAGGAGTAGCAGCAGGAGTTGCGGGCGCCACCCCGTTGCCGTTCGAGGCATTTGCTCCCTGCTGCTGACCATTTAAACCTCCCTGGGCCATTGCCATGTGTGCATCTTTTTCGGAAGGTGGCGTGAGATCACCAGCACCACCAGGAAAGGACAGAGAGGCAGGAGAAGTGAAGGCCCGGGCCTGCTGCGCAGTGGCAGGATGAGTTGTGAGAGAATCCATCGCGACGAGTGAAGAAATACTCGAGCCGTAGACCAGCCGACGCTGAAGAAGTGAAGAAGTGATGAGAGTTAATGGATGACAGAGTCTGCACCAGATAAGATCTCAGTCAGTTCAGGAAGACAGGCAGGCAAGGCAAGGCAATGCAGCGCTGTGTGAGGTTGAAGAAGTCAAGTTGCGACCGAGGTGGCAAAGACACGGATATTTATACCCGGTCGCAGGGAGGGGACAGCCAGCGACGAGAAAAGTCACGTACCCTTTGTGGGAGAAAACAATTCAATGTCTCCCCTACAGCAACAGTATCCCACAGAAGAATGAGTGTAGTGAATACACTTCAATTCAGTAGGTCAAGTTAACTTGACTTCAAGCGAACTTCGCTCGACTCAAATAGATGGAAGTTGCCGACAACTCGGGCAGCTGCAGGCAATCGATGTTGCGAACGTCACTGACCACTGTGACAGGGACGGCGACGGCGAGTTCGAGAATGACGGATGAATCGCGAGTTATTCAATTGGAATAATGGCAGGCCACAGATAGCAACCGATAGAAAAGCACAGCTAAGTGTTTTCTTGACTCAGGCAGGTGGCAGAGATGACAAACACGGGGGCGAGAGGGTGAGTGATATGATAGAGGGAGTGTCCAAAGACAGTGGGTGCGATGCACGATGCACGTGATATGATCAAGGGCCAAAACTTTTTTTGCTTTTTCTTTTTTCCTTTCTTGGAATTGGTGAAGTCTATCTGCGATTTTTGGGAGAGAAGGTGTGTTGTGTGACTCGATGAAGAGTGAAGAGAGAGAGAGAGCGGCGAAGATGCAAACCTGAGGCAGCAATCTTCCTGTTTCAGTAACTCAATTCTGAAACAGTGTAGTAAGAGTTAAAAAAAAAAAAAGAAACAAAAAAGGGAAGAGGTTAAATTTCTTTCCACCTTTTTGTCCGATTCTTGACTTCCTAAGAAACTTCTTCCCGGGGAATCTTAGACCAGCACGAAAAGCAGCAGCAGAGACAGCTAAAATGGAATTTAGCGACTCTGGTGATGAGTACGAGTGGAGAGGATAAAGGGGGGGAGAGAGGAGGGGAGGGGGGAGGGAGCGGGAAGAGGACTGTATGGCTTTCCGGGCGGTGCCAAGACCAGAGGAAAATTTCAAGCAGAGTTGTGAAAGTGGGAGGTTGGTGTTCTTATATAGGTTTGGGACTCCCAGCAACGGAGGGGGAAGAAGTTGCTGGCGTCAGGGGGGGGCTGGGCCCGGCGGCGAGCGGCAAAAGCAGCGACGACCACCCATGGGTTTGCTTATGATTTCTTCGGTTTCTCTGGCTCTTAGCGCTTTCACTAGCGTCCAAGAGCCTCTTTTGGGGGGGTGGGGGGAGGTGGCCAACGACACCAACGACACCAACGACGCCAACCCTTCCCGGGGGTTTTGTCCTAACTTCGTTCCTAAGGACCCTAAGCACTCCCCAAGCACAAGCGCTGGTTTGTTGATCGGCAGACCCACGGTCAACACATTGTCTGGGAGCCCCACTGTCGTGCTGCCGTTCTCGTTGGCTGTGTCGTCGCCCCCCTTACTCTTTTTTCTCCCGACGAGCGCCATGGTTGCAGCCACTCGACTCGAACCAGTCCGCGTTGCTCCTGCAATGAACTAGCTTGACCAACCAGAATCCACTTTCGCAAAGTCCTTTCCATTCCGTTAGGCTTTTTTTTTTTTTCTCACCTCTCTTTTCAGGTTATCATGCCGGCTTGCTGTTCTCGGCGACTGCGAACCAGAGCTGAGGCTGCTACAATACAGACTAACGCGTCCGCCCGCCATCACGGGCCTGCCGCTTTAGCAACTGGCGACCACCGCCAACCCTACCCCCAGAAAAAGCAGAGAGGGAAAATTTTTGTCTCTTGGCCCGGTTTCTCTTCCTTTCCATGAGCTTGTTTGATATCCTTCCTTGATCACAGCCCCGGAAAAAAAAAAGGATTCTTGGTTGAACGTGCTTCTTCGAATGTCCCTATTCCGACTAATGTCACTGTCGTTTGGAAAAATCGCCATAAGGGATGATGGGTCGCTTCGAGAAAATATCCTTGACCGACACCGCGACAGAAAAGAGAAAAGAAAAATTGTGATGTGTTTCAGTCCCGGTCGCGCGCGCGTCATGGGGTCGCAGGACTGGACGCGTTCTCCCTTCTCATTTGGCGTTGCCTGCCGCCTTCGACAAGCCTCCCGGCTCAAGGCTCCAATGTATTACTTACTTACTTAGTAGTAAGTATTAAGTACTTCTTACCCCGGATCTCAGACCATCCGCTTTGATCCACCAGCTCGATCGGTATCTGGTCAACTTGCAGCACTGGTCACTTTGGACTGGGAACTTAGCCTACGTTGCTTGATCTTAGTCTCCGAGTCGACCAGTATCGGCGCTGCACCAGCCTTCAAGCTCATTCAACCCTTTGACTCGCTGTGCTGCATACCGTATCAAAGGCACAAGGGCACCTGGCAGGGCTCCGGCTGGTGGTTACTGTTTCTGCGCCGAGCTACGTAATCCGGCCAGGTGTCCTTTTCGAGGCAACTGTCTCGGAGATTAGGACACAGTTCTTATTTGACTCACCAGAACTACTGGACAGAACTCAGCATGCGGTGAGTCCGGTATACAGTCTCGGGAGTTAAGGAGTCGATGGGGAGATGTCCATGAACCACATGACTTCGCAGTCGCGTTGTCCTACATCGTCGTGGATCATGATGCTTATCTATCTAGTCCATCGGTCGTTGATGCATCGCCACAAGCGTAGTTCCCTTTCTTTGTCCATCACATGAAGATCAGGGAATTCAGTAAAGCCTAGGGGGCAACCAGGAAAGATCCATGACATCCCGAACGCGTGTCGTCATCGAAGGCGTTGGTTGATTCCTGGATTGATTTCTTCTTGGCTTGATGGTTGGTGCCTTCATGTGATTTGTAGGTAACCGGCGGTCGCCACGGCTATCTCCGGCAAGGTGGCATTTGGGGGCAACTGGAAGTGTCATGGACTCATTTTGTGCATAATACGTGCGACGCGAACCATTTGTTCATTGCGACGTAGTCGGTATATGCGAAAGAACACGGAGTCGGTCAGGGTCCATCGGATGGGCGACTTTCGAGGTCTGTTGCCCTTGCGCTGGCATGTGTCCCGACGGGAGTCACGGCTGTATGGGCGGAAGTACGAAGTAAACCTGAAGTATCCCGCAGGACTGGAGAGCAGGCTGATTCTCATTATCCGCCTTTCCATTGGCCGCCGCTACCTCGGGCCGACCACCAAAAATTCTTCCCCCCCCCCTCCCCCCTTCATCGCCCCTTCCTCTTAGTCACACTCATCCCTCCATTGGATCATCAATCAGTGCTTCAACCTGATCGGTCGGAGAGTGACTCCTCTGGTTCACAATAGTCTCACTGTTACTATCTACAGACTACAGTACTGTGAATCGACTGTTGACTGTTGACTGTCCATTATACCTCTAACAGGAGCATCGCATTATTCTCTCGCCGCCGGTCGCTACAGGACTGACTCTCGGCTTTCCCATCTTACTCGGGCGCGATCTATCCTCCATCTATCATGCATTTGACCCCATTATAGAACTTACCAACATCTAGCGCTACTGTCACCCTTTCCCCACTCCTTTCTCCCCTTCCATTCTTGATCAGCACATCTTCGCAACTATCATGGCTTCCAAAGGCGCGGTCCTGCCTTTGCTGAGGCGCGAAATCCGACCCTCGTCCCTGCGCCTACCCAAGGCTTCCGCCTCCCTATCATCTCTCGCAACCTCCGCGCGATCCTCGAACCGCCCCCTGTCAGCCTCCTATCGCAAGGCGACTCGGCCGCGGGCGCTGTTTACCCCCATTCAGACCCGCGCCTTTTCACAATCGGTAACCAGACGATTCACCGACGCCGATGGCAATTTCGATCCGCGACAGCTGGACCGAGAATCGGATGAGGTAGACGTTTGCATTGTTGGTGGCGGTAAGAACTCCGGAGAAACCCAGTCGCAAAGATGAGGGTACAATGCGCGAATGCAAGATCGTGAAGTGGCTGACCGCTGTTTGCTCGACGCCTGATTAGGCCCGGCTGGTCTCGCCGCCGCCATCCGCTTAAAACAATTGGCCAACGACGCCGGCAATGAGGAATTTCGCGTCATCCTGTTGGAAAAGGCCGGTGAATTGGGCGCTCACGTTCTGTCAGGCAATGTTCTGGAACCGACCGCGTTGAACGAGTTGTTGCCCGATTGGCTCTCGGAGGACAACCCATCCCGCTTCGAGGGAGCGACGCCGGCGAAGGCGGATAAGATGCGCTTCTTGACTCAGAACTCGTCCTTCCCCATTCCCGCGCCGCCGCAGATGAACAACCATGGCAACTACATCATCAGCTTAAACGAGCTCACGAAATGGTTGGGGGAGCGGGCAGAGGAGCTTGGCGTCGAGATCTACCCCGGATTTGCTGCCAGTGAGGTGGTTTATAAGCCCGATGGCTCTGTTCTTGGTGTCGCAACCAACGATCTTGGTATCGGTCGCGACGGGAAAGCGAAGGATAGTTTTGAGCGGGGTATGGAATTCCATGCGCGGGTCACTTTGCTGGCTGAGGGCTGTCACGGAAGCTTGACCAAACAGGTGACCAAGAAGTTCGACCTTCGTCGCGACAGCCAGCCGCAAACATATGGTATTGGACTGAAGGAGATTTGGGAGATCCAGCCGGAGAAGTTCAAGTCCGGAGAGATCACGCATTCAATGGGCTATCCCCTTCCCTCGGATACCTATGGTGGAGCCTGGATGTATCACTTCGGCGACAACATGGTCAGCATCGGCTTGGTGGTAGGTCTGGACTACCCGAATCCTTGGTTGTCGCCCTACGGTGAGTTTCAGAAACTCAAGCATCACCCTCTCTTCAAAGAAGTCTTGGAGGGTGGGAAGTGCATTTCTTACGGCGCAAGAGCCCTCAACGAGGGGGGCTTCCAATCCATTCCAAAATGCGCTTTCCCCGGTGGCGCCTTAATCGGTGACAGCGCCGGATTTCTGAACGTCCCCAAGATCAAGGGAACCCACACCGCCATGAAGTCTGCCATGCTAGCTGCCGAGTCTACCTTCGCAGCTCTGCAGGGTAATCCTGACGGCAGCGTGTTCCTTTTCGACTATGAGGAGGCTTTGCGCAAGTCGTCGATCTGGAAGGAGCTGTACGAGGTGCGCAACATGCGGCCCTCTTTCAGCACGCCGCTCGGTCTTTATGGTGGAATCCTTTACTCTGGTCTTGAAGCGTACCTCCTCAAGGGTCGGACACCCTGGACGCTCAAGCACCACACTACTGATGCCGCGGCCACCAAGTTGGCCTCCCAATGCAACAAGATCGAGTACCCCAAGCCAGACGGCGTGATCAGCTTCGATATCCTCACCAGCGTCAGCCGAACAGGAACGAACCACGAGGAGGACCAGCCGGTCCACTTGCAAGTGGAGGACTGGGACAAGCATACGGACATTGCCTGGCCCAAGTACCAGGGTGTGGAGAACCGGTTCTGCCCGGCCGGTGTCTACGAGTATGTGGAGGACGCCAGCAAGCCGCATGGCGTTCGCTTCCAGATCAATGCTCAGAAGTAAGTATCGTCGCTTCCTCTTCCCATGCTGTCGGAGGCTAATTCTACGCAGTTGCATTCACTGCAAGACGTGCGACATCAAGGTTCCCACGCAGGACATCAACTGGCAGACGCCGCAGGGTGGGGAGGGACCTAAGTATTTTATGACTTGATTTACATACCAGATGTATTGTAACAAAAGTAGCGGATTGATCGGATGATGAGAATCTATGTACATACATCCTTCGGCGTCAAACCTCCATGATACCGCCTCATTTTCAACGCTGAAAGCATGGCTGATGCTCTTGTTGTGTTTCGCCACTCGGGCAAGTACTCTACGAGTACCTCCCAAGCCACTAACTAGTCCCGGTGTAGCCTAGCCGGGGTCTGCGTGGATCATCCGCCTTGCCAGCCGCGGTTCAGCCGTGTTGATCGAATCCATCTGTAGCACTGGAACGGTAGATATTGAGCCTGCTATACATCGCAAACGAAGGAACTGTTTATGTATGGCGGAGTGCATTAAGAAGGGTTCGTGCTCAGGGTCGGCAGAGTCACTATTGGTCGAGCGCAGATTCTGCCGACTGTTGACTACTCCTGTTTCATAATTCACCCTCTGCAAGTTGCGAGAAGGAAAAGTGGTTGTGAAACATATCTTTGCCATTACTGGGCACTATGATCACATATGCCTTGACTGACCTACTTTGATCGCTCCAGCTCGGTGGGCCTTCCGCTACTGCTGTGTTGTTCTGACACAATCCGAGTTCAATGGTCTGGTCAACGTCGACATTTGGGTACTCCCATCGTAGATTATTTACAGTGTTCGTATCAACCAACAGAGCTGGTCCCCATATCATAAGAGCTTGGATTCTACACTCAGAGTCCGTCATTCTAGTCTTTGCGCTAGTATCTAGATAGATTGACGCTGCAAGATGAGGGATGTGGTCTCAGTGCAGTGTTGGGGAGCAAGAAACAAGATTGCTTCACGGAAGTATATATAGATTCGAGTGAGGGCCAAGAATCCCCTTTTTTTTCTTTTTCTTTTTCTTCTTTTTCCAAATGAGATACATCGATAGCGTACTAATCCCTCTGGATATGTGAGGTCTTGGCTAAACCAGACTCCTCTGCCATCCATCCAAGGCATCTACCGTACAACGATAAATCAGAATTGTTGATAACTTGATACATCTACAGTATGAGGCCAGGAACTGGACGGGGCGGGGCCACGTGGAACCGCAGAGTGAGGCGACCTTCTGGGAGCGTCGCCCGCCATTGGATGCCCTCCACCGCCAGTGGTCAGAAGAAACTCAGTCTGGTGTTATTATTATTGCCCTGGCGGTCAAGCCGCTGCCCGCAAGTCTGTCAGTCTGTCTGCCGCCGCCGCCGCCGCCGCCTCTTTGCTCTCTCCTCTTTTCGCGCCGTGACGATCGCTCGAATCCTCTCTCGCTCTCCTCTTTCTCTCTCTTCCTCCTGATTCTCATTCAACTCATCGAACTCTGGTCATATTTTTCGCTCCTTTCCATCGCCCTTCCTATCCTCCCGATCACCTCGATCCAAATCAATACCTTCCATCACCCCTCCGCCACCCCTCTCCTTTTCCCGCGGTTACGATAGCTCGCCAAAGATAGCTACTACACCTTCAGCAGCTCCGACCTGGACGCGCTTGTGTTCTCTATCCCCCTTGATCAGGTCTACAGATTCCTTCCGGGATATTTTGACTATTTTGCCTGATCCCCGGATTGCCAGGAGCATCACCGTCTGAGCCACCATTGTTGTCGCCATCTAGATTCCTGGAGTACACACCGCTGGAGCACAATCAGGCCATAATCTTCACTCGTGGTTCATTTCCCTGTCACCCACTGGAAGAGATTCCGAGGCCAGACGTTATTGCCGTTTCCGATTGGATTGATTCGCCACTTGCTTTGTTTGCTTTCTGAGTTCCAGCCATGACTGAAGTCTCGTCTACCCGACTCTATCTCGGGAACCTTCCCCGCAATGGTATGCAGCCATCTATCCGTTCTTCAAGGTCTCCTTTCCATCCGATCCGGATTTCTCCTTTTCAAAGCTATCCAGTCCACCTGCGCCATAATAACAGGATGCTCCACTGGATTGCCATGTAACTGGATGGATTTCCTTCCAATCCCCTGAGCAACGTTGGTTCAGTGGACCATTGTACCTCTTTCCTGCTCTCAGTTCCTATCTACGGGGGTTGCTAGTCAGGAACCAGGCCTGCGCGCGCTCCTCTCCACTCTGCGCAGGGTTTCCTCGAACCCGGACATTGCTGGGGAGGCTTTCAGTTTACTTTTCTTGGATCATTTAACGTGCATGTTTTCGCAATGAGCTGACCTTTATTCGCGACGCCCATGTGGGCGTTGCCGTGTCAATTCAGTAACTAAGCAGGACATCGAGGAGCATTTCAGCACCCATGGTTCCGGAAAGATCACAGAGATCAAACTGATGAATGGCTTCGGCTTTATCGAGTACGAAGATGCGATGGATGCTCGAGATGTTGTTCCCGGTGAGTCCTTCTTCCGCGGAAACTGGGAGCGCGAATTGCATGTCTTTTCTGTTGACTAACTCTGCTTTGGCGCTAGCTTTCCGTATGTGATACCGCCATCTGCTCCAGACGCCACAAGGTTGACTCTTTTTTTACCTCACAGATGGCAGCGATTTCAAGGGCGAGCGACTCACCGTGCAATTCGCGCGGGGTCCCCGTCGCAAGGAAAATTTCCCAGGCCCGATGGACCGTCCCAACATGCCTCGCCCCCGCCGCACAATCTTTCGCATGTTGCTTTCTGGACTCCCGGAAACAAGTTGGCAGGTTAGCAGCCCAAGTCCCCTTTCTTCAGGAACAACCGGACGCCTAGAAGCACGGCCGATCAGTGTTTCTTGACAATCTCTGCCTATCCCTTCTCTGCCTTCTGCCTTGCTATATTTGTCCACATATGCACGTTCTACTCTGGTTTTGGATACTACAGCGATCTGAATCGACTTTTTGGGAGCTATATGCATCACTCGACCTGGGAACCAGGCTTTCCCACGTGCCGGGTTGAGAATTGGACAACCACACCACGGACACACCTTGGAAGGGAACTACCATACCTCTTTTGGACGACTTACCTATGGACTTTTGGGTTTTGGTCGTTTTGGCCCCTTCTGTGCGACTCGTGTCTCATCTACCCTTCTGCTCTCAGCCACTTGGAACTGCCGGACATGAAACTTGCTTCACCAGGAAATGGACTCACCAATTCGTACTCTAGGACCTGAAAGACTTTGCCCGTCAGTCTGGCCTTGATGTGGTATACTCCGAGACCGGTCGTGAGCTCGGCAGAGGGTGCGTCATGTCCTTTGCCCCCTGGATACCCGGTCGAATTGTCGTTAATATGATATACAAGGTTCGTCGAGTTTGAGACTGCGAACGATCTGAAAACTGCCGTCGAGAAGCTCGACCAGCGCGAGTTCAAAGGGTCCCGCGTGACATGCATCGCCGATGTAAGGATCCTTGACAGATTTACATCCAGTCCAGCATATTCATTTCTCCGTAGATTCAGAACTACCCACCGGAAGACCGTTCTTTCCGTGATCCCTACCGGTCGCGATCCCCTCGCCGGAGCTTCCCCCCTATGGAGGAATACGACCGCAGATTCCCTGCACCTCGTGGCTACAGTCCGCGGGCTCATTACCGGGAACGGTCTCCTATCCCCATCCGCCGGGAATACTATGAACGGGATGGCTACGGACGCCGGACGCCTCCTCGCCCTCGGATTGACGACTATCCTCCTCCGCGTCGACCCTATGAGGACCCGTATGATGTTCGTCCTCCGCCTCCACCCCGGCACTATGATGACCCCTACATGCAAGCCAGAGCCTACCCTCGTCCTCGGAGCCCTCCACGGGGCGAGTACATGCCGTACGAACGCCGTGGCTACTGGTAGAGGGTCGATTGTTGTTGTTTGATTGTGCTTCACCAAGTGCATGGCGGATACCCACTGTGCTTTCTGATTGACCTCTATTCAATGCGTGGACTGTCTCACTTTGCGCTTTCCCTTTACTGGTTCCAGGAATAATCCGACTCGGTCACCCTCGCTTACACTCCTGGACTGGATACGGCCGAGAAGAACATATGAATGTATGCACGTCGCAGACGAGAGGCGACAGAGAAGAAGAAGACGACGACGAACGAAGGAACGAAGGTGCTTCTGAACATTTACTGGATGTGGTATGATGACCAATGATTCGGCGACCTATGCTCTGGGCTTGTCTCTTGAGTTTCCGCGACTTGTTCTTTTGGTCGACTTCAGCGCAGCCGACTGATGGAACAACACACGACCTTGGATGGCCACCAACCCTTTGCGACGTAATATCTAACGATGTCAATTCCAATCTTCCCATGGGCAGATGTATGTGTACATTGGACTCTACTGAATAATAACTTCGTTGATAAGTTTGGGGGTGGAATGCGTGCATGATTATGTTTGTATTTTCTTCTTCTAGTACCGTAAGGAAGGGAAACTGCGCGAGGCAGCAAGGCAACAAAGAAAGGTTCCCCGCGCTAAAGGCCGCGGCCCCCACCACTCGCCCGTCGCCGGCGATCTTATTTTGCCTGTGACTCGACTACTACGTTCCGCACGGAGACGAAGTACAGACAGGTTTTGCTCAAGAGATCGGTGCGGAATCTTCCTCAATTTGCCTTTCTTCCGGTTGTCTGGACTCACTTTGACGGTTTGTGCGCTGACGTCACGGCAGGGCCTCGAAATTCGGTAGCTTCAGCAACTTCCCGACGGTCACCCGCTGAGAGCTCCCAACCCCAGCTCGCAACCTCTCCCACATCATCCGTTCTCTAAATCCTCCACAACCACCCGCTGACACTATGGCTGACCAACGCGTGAACGTCCATATCCCATCCCACCCGCCGGTGCTTGACAGCGTGCGGCTCCAGAACATCCAGTTGACGCTTCCTGCAGCCCCCGACCCGTGGCACCGCCCCAGCAAGCCGCAGCCCTGCAGCGCATCACTGAACCTATCCTACTCATCCGCAGTGGCCGCCGCCATCGCGGACGATGTCTCTCTATCCCTAGACTACGGAAAACTCTATCGCCGCCTCGAGGAAGATATTCGCAACATGGGCCGATCAAGCGACGCATCGGGGCAGCAGATGATCAGCATCGACGGCAGCCGACGGGACGAGATGCTGGGGGCTGCTCTCGGGGAAGACGTGCGGCTGACGGCGGGGATCGTCGCGAATTGCGGGCTGGGCCTCCTCGACGAGACCGCCGCCGGGGTGCGTCGCATGTCACATGTGCACGATACTCGGCGCCGGAGCAGTGCGTCGGCGGGCTCCCAGGCGCAGGCCCAAGCGGCCATCTTCAGTCCGTCCGCCGCTCCGCCGATTGATGGCGTGTTCGGTCAGTGTGAGGTCTCGTTGCATCTGCCCAAGGCGCTGCTCCGAGCGGAGGAAGGCCTCAAGTACCGCAGCGTGACCGTGTGGGGATACCGACAGCGCAACGGGCCGGCTGCTGTGGACAGCCTTGGAGAATCAGAGCGGTGCCCCGTGGTGCTGGAGGAGGAGTTCCGGATTGATGGGATCCGCTGCTATTGTATTCTGGGGGTCAACTCTCATGAGAGGGTGGAGAAGCAGGCGGTGATTGTCTCGTTGGAGTTCAAGGGCCCCGGCCAGCTGCCCTGGGGCTCCACGGTGGTGAATACCTACCAGGCTATGACCCGGGCTGTCGCAGAGGTAAGCAAGCTAGCTGATTGCCATACCTGATTTCTTCCTGAAATGTTGCTAATACTGTGAGGGTAGCGAGTCGAGGCGACGACTTTCCAGACTGTCGAAGCTTTGGCCACTTTTGTGGCGCGCATTGTGACGGTGGAGTTTGGCAATGAACGAGTCACTGTGCTGGTTCAGAAGCCCAGCGCCCTGTCATTTGTAGAACGATCTGGGGTGCAGATTACCCGGTCGCAGTCTTTTTTTGAGTAGGCTGGATATATGCTAGGCTTTTGGTTTGGGTGTTTGTGCGTTCTTGGATATAGCCACATGACAGTAGGTAAACAAGTCACTTGCATGATCACTCCACCGACTCATAATTGTCTGCCAACCATGCTGGAGCTAGTTATGCCGTGCCTGAACAGGCAAGAGGGAGGCCTGACTTCTGGGGACCTATGACTATGACACGTGATGCAGCCCTGTCTCGACGTAGCCTAGCGTCGCTTAGCACCCGACGGACTGTGATTGGCTGTGTCGGAGCGAAAAAAGGCGCGGCAGCGGGCATCATCGGCCTTGGAAGGTTGTTGGTTTCCTCCCAAGCCAGCTTCCAAGCCTGATTTCCCCTTCTTCTCCTTCTTCTCTCTTAAAACCCCCTCTTTCCCCTCTTTCAAGGGAATTTTGATTCACTCTCCCCTCATAAACCTCGTTTATCCACCTCTCGATATACTCACTACACTGCCCCGTTGGCTCCTTAGCCCGTTGTATCTCTATGTGCCTGTCTGCGCCGTCCACGCTTTTGTCGTCCGCTCCTGTCCGCTCCGCCGCTGGCTACCCTAGCGATTCCCCCACTTTCTCCGATTCCTCCTCGACTGTGTCTCCATATCGTTTCGCTCTGGCTGGCACCCAGGCCGTGTCATCCACTCGTTCGCCTGATTTCACTGCTGGCGAGGTGATTTGGCTAAGGGTCCAGGGTCCGTCCTGAATAAGGGCGGACGGTAATTTGGTGCTAGTTTCCAGGGCTCCTGCGAAACACTCCTCAGAGGTTTTCCAAGCCCGTTTGTCTCGGAATTCTCGGTCTACCATTGGCGTGAGTGAGTTTACAGTTTGATCCCCTTGCGTCTTGGCTTCTGGAAACCGGTTGCGAATTTACCCCGCGGATGCGTGTTTAGTATGTATCTATGCCTGATGGAACCTAACTGTTTGTTCGGATTGCAGCTAGGTTGTCGCTGAACGAGCCTCCTTGGTTCGTCGATGCCTGCGCGCGTGTGATCCGTCTCCCACTAGAAACGTACCCTCGCTCGTTGTGATAATCGGCACACACCGTCGATATGGATCCTTCGGCGCCTCTGACACCGGACGACCTCTCGGTCGGGGATGTTTTCAGCCCGCAGGCCGACATGTCGCACTCTCGCCCGAACACTACCCTGAACGACAACCAAGAGACCGGCTTCCGAATCAGCGCCCGCAGCCCCCAGCGCAAAGCCGCTCTAATGCCCCCGCGGGGTGTCAATGGCGGGAAACCCTTCCCTGCGCCGGATTTGAATGGGAATTTTCAGACAGACCGTCGCAAGAAGAAGAAAAAGCAGACCGCCCACCATGTGGCTCCGGCCATCTCGACCGTCCGCGGATTTACCCCTCGAGGCTCCGGCGACGAGGACTCGGATCGCTCGGCCTGCAATTCGCGCGCTCCGAGCTCTCGTCCCCGTGCGCCCACCGGGACTGGGCCCAGCAGTCCGTTGGTGCAACCAGCGACCGGCTGTGGGGTGAGCGCCCTGAAACTGCAGCTGGATTCGATGAGCTTGTCTGGTCAGGGTCCCCCATCAGGGACGCCTAGCAATGCCAGCGTCTGTTCGGACAGTGACCAGACGGAAGTCTTGACCAGCTACGAGGTGCCCCTGGAGCATGACTACGTTAGCGCGGATGCGGTGGCGGAGGAAAAGTCCCAGGAGGCGTCGAACGGACGCGACGTGCGCACTCAACAGCTGTGCCGCAAGATGACCACCGACGATTTCGAGCCTCTGCTCTGCCTGGGCAAGGGCTCCTTCGGGACAGTGCTGCTGGTCCGCCACGTGCTGACGGGCAAGCTGTATGCGCAGAAGCAGTTCCGCAAGGCGTCTATCACCGTGCACAAGAAATTGGTGGAGCAGACCAAGACGGAGCGCATGATTCTGGAAAGCGTCAACCGCCACCCGTTCGTGGTCAAGCTGTTCTACGCGTTCCAGGACCATGAGAAGCTCTACCTCATTCTGGAGTACGCTGAAGGCGGAGAGTTGTTCCACCATCTGGCTCTGGAGCGCATGTTCGACGAAGACGCTGCTGCCTTCTACATGGCGGAGATGGTGCTGGCCCTGGAGCATCTGCACCAGACCGTCGGAGTGATCTACCGCGATCTCAAGCCAGAGAACTGTCTGCTTGACAACGAGGGCCACCTGCTCCTGACGGATTTCGGGCTCAGCAAGATCGCAGTCAGTGACGATGACCGCTGCAACTCGTCCCTGGGGACTATCGAGTACATGGCTCCGGAGGTGATCCAAGGCAAGCCTTACGGCAAGGCCTGTGATTGGTGGTCGCTCGGCGCCCTCGGCTACGACCTGCTGACCGGATCCCCGCCGTTTAAGGCAAACAACCACGCTAAGCTGCAGGAGAAGATCCTCAAGCAGAAGCTGGCCCTGCCCTACTTCCTGGGACCGGATGCCAAGGACCTGTTGACCCGACTCCTTCGGAAGGAACCGTCGAAACGCCTGGGATACCACATGCCCAAAGACCTCCAGACGATCAAGAACCATCGTTTCTTCCGAAAGATCGACTGGAAGGCCTTGGAGCGGCGCCAGGTCACTCCACCGATCAACCCGGTGGTGACTGATCCGGCGCTGGCGGAGAACTTCTCGGTGGACTTCACGCAGTTGCCGTTGAGTCCAATTGTGCATGGGTTCGATGAGCATTACGAGGCGTCTCGCGCGGTTGCTCCGGCGGTGTCGCTGGGGCTGGGAGAGAGTAACCCGTTTGGGGGTTTCAGTTTTGTGGCGCCGAGCAGTATGCTGGACAAGGCGATCGGAGTGTGACGGTTTTTAGAACTTAGATGTGGTTCGTGGTTCACCTTCATATCGTTACTTGCTGTAGCACATCAGAAGGGTAGCTTGACTGCCAACAGACTGCGTGGATCTTACATTGATCCCAGCGACAAGCGATACCCATAATCATCATCAGCAATCAGAAGACCTCAAGGTAGATCCAAGCCACGTATATCAACATCAACCCAGACAAGCTGTCCCATCTCGTATCTGCGAAGAGTAATCCCACAAGTCTGGCCCAATAGGAGGGGAGTATAAGATAAATGCTCTCTCGCCCTTCGAACTGGCTGTAATATCTTGAAGCTGATGGGGTATTGCGGGGAAGCAGCCTTGATTCGGCATGGTTCACCCCGAGCCGAGCGTGCTTTCTACTCTACATCACCCTAGAGTTGGGACGCTGTCTCCGGCAATCAACATCTTGGAGTCTCTCTCATCTATGAAACGCTGAGATAGGATGCTCGAGATGCGAAAGCTGCCGTAGCCGACAAAAGGCTGCATAGCAACCCCCAAGCGTGTCATCGCTGTACAGGGATTTTACCCGGTGTGGCTTCAGCACTCTCTTGCTGTCTGTCGGTCGTTTCGGGGCAAAAATGGCGCGAGTGCATACTTGAACAATAAGGATGGAACCATCCTTCTCACTCTCATACCCTATGCATCACAGATTCAACTTTTCCCAGTTCTTCCTCATGCTCCTCCACAACACAAACCCAAAATGACCGAAATCGACGCCCTCAGGTTTGGACACTCCCAATCCGGACTCGGTATACAGTGCGCCACCCCCCGCCTATCATGGAGGACATCTAGCCCCAACCCGAACGTGCACAACTGGACCCAGACGGCCTACGAAATCGCCCTGAAAGCACCGGGCGAGAGCCACCAAGCCGACGACGGAGGCCAGGTCTACCACGTCGACAGCGCCAACTCAACATGGGTGCCCTGGCCGGGGCCTCCGCTGCGCTCCCGGGAACGCATGCAAGTCCGCGTGCGCGCCCACGGCACCTGGATCGAGATCGAAGATGACGGCGGCACTCCGGAGAAGGAGCAGCCGCGGCAGCAAGCCGGCTTCACCGCATGGTCGGCATGGGGCACCGTGGAATGCGCGCTGCTCAGCAAGTCAGACTGGGCCGCTGTTCCAATCGTCCACCCGGCGGTGGGAGACGCGCACACTCCGCTTAGACCGGTGGTGTTGCGGAAGACCTTCGACCTCCCTCCGGACTTTGGGCATGTGGAACGCGCCAGGCTTTATGTGACTGGGCTGGGCCTGTACCGGGTTTATCTAAATGGGAAGCGCGTCGGTGATCATGAGCTGGCGCCTGGTTGGGCTAGTTATAGCCATCGCTTGGCGTATCAGGTGCATGACGTCTCTGCTGCGGTTGCTGCGCGGAATGTTCTCGGTGTTGAAGTTGCTGAGGGCTGGTATGCTGGGAGGCTTGGGTTCAATGGGGGTAGGAGGTGCTTGTATGGGGAGCGGATTGGTGCGTTGGTTCAGTTGGAGGTTGTGGGTGCGAGGAAGGAGGAGGTACTGCGGGTGGTCTCGGATGGTAGTTGGAGGTGTAACTTTAGTTCCCTTGTACGGAGTGAGATCTATGATGGTGAGTTGTACGATATGCGCCAGGAGCTGGGGAATTGGCTTGGTGATCCTGATTATGAGGAGGAAGAGGAGGCGGCTTGGAGGCCCGTCGTCTCGCTTCCGTTGCCTGCGGCGTCTTTGGTCGTCCCTCGCGCGCCTCCTGTGCGTGTTACGCAGCGGGTTGCGCCTCGGCGTCTATTCGCTACCCCTTCCGGACGCTTGGTTCTTGACTTCGGGCAGAATCTGGTGGGTAAGCTCCATGTTCGAAGGCTTGACCTCCCCGCCGACGCGGAGGTGAGGTTCACTCATGCGGAGGTGATGGAGAATGGGGAGCTGGGTGTACGTCCGCTGCGCCAGGCTAAATGCACCGATGTGATCGTTTCCTCCGGCGACATCCTCACGGAGTGGTCGCCGAAGTTCACCTTCCATGGATTTCGCTTTGTGCAGGTCGATGGCTGGGATCCCCGTGCCTCCTCGCTTGCTTGGCAGGAGAATATCGCCGCGTTGGTCTTACACACGGATTTTGCTGCTGCCGGGGACTTCGAGTGCTCGCACGACGCCATCAACCAGCTGCATTGCAATGCTCGCTGGAGCATGCGAGGTAACTTCGTCTCCATCCCCACCGATTGTCCCCAGCGGGACGAGCGTCTCGGCTGGACCGGCGATATCCAGGTCTTCAGCCCGTCGGCCACCGTCTTGTACAACTGCGAAGGGATGTTAGCGGATTGGATGGAGGATGTAGCTGCGGAGCAGCACGACGACGGGGGCGTGCCGCCGCTCGTTGTGCCGAACGTGCTTCAACACGTCTGGCCCCCGATGCCGCAAGCCGTGTGGGACGACGTGGTGATCATCCTGCCCTGGGTACTATATCAAGCCTCAGGCGACGCGGAGATCCTCCGTCGGCAGTACCCCAGCATGACAGCCTGGCTGGACCAGGGGGTCAGACGCGGCGATGATGGCCTGTGGGATCCAGATCACTGGCAACTAGGTGACTGGCTGGACCCGCAAGCGCCGTCAGACGAGCCAGGAGACGGACGTACCAGCGGCGTACTAGTGGCAGATGCCTACCTGGTGCACGTCACCAGGATCCTCGCACAGATCAGCAAGCTTCTCAACCAGGACGCCGACGCCGCACATTACCAAGAACAGTCCGACCGCCTCCTCCACGCCTTCCACGCCAAGTACGTGACCCCGAAGGGCCTGGTAGCCGGGGACACCCAGACCGCATACGCTCTGGTCGTGGTCTTCGGCCTGATCGACTCGCAATCCCAGCGTAAGACAATCAGCCACCAGCTCTCACGCCTGGTGCGTATGGCCAAGTTCCGCGTGGCTACGGGTTTCGCTGGCACCCCAATCATCCTGCAAGCCCTCCGCGACAGCGGCAATCTCAGCCTGGCGTATCGCATGCTGCTCGAGGATAAGTGCCCGTCGTGGCTCTACCCCATCTCCCAGGGCGCCACGACCATCTGGGAACGCTGGGATAGTCTATTGCCTGACGGATCGATCAACCCCGGCGAGATGACCAGCTTTAATCACTACGCCCTCGGCTCGGTCGTCCAGTGGCTTCATGAGACGGTCGGCGGGTTGATCCCCCGCGAGCCAGGCTGGAAGTCCGTCCTTGTCTCGCCTCAGCCAGGCGGGCCCTTGACCTACGCCGCTGTTTCGCATGATTGTGCGTACGGGCGATGGTCCTGTCGGTGGGATTTGGTGCCTCTTGAGGGTGCGGGTGAGGATGAGGGAGAGGAAGAGGGTAAGTGTGGGCAAAGGATTAATCTGCTGAAGGTCGAGCTCGATGTCCCCCTCAATGCCACGGCCATCGTTCGCCTGGGCTCCGAGGCTGAGAAGCATGTCGGGTCCGGCCATTATCGTTTCCAGGTCCCGTTTGTGCCGCTGCCTTACCCGCTTGAGCCTATTGCGCCGTTTATCACTAATCCTGGCCAGGGTCTCTGAGAGCGATTGGTAAGTGCACTTGCGGGTACTGTGGCTTTACTCCAAGCGGCACTAGGCGATGTTGTCTTTGGTCCTCTGGAGTTAAGCGGAGGTAAATATACCTCATAGCATTGTAGTTGGGTAATTTATAGAATGTATTTTGGTAAGAACACAGTTTAGATAACCTAGCATAGAGCATCGTTCTCGGAATTCTTAGACGTTTCTGTGAAGTCTTGCTTGTAGACCCCCCACGCAAGCTGCTTCAAGTTTTGTACTCTACCCAAGCCAAGTCTATTCGATATAGGCGACAGAACCCCGCCCAGAAAAACTATATAGTACACCATCTATAACCCCAATCATAACATACCGGAAGCGTATCCGAATCACCCTACTCGGCCGTCTTCCGGGCCGGCCTCAAGACGTATTTCCAAGTGGTGCCAAAATGCCAGCGTTGCGCCTCGACGACCTCCAAGCCACTCTCCCTCACAATCTCCCCAATATCGCGATTCCACCAACAACCATGGCGATCCGCATGCGCCGGGGCCAGATTATCCAGCACGCGATTCAACCAAGCATAGTGGGAGCGACCATGCTCGAGCAACAAGATCTCGCCCCTCTGCGGATCGACCAGCGACCCCAGATGGCGGAGGGTGCCCACAGGATCGGGCAAAGAACACAAACCCATCGTCTGCACAACCGTATCATAATACTTCTTCCCGCCGCCAGTGACCGTAGCACTGGGCCCCGTAACCTTGGCAGCATCCTCCACGCGAAACTCCACCGGCACTCTCCGATGTTGCGAAGCCCCCCCACTCCCAGCAGCAGCCGCAGCAGCCTCCTCCGTCCCGCCATACAACTCCGCGTACTTCCGGCGCGCGATCTCCACCATCTCAGGGCTCAAATCCACAAACGTCACGCTGCGACACCCGCGCACCCCGATCCGACCCGTACTCTCGTCCACGATCCCCCGCCGCAGCGCCCCGAAGTCGTAGTACTCGATGTTCCGCCCCGTGCCGCAGCTGACCTCCAGCACGTCGCCGCGCGCCCGCTGCACCAGCTCCCGTCGCTTCGTGCCCAGCCGCATCAGCTTCTCGGACATCTCCACGTCCGCGTCGAAGCTCCCCGCCGTCCGGTTGTACCGGTCCGACACGTCGTGCGTGATGCTCAGGGATTGCGAGTGCGTTACCTCGCGCTGGTAGGAGGCGTACAGGTATCCGATGTACGCGCTTAGGCCGAGCACGCTGACCCCCAGTACCGTCATCACGCGCGGCGACATGCGGGTTTCATCTTTTCGGACCTCGGAGAGCGCCGGGTTTGCGCGTTTGCTGAGGAGGGTGGCGGGGCTGGGGGTTCTGGTTTTGAGCGTGTGGTTAGTTTGGTTTCGTGAATTGCTGAGAGATTGGGGATGAGAATTGGCTGCGCACTTACCCTGGTTGAGGGAAAGGAGGAGGAGGAGGTGGTGGCGGTGGTGGTGTTTTGATCTTCGTGGTCTTCGCTGCGCCGCCGGAGGTGGGCTTGGGGACTGCCGTTGCTGCTGCCGGCGGTGTTTTGATTCGTGATTCCTTGGGGACTTTGAATAGAGCTCGGCGAAAACTAGCGGGACACATGGTTGCGGGGATTGGATTGCAAGTTTGGGTGATTAGTAGTAGTAAGGGCCCAAAAGAGGGGAGAGGCTTTGTCGTGGACTTCACGCCATGGTTTGGAGAAGTTGCGGGTTGTTTGTTCTTGCTGCGGAGAAATTGTGAGAGGAAAGAAAGCCAAGAATGCCTCAGGCTGGGCCCCGCCCGGCCGTTGGTCTCGTTTGGAACTCCCGAGCTTCTCCGCTTGCGATCTACTTCTACCTACACTCTATGGTATTATCAACGCGAAGAGAACTCTGGATGGCGGTTTATCCTTTGCTGTGGATGGTTTGATTCATGATTCTTTGACAAGTTCCCAACTTCCGCGGTTCTTACTTGGTAGATTCGCGCCAGCATTTTTCTCGCCCTCGCACTTTATCTACGATGAGCATGCCTTTGAAACTCTTCTGGCATACGAGGTGAAGATCAAATCTTTACCGTGCAGAAGATACAGCAAGTGATTTCTTCGGAGAGGACAGAGCTATGTTATTCGCCGTAAGACCATGGAGATACACGTCGTGAAGATGGCGTGCGGCCCTGAGAAAATTGACCGACATATCACGGATGATAACATCGCCAACACCAACCTGCCTGATCGGGCTTGGATCTGGATGAAGGAATAAGGAGAAAGATTAAGGGCACACGAATGCGCGAGTTTTACCTGGTGGATAATTCTAGCATCATATCAGATCCGAGATCGGCTTATCGCGGCTTCTTCATCCGACGGATGTCTGATGAACAGCAGAGGAAGACTGATCTTCGCAATACCAATGAGCTGGCACTGCATCATCCTAATCAATCGGCCTAATGCTTCAGATACAGTGACGCAGTGCTTCACAGGCCGATTCCTGAATGGCCGGGACTCAACGCCGGCAGCAACGCTCTTCTTCGGCACTTCAACAGAGTTCGGAATAAGGCTGGAGTTAACCCCTGAGCGAGGATTCTTCGTCTTTCTAGATCGAGCTTTCAATTAGGTCATTATGGATAGCTCGTCCAGGCACGGTGAAGAACACAAACTCTAGCGCGGCCGGCTATAGATCGAGACACTGCATTTTCATATCCGTGAACCACCTGGACCGTGATAAGAAACGCCCCCGTGGACCAAACCTCCAGCATCCACCAATGATCTGGTGTAAAGAACTAGCGGTGGGGCTAAGCGGCTTTACGGATGGCGGTTTTACGGATATGCGGATATGGCAGTAATTGCGTATCTGATATGCCACGCAAGAAGACATCAATATTAAAAGAGTCTGAGCTGGCTCGAGCCGCTTAGGATTTGCTCTAATCAATTCTCTGAGTCTGTGTGAGTGTTGGCATTGACTCTTCATGGACCGTGATTCTTAGGTATGGCGCTTCACCCCGAACTTTGACGGATATACTGACTGGGGCACCAAACCAAGATTGTAGCTACGATTCAATCGGACCTATCACCATCACCATGGACACCTCATCATCCTCAGCAACGGTCGACATGGAGTCTGGAGGCTCCGACATCCGGAAGCGCCTGACGCTCACCTTCCGCAATGTCAGCGTAAACGTCACCGCGCCCGATGCTGCTCTGGGAAACACTCTATTATCGGTGGCTGATCCGCGACAAATCACAAGCTGGTTTCAGAAGAGTCGGCGACCCAAGAGAACAATCTTGAAGGAAATTACTGGCCAAGTTCGACCAGGAGAGATGCTATTCGTTCTGGGTCGCCCCGGTTCCGGCTGTACCTCGTTTCTCCGAGTGCTATCCAATGACCGGGATGCATTCGACGAGGTTGTGGGAGAAACCAGATACGGAAGTATGGACCATAAGCAGGCAAAGAAATATCGACAGCAGATAATGTTCAACAACGAAGACGATGTGCATTTTCCCACGTTGACGGTCAACCGAACGATGAAATTTGCTCTGCGAAATAAGGTGCCCCGGGAACGACCCGAATATCTACAGGATAGGAAGGATTACGTGCAGGAAAAACGAGATGATATCTTAGGGTCCTTAGGGATCCCTCACACGAAGAAGACTCTGGTCGGGAATGAGTTCATTCGAGGTGTCTCTGGTGGTGAACGGAAACGTGTGTCTCTGGCGGAGATGATGGCTGGTCAGGTACGAACGTGACTGTATAATGTTCTATCCAAAGTGCTCTTGCTAACAGACACCCTCATATAGAGCCCTGTCCAATTCTGGGACAATCCAACTCGAGGTTTGGATTCGAAGACGGCAGTCGAGTTTGCGCGCATGCTACGACGCGAGGCGGACCAGAATGAGAAAACGATCATTGCCACCATGTACCAAGCAGGAAACGGTATCTATGACCAGTTTGACAAGGTTCTCGTTCTGGCGGATGGTATGGTTACTTACTACGGCCCGAGAGCCATGGCCAAGGCCTACTTTGAGGACATGGGCTTCATCTGTCCCCGGGGAGCCAACATTGCCGATTTCCTCACCTCTGTCACAGTGACGACTGAAAGAATCGTGGCTCCAGGCATGGAAAAGAACGTGCCTAGTACTGCAGCTGAGTTCGAGGCTTACTACCGCCAGAGTGCGATATGCTCTCAGATGCTAGAGGATATCCAGCCTCCGGAGAAGCTGGTGGACGAGGAGATCGACTTGGCAAATGCTGTGCTCATGGAAAAGAGAAAACAGCACATTCCTCGGCCTCAGAGCGTTTACACAGCGGGCCTTTGGCATCAAGTTATCAGCTGCACAATTCGGTGGGTCAAACCGAATGCATATCCTATCACGTTTCGGCCAGGTACTGACATCAGTTCAGCCAATTTCAGATTTTAGCCGGCGATAGACTGTCAGTCATCATCAAGGTTGTATCTGCCATTCTTCAGGCGCTTGTCTGCGGTAGTCTGTTCTATAACCTCAAACTCGACAGCACCTCCATCTTCTTACGCCCGGGTGCCCTCTTCTTCGCCGTTCTCTATTTCCTTCTGGAGACTATGTCAGAAACCACTGCGTCATTCATGGGTCGGCCCATTCTCTCGCGTCAGAAGAGATTCGGTTTTTATCGGCCTACAGCTTTCGCAATTGCCAACGCCATTACCGACGTCCCTATTGTCCTGGTGCAGGTCTCCTGTTTCTCATTGATTCTCTACTTCATGAGTGCAATGCAGATGGATGCTGGCCGGTTTTTTACGTACTGGATCATCGTCGTTATTCAAACTCTCTGCTTCATGCAGATGTTTCGAGCAATCGGTGCTCTCTGCCAGAAATTCGGTAACGCATCGAAGATGACTGGTTTTGTCTCAACAGTCTTCTTCGTCTACGGAGGTATGTCTCAGTTCTCAAGTCTAAACGAGATATACTAAGACAAGTACAGGCTACCTCATTCCTTTCGAGCAGATGCATGTCTGGTTCCGCTGGATCTTCTACCTCAACCCGGGTGCCTATGCGTTTGAAGCTCTCATGGCCAATGAATTCGTTGGACTCAAGTTGAACTGTGTGGAGCCAGACTATATTCCCTATGGATCTAGCTACCCAGGCGGTGCTTCGCCTTACCGCGGTTGCACGGTCAAAGGAAGCACAGACGGCGTGATTGACGGCGCGACTTACATCAAGGAACAATACAGCTACTCCTTTCACCACGTCTGGCGCAGTTTCGGTATTCTTGTTGGCTTCTGGGCTTTCTTCATCTTCTTGACTGCGTTTGGATTTGAAAAAAACAATAGCCAGTCGGGCTCATCTGTGCTACTTTACAAACGAGGTGCCAAGTCAAAGGCATCTGATGAGGAAAGCCCCAGTGTTTCCAAGTCAGCCGGGGAAGCTCTTGCGCAGACTGGAAAGCAGTCTACCTTCACGTGGAACCATCTCGACTACTATGTTCCTTTCCATGGAGAAAAGAAACAACTCCTGCATCAGGTGTTTGGGTATGTCAAACCTGGTAACTTGGTTGCGTTGATGGGCAGTTCAGGTGCAGGCAAAACTACGTAAGCTTGATGAAATTGTTCTTCCTACAGCGTGGCACCACTAACATAGAATCAGGCTGCTTGATGTTCTTGCCCAGCGAAAGGACAGCGGTGAGATTGTTGGATCTATTCTTATTGACGGACGACCTCAAGGAATTAGCTTTCAGAGGACTACTGGGTACTGTGAGCAGATGGATGTTCATGAGGGTACGGCCACCGTAAGGGAGGCCTTGGTCTTCTCAGCTCTCTTGCGTCAGCCTGCTAGCGTGCCGCGTGAGGAGAAAATTGCCTATGTTGACCATATCATTGACTTGCTCGAGCTCAGTGACATCAAGGATGCTTTGATCGGTGTCCCAGGTGCTGGGTTGAGCATCGAGCAGCGCAAGAGAGTGACTCTGGGCGTTGAGCTTGTGGCCAAACCAACATTGCTGTTTCTGGACGAGCCGACCTCTGGCCTCGACGGTCAATCGGCCTACAATATCATCCGCTTCCTGAGGAAGCTCGTCGATAGTGGTCAAGCTGTGTTGTGTACCATTCATCAACCGTCCGCTGTTTTGTTCGACGCCTTTGATTCGCTCGTTTTGCTTGCGAAGGGAGGAAAGATGACCTACTTTGGAGAAACTGGCGAAGACTCAAACAAAGTCCTTGACTACTTCGCAAAGAACGGCGCTCCCTGTCCACCCGATGTCAACCCGGCCGAGCATATTGTGGAAGTCATCCAAGGCAACACTGAAAAGTCAATCGATTGGGTTGATGTGTGGAGCAAATCCGAGGAGCGCGAGCTTGTGCTCCGGGATCTCGAGGTACTAAACAAGGAAGCTCAGGCGAACTCAAACGGAGAGGAAGACCACCACGATTTCGCCACACCCGTCTGGTTTCAGTTCAAGATGGTGCTCGAGCGCTTGATGACTCAGTTGTGGCGCTCACCGGTACGTATAACCTACCATAGTGGATAGTGTGATACTAACAATCTCAGGACTACATGTGGAACAAGATCATTCTTCACGTGTTTGCTGCCTTGTTTAGTGGGTTCACTTTTTGGAAAATGGGAGATGGCACGTTCGCACTCCAACTGCGTCTGTTCGCTATCTTCAACTTCATCTTCGTCGCTCCGGGCTGCATCAATCAGATGCAGCCGTTCTTCCTGCACAATCGCGATATCTTCGAGACTCGAGAGAAGAAGGTAAAGCGCACAGGCTTTGCATGAAATCCACTGAGCTAACTATGCGCTTTAGTCGAAAACATACCACTGGATTGCCTTCATCGGAGCCCAGACTATCTCCGAGATACCGTACTTGATTATCTGTGCCACACTCTACTTCGCATGCTGGTATTTTACCGCTGGATTTCCCGTTTCGGCGTATATATCCGGTCATGTATACCTCCAGATGATCTGTAAGTGCCGTATCTCCACGCGCTTCCAAGCATGAGCTAAAAAGCCCTAGTCTACGAATTCCTCTATACATCCATTGGCCAGGCCATTGCCGCCTATGCTCCAAACGAGTACTTTGCCGCAATCATGAACCCCATCCTGATTGGTGCCGGCATGATTAGTTTCTGTGGCGTCGTTGTGCCTTACTCCCAGATGCAGCCTTTCTGGCGCTACTGGATCTACTACCTGGACCCCTTCACCTATCTTGTCGGTGGTCTCTTGGGAGAAGTGCTTTGGGATGTGAAAGTGCAATGCAAGGCTTCCGAATTCGTCAAGTTCAGCGCCCCATCTGGCCAGACTTGTGGCCAATACATGGCGGACTTCATCTCGAACAATACGGGATACCTGCTGGACGCCAGCGCGACCGGAACCTGCTCATTCTGTCAGTACTCGACAGGAGCGGACTATGCCAAGTCTTTCAACTTGAAAGAGAAGTATTACTCTTGGAGAGATGTGAGATTTGAACCATTCTCTGGTTGATTCGTCGGCGATTTACTGACTTGCCTTGTAGACTGGTATCACGGCGCTGTTCTGTATCACGTCGTATGGACTGGTCTTTCTGATGATGAAGATGAGGAGCAAGAAGACGAAGAGTGCCAGGTCAGAGTAGTCTTCTTGTAGAATGAGAGATGGAGAAGAGAGACTTTAGAGGGGGTTTCTCAGACCGGGGTTTTGTGCTATCAATTGCCACGTAGGATTTGAAGCGGGGCTGATCAGAATGAAGGCTGTTGACGTAGACATATAGATCAATAGATTTCAATTAATACACAGCTTGAACCTGCTTGAGCTCTGCTTGTTGGTACAGAGAGAGTATTGTTCTATGGCTATACGAAGGGTGGGGCCAGACACATAGTAGTATTCGGGGATCGAGACTGGGAGATTAGGGGTGGCTACAATACCAGGGTATCTTGGCTAGAGTCTGGTCTAGTCCATAGTACATACATTCATTCTAGGTCCGATCACGCTTGGCAGCCCAGATTAATGCCCGACACCTCTTCCTCACAATGTATGCGGGATTTCTTCCCAGTCGGCGCTTAGGAAACCAAACTCCGAGCTCTGTCTACACACACACACACACACACACACACACACACACACAGAGAGAGAGAGAGAGAGAGAGAGAGAGAGAGAGAGAGAGAAATAGCAGACTGGAAAACGTCATGGACATACATGCAGACCACGTGGTCGACCTGGATAAACGGGGTTGCATACGGCAATTGCAACTGCAGCAGCTGGGGATAGACAGCCCATGCAAGCCTCTTCAGGCCGGTAATTCTGCCTGGACAAGGAGGCAAACTGCAGAACTCATGAAAGCTGGGGAAAATATCAGGCCTTGCCTCGGTTACTCTCACCTTCCCCAACTTAACCAATCTGGGGACGGTTCTTCCCCATACGGCCATGCTGACGCCCACGTGAGCCCCATTAGCCGGCGGCGGACTGCCGTTCCTGTCAAGGAAGTAATCCCTTCATTTCGGATTCACGATGTCTCCAGCTTGGTATACGATGCGGAGGTGGCTAATTGTGAAGAACGCTTACGAAGTGCTGTCGGGATGCGGTCCGGACAGCCGTCATGCTCTCATGCTCTCGCCTACACCTGGGAAAACAGCTTCACGATCCATCTCTTGTATAGACAGCATAGCTGCTGCGTGCCATGACAATGAAGATATAAAAGGCACGCCTTTCCCATGGTTTCAATCGCCATCATCACCTCAATCAGCATCTTCATTCAGCTTCAATCGTCTTCCATCTGCTGGCAATCATGACCGGTGACTCTTTCTCCATCTACAAAGCAGCTCTCCTGCTGTCCATTCTGGCTACCAGCAATGCGCAGCAGGTCGGCACTTCCCAAACCGAAACGCACCCCAGCCTGACCTGGCAAACTTGCTCCGGTAGTGGCAGCTGTACCACGACCAGCGGCAGCGTTGTTGTCGACGCCAATTGGCGCTGGGTGCACGAGGTCGGCGGCTACACCAACTGCTACAGCGGCAACACTTGGGACGCCTCGATCTGCTCCACTGATACCGACTGCGCCTCCAAGTGTGCTCTCGAGGGTGCGAGCTATCAAAGCACCTATGGTGTCACCACCAGCGGCTCGTCGCTTCGTCTCAACTTCGTCACCACGGCGTCGCAGAAGAACATCGGTTCTCGTCTCTACCTCCTCGCGGATGACAGCCACTACCAGACTTTCAAGCTTCTCAATCGGGAGTTCACTTTCGATGTCGATGTCTCGAACCTCCCCTGTGGATTGAACGGCGCCCTTTACTTCGTCTCCATGGACGCTGATGGTGGCGTTTCCCGCTTCCCGACCAACAAGGCTGGTGCCAAATACGGCACAGGATACTGTGACTCTCAATGCCCTCGGGATCTCAAGTTCATTGACGGCCAAGCCAATGTCGAAGGCTGGCAGCCATCTTCGACCGACTCCAATTCCGGAGTGGGTAACCACGGCTCCTGCTGCCCTGAGATGGACATCTGGGAGGCCAACAGCGTCTCCAGCGCCTTTACGGCCCACCCCTGTGATTCGATCGAGCAGACCATGTGCACGGGCGATTCTTGCGGTGGCACCTACAGTGACACTAGCAACCGATACGCTGGTACTTGCGATCCTGATGGATGCGACTTCAACCCTTACCGTCTGGGCAACACCAACTTCTATGGCCCCGGAAAGACCGTCGATACCAGCAAGACCTTCACGGTCGTGACGCAGTTCATCACCAACGACGGTACCGACACCGGTACCCTCACCGAGATCCGCCGTCTCTACGTGCAGAATGGCGTCGTGATCGGTAACGGCCCCTCGACGTACCCCACTGCGAGCGGCAACTCGATCACCGAGAGCTTCTGCAAGGCCGAGAAGACCTTGTTCGGCGACACCGACGTCTTCGACACCCACGGTGGATTGTCCGGCATGGGCTCCGCTCTGGGCGACGGCATGGTTCTGGTCTTGAGTCTGTGGGACGACCACGCCGCTGACATGCTCTGGCTGGACAGCAACTACCCGACCAGCAGCTCTGCCTCCTCTCCTGGTGTCGCCCGTGGTACCTGCCCCACTGACACCGGCAATGCCACCTATGTGGAGGCCAACTACCCGAACGCGTATGTCACCTACTCCAACATCAAGTTCGGTACCCTCAACTCGACCTTCTCCGGCTCGACCTCCGGCGGCTCCGGCACCACCTTGACCACCAAGGCTTCCACCAGCACCACCAGCACCAAGACCTCGACTGGCTCTTCCAGCACTTCCACGAGCGTCGCTCAGAAGTACGGACAGTGCGGTGGCCGTACCTGGACCGGCGCGACCACCTGTGTCAGTGGATCTACTTGCACCGTTGTGAACGAATTCTACTCCCAGTGCTTGTAGAAGGGTGGGGAGTGCCTGTTGATGAGGTTGGTCATGGAGGAGTGATGAGGAGTGATGCACTGCAGAAAGGATGATGGCAATCTGTCACTTCCCGCAGGATGATTTGAAGCTTAGGACTAGTCTAGTAAATGCAAGACTGATTTTCATTATCGGATCCGCACGTAAAAAGAGTAAATGATGACTATCGTAAGAGGCAAGGATTAGACAAGGTTGTGCCGATTGTGCAGATTTGAGGCTCTGAAGAAAAAAAAGAAAATAACCCCGCGCGGTCATGTGCGGCTCACCTGACCACCCTCTATTTGCGCTTATCGATCGATCTTTCGCATTCGTTCCTCTTCTCCCTTTCATTAATCTCTCGTCGGATTACTCTTTCATCCTTACTCTTGTGTCTAGTGACTGTGCGGCACTCGGTCAGACGGCTCGGAGTTGTGTACGCATAGCGGTCTTGAGCATATTACACACTTCTTGCGCATCATCCTGCTAATTGCGACGACGGGCATTAGCATTTACATTGTTTTGGCTCGAAGACGTGACGATGTCCATTCTACTGTTGACGACATCAATATAGAGTCTCCTGAAATTGCTAGCGCAAGCAAACTCACCACGCAATTGACCAATCTTCCCCAGCGCTCATCATTCTCGAGGGCTTTCGCCCAATCTCAAAAATTTCCGCAACAATGGGACAACAATCGCACAGAGGGGACACCTGACCACGCCACGCCACCGACGCACATCTCGGCACTCATCAAAACAATCAGCAAGGTCAAGGCCCATGCATGCATTAGCGCCGTGGCGTCGCCTGCCGGGAAAGAATGCCCCGGAGACTGCAGCGCCAAGCAACGTGGGTGGACGGGATATTCTCCGCATCCCCGAACTTTTTTTTTTCCACCTCGTTTGCAGTCCGGGGTTTAGCATGGGACGGGTCACTTAGTTTGAAACCTAAGCGAGATCAGAACGGACTGCAGCGGACTCTATCCGTAGTTTCTTCCCTCTCGCACCATTCCGGATCGGCAAAGGATGGACTGATCCGGACTTTTCTAATTCTGCAGGATGGAGGGGACCCCCCAGGCACCGGAGATGACGATGGTCTGTGCGTCTCGATGGGAAATGCCGTGACGGATTTGTCTCCGCGTCGTGTTGGTTGGGCCGGGCCCCCTATTGCTTCATGCTCAGGAGAGTCAGCGCTGGCTGTGTGTACTATGAAGCGGCTGGCGGCCCGAAAGGCCGTCTTTTGCGTGGTTGGAGGTGATGTCGTTCTTGACATCGTTTCACTGCGGAGTGTAGATCTGGCTATATGGCTCCTTGTTGGGGGGTATAAGTTCAAGGAGGAATGCTCCTTGGAGGAGGAGGAGAACAACAAGTCAACAGCCTAGCTTCGTTTTGTGTTGCAATCATGAGATTCTCCGTATGGGCACTGCTTCTTTCCCAGGTTTGGGCTGCACCGCAGGCTAAACGTTCCTCCAATTTTCTCTGTACGCACCACCGATTTTCCTTGCGAGAGAATTGAACGATGCTGACTGCGAAACAGGGCTGGGTAGCAATGAGTCGGGCGCCGAGTTCGGCCAGGCCAACATCCCCGGGAAGTTGGGGACAGACTACATCTGGCCTGATGCCGACAAGATCAAGGTCCTGGTCAACGCGGGCATGAACATCTTCCGCGTTCCGTTCATGATGGAGCGGTTGATCCCTACACAACTGACTGGGGCAGCGGATGCCACCTACATGGCGGATTTGAAGGCTGTATGTTTCAGTTTCTCGTCTAAGCTGGTCGTATACTGATTGTTGTTGTTGTCAGACCGTTGAGTCAATCACTAGCCTCGGGGCTTATGCCGTCGTGGACCCGCATAACTTCGGACGATAGTATGGAAGCCTTGCCCTTGTGGTCGTCGAGGATCTCACTAATATGTGACAATGTTCAGCTACGGAAACATCATTACGTCCACATCCGACTTTGCCGCTTTCTGGACCACCGTCGCCAAAGTTTTCGCATCAAATGACCATGTCATCTTTGATACCAGTACTTCTCCCACCCCTTTGTACTCCTGAACCAGACTAACAATATGATCAGACAACGAATTTCACGATGAGGACCAGACCCTGGTCTTGAATCTCAACCAAGCAGCCATCACCGCCATCCGTGCCGCCGGCGCGACAAGCCAGTACATCTTTGTCGAGGGCAACTCCTACAGCGGCGCTTGGACCTGGACCACCTACAACACCAACCTGGTCAACCTGACGGACCCGTCCGATAAGATCATCTACGAGATGCACCAGTACCTTGACAGCGACGGCTCTGGCACGAGCGCCGACTGCGTGAGCTCCACCATCGGCGCTGAGCGCGTCGCCTCCGCTACCACCTGGCTGCGCCAGAACGGCAAGCGGGCCATCCTCGGTGAATTTGCCGGCGGTGCAAACAGCCAGTGCCTGACTGCTGTACAGGGTATGCTGGACGCTCTGAGCGCTGCCAGCGACGTGTGGCTGGGCGCGCTCTGGTGGTCTGCTGGGCCGTGGTGGGGAACCTACATCTTCAACATGGAACCGACGACGGGCATCGCGTACAGCTATTATCTGTCCCTTTTGCAGAGCTATGCTCCCGGGAAAACGTCGGGAACTACAACGACCTCGGTTGCCACCGCTACCACGACTACCAAGCTCCCGACAACGAGCACCACTACTACAACCAAGACGACTACCGGTGCAACATCCACTTCCACTGCCGTGGCACCTCACTATTCCCAATGCGGTGGACTGGGCTGGACTGGAGCTACGACATGCGCGAGTGGCTATACCTGCACTAAGCAGAATGAGTACTACTCGCAGTGCTTGTAGATGGTGGGTCTCGTGGCAGCAATGCTTGTCGGATTTTGTTTTCGTTGTTTAGCTCATTCAGAGGCATTCAAATGCAAGTTATCTTGTTTTCTAAGAGCTTCATAAAGACAGTAGAATCGAATTATCGCAAGGAAACTACGGGTGGTTGAGTAGCATGTATCAGCTACAGCGTTTCCCCCGGGGAATTAAACCAGGGCTGCTGTTGTATAGATCTTCTTTACCATGAGAACCAGCTCGTGAAATCAAAGACGGTTCCAATCCAAAGAAATCAGCTTGAGAGACCAAAGAAGGACAAATATTCACATATTGGCCGTTCCAGCCCTCGCTTACCGCTTCCCTCCTACTTTATGCCTTGTTCTGACACTACACGACTTCCAAACAATAATACATACCAACATAATACTCTGAATGAAACCTACGAGCATAACAAAGCTGCGTGCAAGTTGCCGTGACCAATCACCCCAATAATCCCAAACAATCTCCCAAACAATGGCATTGTCCCTCGCAGACCACGAATCCACCCTCCTTTATGCCATCAGCTAGCAGCTCCTTGACTAGCCTTCCGAACACGCAACAATAGCCTTACCACCCCATATAAAGACCACTCAACGGAAAAGCCCTCAACTCGCATTAAGCCACAACCACAAAAGAAAAGGAACAGGAGCTCTTCACCCAAACCAAACCGAAACACCGAACCATGCAATCCCGCACACCTCGGCTTCGGGGACTATAAAAGCGAGTCAGTCCCTCACACCTCGTTATCCAGCACACCACCACCACCACCACCACCACCACCAACAGCTAACAAACAGGTATCTGTCTGTATTTCAAGTCCATACGACAACAAACTAAACAAAACCCACACACGCACAACATCCCGTCCAGCCCCAAATCCAACCAAAAAATAAAGATTCTTCCGTGCTTAGAAACAAAAATGGCAGCCAACCCCCGCTCTACCCCCTCGTCCCCGCGATGCCGATGCGCCGTCCCGGTGCTCTGGAACAACATGGCGGCGAGGAAAAGACGAGCGGCGAGTTGGAAGCAGAGCCAGCTTGGTGGAGGAGGAGGTGGTGGAGCTGGAGCTGGAGCTGGAGAAGGCTCCTGCGACGACGCCGTGAAAAGGTCCGGCGATGTCGTCATGATGGATGCCCCTTTGCTGGTTGAGGCGACCATCACCATCACCACTGGTGGTGGTGGTATTGCTGAGATGGATACGGATATGGATATGGTGGAGTCGTTCACGGTGGGTTGGCAGGTGGTGGGTTAGTTTTCTTCTGGTGGTTTTGTGATGCTTGTTTGTCTGTGTATAGCCTGAGGTATATATACATGTTGTGCAGTGGTCTGAGGTATATATATACAATGGAATAGTGTGTATAGGAATTCGGAGAATGTAGTGGTAATTGACACAAAAAAAGTATAGTATCTTGTCTATAACTAGTATAAGCGGCACACTCGGGCGTTCAGGGTCCCGAGAATTGACAAAGCTCGCGGGGACCGGTCGTGCGGTGCGGTTGTCTTAATGCATCTTGGATATAAACACTTGGTTCCTGTCATGGGAAATTTTCCTGAAGCGGTGATTGCTCCTACTTCTTCACAGTCGGGAGTAATGTTCTACCGCGATAAAGATGTAAAACTCGCGGAAGGGGCTCAGTTCGTCTGGTCCGCGCAAGGCAGCTTCCAGTATGCTATGTACTGTATTACCTATCCAGTTTATTATGAAGTCGGTTGAGCCCGTGACCAAGAAATGTCCACCGCGGCCGTTTGCCCCCCCGCCCTAGTCTGATCTCTTCTCGAGCTAAGACGTTGATCGCCATAAATGCCGGTTGCGCTGGGCTACCCGCCGCTCAAGACCTTGTGTTCAGGGGAAGGAAGGCTTGCTCATCATTGAAGCGCGAGACCGCATCGGTGATCGCTAATGGACTGCGCAAACCGGCAGGGACGTCAAGGTCGAGGAGCTTGGCGGCACATGGGTGATGGTGCCATTGGCAGCAGCCGCACGTTTTCAGCGAGCTGCAACGATACGGACTTGACGACTTTGAAAGAAACGGTAGCTTATGTAACCTGCGAACGGTGAATTCACAGCCAAGTGAATCCGGTGCCAGCCCGCCGGGGTGCTGGATCATATGGAGGCGCGAGCCGTATGGAGCAACTGGAAGGGCTCATGGTGAAGTTCTTCGATGAGGACGGACAGGGAAGGGGGACGCAGTGTGATCGCGTTCCCGTTCAGCAACGCCACGAGTGTCGATCAGAACCCCGATCATCTGGAGGTGGACCGACTCAGCGTCGCGGATCGAGTGGCGCCGCTCGAAGATTGCGATGCCGAGGAATAATCGATGCTTTCAGCGCGCATGCCGCTTCGTTCTACGTTATTTTTCATCGCCCCGCGGAGATGCTTCACGTCCATCCATTGTGCAACTTTGACCCGGCTATGCTCGAAACCACCACCGTGAGCTACAAGGTCGCCAAAGATAGGCGTGGCATGTCGATATCTTTGAAGTTCCGTTCCTCCAGGAAGTAGTCGACGACTTGGGCTTTACCCCAAGGGACTCTGGGGACGTTGTCCCCCACACCAGGTGAGAAGAGCCTTGAGTTCATGTTGACCTTGTAGGGAATAGAAGTTTCTCAAGATGGCGGACGAAAGGAATGGATTAAGGTTGACATGGACGGATAGGAAAGAAGATGATGGATGGTGAAGAGAGAATAAGAGGCATAGCTAGTAGGTATATGAGCAAGGCCGGCGACTGGCGTCTGCAGTTCTCCGATTACAGTCAAAAGATGCTTGGTGACTGTTGCGGGGACACCGACAATCGCTCGCCAGCGGGACCACCATGCAGAAGATTCAGAAAAAGCATTTGATGACTTTCAAGTAGTAAATATGAATGATAAAAACACTATTCAAGGACCAGAAGTAGTAAAGAATTACGGATTGGAGGGCTTGACACCGTTAGCGACCATCATCCAGTCTTCGTCTTCGTGCGGCAGCACAGATGATTCACGGGCCGCCATTGTCTCGCCTCCCTGCCCGGCCGTGAGAGACGGATCTCCCCTCACGTAAGAAAATCGTTCTGGTCGCTCAGCAGCCATACCAGCCTTAATCTCATTCAACCGCTCGCATTTGAGGTCGTTCTCATCCCGCCAAAGATCAATCCACAGCCAAGTGTGGCTGGCTCCAGCTCGAATCGCCTGAACATGGGCCTCAAAGGCCCCCGTCTGTGTATACTGGTCATAGCCAGCTGGGGAGGCCATGCTGCCTGAGATATCGCACTTGATGGGGCGGCCACAGAAGTAGTCTATAGGCCCCTTCACCGCTTCGACCGCTCTGTCTTCGTCAAACTTATCCATTATGGTGGGGATATATGAGTACCAGAGGGTCTGCAGCAAGAGAATCTTATCCACCCCCGCGATGTCCACCTCCTCAACCTCAGGCAAGGGTGGAAAGGGGTAGCGGGATTGATTCCAGCGGGGGTACAACTTGGTCGTCAATTCATGGTATACCCACAGCACCGTCCGAAAACTAGTGGGTCTAGAGTACGGTAACAGGTTAAATCGCCGAGGATCTACTGTATCACCTGAGATATCACACAGGATAGCTTGTCCGCAGAAGATTTCGATCGGTCCCTTTACTGCCTCAATCGCTTTGGCCTCATCAAAGAACGTTCTTTCGAGAAGGGGCGCTGTCGCGAATGCGTACAGGACACCCAGTAAGGTCGGCTTATCCAATCCTTTGATATCAAACTCTTCCGGAGGCCCTGAATAAGGTGGTGGTTTGCCGCCATAACCTGCCTCCATCACGCCCCGGGCAAACTCCACCATCCACTCGAAAGGCTTGGTGTTGAATTTGGTGAAGGAGGCGGTATCACTCTCATGATGGCGTGCATAGTGTCCATTATAGAGTGCGGGACATGCGTAACCCCCTGAAATATCACAGTCAATAAGTTGTCCACAGAATCTTGTGATGGGTCCTTTCACTGCCTCCAAAGCCTCCACCTCATCGAATTCCCATCGGGCTGTGCGCTCGTCGCCTTCCGCGACCGCAAACGCATACAGAAAGCTCAGCAGCAGGACCCTATCCACTCCCCTGAGGTCAACATACTCAGACATCGGGGCTTCGCTGCGCGATCAGTCAGTTTCTGGGTGTGGCTGCTGAAGAATGTTGTTGATGTGGGTCGAGTCGGTTAATCCTTCGTGCGGGTGGGTGGAGAGATGGGTGACGATGCTTTTATAGCTACGCGGTGAGAGGGGATCTAGCGGTCCACCCTTACTCAGGTCTATGCATAGACGACAAACTCCTTTGCATGGACACCGGTGAGGAAGGATGCTGGGTTGGTGGGTGGTGATCTTCACCAAAAGACACGGGACAAAGACGGCGCTGCCAGCCCCTTTGTCAAGCGTACAATACCAACCGGAAGGTTCTCCTTGAACGTCCGATTCTTCTTTGTCTTGCTGATTTGGGCAGCGGAGGCTAGAGAGGAGAGGCAGATATGAACAATACACTGTAAATGCTATGTTGGAGAAGACCGGCCTGGACTTGTATATGGTACTGAAAATGTTACACCCACTTCGACAATCTTTAAGGAAAACGCTTACCTAGACCGGGTCCCACTGCGAGCACAAGCCTGATCGCGCTGAAGAGTAACGCCGCGGAGCGGGACTGATACAAGTCCAGGATAAACTCATATGGCACAATCACAACATCTCAATCCCAAGCAACATAAAACTAAAAAAGAATAACTACACGAGCACGAAAAGGGCGCAGCATATCACTGAAATCACAATCAACACAAATCACCAGCTCAAATACCAATAGCTCCCCCACCCACTCCAAAGCATACATACATACATACTTACTTACTTACATACATACATACATACATACGACCGACGATCCACCCGCAAAGCAAATCGGGCACGCCCTCAGAAAGCCCTGTGAAGAATCCACCGTAGCTCATCGCAGACCATCCACCGGATTATCCCTCTGAATGAAGTGCCCGGCGCCGGGAGCCTGAAGCGGGCCTCTGCTGCGCGCGGGCTCCGTAAGCGTGGCCAACCCGTGATTGAACCGATGCCAGTAAGGGTTCAGATAGACCTCGGTCAGCCGGGGGGAGGCGACACCGCTCATCCGAGCGAACTCGGCCTCGAACGCCTCAAACTCATGACCCACAACCGTGACCCATGGCCCGCGCGCCGCCCCGGGGCCCCGAAGTTTCGGCTTATCGCTCTCGGGCAACAGCTGCGCCAGATTGCGGCGACTGAGCCCCTCGCGACTCCCATTGCTGGGGTGGAACACGCGCTGCATGAACGCGCGCGGAGCACGGAGCCCATCGACCGTGACGCCGTCCGCCAGGTCGGTGGTGTCGAACCCCGCCGCGTCCGGGTTTGGGTAGATGGAGACGAAGTCCGAGTTGGCTAGCACGCTGTCCAGGAAGAGGAGGCCGGCGACCGTGCCGGGGTATTCCTGTGCGTAGAGGCGCGCCAGCGCGTCGCCGATTGAGTTCGAGACCAGGATGAGTGGCAGATGATCGAGGTCGGAGATGTGCAGGTCAGACGCGGCGATCTGCGTGAGCAGCTGGTGCAGGTCCCGTACGGCGCTCAGCGTGTTGTGGCCGGATGGAAGTTGTAGCTTAGCTGGACGGTGGGCTTGGTCACCAGGGAGAGGAATTGGTAGGAAAACATGATCTGAATCGAGACTTTGAGGGCACACAGTAGGTGGTAGGGAGATTGCTCTGTGGTGACGGATGCGGCAGAGGAGTCAGGGCTCTGGTGCAATATATAGGGGGGAAATATACGAAGACCGCAAGCGAGGGGTAAGTCTAGTAAGCGGGGACCAGGAGTAGGCAAATGCGACCTTTTGCAGTGGAGACCCATGTAAATGGGTGTCTAACAGCCAGCTTGAGTCAATCTCACTCTCAACTCTTGCTTTACACTTGTTGGCGGTGATTTACAAACCCACTTCATGGTGTAAGCATTCGGGCCGCCGGTTTGTCGCGCCAGGGACAACCAAGACCCACAGCGTAGATTGCTCTCTCTGAGAAGCACAGCCAACTTCCCCACTGTGCTTATGCTCGTTGCAGCTAAGATGTACCATTACAATGGCGTACATAGTGGGTGCGCTGTAGATACGCCTGGGTGGTATCCCGGAGCTATCGCGCTGCTGAGCCGGCTGAGCCGGCTGGTGAAGTGGTTGGAACTTAGGGCTATTCGTCTTCCGCCAGCGCGCTCTCGGTCCTGTGATCCCGTAAAATGGGAAATGCTTACTGCACCAAAAAGGAAAGCTACGTGCTTCTTGTACTTCTACAAGTCATGTTACGATGCTAGATGGATGGTACTACTTCTCTTTAGCGAAGCTAGCCTGATGTCTTAGTTTGTATATTGTATACTTGGCTTTCCAATGTAGAAATTCTCCTGTTTCGATGTAGTACTTTTGCGGGGGAGAGGGTTTCTTAAAGAAAGAAAGAGCTATTAGAGTGCCATGCCTCCTGGGCAGGGTATCAGAGATGCATGATGATACTAGTCCTTGTGAGCTTGATACTTGTGGTCCAGGAGAGCAGTCTAATCGGGGAACTGTGCATCACAAGGCAGACAGAACGGCGGGTTATCACGATTCCGGGACATACAATGAACGACCAGATAATCGTGACTGGTGAAGCGATCCGCACACAAAGGGCAGAGACTAGATTACTCGATGGAATCACCAGTACGCTGTGCATCCGAGGCCCCGTCTTTTGCTGGGACACAGTGGAGGCCAGAGGCCAAGTGCAGCTGTTGATCTGCGCGAGTGGCAAAGAGTGCGTTGCAGCCTGGACGCGGACACAAGTGGGCTCGCCCGTAATCCTCGTGTTCTTTGCGGTAGTGTTCGTTCAGGCGCTTGCAGGAGGTCAGGATGCGCCCGCAGCCCGCCTCCGTACCGTCGACGACAAAGTCGCAGACAATGCGCCCGGTTTCGTCAAGATGGTAGTAGCGGTTATTGTTTTCATGGCATACCGAGATGTGTACGGATCGCCCGCCTTTGGAACTCAGCACCCGGGGGCAGTGCGGGCATGGCCACGCCTCGACGAGGCGCGTGGGGTGTCGGTGCTCGGCCCGGTGATGGCGGAGATAGCTATGGCGCCATGAATACGCCCTTCCGCACCTTTCTCCAGTGCTGCTCACGTAGTCGCAGATGATTTGCCCGTACTCAGTCACGTGGTAGCTGGGCCTGTGGTCGTCGACGTTGGGGTCCACGTCGGGGTTGTTGTTATATCTAGGGCTTCTGCTCCTGCTGCGGTCGGGGGCCTCGGGATCCTGATTAATAGTCGGATGGCATGCTGTAGAGTCAACCGATCGATCTCTCGGGAGTATAGGTTCTCGCGAGCAGTATGAACACGGGCGATCTGATCGGCCGAGGCGATGGTTTTGCTTGTGGTCGCGGAACAAATCAAGTCGATACTGATGAGTCTGCCCGCATAGACTTCCAGTGTGCTCCGTGCTGACCCCCCAAGTGATCCATTTCTCGCCTTGTTGCCTATGGCGATTCTCGCACGTATTGCAGAGCTTATCCCCATCACAAGCAGCACAGTCTCCCCGTTGCCCAACGTCCACCGCAACGTCCCCCTTGTGCGAGATCAACCACGGGGTGCCACAGCTCGGGCAGCCGAAGGCAAGCTCGACCCCACGGCTGGACTCCTCGAGCTGGAGAATTTCGATGCAGGACTGGTGGAAGCATTGCAAGCAATACGTACAGTTGTAAGCTGGGCCTGAGTCCTGAGAATTGTTGCGCTGGCCACACATTAAACAAATCGCGTATTCCAGGACCTCATGTGCCTCTACTTGGATATCAGCGAGCTCATTCGACGAATAATCTGCATAGGTCCTGAGGCTGCCGGAATAGTGTGATAGTAAAGAAATTTTTAGCGCGATCTCTGCGACAGGTTTCCTTTTGCCTCGTTCACCAATTCAAAGATGCAATTGATAGAGCAATCTCGATGTGATAGGCCGAGGGGGCCCGGCGGCAGCCAGCCTTCTGGATTTTTATAGCTCACCCATAGACGAACTGACAGTAAAATTATATGTAATATAACCTCAAGCTTTGTTTGCAGAAGAATTCTTGAGTAGAGTCATATAAAGCGCATTTACCCGTAGAAGGGAAATCACCTTGTCGTCTTTGTCTATACTGATGATTCACAGAAATGGCTTTGTCAATACCAGGGATTTCTAACGATAATATCCGAACCTTGATCACAGTTCTCCTGTATGGCGACAACACGCATATTCTATACTTGGTTATGGTCTTCGGGTGATCCTAGGCTAGTATAAGTTATTGGACGGTTGATGACCAGGACGTCACACTTGATGCCTCTGCGAGTCCAATTCAGCGGCTAATGAAGATATTCTCAGCCCCGTAACGAGGATGTCTACATCGTGCAGCGCTTACCGGAATCTAAAAGTCTAACGACGCCTGGTTGTACCACGTTCAGAATATACATGTCCCGGGTCCATGAGTGAACTTTGGGCTAAAGCAGAGTCGTCGCGATGCTTATGGACGACTCCCCAGCCCCGTGGGCTGAAGCATAGTAGAGGTGACGTACCAACACGGCAGGTACTAAGCAATTCCTTCAAAGAATCCAACGGGAAAAACCTTGAAAATTCCTGAACACGCGTTTACAGCGGGGATACTCTTTTGAAAAGCACTTCGCTCGCACTGATTCGTCTGGACCAGTCCAACGGAAGACGAAATGGCCGAACATGTTCATGCTTTACTGCTTCATGGAACTTGTAATGTTTGCTCACATTCGCATGATTAAAGCCGGCAACTGTACCCTTCCAATCATTAGCTTCGGCGTAAGCCAATGTGAGATTGGTGATGTATTTGTGGTCAGTGGGCAGCGCCCTCTTCCTCTCCACAGTGAACAAAGAATGCGTCCCAACAACCTCAAACCTAGACTTCGAGAATCGCTAGCGCAGGACCATTAAGCCCAGGGCCGAACCATTCTGAGACTCCCCCACAAACAATCCATCTCGACAAACCGCATGAATCCGGGCAAACCAGATCGCGGCGGCCAGGGCCCGGCAATTGTAGACGATGTTCTTAGCGTTGTTGGCCTTGCGCGAGTAGTAGTCCTCTTAAAGACCCCATCGAAATGTTACGAAGGCCCGCCAAGATACAGCTTCTTGCCGAGCTTGGCCATATGAGCTAGAAACCCGTTCATGTTGCGTCACCGCCGACTGCCTCGGGGGCGCGGATCTCTGGTTGCACGGCGAATCAATCAGTCAGTCAGCGAACGCTTTTGCAAGGTATGGCGAGGAGAAAACCGTACGATGGTAACGCTCTTGCAGCATAATCTCAAAATAGAAGGGGACGATTCCATGCAGAGCGATGATCAGACTCGCCACCGTCTTTGAGAATCACAGCGGGAAGGTCGACTAACTGATCGCGAAGGCTGATGGATCGCTGCTTGGGCTCCTGGCGGTAGTCCAGCTGAGGGACCAGACGAAGGGCCAGTTCCCAAGATTGAAGCAAAAGCCTTGGCCGGTTTAGTGATGGGAGAGCTCGGGGTCGTATTTGGGCTGGAAGTAGGGGAAATATGCATTGATCTGACGGGTAGCTTGTGCTGGAGTTATGGTCGAGTCGGCGGGGAGATAGCAAGCCTATGGATTGAGAAGAGCATGCTCTCTAGAATGTGCCAAGGGATGGACCTCGGAGTTGAGGTTAAGTGGGTTGGAATTGCCGTCATGGCTGTTTCCGAAGGCATTGTTTAAGGATGGAGGTGGAATGGTTGGAAATACTGACTTGACAAGGTTCTAGTAAGTTGGTGCCTAACAGCTAAGGCCGACATGTAGTGGCGGCCTTAAAAGGCCTGGCTTCCAAACCCTCATTGACCGTTTCCAATACTAGCGAAGAGGCCAGGCCTTGACTAGACTTCGGACAATTTCAAGACTCAGGCACTGAGCAACGGTCTTCGGGGCGAGAGCGCGACCCAATCATCAGCAGTAGCTTAGACAAAGCCATCGACCTCCAGAGGCTGCAGAATCGATAAGCTCTCACGGCGGGAAGCACTGGGCTTGTATAAACTGCAAGCAGGTACTACGATGCCTTTAAGGCAGCATGCTACAATTTCAAGTAAGCGACACAGAGCATGCCAGTCTACGCAGGATCGGATGTGTCAAGGACTCGGGTCCTGAAACAGAGAAACTTCCACTGTACAAACACGAGTTCTTGACCACCTAGTTGTTCTACACAGAGCAGGCGAGACCAATTCATTCATCCCCAGTAAACCCATTGAACACCTTCTTAACCGGCGACGTCTCCAGCATCCAATTCCCATCATCAACCTCTCTTGCAATCCCACCCTTCTCAGCCGCCCTCATCACCTTCTCGCTTGCCATCGTCCTCTTCCCCGTGAGCCAATCCCAAACATAACCCTCCTTCAGCCACATCCAGGTCAAATACGCCCGCAGCTCCTTATCTTTCGGCAACACTTTCTTCCACTCGGGCACAAACGTGCCGTCCTCCTGATTGACTCCCCTCAGCTCGTCCCGGCAGAAGATCCTCCAGCTGTCCAACGAATATGCGCCCACGCCTGGCAAATGTGCAATCTCCCACGCTACGCGCTCGTCCTCATCATCTAGACACTCATCGCGGCGGACATCACGGCCATCGTTGGGATTTGGGTAATGTAATTTGCGGTACCGAGAACCACGGGCAGGCGGCCGGGCAAGCCAGGTTTGTGCCAGGGTAATGCATTTCTTAGCGCGTTGGTGCTGGAAGCCCAGGCATCGAATCAATTCAGTCAGTGCGATTGGATCGGCGGCTGCGAAGGCCGAGATGGAGGGGTAGCAGTCGAAGACGCGGAAAAGGACGGGGAGTGCGACGTGGCCACGCGTGCGATTGAGAAATATGGTTGCGATGAGAAGGCGGAAGGGGTCATGGGCGAGCTGTTCCTGGACGAGGCCAAATGATGGTGCGGAGATAGGTTGGAAGGGGAGACAGGAGGAAGATGGACCGGTGACAGTGGAGGGGAAGAAGCGAGATATTTTGGGTGCTTGAATAATTCTCAGTGGTTTGGGTGTAAGGGTGAGCGTGTTGGCATTACTGTCGATGCGCTTTACAGGTGTTGCCGGGTCTGAGCCAGCTGGGACATGCGGAAATGAGGGCATTGATGAATCATGTAGCGGAGTTGAAGATGATGAAGCACGTGGCGGCGTTGAAGGAAAGGAGTCAGGAAGATCACTCGGGACGTCGCTCAGCTCAGATTCACCGGAAGAAAGAAGCTCAGAAGGTACCGCTTTGACACTGCCCGGAGCCTTTGTTTTCGCGTGTGCGTTTATGAAGTATATGGACCGTACCTCATCGCCGGTGGCTGTTGCTGGCCTTTGCGAATCATCGGTGTCGGAAAATCCGTCGCATCAGCTTTTTTTGGCTTCCGCGCTATACGGGGTGTGCTCGGGTTGCTCCTTGCATTTGCCTGTCGTGATTTTGCCTGCTTCGACTTGAGCATGCTCTGCTGCGGGAAACTCGCGCTGAAATCCGACTGAGGCTTGAAGTCTTTGTTAGGCTTCTTGTCCATAGACCTTTGGAGCTCTGCTCCCGTCAAATCGATGACATCGGCAGCATTGGAGGTATCTTGACGTCCCTTGGACCGCTTCGGTTTTGTAATAACCTTGGAATCGCCACCTTTCTGAACGCCGCAGGATTCTTTCGATGGTTTCGAATCTGAGGGTTTGGAGGCCTCCATCGGCTTTGGGCCTGCAGGCTTCTTAAGATTGTCACCCTTCGTAGCATTCCTCGGTAATACAGACTTGGCGGGAGTGGTGCCTTCCTTGAGCTGCTGAGATTTCTCAAGGTTTTTCGCATCTCGGAGTGGTTCGGTAGTGAAGTGCTTGGCACAACCAAGTCCACCGGCCTTCGCAAGCTCATTCGCTTGCTTGCCTTGCGAAGCACTGTTCTGTATCGACGTATTCCCAGGCATATCCTTTGTTGTCTTGTTTGGCAGCTTGTTCTGCTGGCGAGCGGTTTCGCTGCTTTGAACAGACAGCTTCACGACAGGATCGGAAGAGGGATGACTCTCAGATGAGAGGCGTGCCTTCTTCCTTTGCTTACGCTTCTGAGTAAGGACCGTATTGGCTTGCTGATCTTGATCCAAGATTATAGGACTTCCGTCGTGCTTGCGTTTCTTCTCATTGGCTGATGAGTTGTCGACAGGCGCCTTCGTCTTCTTGTCCGCTTTAATTCTAGTTCCTTTGTCGTTCGCCTTCTCCTCCTGGTCGGTCTGCATTGTACTCATCTGGGTTGGTTCGTGCTTGACTGGAGTTTTCGGAGGCGATGCTGCATCGAGATTAGAAGCTGACGCCGATATAGAAGGAGGATCAAGAGCGACTTGATCCAACGGTGTCGCAGAGTCCTTCTGTGACCCATCCGCTGCTGTGACCTTTGAATTTTCGGCTGACTCGGCCTCAGACTCTTCGATGAGTACAGGCTGCAGCGTTCCAGGGGTGACGTCTGGCTGCACAGCCCCTGATTCAGCAGACATGAGTTCCGACTCCTTGCGCCGACGACCCACTGGCTCAACCTGACTAACCTCTGGTCCGTGGACTGGGTTGGCATCTGATTTCTCCGTTGAGATCCCCTCGGAATCCTTTCGCATCTTTTCCCCCCACTGTAACAAGTACACCCCCCGAAGAGCCCTCATCATCCTCGCGAACTCCTCCTCCGTCATCCCAATCTCCATGGCCTTCTGCGACGCATAATCGACGAACGCGCGCTTCTCCATCCTCTTAACCGGATACACGCCTTTCCGCATGAACTCCGCGGCGCAAAGCTCGAAGCCGAGGTTGCGGACCGGCTCCCGACTGACCGACGGGAACTGATGGTAATCGTCCTCGCAGTCGGAGTCGAACTCGAACTCGCTGCAACTATCTTCTGCGGCTGCGGCTAGGCTTTGGCTTGCAGTATGTTCGCGCGCATCGAAGTATGGTTGTGGCTCTGGAGTGGGTGATTTCACCAGGTCGATGGACTCGATCGCAGCGCACGGGGCACTCTTCTCTGCCACTTCCGTGAACTCCACTTCCATGACTGAAGTGGAATTATTGGCCGGGACCTGAGTCTGAGTCTGAGACTGGAGTGCAGATGCGAATCCAGGCTCGGAGTCCGAGTCCGACTCCGACATGGACTCGTCCGCCGTGCTAGCGGCCAGCCAAGGTTGAGGTATTATCGGGTCACCCATTTCCCAGTCCGGTGAGCTTAGCCCTTGTTCTGTCTGTCGCTGGGACCAGTCCGGGCTATGGCTGTAATCCTCGAAGGGGGTGGAATGTCGGCTAACCTCATCCGAAAGGATCTCGTCAACGATACTGCTGTGAAGAGCGTGCAGCAGTTCCGTAGCGCTGAGTGGCATTCCTTTGTAGGTGACGCTATCCTTTGCGTCGACGTTGCGCTTTTCCTTATCTTCTGTCGCGTCCTTGTGGGTGTTTGTGTTTGTGTTGGATCGGCCAGGAGAAGAGGTGAGCGGATCGGCGAATCCGACGCGCTTGGTTTTCAGAGTTGATAGAGTGGATGTCGGCATGGCGAAGCGTGTTTATGCTTGATTGTCCCTGACAAAACCGATGGAGGCGTGCGGTGTGCGGGATGGATAATGGTGAGGGATAACAAAGTGTGTTCTTGGGTATCGATTGGAGGAGAATGTAAAGAGAGAATAAGTAAGAACCTAGAAGTAACACAGCCAACATGTCAGTAGATGATTGAGTATTGCGCTAAGACCTTCATTCACTTACAGATAACACACGTCGGCGGGGACTCCACCAAGAGTGAAAGGACGAGCGTGTAACTAGCCCGGGGAATCCAAAATTGCGAGTTTCCAGAGCGACTTCACACGCCATTGAAGCCAAGACCCAAAAGTCATCTTCAACCCCCGAATGACAGAGAAGTGATGAGCAGCTGCAAGTGAAGCCGCGATGGCAGTCACTGCGGGAAGTCCAAAAGGCTCGGGGGAGCAGCGGAGAGAATTAGTCTAGACTCTAGACCCGGGCATGTGATCCACCCGTGATAGCCACAGTATTCCGGTTTGACCTGTCTACACTAGAGAAATTTTGATAGATCAGAAAGACAAATGTACAGTACTATAAACCATACAGCCATACCATGTGAAATGCTTGAGATACAGCTGGAACAAATAAGTATCTACAGGGTCTGCTGCTTTCTATGCCTTCTACTAGCAGGCGCGGTCATCGACCCTTTTCTGCCACCGCCTTATTTCAACAGTTTCGCGACCTGAATTTCCGGGGCTGTTCCTCCTTAAATCCGCTTAAATCCGCGGTTTTCGCAGCGAGGTCGCCAGCGTTCTGCCGCGCCAGGCGGTCGATGAGGCGGTAAGGCCCTGTCCATCCCAGCATGTATGCCCTGATTCCGGGAAAGCATATCAATCCTTAGACTAGTAGCTTCCCAAGCACAGCAATCCTCAGTCTCCTATGCAAGAGTAGATACGACGCCCATGGGAACCCGAGACTACTGCTAATGACCAAACCAACCCAGAAACCATACCGTTCAACCGCATTGACACGCCAAGAAATACATGACTATTCATCCCGATGTGACTTGAGAGGAGCCAAGTAGACACGAGGCACCCATGAAGCGGGCGAGAAGGGCAAGGGATAGGGAGCTTAAGCCAAGCAAAACCGAAATACGTAGATTTGGATAGACATCCGGTATGAAGTCATATCAAGCGTGCACAGACAAGTCACGCCACTATAGTCATGAAACTGCATTAACAGCAGCTACTAAGCTGCTCCTACTATTGTGGGCCAAAGGCTAAGGAACATCACGTAGGTTGCCCATTCAGATTCTCAAGCCTGCTCTGGATGGCTTGCTGGTCGTGCTGCCCTTCCTCTTCCTTATACTCCTTCAAGACCACAGTCCGCATCATCCGCCGGGGCGCGCGGCGGCCAGTGAACAACTCGAACTGAGCAAATCCTTGCTCAGGAAGGACGTCCAACCCATCCAACGCCACCCAGCCGCGGTGGGAGAGAGCGCGGATTTGTTTGATCAGAGGGGTATTGAGAGATTTGTAGGCCAACTAGACGGTGCCGTTAGCAATTGCTTCGCATCGATGATTTCCCATGGGAAAACTTACCTCGACGACTACACCACCCGTTGGGCTCTCTAGCCACTGCGAGGGTATTTCAGTGTTGGGCGCCGGTTCGCCTCCGATACTGTGCGTAGGAATGCAGGAGCAAATGACAGTCGGCTGCTTGAAGTTGACAGGCCAGCTGTCATGTGGGGAATGCAGGACTTGAACGTGAGGACGGCTTGAGGACCCTTCGCGGCCGGGGGACTGAAGATTCTGCTGGTTGTAGTGTCGAGCGAGTTTCTCCGCATTGGCCACGGTGCGGTTGAACACAAAGATATTCTGCACACCCAGATGGATCATAGCGTACACAGCCGCGCGGGCCATGCCACCTGCGCCAATAACCAAGCCCGTAGACAAGGGTCGGATGGCATTGGCGGGGGACAGTCCTCGTCGGAAGCAATTGCCGATTCCGATCCAGTCGGTGTTGTCGCCGTGTAAAGCCTTGACGGGACCTGCGCGGCTCTTACCCATGTGTAAGGGGGAATTGGCCGAGTCTATCGCCTTTTCATCCATTTCTCGGATGGGGACTAACGTGTTCACCGCCCCAATGGCACGAGCATGGGGAGACATCGAGTGAAGGAGGGTAATTACTTCGGTCTTGTACGGCAAGCTGACACTCGTACCGCCAAAATAAGGATTAGACACCAGATCATTCAGTCCGCGTAAGGTAGATGACTGGTGAGTTCTGTACACATGGGGCATGCCACAAAGGTTGTATGCCGCGTTGTGCATGATGGGAGACAGACTGTAGGTGACGTTGCCACCAAAGAGAAAGAACTGCAAAGGGTCCAAAGTGAAAGAGGAGTAGAGAGCTTCTTGCGCTTCACGCAACGTGATGCAGGGAAGTCCTTTCAATTGAGTTTCGGAAAGGAGAGAGTGGTGGGTGACAGGTGTCAATATCGGGTTGAAACAACATGATAACCGGCCTAGAAGACCCGAGTTGTATGCTATGAGGGGGAGCTGAGGTGCTGGAAGAGTTTTGAAAGAATCGCGAAACCGTTGGACGGCAAAATTATCGTCTATGGAGTTCGCAGGCTGGCTTAATCGCACTAGATCACAGCCCAGCCGTCTAGCACGTTCATAGAGGTTCATGTATGACGGGTCATCCCATCCCTTCGGCGGAGCATGGACGGCAGCGAAATGGCCTATCACGCGGCTTGATCCTTTTGAAGCGATGATCTGTGACAAGATATCGTCCCCATATGACAAGTCGACTGTCACAAATTCCGGAGCCAAGCGGAGACCATGCTGAAGAAGATTCAAGTATTCATTGTTGGAGCGTCGCGAACGATCCGTGTGCTCCCCAACATGGCTACCGGAGCCTACGTTGCTTTCCACGTGGTAGATGAGTGGGACCACCGTATTTCGTCGGATATTGGCAACCGCATGGCTAATTTTGTCAGCAATACCAGAGTCAACGGCCAAACGAGACGATGGCGGCTCAGTGATATCGATCTTCAATTCGAACGCATCAGACGTGGACTCCAGATCTTCAATATCTAGATCACGCTCTAACAAAGAAGAGATCGGCACCGTCACAGCATAAGTGAAAGCGCGGGACTCAATCGGCTGCGTTGACAGCGGGAACGACGCGTTATGACTACTCAGATCGGTCGCATCTCCCGTGGCGAACGCAATGAACCGGAGGAAGTCGAGCTGCAACCGCTTCAGAGTCAAAAAGGGCGTGATCGCCTGGAACCGCTGATCCAGCTCCAGTTCTAATTGAGCGTGGTTACCATCCTTGGCAGCCGCATGATCCGTCATGCCTTTCTCCGACACGTTGAAGAACTCCAGGTTGGAACACGCCCGGTAGATGGGGCCCGACAGCTCCAGGAACCGGCGAACCTTGTCGATATTCCACGCCTTCAGATAGGACTGGATGCTCTCCGCGTCGCGAATGAGGTAAATGACCGGGTGCGTGCGGGCGTACTCGCGGAGCAGCATCTGCCCGCTACGTTCCATGGAGCCGGGCCCGCAGGCGATCACACAGCCTTCTTGATGTTCTGCCAGCATCGACTCCATCACCCGGGCTTCCTGCTGCCGATACTCGACCAGATTGAATTCCTTCTTGTATGCTGCCCGCGACCGCCCGGTGATCTGCTGGAAGTAACGGTCCGCATCGATTAACCTCCGCCCCGAGGTGGCCGCCAGGATCACTGCCAGACTGGATTTGCCGGTTCCTCGGATGCCGATCAGCACGATGGAAGAATTTCGCGCGAATTTGCGCGGGACGGGGAAGGTGCCTTCGAAGGCTGTCGGGGATCCGCGGCTGGATGTTACTCCCCGCAACGAGGGGGCAAACCAGTGTGATGCCTCCGGATTCTCTCCGGAGAGGCTGTGGATTCGGCTTCGGGGGGGCTCCTCTCCGTACGCAGGCTCTACCGATTGAGAGCCGCTCGAGACATAAGGGCTCTGCGACAAGCGTCGATGGTTCTGTGCGAGGGGCCCTTCGAGGTCATCCCGTTTGCGCTTGAGTGGTTTCACGACAACAGACATTATGGTGGCCGAGGGGTGGATGGTGGTCGTTGAGCGGTCTTATCGGGGGAGGGTGGGCGAGATATTGGACGTGTGATCTCTGACCGACCAGCGCATGACTCAGGAAGACGCGATGCAAGAACCGACAGGGTGTAGAAGGGACTAGGTAGCTTTAGGCCATTGGGGTTCGGCGCGAAATCTGCGGAACAAGCCAAAGAGGGGTGGGCTGAACCGAGGGGTCGACGAACGATAAGAAGGATGACAGCAGAAGTGATTTGTGTGTCGCGCACGAGAGACCGGAGAAATAGAGATGGAGAAAAGGGCCGGTGGAATGTGTGGGAGACGGAGAAGGCCGAACTGGTTTGGAGCGAGGAGGATGTGTGGGGGGAGGGAGAAGGAAGGAAGAGGGAAACCTAAGGTAAGGTAAGATGAGGGAATACCAAAGGAGCGATCGGTGGAAAATGCCGGTGGGGGGAAAAGTGGAAAAGTGGAAAAGAACCAGAGCGGCAAAGCGGTTGGAGGCGGCCAAGAAATGCGGAGAAAGGCTCAGCCGTTCGTCCACTCGCGCTTAGACTAAATCATTTTATGGAATCCTTTCTTCTTGTCCAATTTTCCCTTTACCCCGTGGGGTCTTCCCACAACTGAACCGCGTTGGACACGAGGTTGGCTGGGTGAGTGTTTTTTTCATTGCATTGCTAATCATGGTGGTCAAGATTGAGAAAGCAGAGTAAGTATCATTCACAGCGAATTAATCAGTCGCAATGTGGGAGTAATCTTGATGATTGTCTATTATGACCCTGCAGATCATCGTATCCAGCTTCCTGATTCCTTTGTTCTTCCGCTGCAACTCAAACCGGGCCGGTGGGATCCCAAGGCACCAATTATCGCTGCCTGGCGGAGTCAATACAAAGTACTGTACCATCATCCAACTAACCATCATCTCACACTTTGACACATTTTGACATGGAACTCCTTTCAGTCTAATGGCTTATACTTAGTATGAGAATATCCGAACCTATGAACCCCCCCCCCCCCCCCCCCGCGCACCAGCCCAAACAACGTCTTTAACACACAAATCCAATTCCAGACCAAAATTCCAAAGGTATCTACAATCTCTCCGGCAAGCGTGAAAATACATATCCAAAAATCTCCCGGCTTTTATACAAGTTCTCCACCCGCAACCGTTCATTGTACAGATGCGCATTGTCGCTGGCCTGTCCACAAGGCAGATTGGCCGCCGGGGCCGAGAACTCCTTCTCCAGGAACCGGATGGTAGGGATAGAGCCACCCTCGCGGATGTAGATGGGACGCACCCGGGCCGGCTCGCTGCGAGCGACCACCTCAGGCGCCGTCGTTGTCTGCGCGGTCGCGGGTTCGTCCGCAGCGAGCGTTGTGGTGCCCGATTTGCTCGTCAGGGTGGAGGAAGTCGGCACGGCGGTGCTCAGGGATGACCGCTTGTGCGCGGCCTTGCCGGTAGACGAGATCGTCGTGCTCATGATGATGCGATCGATGTGCGACGCGAGACTATCCCCTGAGTCTGCCCGCTTGAGACGCGGGTGCTGCTCCTTCCCACGCTTGGCGGCCTCCAGTGTGCGTTCGGGGGCTGAGTGAATGGGTGGATATTGATGTCGCTGGGTGGTCGTGTCCGGGGTCCAGGCGGCTGCGATCGCGTCGGCCAGCGTTTGGAACATCTCGTTGTCCGGGTCGCCCAGCCAGGGGTCGGATTTGCCCGTGATCTCGACGGTAAGGTCGTTCTGCGACTCCAGACTATCGAAGTGTTCCTGTGCAAACAGCGTCAGGTTGGTCGCCACCTCGTCGGCTGTCTGGTTCGGCACCAGTCGAATCGACAGGCTGGCTTTGGCTTTGCGCGAGATTGTGGTCGTCGCGCTCTTGCTGCTGCCCGGCACCTCGATGGAGTGGATCGTCAGGGAAGGCTCACGCCAGCGGTGCATGAGCGAGTTGATGAACGCGTCGCTGTCGGTGATCTCCGGATGGTGGGGAAGGAGAATGTCGGCGATCGCGGTGTACCGCTGTTTCTCGGCCTCAGTCAGCGGAAGGACGGGCTCATGGAACCCTGGCAGATTAATCCGGCCCTTAGGTCCGACAAACGTGCTCAAGAGCATAGTGAGATCTTTGAGGGGCTCATCCAGTAAGGAACTTCCGTCGATGCCGCTGTGAAGGTCGGGGTGGTCGCTTTGCACAACAAGGTTGGCATTGACCACACCACGTAGGCCATACGTCAAGCATGGATTGTAGTCATCGAGCCAGTAACTGTTGGCCAAAAGAATCCAGTCCACCGGGCCAATCTGAGGTTTGTGCTTGCGCACCGTTTCGTGGAAGTTCTGAGATCCCGACTCTTCTTCACCTTCGATGAGGAAGACCACGTTGCAGCGGAGCGCCTTCTGCCGGGCGAGGTCCGCAGCCGCGTAAAGTGCCGCTAGGATGGGACCCTTATTGTCCGACACGCCGCGGCCGTAGAGGAACCCATCAATGGAGGTGAGTTGGTACGGGTCGGTCTTCCATTTGGCTGCGTTAGCATCCGCGCCAACAACATCGTAGTGACCGTAGAAAAGAATTGTTTTATCGACTTTGTCCGAGGACGTGGCATCGAATCGAGCGTGTACGATGGGATTCGTGTCCGCTCCAGTTGTTAACAAGTTGGTCTTCGCTCCGAGATAGATACAGTGGCGACGAAGGAACGCAGCGCCCTGGTTGCATTCGACGGCGAACTTGGGACTAGCCGAGACAGTCTTGTAGGCGACAAACTTGGCCAGGGAGTTGACCATTTCATCTATAGCCGTTAATAAAGACCAGTTCGTCTTGCCCTAAATATCATATGCACAGAATCTTACCGTTGTTAATCGGTGGCTTTTCAGCTTGGCCTCGAGTCACGTCTGTCAGATCCCAGATGCCGACCGTGTTATCGTTGCCGCCGCTGGCGTAGATGTACCGATCTTTGTACTGCCCAGCTGCGGACGCGAGCATGGTACCTCCGTGCGCGACCCAACTGCCGATCTCCTCGAATCGCGAGTTGAATTTCTGGGATGCGGTGTCAGCCACTTGTTACCATAGCAGTGGACACTCAGAACCTCTTACCTTAATCACACCGTTGGAGTCTCCACACACCGCGACACCATGGATGATGTCCACAGCCCACAGGTCACCCGTGTGCATCGCAATCCGCTTCACCAGCTGTCGAGAATCAAGATTCCAGATATTCAGCGCGCCTCCAGCAAGACCACAGTAGAGGAAGGAGCCGTCCACCGCGATAGAGAGGACGGAGTCGCCGTTCTGCAGCTTGGCAACCTGGGACGGGACTGCATTGGCCGAGTTCTGCTCTAATCGCCACAGCTTGACCACTCCATCGCCGGCACCAGTCAGAAGCACCTCTTCCTCCGGGGCCGACTCGATCAAACCCTTCACCAGGAGCATGGTGTAGACATAGCCGTGATGAGCAAAAAGCTTGTGGTGGTCGCGCTTGAAGGTTAGCACTTGACCACCCTGCATGACTGTGTGAGGTCCCTCGGCGCCTGCGTCCGGTCGGGGCGCACGCGAGCCATCCGGACCCCTGGAGTCGAAAAAGCGATGAGTCCGTCTGGACAATTGAGCCGCTGATGATTGGGTTGAAGCCGCATCGGTTTGAGAGATGTCGCACCACTGGCAGAATCAGCAATCACTCGTTCCGAAGTCCCCAAGGATAGGGAAGGGAACGGACCTGGATACTTGTGTTTTGGGCGCCGCAGTAGATCGTCTTCAAGCTAGACGAATAGGCGACCGCGAAAATGTCTCCCACATCGTGATGGGAATGGATGGAATACAGCCGATCAAAGGTCCTCGTCGACCATACCTACCATGGTCAATACGCGCCTGCCAGGAGAAAATGAGGGTAGAACTCTACATTAATCACGGAATCTCCGCCTGTAGAGAAGAGCAACTCTCCATCCTCGGACAGATAGAGATCAAGCACACTTTCCTGGTGGGCGTGCACCGAGAGTACCAGATCGTAGGTCTCCAAAGACCATGCCTGGATTTTCCAATATTAGTGACTGACAATCGATTACCTGCGGGATTGCTTTCACGTACTACGATGTCTCCGCCTTGCAGACCGGCAAAGACACATTCTTTGTCGACAACGAGGGCTAGAACGGAGCGACTGGCCTGGACGCGGTGGCCGATTCCACACTCGACCGGGGCGGAATGTTCAGGCTCATCCTGGGCCAGATGGGCTATCACGGAGCGCGGGTCGGACTCCCAGATCTTGGTCTGATCATCGGTCTCCGAGGTACTATCAGACTCGACGAGTACTGTATGGTCCATTGCTCCCGGCAATGGAGCCCAAAAGATTTCAGTCTTGGGTTCTAAATCTGAGGGATTGATTCTTGGAAGTTCAGAAATTAGGATGATTCTGCAGGATCAATGGCTGAGTTCACGTGACGTGGGAATATGATGTGATGGGAAAAGGGAATAAAATGGGATGCGGTGAGACGCAGCAACAGCTCGTGGTTTTGATCGCGTGAGGGTGAGTCAGGCGGAGCGAGATCGGACACACGAATTAGACACAGCCACGACGGGGACGAGGACGAAGAAGTAAGTCAGGGGTAATTCAATGTTCCTTGCCCCGGGGGTAGACCAGTCATAGATGTTGCGAGACTGACAGGAAATTGTGAGATTGAGCCCGCGAGGAATGCTGGAGGATGTCTTGGCGTTCACAGTGTAGAGTAAAAAGCAATAATACAGAATGAATGGATGGATGAATGATGAAATGAGGGATGGTGGCCCCAATGAGGATCGCCGGGCGGTGTGGCGGTGTAAAGGAAGCAGACCGCCATTGAGACCGCCATAGCCATCATCGCCTGCAAAGGAAACCACTCTCATTCTTACCTCGCTGCTCAATAACCGGCGTCCTCCAGCCATATTTCTCCCTGGGCGCTTGTCAGTGACTCTTTTGAGCGCTAGAGATTAATCATGGATTGGCAAATTCGATGAGCAACCAACGAAAATACTCACCACGGCTCCCAAATCAGGCTCGCAATCAGCGTGTCGGTCGTAGTTGTCGACATGGTAACTGAAGCATCCTATAGATCATGAAGTCTGGCCTCGGGAATCCATGGGGGAAGTCTCTTATCTTTATAAAGCTGCCGGCAAGAGATAAAAAGGGGCAACGGTTATGAACGGTGGCAGCACGCCCAGTAGGAGCTCGAGGAAAGACCAATGCGTCCTGACGTACGTTGCGGTACATCTCAGGCAGACTTTCTCGCCTCGATGTAGGCCGATGATCAAACGGCCAACTGTAGGAATCCGATAATAATCCTCCGGCCACTGAGGTGCCTTACCTCTCGCACTGCGATACATGAGCCGGCAGGAGTGTACGCCCGAAGGTCAGATTCCGGATAGGCCACGTCATTCGCAGGCCCCTGGGGAGCACAGTTCCGGGGAGTTGGGATCTTGACAATGAGGGCAGTCTCGCGAGAGGATCGCTTAGGCTTGGCCGTTACCTTGACTTAGATAGGTATTAGCGATATATACATTTAGGTGCTCTCAATGAATATGCATCGTGCTTCTTTTATTCAGTATCAATTGTGTACGGTGTGAAAAATATCGATCTTTGCTTGGGCTTGAGAGTAGTTTCTTGAATCAGCCCAACAACCCAATTTGGAAGCCGGCGAGAGCTACAGTGAGTGCCAGATGAGTTGGCAGGGATGTTGTGCAGCACTGCTTGAGGTTTATATTTGGCTTATATTTTTATAAGGTGCATCCTTCCTCAATCACCAGGGACGATGGCGCATCTGGGAGCGCGTCAGACTGAAGATCTGGAGGTGGCCGGTTCAAGCCCGGCTCGTCCCATTCTTTTTGACTTTTTGGCCTTGCGCTTGTTAGTCACACTCTTATTGTCGCACAGCTATTCCGTAGCATTGGAGTCTGCGATCGCATCCGATGATATTCAAATTTCGTCTAGACTGAACATGAAATGAGCGCGGTTTGACAGCTAGCAAGAACTTGAAATATCTACCGCTCTAACTGGCATGGACTCAGCACCTCATCTTTCAATATCACCGCTGCTTCCCGACTATATATTCCACCCTCATCACCACAACCAAAAAGTCTACCCAATTACAACTGCGCACTCAAACCCCCTCCCCATCTCATCAAAACCGAATCTGCTTCCCCGTGACCAAAGCCTCCTGCAAATACGCCCCAATCTCGACAGCCTTAACCGCATTGCCCAACCTAACCGGCAAAGCCGACCCCTCCAAACAAACCAAGGAAAACTCATTCGCCTCACGCACAAACGCCTCGCCAAGCCTCCCCACAAATTCGGCGGCACATCGCGCGTAATTTCCGCCCAGATGATCATAATTCACAAAGTCCCGCTGCGGGTTAATATTGACGGACAACTTCCCCTCGGTGCCGATGACCTCGGTGGTATCCTCCTGGCCGTGCGGCATCATGCGAGAGCAGTAGTAGTAGGCGACCTTACCGCCCCAGAACTCGACGGTCCCCACCGCGTTGTCGTAGTCGTTGTACTATTTCAGCTCGGGCTGCACGGCGGTGATGCCGTAGGCCGCGATGCTTTTGGGTAGGGAGTCCTCGCCCAGAAACAAGAGTGTTAGGTCGATGTCGTGCACTGCCATATCGACGAAGACCCCGGCCGACCAGGCGGCGTAGGCAACGTAGAAGCCTGAGGGGTCGTATTTGTCGCAGGTCTGGCTGCGGAGGATGGAGGGCCGCCCGGTTAGCCGCGGTGTGATTTTCGAGCGCACTTCCCGGTAGGTGTCGAAGCGGCGTGAGAAGCCACACATTACTTTCAGGTGAGGCTTGGTTTTGGCTTTATGAACGACGGCTTTGCACTTTTCTGGAGGTTAGTTGGGCTAGGACTTGTTGTGGTGGGTTGCGGTCACGGTTGGGGAAGTTGGGAATGGGGATTGGAAAGGGAGAGAGTGCTAGGTGGTCTTCTGGTAAAATGGCACCTGCAGGTACTGTACATACCACTTCTACATTCGTTGAGAGAGGCTTCTCGCAGAGGACGTGCAGGTCGTAGATTGAGTTTGCTTTTCCGCTCCTCTCGCCCCCAGATACACTTGGGGTTTATATATGTTCGTATGCCAGAATCCCCTCTTCAGAATGTCGCTGACAGACCCACCGTCTCCAAAAGGGAAGACTTCTCCATCTGTCTGCCATGGCTCAGATGACGATGTAGCATCATATTCTGGTGAAATTGGCAAAGATTCAACGTCGAGACGCGGAGAGTGGTGCTCGACTGCTGTAGGAATGCGGACTAAAAAGACGAGTCAAGTTGCAGGCCGAGACGGGGAGACTTGCTTGCCTGTCTCTGTGGGTCAGCCAATTGGGCCCGCTAATTGATCAGATGAACTCCCTGCCATCAACAAGGCAAGTCTTGTCTCTGTCTTTCATTCATGAGATCTTGGGGAGTGAAAATGATCTGCAAGTTTTCATTAACCAATCTGCTAGCCTGTTGATCAGCGCAGGCTGGAAGCTGGCGGAGTAAAACAATCCGAAGTACAAGCTTGCCCCCAACTACCAAGCACGGCCAAGAGGAGTTTTTAACTAGAAGATAGGCATAAAGTATGAAGGAGTAATTCCAGCCAGTTGAGGATCGCATGTCTTTCCAGATGTCATCTCCGGAGATCTTTACACTTGGTCACTTTTCAGCAGAATCTTGATCACGTCCAATCTCTGGTACAACATATATTGTATGTGTCCCTGGCTCACACACTGCTTGTTGCAAATCCCTACGCTCGAGCTAGCTTCCTGCTATTCATCTCATGCACACACTCATTGCTTGTTCGGATTCTTGAAGTGACGCTTGAGCGGCTGCCAGCTATGCTCATTATACTCCTCCTGCACCTTCTGGCAAGTCTTCAGCCCCCACTCCGAGACCCCAACCATCAAACAGCTATACCCATCACATCAGCACCACCCTGCAAAGCGACACGGGGAAGTTAAAACTCACCTCTCAAACATAAACGCCATACTACCATCCCCAACCTTCGCCGGCTTCAGCTCAGCATTACTCGCGCCCTCAAAGGCATCGGAATCCGGGCCGTGCGCACTCATGACATTATGCAAGCTCGCGCCAGCGGGCTGAAAGCCCCCACCGGTCTTGGCATCATAGTTCCCGGTGATGAGGCCCATGAACTCCGACATGGTGTTGCGGTGGTACCACGGCGGGCGGAAGGTGTTCTCCTGCACCAGCCAGCGGGGCGGGAAGATGACGAAGTCGGCGATGGCGGTGCCGGCGTGGTCGGAGGGCCCGGTCAGCACGGTGAAAATGGACGGGTCCGGGTGGTCGAACGAGATGGAGCCGATCGTGTTGAAGCGCCCCAGGTCGTACTTGTAGGGGTAGTAGTTGCCGTGCCACGCCACGATGTCGAAGGGCGTGTGCTGCTGCCGCGCTGAGTAGAGCTTGTTGGCGAACTTGCTGTACAGCCGGTATTCTGCGGGCTCCTCTTCGTCGTCGAAGGATGCCACGGGAGCTTGGAAGTCGCGCGCATTGGCTAGGCAGTTGGACCCGATCGGGCCCAACTCCGGCAGCTGGTAGTGGCCCTGGTACAGCTCGCAGATGTAGCCTCGTACGGGACCCGCGGGGAGGGTGACGCGGTACCTGTTCGTAGATTTGTCAGATCTCTCTTGCTCATGAGTGGGTAAAATTGCCGGTAAAGGGGATCGTACCGCACACCCCGAGGGATCACGCAGATCTCATTCGGGCGGACCACCAGTCGGCCCAGTTCCGTCTGGATGTCCAGCACTCCATGCTGCGGCACAATTAGGAAGTCTCCGTCGGCCGAGTAGAATGCCTCCTTGCCCATATCCTTGCCCGCTGCATACAAGATGATCCCTAGTCCCTGCTTCAGAGTGGGATCGCCGGCCCCGGCCACCAGATGAAGGCCGTGGACCCAGTCGACGGTTTCGTCCAGATCGAAGGGGTTCCATCGTAGTTGGTTCGGGATATGGTGAAGCTGGTGGGTTTCGGTAGTCATGCGCGTGTGATAGGAGTCCTCTTCTTCAGCGACAAAGTTCTCGTGGGCTGCGGCTGGAATTATGCGGTAGACCCATGTTTGTCGGTTTTCGTGTCGGGGCGCGGTGAACGCTGTGCCGGACAGCTTTTCGGTGTACAGACCGTAGGGGGCTTTCTGCGGGGAGTTCTGTCCTACTGGTAGGGCACCTTTGATGGCTTCGGTTCTGTGAGAATAATAGGCATTAGCTGGGGTTTAAAGCTAGAAGCTAGACAAGGCGGAACATACTCATGGTACGAGTCGAAGCCTGTCTGGTAGGAATACGGATCCGGATGGGAGAAATTGGTGACTGGCATGTTGATCCGTGACTTGGAGGGATGTATTATGAAGGGTGTTTTGAGACGATGGTGCAAAAGTCAGAGATGGGAGTGTGGGTGTGGGCTTAAGAAAGCAACCCCTCCAATTCACATGTGAGATGATATAATGGTGGAACGCGACAGTCGCGGGAATCCGGAGTCGCTTTGCGGGGGAAACTCGCGGAATTGACGTTGGCGGGGAAGACCCGTGGGTGGACGGCGTGCGGCTAGGTTCCGCTGTCCTTTTATTTGACCTAGCAGTATAGTAGCTTGAGGAGAGCCATCGTTGGGGAGCAGAATTGAGACTAGAGTATTGACAACTCTGGAATCCTTATCGGTTCTTATGATAATAATACTTCATATGGTTATACTTGCATGTTGACTGTCTCCTCGAGAGTGGGCTATTAGAGTATGAGTGCTTCAGAACGGAACACTTCCGCTGTCTCCCTCCCTGGCCGGACACCCGCCAATTTCCGCGGATTGCCGCATGTTTCCTAAGTCAATCAATAAACACAACCATGTTGGAGGAAGCGCTAGTCGCGACGCGATCAGGCATCATGCCAACATCCAGCCTCAAAAGAAAGATTCAAGCACTAAGATAACAACATCACGCATAAAAGTCGAAGAGAAACTTCGTTCCCGGCTCCTGGCGACTCAGTCGAACTAAATCCGCAGACTTGAGCTTGGAGACAACGACCCTCTGCTCCGAAACACCAGACACTTGCTCCAGGAACACCCAAAAGCAGCTTTCCTCCCGATATCCATAGTCAGAAACCCGTTGGCCAACGAGGCAGATGTACGAATCGTCTTTTTGTCCGAATGAGACGACTGTGGTCTTGAAGACATTCTCGAAGTCATACGCCTTGAACTCGAATAGCTTCTCAGCGCTGGGTCCGAGTTTCGGAAGAGCAACTGTATTCATCGTTAGCTAAAAACATGCCATAGGTTCTGTGGGCGTCTTACTGTCAGTCAAGCTGCCGTTGTTGAGGGTTCTTTCCTGGGCAATCATGGTGACTGTCTTGATAGACAGCTTCCGGTCGTCAGCTTTTAAACTTTGCTTCTGTTCTACTCGTGACACTTACCAACAGCTTGTGCTCGAGTTTGTCTGGTGAAGGATACGGTACGACTGTATTGACCTTGCTGGGGTCTTTGTTGATTGCCTGAACCTGTTGATGAGTTAGCAAGGCCGGTTAGCATGTCTGTCTAGTATAAACTTACCAAGTTCGAAATGGCTTCTTCGTTGTTCGTCCCCTCCGTGTACAAGGCCGCTTGCTGTGTTCTCCCTTCGTTGAACTTGGTAGCCGGAACTGTACTTAAGAGATTAACCGAGGCTCTAGCAATGAGACAGCGGATACATTGTCCTCACTTTTCTGGATGCTATCGTTGACCACACCATATCGCGTGAAGTCCTCAAACAAGGTCCAGCTCTAGAAGAATTATCAGTGCGAATCAACACGCTCCCACCCAGAAAAGTCATACCTTCTTACTGGCAAAGGTATAGTCCAACGGCCTGAACGCGCCCTCAAAGTTCGGAACGTTCGTGTATTTCCAGAGAATCGCACTGCCGCAGCACAATCAATATTGTGGACCCATGCACCAAGGCACAACCGACTTACAAACGCCTATATCTGTGTTTACCCTCTTTGAGCTCTTGGTAAAAATTGTCCGCTTGCTTCTTGATCTCATACAGCTGCGATCCGCTCTCATCCGAGTCCGACTCAGCGCTAAATAGCGTAGTCCCACCACCACCAGAGACATGCATGCGAACACGAGTCCGCGAGTTCTTGTTTATATGCTGCACGGCGGTCTTGACTTCTTCTGTGACTTTGCCGGTGGCTCCGTACATGGAGAAGGCAACCTCCGCTCTTCCTATTCATTAGACGAAGAACTTTCCTAACCGCGTATGGGAAGCGATACTTACGATTGCTTGATCTCTTCGGAGGTCGATTTGCTGGTCGAGGTGATGGACACCCGAGCCAGGAACTTGCCGCCCTTGATGAAGTCTAAAGCAGAAGTCGGTGTTAATATAGACCGTCAGTGTGAAGGAATAGGATGCTGTTATACCAGTGATGAAGCGATCGCCGTAAGTCTCATTCGGATTGTCTGTCTTGATTTTGTTGAACGAATATGTGTTACCAATCGTTCCCTGTTGCTGGGACGAGACCTCGACTTGGTAGGTCACCGTACTCGCCTCGAACTTGACGCAAGAGAAGATCTTTAGTGCACTGTATTCCAGACAAAAATATGTTACAAGAAAGAACTTACCTCCGCGCGGTTGAGGTAGCTGGCATCGATTTTAGCCGACTGGCCCCAACCCGAAATGGCGGCGCCAGCGCTGATTTCAAGTGACTGTGCTAGCTTTCTGTCGAGAAGAAGTAGATGGGCATGTGTCAGATAAGGCTCAATTGGCTCTGAATCACAGTAGTGATGGGACTCCTACTTGTAGTCACTGACAAGGTCACTCTGGTAATACAGATCGTAGGTGTCGGGGAGTGGAGTGTCGGGCTTAACCGTCACGGCGTTGGCAACGCAGATATCCTGGGTGTAGGTATTGTATCTGTGGAAGTAAAGATATGAGTTAATGAGCAGAACATTTCACATTATGGTTCTCAGAGGAGGGAGATTTACCCTTGCCCCTGTTGCATTCCATCGAAGTAGGGGACGAGCTCGACGACCATTCTGGCTAGTCTTACACGGATAAACTGATTAAGTTCTCAGGAGTAACTTGGAAGGCCTCTTAAAGAGATGATTCCCGTTGTTTTGGGTGAGGAGAAGATAGATGTCACATTTACAGCATCTAGAGAAAAGAAGTTGAAGCTTGATATAAAGAACTACAGCGTAAAATGTAATCACCTTCACATTGTGCAGTATGGCTCCTGCGACAGGAAAAAAGAAAACAACAGATGAGGGATTTATTCAAAAGGAAAATCCGATGCCAAAAAAACCCAGATGTTGAACATGCTCTGGAGGGGATGTCACCATGACCAAAGAGATCCGAGGGGGCATACGTTCGACAGGCAATTCGCAAGCTCAACTATCAATCTGACATCAGGATAGGTGGACGGCAGTACATCACAGCCAGCCACAATTGACCTAAAGATGATCCTCTGCTTGGTAGAGTAATGAGCTGCAAGTACCGTTCAAGCGCACTGGCAGAACAACACGCATCCTGGTTCGCCTGATGCACGAAATTGGAGCGGAGAGCTACCGATCTACTAGACCTGGACTACTCCGTAGACGGCTCCAGATTTTTCAGCTCTAGACCTCCACCCGCAAGATCTGCGGACAGCTGGTAAGGCAGTCGTGCATTAGTTCGTGATCTGGTCCGATCGAAAAAAAGCAAAAAGCGCCCGTTTCAGGTTGCCGCCATTCAATCTCGTAACCACCACCATTATAATTGGTTCCCCCCCCTTTCAAACGTGGCGCACTTGCGAGCCGTGCTGAGAAAAAGGTCCTGCATGGGCACCCAGATCGTTGCGAAAAGGCTAGTCAGTCAACCCTTAGCTACGCCGTACTGAAAACACCTACCTAGAGCACCTTTACCAGCTGCAAGGTATAATTCCTGTTTCCAATCTCATGTAATAGATCCGATCATAGCATTACATCTGCCCTTGGTCAGGAGCAAATTTCTTTATAGACGGTAGATCAATGGAGGCGAAATTGAGGTATGCTTGCTTTTGTTGATGTGATCAGGGTTACAAGTACAGCCAGTCACACACGGCCTCTCTTTGCCCTTGTGTAACCAGCCTCCAGCCCTGGGTCTCTGACGAGCGTCATCTTGCTTAGGACTACGTTCATCTCCGCGGGGAAACCTTGGAAGCAGACATTTATTGCATCTTCTAACATGCTGAAATCGGGGAATCGGCCAATCTTGAGGGCTTTGACGTCAGGATCTGGTGGGTTTCAGAAAGGTAGCAGCTTTTTTGAAGAGAATTGTTATAGGTACGATGATGTTGAATATACAGTAGGTATACACAGTTTTACCTAATTAGGAAAGGCTCCCGAGCTAATCCACTAACCTGATTAAGAGGGTGTATCTGTATTTGTATGTAAACTTGTATATAAACTATAATATACCCAAAGGCAGTGAGAAACTAGTTTTACTTTATTTTATCTAAGGCTTTAGTCTATTAAACCGCCCGCCCGCTACAAAGGCCCGTAATATAATCATTCCGGTTTATATATCATATTAACTATATAGCACATGGAACAAAGAGCTAAAAATAAATAAGAATACTTATTTTAGTAGTAATAGCTAGGCTGCGGGCTGGCTATTTGCGAGGACTGCGAGAACTCTAAGAACTATGAGGACTGTAAGAACTGCGAGGACTGTAAGGGCTATAAGGGCTGCGAGACCTGTGGGTAAGGTGGTGGTTAACCAGGCTCCGGGTAGAGGGATAGAGTAGAACTGATTCCTGGTTTTACAACTTTAGGTTGTACTTGTATTTGTATGTAAATTATATAGAACAAGAAATGTATATCTGAATTAAGAAGTAGCCTGCCCCACACCGCTTTCCCTTAATAGGACTAATGTTGTGTGGTTGTTCAGCCATTGTTGTACCTATAACAATTCTCTTTTTGAACAAGATCATCGAGAGAGGGTGAAACGCGCAGGAAGGTAATGTCATTGCACAGGCTTGTCCAAGCGAGGACAAACATGCAGACCTCAGCTAGCTACCGGACTTACCCATTGTCTGTTTGGGGCTACAATGATTTTGGGTGGGAGGAGAGAAAAAAGTTGTAGGTTATAAAAGGCTCGAAGAATCCGCTTCAAATGTGACTTCTTTGACTCCAGATCACAGACACTGCAATCACCACAAGCATTTATACAGAATCCAGTCAATCTCATTTCCAGACAATTTCACCTTCTTCCAGAAAGCCTGCCAACATGGGTCTGCCACAATGGATCGTCGTCCATATCATCAACAGCATGAAGAGCGACACTATCTCTGTCAAAAACGCAGCTCACTCCTAGTACGAACAACCAAGCCCTCTCCTTCGATTACCCACAGGGTCAAACATGTGTGAACGGCCTTGCTAACAAATTCTTCCATAACAGCGGCAAGTTTTACAGAAACGGCAACAAGGACATTGAGATCTCCATCGACGACATCAACAAGATTACGGTTGCTCCCGACGGGTCGGCCGACATCGGTGCCTGTGGCAGACAGGACTCTTGGTCTGGAACCACAGGCAGCTTTGAGCTGTACGACGGGGACAGCAAGATCTGCACGATCAGCTGGGACTGCCCCTGGGGCAAGCCTACCAACGAGTTCGGGGTTTCCGAGCAGAGCAAGGATTACTGGGTTCAGCCGGGTGCCTGGAACCGTGAGGGAGGTGCCATCGGTACTGTTGACGTTGAAGTCGGCAAGAAGGGTTAAAGCTGTTCATTGGCAAGGGATACAGCATTGGCCTGAGAGGGAATCTTAAGTGTTTACAACTACGCGATCCATATTCCTGCCTAACTTGATCTGGAATCCACGATTAATTCAGGTAGATTATGTCAGTGTTGATGAAATTCGAGTGTAGTTGTTGAATGGATATTTCGCGTATTGATTTGGCAGCGGTTGTAGCTCCGTAGCTAGTATAGTAGCACTCTATAAAGATTGACTGGCTGCTCGTGCTAGATCTTCTGCTCTTCTCGACTTGATAATTTGTTCAATGTTTCCGAGGGAGACAGTATTTACAATCCATGTCTCCCCTCCATGCAGCTCGGGATGGTTGTGTTCGAGCTCTACAGCCTAAACATAATCATATCAAGCAATAAACAAGACTTACTACTCGAAGGATTCAAAAGACACTATCTATAGACATGTGCTAATTGTGTACACCTATATTTAGCACCATCTTATCTCCCATCATCCCATTAGTCATCCAGATAAAGGATTTCAGTATAATCTTATTTATTCTGAACTCAACCTCACCTCTCGACAGCAATTGCCTCTTACCTACATAAGCAATTCCCTTTACAACCGAATCAACCTCACAATGCCAAGCATCTCAATTGTTCTTCCCCGGCCGGGAACATTCGCACCCGCGGGAGCCCCCAAATCGCTCCCCGCGCCATCCGAAGCAGCCTTCACCGCAACCTTCGGCTCTCTCCTCCCCAAAGCATCATACCTGCAAACCCCAGCGGGCAAAGCTGCATACTACTCACTGCCACCTTCATCGGCCGCACCCACAGACTCCACCGGTCCTACGCGCGTGCTACTCGTGCACGGCGTGCAAACCTGCGCCATCGGCCTGCAGCCGCTGGCCCGCGCGCTATCCTCACGATTTCCCGCTGCGCACTGCGTCCTCGTGGAACTTTGGGGTCACGGCTTATCCGAGACACCCGTGCGGCCGCACGAGCCAGCGCTCTTCCACGGGCTCCTCCTGGCCCTGCTAGACCACCTGGGTTGGCCTGATGCGCACTTCGTGGGCTATTCGTTCGGCGGCTCCACGACCGCTACCTTCGCCGCTCGATTCCCCGAGCGTGTCGCCAGTATGGTTCTCGTCGCGCCGGCGGGGTTGCTTCGCGCGGCGCAGTTCGATGACGTGCAGAGGGGATGTCTGGCTGGTGGGGGTGAGGCGGTGGAAGACCAGGCGCGCGCCTGGATTCTGGAGTGGTTGGAGGGTGGGCGCCTGGTTGTGCCGGAGGACTGGAAGGAGAGGGTCGCGCGAGGCGAGGTCGTGGCTGAGGCTGTGCGCGACTGGCAGATCAGGGAGCATGCTGGCCATGTGGCGAGCGTGGTGGGCATTTTCAGGGATGGCGGGGTCATGGATAGGCACGCGGATTTTGCGTCCGCGGCGAAACAGGGGATCAGGACTCGGTGTGTTCTTGGGGAGTTGGATGATTTGTGCAGCGTGCGGGATCTGCAGGTTCTTGGGTTTGCCGATGTTCAGGTTGTGCCGCAGGTGGGACATGGCGTTGTGCGGCAAAGCGTGCCCGAGGTTGCGGATCTTATTGAGGAGTTTTGGAACAGGGGCTGAGCTTTCATCCTTTTATCATTCATCTTTGGGAAACATTTTCGTGCTGGCGAACTTGTTTTTCAAAGACAACATCAAGACATGTATTAGAGACAGGGAAGATTGAGTGGCTCTTTGTTCTGTTCTTTGATGCTAACATCATTGCATGCTGTGAAAATGGCCATGTACAGTACAGGAAGAGAAACTAGATTAGAATTTGATAAGATTTATCTCCATAACAATATCAAGACGATGAGGCTGAATACTTATGTAGAGTGGAAAGAAGTGATAGGTGCCCGTAAACTAAACGTCTGCAACATACCCTGTGAAAACAAGGGGTTTTGCCACAACTAGAGTCCTCACACCGCGAACAGTCTTGTTATATCTTCCAGATGCGCCAATGTAGGTTCATCAAAGGAACGATCGTCTTGAAAAGTTTCATGCTTAGAGCAGTTCGAGTTGGGAAGGTTCTGTTGGCATGAGCCTACATGTCTTATCAGCGGTCGAGGCTACCTATTATACAGTGCATGACGAGGATATACCATACATTCTGCCGGCTCAGCCTGGATCGTATTATGACTCTGGTGAAAGTGTGTGTCATTGACCGTTGTCTTGAGTTGGGCCTCTTCTACCATGAACACTGTATTAGATCATAGGCTCGTTCTCATCATCTCAGCCGCCCATGCAGACTGACCATAATGCGTGAGTACGTAGAGACTCCTTTTCAGCTCATATGTATTTGAGCGCAGGTAATAGACTTTCATCGAGGGCCTGGAGAGTCATTTTTGAGATAATCAGTCTGATGTCCGCAGCGCCAATTCTCAGAATTTGTAGACTCACCTATAGCGAGACCTGGCCAGTGCGACATAGAAATGGTTTATAGCAGCAACGCGGGCAAGTATTACCAGACAGGCTACAACAATGAGGATCTTCAAGAGGAAGTACTACCTTCCAAACTGATGCATCCATTGTAAAGCGGAGGGTTTGGATGGTGATGTGCAATAGGCTCAAGACAATTAACAGATTGTCGCAGCCGTGATATGCTCGGGTAAGGGACCAATCTGGACATGTGTTCTCGACGAGTATCTTTGACTTGTCAAGTAAAAAAATGGAGCAATGCGAATAAGAAGAAAGGGAAATTCCCACCAAGAGATCAATGGTGAATAACGACAGCCAGAAAGGACAGGAAAATCCTTGACCGCGGGATACAATTCCGCAGCACTACTTAAACTTCGTACCGATGGTAATGATGCTGTCATAGTATGACCCAAAAGTGCTATGTAGTAAATAAGCTCTTTACTCTCTTACATCTTCCGCCTATCTCCAACTGATTGTAAACCTGCATGTCCGTTGTTCTTCTCCATTGAATCATCTCTTGAAGCATCGAGCCCTCCTATTCCAACAGTCCCCAGGGCAACTTTCGAGCTCTGGAGCAATTTGACCACCCCGGGATTGAATTTGAGTTACGAGGCGCTTCCATAACTATAATCTCATATGCTGATCCTTGTTTTGGCTTTTGTATACAGGACGTATAATGTGATGGCAGCTGAGATATGGAGAGACCGCACGAGCACTGCCCTGAGAGATCCGTGGTAGTTCACGCGGCAAATTCTATGTCATGCCCCAGGGCGCTGTATTTGGGTAAGAATTGTATATACATACAGTACAATCAAAGGTCGTTAGCACGCATCAACTGTAGTAGCTAAATGATCATTACATGTTTTGTTGAAGTACAAATTATATTACGATAGCTGCATGATGAACCACACCCGAGAGTCCGCAAGTCTATTGTACAAGACGCCATATATCTCACCGTCCCTCATACTTGATAGGCATGGTGCGACCTCGAGAGCACCCGACCCAGGCCTTGATGAACCTCCACCTGGAAAGCCTCAAATGGATACCATTCACCGTCCACACTGATGCAACCCTCCTTCTCCTTGGGTGTCAGGCGATAGGCGGTGACCTTCCGCATCTGCACATCTCCGAGCTCAAAACACTTCCCCTGCGGCAGTTTGATAGTTGCTTCAAGGGCACCCACAAAGCCGATAGTATCATCTACCGTCATAACATCCAGGAGCCCATCATTAGGCAGCGCGGCTGGGAAGAAATTCGTGTCCTTGGCCACGATCGCCATGTTGCTGGCATAGAAACTCGACAATCCTTCCCCGGAGACAACCTCCCAATCCTCTGGGAGATCGTCCTGGACCGTGCCATATTTGAGCGGTAACCCACCCAACTCCGTCCTGGGCTCGGATGATACGCTCAGTGGCTGATCCTTTCTTCGCTGGTGGTAGTCCCGAATCTGGGGTTTATCTCCCATAACGGTCTTGAAGGCAAGCTCGCAGGGATACGCTGTCCTCTGAGCAATGGTGGTTAGAACACCGTAGATGAAGCGATGGTCTCCCATCCACCGCAAATGTTCCGTCTTCAAGTCCGAATCCGCCAAAACGCCCAAGGACTGCGAGAGGAACGACACAGTATGGCGTTCTCCCTGGGTGATCGATAGCAAATCCAAGGGCATCTTCACACCCTTCACAATCGCCAGCGCAGCCAGCGAAACATTATCAGTGCCGAAAAGATTCCACGCCATCGCATTTCCAGAGCCACAAGGTACCATAGCCACAGCCATGGTTGTCAACGCCTTCAGCGCATCCGCGCGTTTGGCCAACCCATTGAAGACCTCATGCGGCAACCCGTCGCCCGAACAGCACACAATCGCATCGTAGGCGGCGAGGTCAATCTTCTCGGCTATCTCGATGGCATGGCCCTTGTATCTTGTCTCCTCAACATCAACCTGACAATGCGCTGCTGCAAAGATGGGCGCAGCACACGTGCGGAATTTCTTGACCGCGCCGGAGCAGAACGGGTTGATGATCACTTTCAATCGCTTGTATAATTGCGCTTGACCGTGAGCGCATTTCAGGAGGTGCTTCGCCCAGGCTGCGGCTTGCTCTCTTTCCTTCTCGTCGCGCACCGCGTACTGAACGGCGTCTATATTTGCGTCGCTGCCGCAATTTCCGTCTACGTAAGTGATGGTGAGGCCATCTGTGGAGATATATGCATTCAAGATGGCATACAGATCGATTCTGTAATCGGAGTCGGTTTCTAATACAATAGTCAGTGAACGCTGTGAATAGCTGGGGCTGGAGTCTGTGGAAGTGGCAAAGGAAGGTTAGGGCACGCATGGAGGCAAGTACAGTACCTCGTCGGGATAAAAGTCCACAGCAGTATTTCTTGGTCTTACTCCTCCTTCCTGACGGACGATCATCTGCGACCGAAAAATCGTGTCAGTATTCATCTTACAGATTATCCCATGACATTATACAGAGAGTTGGAGAGGGTACCTTTTATGATGAGAAAGGCATCTTCTATCGAGAGGGATACTGATTTGTCTACTTTGATTGTTTTGGGGGATCCGAGCGAACTCATGGCTTGAGCTGAGGAAAGTGCTGATCAAATAAAATTGCCCACTAAGGCTAAGAGAAGATATTTGTAACTAGTTCTGGTACAGATCAAGCTACTTGCACTCTAGTGATGTGAACAAGGAATCTATATCTTATCGAAGTTGAGTGCAACAAGTGTGTTGTTGTCATGCGAATCTTTTCGGCATTTGCACTTTTCCTCAGTTGCCACGTATACTATACCCAAAGAGGTTTAGTGATGTGCTACCAGTATCCGACCTTGCCGAGATAAAACACTCGTACGATAAGCTGGCACTGCTTTTGTTTACTTGCTACTCCGTAATTTGTGTCGTACTATTCGCACACAGCAGCACTAGTTGTGATCTTTCTTAATATTATTCTATGACGAGCCTATCTGTCATCTTTTCAAATTGGGTCTCTACCAACTCGTCGGGCGATTGCGCCAAAGGAACTAATACTCTAGGCTAACGACGATGATTTCTCCCATTCACTAATTTCGTCCCCTGTTTCTTGCCCCAGATTATGGATGACAGAGATTTCCTGAATCCCCAAAACGAAAGAAAGGGAAAATCACGTATTCCGACGTTGATATTGTTCTCATGAAGTTCTCGCTCCGTTTCTCACAGAGTGGGACCCAACCATTTGCCAACACCAAGCGTGGAAGAATTCCAGGGTCTCCAGATGGAGCGGTGCCCACCACTATCATGCAATACAGCATAGCCATGTGGCTCTTGTGATCGTGCTGGGGCCCGTGGTCGATTTTATTCAGACGGCCGTTTTCTGTTGGCCTCTGATTCAGCCGACACGGGAGTTCGCAGTGATCAAGAAGAGTTGATAGCTTTATATCGATACCGATGTGGACCGGATAGTTTTTGCGGTAGATCATCTTGAAAAGAACTACGCAAAAAAAGTTGCAGATCAACAAGAGAATCACTTTCTGTGCAGACGAAGTTTTGACTTTATTTGTTTGGCGCGAGTCAGGGCAGCCTGTGTGTAAGTGACCTCCCAGTCATTCTTCTCGGAGATACACAGGTAAAGAGTCGAAATTGAACCTCGGCCCCACATATGAGACACTGTTCATGGTAGATGTCCAGATACCAAGTCATCCAGAGGGTGCCCTACATCCACGATTACATAGCTCGGGATGAAAGCATGTATGTGAAGCCCATAATATGGATATTCGAAGAAGCTTTGAGCCATCGTTTCAAATTACGCCGATCACACGGAGTCTACATAAAACTCGACCTCTTGATCACGTTTGGTGTCATACATCGTTCAATGACTTATAAATCCAATTCACTTGTACTGTCTCGCCGCGAGCAAGTATGGCCTTCGCCCTTTACATCCCTGATGCTCTCGAATTTCGAGACTACATCACCATTACCCAGCTCGCTCGGACGTGGGCTGATGCTTACGATCAGAAGGTCCGTCACTACTTGTGCAAGCCACCATCAAGAGCCTGCACAGCCGACTGAACACTCAACCCAGGACCCCTCGTGCCTGCGCGCAATCCTAGCTCCAACAGTACACATCGACTACGGACGCGTGTCGGCCACGATCCCAACCCGCATCGCTGACTCCGAGAGCTTCATTGCGGAGATCCTCTCTCCGGAGCACCTGGGCCGGGAGACTCTACTCACCCAGCATTTTCTCGGCCAGCCGTACGTCAAGTCCGTCTCTGCAGAGGAGATTGTGGTCGAGTGGCAGCAGAACGCGGGACATGGGAGGTGGGATGAAGACGCGGCCAACTCAAGAGGCGAGTCGACCGCACGAGTGACAGGAAGTCATATATCGAGCAGCGGTATGTCAAGGGGGAGGGGCCGTGGAAGTTGGCGGGGTTGAAGCCATCGTAATTGTTTGATGTGGGTGATTTCGCGGAGGTTGTTGAGCCCAGGGATTAGCGGCAGTTGAATATCATTCTCATGGACCGAGTGGCTGTCATTCAATGCAGACAGAACTAAGATCTAATCCCAGCAATCCCATGTAAAAGGCCCGTTATACATCCACGATACAATGAATATTTACCGCAGACGGCAACCCCACTAATCCCAAAACGGAAGACACACTCTTGACCAGTAACCATAAGAGGCCTAGCTCCATCCACCCACACATGACAATTACACCAAACAAGACAAACACCGGATAAGCAGGCCGGATACGGATACGAAGATCCCCCTCCAGGCTCAGTCCACCCCCCCCAGACATATTCCTCTCCCACATCCTATCCACACTTCAAACCCTTCCAAATACCCAAATCACTAGACCATACGTCCAGCGCAATCAAAATGACCGACTCCCCACCCTTTTTCACCTACAAGCTCATTCCCTCGACCTCACCGGTCCGCGAACCCCTCCCGGACCGACTCCCCGTCAGCGAGCTCGACAACCAATCCGGCTTCATCCACCTCTCCACCGCCTTCCAGGTCCCCAACACCCTCAAGCTGTTCTTCAAGGACGAGCCCCTCGTGTATGTACTGCGCATCCCCTACGATAACGTGCAGAAGTACATCAAGTGGGAAAATCCCGAGGGGACGGTGTGCGGGTCGAGGCCGAAGGAAGGGTTGTTTCCTGTAAGTTTTTATTTTTGTTTCTGGTTCCTTGTGGTTGGTTGAAGTTTGCGCGGGATTGTAATTGGTATGTTCAAGATGATGCTAATGCTCGATAGCACTTGTACAATGGCCTTAAGCTGGGTAAAGATGAGGTAGAGAGTATAGCTATCTGGACGAATGAGGATGGGTGGGATAAAGCGTTGATGCAGGCGAAGCCGTGGTTATTGTATTGATCCTGATTTGGGTTGTCTGTCGGGGTCGCAGCTGTTTCCCTTGCTGGGACTGCAAATTCGTGTTGTCGATGTTATGAACAAGGGGCAGATTTTTCTAATTCTATGCTATGGTTCGGTTCTGTGGAACACAAAGGCCAAATCCAGACTCATGTGCGGGATTGTAGTATGTATAAGATAGTCCGGTTTGCTGAACAAACATGCTTCCCCCTGACTCATGTCCTTCTTATGTTCTAAGCTATGCATGTGCACTTGTTCCTAAATGATCATTGCGATGGAAAACTCTATTCAGATTGGATTCGCAGCTGTAGCTAGTAGAAAAGAAAAAGGTCATCGTGATAGAGTCATCGCAAGGCCTCAACGAGGCGTTGACAGGGTACTAGTGTATATTTGCTCTGCAAGTATCTCTGAACTCCGACTTCGAAAGTTTAACATCGAACCACAAAGTCTATTATGCTACGGAGGATTCACGTGAACCTCTCCGAAGCATCTCGGGATATCCCACGTACGCAATCGCACCGAGCGGAATATACTCAACAGCCCAAAGTTTGTAGGGCTCCTGCGCAGTTGATGCCGTAAATCCGAGCATCCGCCAGGTACAGTACACGCCTCGGGCTTGCACTCCGCCCAAAGAAGTAACTCCGACCTCAATTACCCGAATGGTGCCAAGGAGATGCGAGGACAAGAGAAAGTCCAATGTGCTCTTAGATAGTATATAAATCCAAAACCCCGTCTTACTCCATTATCAAACTGCCAGCTCGATTGTTTGGTTTTACTTAAATCCACCACTTTGAGTGAGATAGCCACATACGAGGAGCGCGGTGTTTGGAAACACGGACATATCGATTTTTCGAGAACCATCCCCTTACACATACGTCAGTCAAGTTGTTCCTACAATGGTCGCTGTGACGCTAGCATCTACGCTGCGCGAGCAGCACGTAGTGGTATTGGGAGGCGCATACGCCGGCTTATCGATGGCGTTGAATCTTCTTCGGATCTGCGACGGCACCATTGGATCATTCAGGAGAGGGAGCAAGGGAGGTAGAGGAGGTCGTGGCGGGGGAGGTGGTCCAGGAGCAGGCCTTGCAGGGGTAAGAGGTCAGAGTATGACGCCTCAGGCCCCGCAGATGATGCCCAAGATCACCATCCTTGATCCAAGAGATGGGTTCTGTAAGTCCCCTGAACGGTCCTGAACACTTGTCCCGGAAAAATCCACTAACACCGCAAGTCAGATCATGCAGTTGGCACGCCTATGGCACACACGACAAAGAGCTACATCGACCAGCCATGGCGGACGTGGGATCAAATTCCGGAATTGAAGAGACACTCGGTTTCGATCTTGAAAGGCACGGCTGTGAGAGCGGATCCCCGTTCGAAGAGACTGCTCTATCTTTCCCATGAGTCAAGTAGCCAAGACCAGCATGTGCTGGATTACGATTACTTAGTCGTGGCTACTGGGTTGCGACGACCGTGGCCGACAATCCCGGTGGCAGCAACCAAGGCGGAGTATGCTGTGCAAGCGGGGAGATATATCGATCGTTTGCAGAAGTGCAATTCAGTGGTAATCATTGGTGGTGGTGAGTGTAATCCTACCAGATATTGGCACGAGTCTTAACGACGTATCTAGGCGCTGTGGGAATCGAGATGGCGGCCGAGATCAAGCACCGTTACCCCACCAAACAAGTGACCTTGATCCACTCACGTTCGTCACTCCTCTCGTCTGAGCCTGTCTCGCCAGAGTTCCGTGACCAGGTTCTCGAGGTCGTCAAACACGGCGGGGTGAACGTTATTCTCGAGAACCGCGTACTCAGTGCTATCGAAGGGTTGAGCACGGTCAAAACAATCAGGCTTCAAACCGGAAGCCAGCTAACCGCCGACGAGGTGATCTGGGCTACTTCGTCAGCTGCCCCGGTTACAGAATTCTTGCCAAAAGAGGCTTTAGATGAGAGAGGATTTGTAAATGTTCTGCCAACGTACGTACAATGTCTGGATTTTGGAATCATTACTAACCTAAGCCTTATAGGACGCAATTTGTCGCGGACATTCCTAACAACAACTTCCACTTTGCGATCGGTGACGTGATCGCCACCCCAGGGATCCGACTCGCCAAAACAGCCATCCGGATGGGAAGTACAGCTGCTATGAACATAGCCCAAATGATGGTGTCAGCAGAACAAGGTGAAGAGGTGCAGTCATCTTTGGCCCAGATGCGAGGGCCTAACAAGGGGCTGAGCTTGATCATCGGAGGTTCCGGTGCGGCGTTTGATGGTAAAACGGGGGATGTGGTGAGTGGCCCTCAAGTCAAGAACGGGATATTTGGTGATGATATGGCGCTTCATCGTAAGTATTCCTCACTTGAATCATGGCGAAGCGAGACACTGATTGGTCTGCAGGTGCATTTGGTGCGCTCGGATTACCGATGGTTCCATAAGCTGGAGTGGCCGATTTATGAATAGGAGGTGTGCGATAGGTGCTCCACTGAGCATGTAGGATTAGATATGTTTGCAGGCCGGGAGCAAGTGTGGTTATTAAGATTTGACCAATCACCCGCTAGATTCCGCACCATTAGTTCTAGAGTAGGAATTCCACAGCCATATTCGGTTTCAGAAGAATCTTTCTCCGACCAGAGCGAGATAGATATCGTTCACTCCTCCGCCAGTCTGAAAGACAAGAGCAGACCATGATGATCGCTCCAGAGAGGTGCATCGTCCGTGAGCGTCTGGTCCGGGATGAAAGTGTGCCCAACTCGCTTCGGTTCCAGAATCTCGATTGTAGAGGCTGTTAGCCCTAGGGTGCCGATTTTATCAAGTCGGTTGGGGGGGAACGGTTGTTGCCCATCGAGCCCCCATGTATAACCAGGCTCCTGAGGGTGAAGCGATGTCCAGGCATCTGTCAAACCATTGAACTCTAAAAGTTCTATGTCTTCGTCGAGAAGAGGATTGAAGTCTCCAGCGACTAGCCCACGGCCAGCGGCGCGCAGGAGGGAGGAGACGATAGATATTTGCCGGGGCCGGTGGGAAGGCTTGATCGGCAGAGAATCCAGATGAACATTCACAAGGCGAACTCGCGTCGCACAAGACGCTTCAGCCTCACTGCGCGAAGGGACGAAGATATCACAGCAGAGCGCGTCTCGAGCGAAATGACTTGGAAATTTGACCCTCCATACAGGTCCTACGACGATGTTATGAGTGTTTGAACCGGCATATAATGCGAGACGTGCTTTAGACAATAAGGTGACCGTTGTAAAGGGCCGGCCGTTCCATGTTGCACCGTCAGGTTCGCTAGAAAGCCAAGACCCACGAATGCGCTCATCTTGCAGGAGTTGCTGCAGGGCCGGGTGTGAGACCTCTTGAAGGAACAAAATGTCCACTGGATGATTAAGCTGAGTAATGTATGTGAGGATCTCGGTCACGCGTTCTTGAACCCGAGAAGCTCCTGCATCGATGTTCCATGTCAACAGTACGAGATTTGATGGGTCGTTCCCACGGACAGGCTCTGGGTGGTCATTCGAAGTGGCATCTGAATAGGTAGGAATCCACTGTTGGACGTTCGGGTCATACTGATGCCAGAATTGAAAATGAGGATGTGCGTCGCCTGCAGGTGGGAGGGGAGTTTCTTTCAGCCATGCGCGTATGCTTGTCCGAGCACGCGCGTAGAGATCCATATCTGATGGACTGGGGGAGGGAGGGGGGGAGAAGTGGAAAGGAAAGAAAGAAAGAATGTGGAATGTGGAGTGTGGAGAAGAGACAGGCAGTGGTGGGGGTCGACAGTTGGGATTTCGCCCGCGGAAGTGACTGGAGTTCGGCCCGGTATTATTCCGCTGGCTTTGTTCATGCCTTGTGGCCTGAGCTTTGGTGCCTGAGTGCCTCAGGATGGAAATCCCTCCAAGTCAAGTGACTCCAATCATCGACAATCAACAACAACTCAACAATAGCTTCAACACCGCGGACTCCACTTGATCCGGCCAAAGACCCGTTCTTAACTTAATCAGTCAGTTCTTTCTGAGCTAGTATTTCTAGTCATGGACCGTCATCTGCACCACTCGACTCAACTTCACTCGACTCAACTTCACTCCACCTCTTCAGGGGCAAACTACGTGCTCCCTCGCTTAAAATCGCCGCATTTCAGGCCGGACTCGCCGTGCCTTCAATAGACTGACGAACCAACGCCTTGCAAACCGTCGCGATCATAACTCTTTTCAGCCTCGGTGGAGCTTTTACTTGTTCTCGCTCTTCGTGTTCGAGCCAGAACCTACAGGGAAAAACAATTATAACTGACAGTGATTCACTACGCTTGGACTGACTCCTCGCTTTCCCCCGTCCATTCGCTCGTTTCTCTGTGTTCGGTCCGTTGTTGGTCGTCAAGGGCAGTCACTCTTTCATATCATCCCTGTCGAATAATCAACCATGCGGCCATTCTCGACTCTTTCTGCTGTAGTGCTTCTAGCACAGCCATTCCATGCTGCGGCAGAGACCAAGGTGGTAACTGGAACCACCCAGTCATGCACATGGACCCATAACGCTTTGCTGAACCCTTCCTTTGACGCCGGTGTACTCACTCCTTGGACGGTGTACAATGGATACGGAACCGCGACGGTCGTGGCTGACACCTCCAGTGATGGTGGTTACGTTGCGTAAGTAGGCTCAACTGTATGAAAATGCGCGTCCACTGACACAATTGCACAGATCAATGGTGCCCGGTACATCCTCGTATGCTGTGCTTTATCAATCCCTGACCGACCTCGTTGTGGGTGATACGTACACACTCGCTTTTGATTACAAGATCCAGTCGTCAACTAGACCTGGAACCTGTAATTTCTACTTTGCCATCGATGGCATATTCGCCGCCAACCGGATCACTAGGACAGTCAGTGCATATGTTCATTACGACACTTCCGAAACCACATGGCAGACTTTATCGACCACCTATGTACCCACTAGCAGCAGCCTGGACATGTACATTGAGGTCATCTGTTCCTCTACCGTGCGAGGCATTCCAGCTCAGCCGACCATCTACTTCGACAAGACTCAGTTTTCCAACCCCAACAAGGAGATTGAGATCTGCACGAATGTGCCCTATACATCGACTATCACAACTTTTCCCACACCCACGATGACTCCAGCGCAAGCCACGTCCTCGAGTGCTGGCATTGTCTCGGTTAGCCCTGCCGCATCTTCGAGTATAATCGCGAGTGCAATTTCCTTGCCTCAGCCATCCGCGTCTTCATCTTCAGTGGCGGTATTCACCTCACCCACTCTTGTCAGACCATCGGGCCAGATTATTCCTACGTCTCATACCCCTCTGTTGCCCAGCCCATCCGACCTTCCGACTTCGTCCTCGGCCGTACCTGCGTCTACCTTCACCCACTCCAGCCCTGTTGTTGCGCCATCATTGACTGCCAACCTGCCAGTACCCGTGTCAAGCTCAACAAGTCACTCAGCGACTCCCAGACCCAGTGCAGCCACGTCATCTCCTAATATCCCAGAAGATGTCGTGACGGTTACAACTACTGTCTACTCTACGGAACTAGTCATTGAAACCAACTGTCCTGTTTTGGTATAATCACGTGGGGTTTACCATTTACTATACATTGATTACAACAAATAGAGAAATAGACGAACACAACGGATGAAGCAATCAAAGGGTCGATGGTTGCTGCAAGTCCATCACCTAACACTCCGAGATTTACTTCCTCAAGTAGGAGACCCCAAGGCACAGAGACACCACTACTCCGAAATTGCTCCATAGATAAATATATTATGCTGGGTGTCGACATGCCCAACATGCCCTCAAAGCCCACTCAACCCGGCCAACTCAGTCCCCCGATCACACATTAACATTCAAAACCGAAATTTTCCTATCTAATTCATCCCTTACAGCGAAACCCCTTACAGAGGACAATCAAAGTAGGAAGCACAATACCCCTTAGCATTAAAGACAGTATCATCCTTCCCGCAGACGCAGTTGATGCTGTCGGCCTTGAACTGGATATCCTGACCGGCGTAGCGAACCTCGACCGAGGTGCACCGAGTGAGCGTCTTGTTGGTGTCCTGGCCACAGTACATGTCGACGGTGTAGGGCAGCACGGAGGTGAAGGTCTGCCAGCGTTGAAGTGCTGGGTCATCTCAGAGATGATCTTGCCGTTGGGGTCGGTGACGAACCCCGTGTGAGAGTGGTAATTCAGCGTGCCCAGGGTCGGCCCATGTACATGGAGGCGTACTCGTTCGCGTACCCGGCGATGCAGCGCTTGCCGTCGGGCTTCAGCGTGTTGAGGGCGGTGGTGGTGGTGGCCAGGGCCGCGAGGAGGGAGGTGGGGGTGGTGAGGATGTGCATGTTGGTTTGTGAGATGGAGGGATGGAGGGCTTGTAAGGTGAATTGAACTCTGTTGTGTTTGAGCTGGGACTGGAAGATGAAGCTTGATGATGATTGAGCTTGAACAGGGCTTTGGTCTGCTCTTTATACTCGCGACCGTCGACGACGAGGCTATATACTTCCTACTACCCGAGATAGTTTCCTAAACGGGTGACCGACTGTCTCTAGTGGAGTCGTCCCATATTCTTGGATTTGATATGGAGACGAAGGAATGGATTACAGGGCTTTAAAGGTTTTTCCATATTGTTGTCGGTCCTGTCAACGAGAAGCGTCAGGGAAAACCCCACCTTTCATAGAGACACTATACATGTACGTGAGTGAAGCAGCAAAGAAAAGCATAAAGAGATGGATTATGTTGGTGGTCAACAAGGGCCCCAGTACTAAAGCTTAACACCGCTTTGTTCATGTCTTCTCGAATAAGTTTACACTAATTCTCGGCTCTCTGAATATATATTTTTGTACTTCAATTCCAATACTAGATTTTCCGACAGGCTGTAATGATAATAAAAAGAAGACCCTTCCATTAGAAGTATTCTGCTCTCCAGTACATTATTATGACTCATGGGAATATAGGTTATGACTTTTTAGGTACTTATTTTAATTCTTTCTCTTATATTATATTTAATAAATCCCATCAAGAGAGTATAATTTTGCAAGATGATAAATGCTAATGGTTACGAGAAGTAAAAAGATCAACTTATTTTAACTAAGTAGATTAAAAGAACTTGATTTAATATGAACGTTTTTTCTCTCATGATGTAACTGAATATCAGCACCATACAAGATTCCGCTTCTCTGTGAAGTCCAACAATGATATAACCAATTCAATACCCTTCAAGAATGCACCTCCAATGCGGTCAATGCGCACATTAGCCCCGAATCCCGCGCGACTGCCGCTGCAGTATTTCCTTTCCCCCGGCCTTCGTGATACGCTCTGCGTCCCACATAACATAGCCCCAATACCGCATTCTGTACGGGATCGCATCCCCGACCACATTGCTGTAGGTGTCTTTCCATATTATGGTCCAGGCCAGGGGCGGAAACTCTGCGTTGGGATCGGGTATAATATCGCCGCGGAAAGGAAAGGGATCACGCCGTTCTCTCTTCAAGTCTTGTTCAGAGAGCCCCCTACGAGCTCGGAGTGCGTTCTTGCATATCTCGGTCACGGCACCGCTATACGTGCCAAGAAAGCCAATCGGTTCGATGCGCATCTCATTCTTTATTATCTCCACAAGTTGCTGGTCGTGATTCTGCTCCATCGCAGAAAGAGCCCGTTGTAGTAGACCGAGACCGCGCGTTAGGGTTCCACACAAGTAGTAGTCCCTGTGATATGAGTGTCGACTCAGCCTGGACAATGGGTCAGTGCAAGACATATTAGGCGCGTAACCAAACTTTGGTTTATTCCGGTCAAAGTCCCAGGTAGCAACGTCAAAAATATCGTTGTACTTGATTTCAAGAAATCCATTGATACACAGGATTTCTTCGACCTCCCAGGGGTGAAACATAGTATGTAGGAGCTGTAGCATAGTAGCAAGGTCAATGCCATGCTTGTTCCGTGCTACTACTTCGAGGTCGGGTGCACGGTCGTCGAAAAGCTGGCAACAAAGCTCGAATCTATAGACAGCGCGAACAATTCGGTACTCCTCTGTTGTAGTGATCGGTTCGTGAACAAACGAGCTCTGTGCCTCTGGCTGGCCGGCAAAGTTCTTCAGGGCCGATTGCGTAAAGCGACGCGCAATCGGCATAATGGTCGACATATGGAAATCAACCATTTGCCGGCGCTGCTCCCCCGTGTGTGAGGCGAACGATAAGACCTTTCGATTCGATTTTCGGTCTCGCATATACGACACGGCAAACCTGGAAATAGTCTCCATGGTGTAGTGGCTGGATGCATGCATGGGTGGATAGGATTCTGTGTAGTATCCGGGATCGCTGTCAGGTCCATCCTGGGTGTATGCCTCGGAGAGCCTCATGCGGCGAGCACAGTAAACTGCCTCAGCTTCGAGGGTGAAGGCTTCCACTGACGCGGCGCCATTTTGGCGTCTTATTAGATCGCGATACTCAAGGGCTGTCTTGAAGTATACCGGAGACGCCATAATGAGTGCTTGAGAGCTGTCATACGGTAAGATACATAGAATATCAAGTCGGATTTCACTGGGCAGGGTTTCGAGTACTGGGGGACTCTCACCGGATGCCATTGTGCTTTCTGGTAAACACAAGCGGTTTTTCTTGTCCGATACCGCAATAGGTGGAGGGCAACTCATCTTCAACCCAATTGATAGATAAGACTAGATTTCCGGGCAGGTATGATAGATCAAAGTGGAACTATGCATCACAGCTTATATAGATAAGGGGATAAGAGAATAAAAGTAAACTTGAAGAGAGAGAAAAGGAGAATTACGCTAAAGATAAAATAGGAGAAGAAGATAGTCGACAATAATCTTACTTTAGCAGTCGAAAGACTGCAAAGAGAGAAAAAAGAAAGAAAGAAATAATCCGGCATAACGACTACTCTTTGGAGAGTGGGCCTAAGACATCTGGTTTTTCTCTATTCTTTTCGTTGTTTGTCATGCTTTAAGATATGTCCACCATGAGTCGAGCATTCTCATCAGACTTCTCTTAGACGTATCTACAGCTGACCTTTCTGGACATATCTAATCGCATCGCACTCATCTTCGTGTCCCCCTTCTTCCCTTTCTATCACCACTCACCTCTCATTTCTCCTCTCTCATCCCCATCACAAACCTAGGAACCCACCCCTCAAGAAACCCACTCATAGCTCAAGACAGGGATCTCAAATGCCGGCGCCGAGCAGGTGGCGTTGAAGAACTCATCATGGACACAGGTCAACTCGAAGTCCACACTCCCATGGTAGGTGATCTTGCTCCCGTTGTTGCAAGTCAACGCATGACCCGCCCCAAGCTCGTAATCCATGTGGCCGACGGAGGTATCCTCGTTGGAGGTCCCGTAAAAGGAGACGATGCGACCCAGACCGCGGTCGGCGTAGCCGCAGTTGGACGCGCCGTGGCCGATGTCGTGGACGCGGAAGGCGGCGTACTGGTCGCGGCAGGTCAGGCCGTCGGCGAAGTCGATGGCCAGGGTCTGCGGCGGGCCATAGCCCCAGGGCTGGTAGTTGGGCATGCCGGTGTAGCAGACGTTGACCATGGTGCCGTTGCAGGTGTCCGGGTCCGGGGCGCACCACTCGCGACCGCACAGGCAGTCCTTGAAGGCGATGTCTGCCGGGTTGTGGATGCAGTCCAGGCTCTTGGAGCCGTTGAACCAGTGGAAGTAGGACACCTCCCAGGTGGGGATCGGGCAGCCCTCCGGTGGGGTGATCGAGGCGGAGGACCGGGGCTGGTGGATGGAGAGCGCCGTGGTCGACGTTGCCGACAGGAGGGTGAGGAGGGTGGTGAGAGAGTTCATTTTGAAGCAATTGTATACTAGTCTAGTTCAATTGGAGGCTGTGGAGATGTGTGGTGAGGTCCCAATGCTGGTTGACTGGATTGATGAGATTGATAACCCCCCAGGCAAGAAAGAGTCAGCCCTGCTCCCTTTTATATCCGATCCGTGAATACTGGAGATGGAGAGCTCCACCTCCGCAGGGACCATTTTTCCCTTGAAACCCGGATGTTCGATCCCCGTCCCGAACCCAAACCTTGGACAAATCCATGTCTCCAACTCTATAATTATCTCCATAGTTGAGACAGCACGAATGGGAGTTTCTTCAGCCGCCTTGGCGACTGGATAGATCAGGTTGTGGTCTGCGACACGAGAAGAATCCCCCGCCTTCGGGTGAGACCCTGACGGTATGTTGCCACCGGAGAATGAGCTGCTATTACCCGGCCTCCAACGTTCCAGGTCGTTGCTGGTGCAGATTGTGCAGATGGAATACGAGCGATTATCGCCCGTGCCTGGTTGCCGACCTGCGCTAGGGCCAACCCGCCTCGGCTCGCGGCGGAGACGGCTTGCCCCTTTAGGCAACTGATGGGATCTGCACTTGATTTCTCTGCTGACCGAGTGGCCTGCTGGCTGCAGCTGAGGGACGAGACATGCAGGTGCACTTGTCGTTCACGCCCGTATTCGACGGACGGCGTGCCATTGGAGATGCTGGTGGCTGGATCAATCAGATAGTGGCGAGACAAGGTGGCCAGTGAGGAGTACCTGGGCTGACACGAGCATGCGGGGGTTTGAGACAAGTATGCTCGCCAACTCGTGTTCTGCAGAATGAGGATTGATTGTTGAGGGGTTCAGTGTCATGATGGAAAGGGAAGTGGTGAGTTACCTTCGAAATTCCATCTGGTTAAACTTGGTTTGTGGTATTGTTGGGCATGGTTTGTGAGGCTTCAGGCAGCACATAGGTCTGTGTTTACTAAAAAGAACCAACCTTGCAACAAATTCCGATGTGGTGTAACGGCTAACATCGCCGTCTTTCACACGGCAGCTCGGGGTTCGATTCCCCGCATCGGAGTGATCATTTCATTTTATCTTTTTATCCCTTTTTTCGATCCGTAGTTCGGGCACGAAAATGCGTCTTGTGCTGTGGGCCCCAGGATTGCCCCCTGGCCGCCTACCTGAAACAGACTATTGTTCTTATTCTGCTTGCAGAAAGCTGCTTCTGAGAGGCGGTCAGCTATCCCTTACCATAGCTCTCTCTTATGGCACTCACTCGCTTTCCTTCGAGAAGCTATCATTTCGCGGGATTTTGCGACAGTACGCAAGATGTTTCCAGTTGTACATTGATCTATCACCTGGATACAGAACGCGCAGCCCGAAGTTTAGCAAGTCTCCAGCAAGTACAGATCAATACCGGGAAGTACGACGCAAAGACAACCATCGTCTTAGAAGGAATGTTTGAAGGGCAAAGATGCTCCAGTTGTGTAAAGCTGGATAATACACTTAGCACGAGTATGACGCATGATTCCTGCTTGTCCGCCAATAGGGTGGCCGGCATCTGCTGGCTGTCCGAAGAAACCCCGAAACACAGTTCGGGTCCACCTGATCGGGATGCCCTACTCTCAGACTCGGAGACCTCTCTCCTCGGTTCTGCCATCATCAACGGTGCATATGCATGCTATAGGTCTAGAATGACTGGCTCTCAATGCGGCCTCTTTCTTAATTTAACTTTCTCCTCACCATTCTTGACTGAGAAATAGCCGTAGACACAATCCGACCGCGACGACGCGGGGGAACGACCGCACCCGCCTCGCCCTTACCGGGCAAGTATGAAGTAACTTTCCAAGCTGGGCTCCTCCCCCGCCCCACCGAGGGGCACTGAGAGTGAGACCGTGAGGGGGGGAGGGGAGCAGTCAACCGGGGTTCAATCCAAACCTACAAAAACAACCACGCTGTCCGACTCCCCCAGCTTCTTCACACCTCTTCCTCCTCAACCTACCTCACCTCACCACCCTCACCCCACCAAACCACAAAACACCGTCACAATGGTCTACACCATCGTTGTCCGTACGTGAAATCTCCCAGACAACCTCCAGTTCCTAATCCCAATCACTTGCAATCTCCAAACCCACCAGACACGCTTCACTAACACCCTCTGCTACCTCACAGACATGCGCGCCAAGCCCGACGAGGAGAGCATCAACAAGTTGCACGCCAAGCTCCTCGAGGCCTCGGCCGTCTACTCCAAGGACAAGGAGACCCTGTCCTGGTTCGTGATGCAGAGCGTCCACGACAAGCAGGACTTCTGCATCGTCGAGCGCTACCTCAACGAGGGCTCCCAGAAATACCACCTCGAGAACCCCTACTGGAAGACCTTTGACCCCTACGTCATTCCGCTGTTGGAGAAGGAGATGGATCTGCGTCGTTTCGAGGAGTTGGTGCCCGAGGAGCAGAAGCAGTAGAGGTTTCGTCACGGTGTATAGATGAACCAGTTTGCGATTTGGGGACTGTACATATTCTGGCATAATTTGATGGCTTTGTGGCTGTATTTCAAGGTTTCCGAAATCGTAGAGATGATTTTGCGCGGGAGGATTGGGATAATGTAACATATCTTCAACAGAAGATGCTCTGGTAGGTGTTGATCTATTATGCGGCAGAGCTCGCCAATGGCTCTCAATTGCTCTTTGTCGATTCTCAATAACTTACTTGACTCTGGACAACAGTTCTCACCTATTTCATGGATTATTGGAGGACTACTGAGGTATGTGCATCAGCGATGCTGTGCCACTACAATGCTCTCGCCACACACCACAACAGCCTGGTCACCGCTTTGCTGACCCAAGACATTCAGTCGGCAGAAAGCAGGACCAAAGCAGCAAGCGGTCGGAGGATGGTTACTACGGTGACGGCGAGGATAGACGAGGTCACAGTCTAAGCAGAATCTACACTTGATCATGAGATTGCCATAAGATGAGTAGTTTGCTAATGCCCAGAAATTAACCTGGAATGAGTGGCCAAATGAAGTCAAACTTTGGTAGGGGATGACAGCTTACTGTGGCCGTGCGACAGAATTTCCCGCCGCTGACTTACATGCAGGTCGAACAACCTATACAAGACACAGGCAGAGTAGGAAAGAGTTTACAAAAAAAAACCAAGAAACCGAATCCAATGTGGAAGCCAGACCCTGAGCTACCCTGTGTAATATAGTCTCCGACGGCCCTGCAACGCAGCCAGTTGCTGGTAGAACCCGCCCGCAATGGCCTTTTCGGAGACCCTCATCCCGTACGGGCTGTGGTCGGCCAGCACCAGGAACTCCAGCTCGGAGACATTGCCGCCTATCTTGCGGTGGATGCTCCGAAGCCCCTCGCGGATCTCCCTCTTGACGGCTTCCTCCGACAACCGTCGAGGACTCCCATACATAACAGTGTAAACGTTCGGTGCCCGCGTGGGACGCATCACCAGGATCCCCGGGAGATGCGGAAGCAGAAAAGGATCGTCCACGCCACGATTCTCATAGCCGACGTTGGGCGGTAATCCCTCGATCTGGAGTACCCCCGAGTACAGGCAGGCGTACTTGAACTGCGCGAAGAGAGCCTGCTCGGTCCCGTTTGGGTCGAGGAAAGGTTCCAGGTTCTCGGGTAAGGGGAGAACGGCGATAAGGACTGTCTTAGCTCGAATGCGCTGGCGTGAGTTGGTCCTGCGAAAGTCTTTTCCCAGCGTGGTGGGAGTAGTAGTATTAGTAGTGGAGGTGACAACGTCGAGGACCACTCGCCCATCGTCCGGATCGCGTTCCATTGCCCTCACCACTCGGCTGTTGAACAGCAAAAGCGTCCGAGCCGATCTCGCCGCCATGGCTCGATACAGCTCAGCGATCTGCCGCTCCGTGGCGACACGTGCCCGTATAGAAGTGCCGCCAGAACGTCCTCATTCAAGAACTTGAGCATATACAGCGTCAGATATGATGGCCACTCGCCAACTGTATTCCCGAGCAGACCGAGGTCATCAACGGCCGCTTCCAGGCGGTATTTGCGCATGGTGGACCCGAACGGGGCGACCAGCTCCTCCGGCACGGGGTCCGGCAGACCCTCGAACCCCAGCTGCAGATACGGGTATCGCGCAAGCAAATCCCTTTAGCGGTTCAGGGCGGCATCGGACTCCTCGGCAGGGGTAGGTGGGACAGTTTGTCCAGTGGTGAAGTCGAAGACAGTCGTGGAGAAATTTCACATTAGCCGGTCGAGGGAGAGGTTGAAGTGCGCAAAGAGGTTGCGCACGCTAGGTCAGTTTTAAAGCCTGGCCACCCCGTAGTCGATGGGCAGATTGTTTGAGGCCGGGCCTTGGTAGATTTGTGCGTGCCCGCCTAAATGCGAACTCTGCTCCACGACAACGACGGTTTTGTTGTGTTGGTGGAGGCGGAGTGCGGCGTAGGCGCCTGCGCCTCCGCCGCCGATGATACAGGTATCGGCGCGGATATTGCTCACCGACATGGTGAGTTGACATATCTTTGCAGATGGATAAGTACTTTATGGTACCCGAACGGGCGGAAGGTAAACAGAGAGGGACGTCGAACTGCGCGGCGAGCAAGTTGCTTCGAAAACAAGCAGGACAGAGACAAGGTGCGAATAGTTGCGCTCTTATGATGAACGAGCTCTGGATGATATTACTCAAGTCGACGAGAGAAATCACAAAAAGAGTAGCTTTCGGTATATAGACTTACATTCGGACAGGAAAGCTCTGTTTGGAAAGAGTCACAGTGGGTGGCACCCCATCCTCACATCCCCTATAGTAGGATCACGTCAAGAGCTACCCCAATGCACATCATATACCGAGAATGGGATAAGTCGTAAGTGGGCGACATAGATCCACTGGCTGCATTGTCCATGTCGTGCTATTGACTTTCAGTGGAAACCTGTAAGGCGGGGAAAGTGATTGTAGTATTGCAGGATGACAACCCAGACTGACCCTGGGCCCGCCGTACAACAATGAGACAAGACACAAACTATAAAAGAACATAGTCGATTGTTTGTTCTACCGCACGGGTAGATAGAGCATAGGATGCCTGAGTAGGAAGTACACGCGAAGCCGTAAAGGTGGCTATCCCAATCGGCTCGTAACCAAAATGTACATGTTGCAGAGAAGCTCTCCACAAAGAACTCTCAAGTCGATAAACAATAACTTTTCATATGCCTGAGATGGAATTCATAGCCCAGCTGCACTTACCGCCTCGCACCCCGCCCACCAAAGCAAACCAGCATGCCAATATCGTAGCACGCCTTCAGTATTCCGGCCACCGTGAATGAGGCGCCAAACAGCCCTTTGCTGGCTAATACACCCGTGATCAGCGGCCCCATGCTCTGCGCGCTTGTCTTGACCACATTGACTGCGCCCATGATGGCGGTGCGCTTGTCCGAAGGCAAGGCGCTGGCCAGGAAGGCCGAACGCGGGGCCACGTCCATGTTCTGCGTACAGGCTCGTAGAATCAGGAGTGTGAGCGCCAGGGGAAGAACGGATGGGAAGGGGATCAAGGCTAGACAGATGGCGGAGGGGAGATGAGTGAAGACCATGGTCTGTGGAGGAGGGTCAATAATCACAATTCGTAAATAGGCGAAGATGCGAGGACATACCTTGACATTGCCGATCCTCTTCGCAATGGAAGATGCAACGATCATCGACGCGGCGGAAATAATGGCCGTCGTGAAGAAGATAGACCCAAGCTCGCTCTCGGGGAGCGAGAACTTGCGCTTAAAGAAGTATGTCATCCAAGACCTGAAGTTGGTGAGCCCTGCGTTAGCCTAAGAAACAGGGTACAAAAGTGCAGGAGAACAACTTACAGCGATGCCAGTCCCGAAGCAAACGAGTCCAACCCAAAGAGCAAGAACAGCTTGAGCACCAAGCTAAGAAGGTCGTGATCAAACGCCGCAAGCAGGGACGGTTTGTCCTTCTTGGGCTGAGGCTGCTGTTCCTCGTCCTCGGGAAGACGATCTGCCAGCAGCGGCTCCGTCTCCCCGGGCTCTTCGTCCTGCTGTGCTGCGCGATCATCCTTCTTGATCGCCTCGACCTTGCGGCTCAAACACAGGGTCAGAACCAGCTTCACTACCCCGATCGCGGCGTACACGAAGAACATGACCCGACACGCAGTAACGAAATCGCACCCCTTGGTGACCTGCAGGAACTTGATCGCCCACCCACAGGCCATCATGCCCAGCGCCGTGCCCGCCGTGCCGACGAGCGAGTACCAGGCGAAGATATCGCTCAGTTCCTCATGCGGAGTCAGATGCGCAAGCGTCGACTCCTCCACCGCTCGGAAGGGTCCAATCTCATTGCCACTGTCATACAGCCGAATTAGCAAAACAGCCCGCAACAGTAATCATCACCTCAATCAAAGAACACTTCGCCCCGATTCTAACTACTCCTCCAGAAGAGCATAAGAGATGAAACCATACCTGGGACTTATGACACCTAGCACAGCAGCGGCCAATAGCCCCCAAAATCCAGCCCCAAGTCCAAAGACCACCCCGCTACCGGCCATCAAAACCGACCCCAAGGACAAGACAGCCCGCCGACCCATCGCGTCCGCAAATAACGTCAACAGGAAACTAATCACCACATCCCCGATCAGCGTCAGGGTCATGAACAGCCCAATGCGATCGTCGGAGATGGCCAACGCGGAGAGATACGAGACGAGAATCAGCGTGGAGCTGCCGTAGGCGAAGAGCCGCACGAAGCGCTGGGCGCAGAGAAGCTTCACATCGCGTGGGGACCGCCACACGGAGACAAGCCCTAGTTCATGGAGCAGGCGGACTATTACCGCCCGTTCGTTGCTCGTTTGGCTCTCTTCTGGAGAGAAGGGAGAGTCAGGCATGATGGAATTCGATATCCTAATTGTCTGTCTGTAGGGCTGAAAGTTGGAGTTACGTGCTGGGTTGATACGAGTATTATGTCGAATTGTAGAAAAGTGATTGCCTGGATTAACTCCGAAGCTAGACTTGATTTGGAATTCCCGGCTCGGGCTCGGGCTCGTTCAGCTTCTCAGGGTCGGGCTTGACGGCCGGACTGAAAGCCGAAACAGCGGTTACAATGCCCGATGTTTCGGATTTATACTCGGTTTTGAAGCAGGAAAAGTTGATTTGGGCTCTGTGGAGAATCTCAGCAAGAACAACATGACAATTGACAAATCGACACAAGGTGGATACTGGATAGTGAAAAGTGGATTGAAGGGCAAATAAGCTCCAGAGGGGATTCCCTAGCTTGGCGCATTGGAGCAAAATCAACTCAGATGACGATGCACGGTAGGGATAAGCCGTTGAGGCCGGCTATGTATTCGAGTTATTGGTAGGATAATGATAGAAAGGGATTTGCATATACGATTGTTCGACGAGAACACCTCAATGAGAACCGATTACGATGCTTCCGTCAGACCTGCTGGAGCCCACGGCTGCGGGTGTTGTGCTTCTGGAGGAGATCAAGTAGTAGATTAAGGTCGAGACTGCGCAAGGTCACGTCGGGATGTAGAGTGAACAGGGTGTGGCCGACAAGGAGATCATGGTTCGAAAGTTAGATATCGGCCTTCAACTGTCCTGACCAGCAGCATCGCCACCGTATTTTATCCAGAAGAGCGGTAATTTTGGTTTCGGACCAGGGCCGGTCGTACCAGACCGAAACCTTCCACTATAAATAGCCCACCAACGTAACGTGTCTCTGGCTCGGTCACTATACGGGTATATTTCACTGCGATTCATTGGCAGGAAGCCTTATAGGATGATAATGGTGTTAGTAATTGAATCTGAAACCAAGGGAACCAGGAGTATCAGGGACTGGTCACAAGCGAGATTGCTTGCTGGGGAGTTTGATAGCTGTGGGAAAGCAGCAATATCGACCTAGTGAAGATTACTTATACAATACGAGCATGTATGATGAAGGGAGTAAGACAGGTGCCTCGTTTCCGTGCACATTCTTGGCTACAATTTAAGCTTCGTAGTAGACCCTCAAATTGTGCGGTCAAATGGACTTGTGAGTATCTTCTGGTCTGGTGCCTGAAATGATATATAAACTTGTTAGCGTTTGGTTGTCATGCAACTGCCCCACCTCTTCTCTATACCTCAAAACCATACACAATCTACTAATCTCCAGAGAAGTTCATCTTCATATTGAGTTTATCAACGAAATGAGGCTACTCAGGAGATGGCTTCGGAACTTGAGATGTTGATTCCTTGGTGTTGACTGTGTTGGTTGCTAACTGACTTCTCTGTGTGGGGAAACTCGCTTATAGGCCTAAGTCACGTGGCCAGATTACTCGGGCGCTGATAGAGTTTAGCGGTGTTGTAATCCGGCTTATAGCTCACATTACACAAGGAGTGGTCTTTACAGCTGTCATCGTGCTTGAGTATAGCACTATGCGACCAGTCTCGCGCGGAAAGGTAGGTGCATGATTTGAATTCTCTTTGTGACTAGTCTCGTCTAAGAGTTTTCATATCTACATCAATACTGGCATGAAGCACACGGTTCTGAATGTACTCGAAAGTTCGGGCTTCAGAAAGCCCAATGTCCGAACTGAGGCCATATCCAGAGATACAGCCCTGGTAATCGACAGTAAATCTCCAACGACAATAGAAGATTCAACCACAACTCAACAGACTCACCACCTCCGCTCCCATACGCACACTCTCACCAAGAGAGGCCCCATTGCTAGCCTCAATTCCAGAGACATAGAACAGCCCCGGCGCCAACTTCATGGACTCCCTACGTCGCTCCCTCATCATATCCCCATAGCCCACCACCCCATAGGTCACCAAATCTTCCTCCGTATCCGCCTTCGTCACCACTGGAACCCCATTAGCCCAAACCTGCCGATGCACCCATCTCACCCTCGGCGCGGGCGTGCACTCCCAGTTCCGTAGAAACCACCCCTCATGATCCATATCGTCAAGGAAAACTGAAGGCCCGCCGACTCGAGGGTACCGTCTCCCTCGTTCCGCGTACGAATCCGTAACGTGTAAGTCGCAGTTCTGGTGAGGGAAGGTGACTTTGCCGGGGTCAGTGAAATTGAAGAGCCTGGCGATGTCGTCGTCGGTCAAGGGTGCCATCGAGGTGACACGGAAGACATTCCCGGAGTGGATTTCGCAACCTAATCTCCAGTCGAACGTTGTGCGGGCTAGGGTGAGGAAGGGGGGCGTCGTTGATGGACTTTCGTCATGATTCGACTGGAGGTTGAGATTCCAGATCTCATCGGGGACGCGCTCGGTGGCGGAAAGGTTGAAGGCGGTTGGGTCGAGATTTCGCATCGAGGTGAAATGCGTGATGTGGAGAGGTGTGTATTCCACAGGTTCAGGCGGTGTTTGGAGTTCAGGGGTGATTGTGATGCCGGTCTGGGATAAGGAGGCTGCGATGATGACAGCGTCGAAGTTATCGGTATGCGGTTCCTCGCTGCCTCCGTCGTCCGTGGCTGTCGACCAAGCAACGTCGAATGTCCGCTCGTCGTGTATCGTGATATGCGTGACGGTGGAATTTAGACGGACGGTAGCCTGAGAAAGAAGCGCAAGTCTCCGCAGAGCACGCTCGTTGCCCCATCGCGCGGATATTTGGGGCTTAACCGACAGACCGAACCGAGTCGCAAACCGAGTAACCTCATCCTCCCATGGACTCACCGCCGAGGCAGCGTAATTCGCGGCCGTACTGACAATCTCGCTCCAAGTGTAAGAGTACCATTCCCCCCAGCCGATGGCGACAACCCGCACAAGCAGATGCCTCCAAAACCAGACCGACCCGCGATTCTGCCAGACCTTTTTGGCAGCGTGCGTCCAGGTTTGCGGACCAGACAATTTCCTCCCAACGATGTTATGGCCATCGTAGAGACTGATGCTGCGGGTCTGGGGGTTGTCGCCGGTTTCCCGGTCTTGCGGATCGATGAGAACCACCCCTGCTTCGCGGAAGAGACGGGCCACACAGAGATCATCCCAGTCGAATGTGGCAGCGCCGGCTTCGATCAAGTCTGGATTTGCGTCGGACCTGGAAATGCTGTGGATTCTACCACCCAGACGGGAGTCCTGTTCGAACAAGGTCACCTGCGGGGACCACGTCTTTGATTCCCGGCCGCGGAGCTTGTATGCGATGGACACACCAGCAATGCCGCCTCCTAGGGATTGATTAGATGATTCGTGAGTAGACAGAGGGAGGGTGGGGCTCACCGATGATTGCGATCTTGGTTGGTTTTTTGACTTCTTGCTGACTTAGGCTGTTCAAGAGATCCTGGAGATCGGCATCGAGGGATTCTGGCATCGACTTCAGAACGCTTGGTGATTCAAATTCCTGTGTCCATGAGTGAGCGACAGCAAGTAGACAGAACCAGACAAAAAAATGGAGAAGCATGGTGACCAAAATCCGGGTATTGAGTGAACATCGAAGACATGCGCGCCGAAAGGATGTTGTGTTGGTTGATGGGTGCCTGCTCTGGTGGTCAGCATTTAACGCGTCTACACTAACCCAATGAAGATACTTGGCTTGGGTAAGTACTGTAATCCCAACTTGGCGCATACGCTATGAGTTAGCAACTGAGTGTCGCCTGGACGGTTAAGTCCTCACCTAAGCCAAAGTAGAGTTCCCTTGCTCTAACTCTCAACCTGCTAGTCAAAACTCCTAGTTGTCCCGGCTGTGCTCTGGCTGTGTGACTGTGGTCTCAAATTTACAATTTCTGTCCAATTTGCTCGATCTATTGCTAACCACCTTTTATTGCATAGACAGGTAGATGTAGAAGGACAGCTACAAGGGGGAAAAGACTAGCGAATCTGGCTTTGCATCATACTGTAGAGAATTCTGTCGAAGGGGATGAGCCCTAAGACGCTAGACAAAGGATGATACAACCGCCAGAAACAGCAGACCCTTAATATTCAGTCCTGTGAATAGCCAGCAACGCAATCCGCGAGCTGCAGTGCACGTTCTTGGGTTGTCACATAACGAGTCTTGCTGGGAATGACGGATGCCAGGTCAGATAACTCGACTTTCTGAACCTCGAGAGCAACAGATTCGGTGGAGGAAGAGGAAGGGTTCAGTCCCTGCCAGCGCACCATGATTGTACCCTCGCGTAGACCAGTAGTCTTAACCTCGTTGTAGACGCCCGGGTCAGTGACAGAGACGACGAACGTGTAGTCCTCAATCTCGTTGGCTACGGACTGCTTGTTGTTAAGACTGATCTGGCTGCTCCCGGGATCGACAGTGACCATCCAAGGGTTTGTCCCAGGGAAGACAAAATAGTCCGCCGCACCAGGCGTGAGGGTGACCACGAGAGCCTCGTCATCGGTGAGATTGAAGTGCCCGAACGAACTGTCCTGGCTCGCCGGAGTGCCAAGTGTGCTGGATTGGCTGGGGGTGGAGAGAGTGTTTACCGCGCTGACTGTTGTCTTGAGTCCCAGTGTGCCCACGCCGTAGTCGACGATAGCTTCCTGCAAGTTCCATTTGGCGTCAGCGATAATTCCAGCAGTGCTGATGGCGCTGTGGCCGGTGATATCGCTGGCCACCTCCACGGTGATGTTGTCCGGCTTTTTAGACTGCTAGTCACCGAGGTTGTTTCGGGTCAGTAACTGCTTGGCTGGAGTGGTGAACTGGATTTGATTTGTCTGACCGTCGGCAGGGGAGCTATTGTTTGTGATTGTATAGGAGCCATCGCCGATGACAGCCAGATTACTGCCTGCTAGGTAAGCGACAAAGTTCTGAGAGTTTGGATCGCTAATCAGAGAGAAGCTGACGTCCGTAGGTCCAGGTTTGTGACGATAGCCTGTCACCATATAGTCGACATCGGAACTAATTGGAATGATGCGGTATATGCAGTCCGGGTTGTCATAGAAATATTTTCCACCAGGTACCTCTAGCCCAAGCCTGTTCGTGGACCGACATCGACCCAATAGACCTTCAGATAGTATGGATCGTTATTCACGGCGTTTTGAGTGGCACTGAAGACTAATTCTTCGATCGCCGCATCGAGAGTGGAAGACGCTTCGTCGCTAATAGGCAGGCCGTGAGCAGTCTGGTAGGCCACATTTGCCTCGGCCTTGAGGACAATGAAGCTATTATTCTGGTAAATCTCGATGGCCAGCGCATCAAGACTGCGCTGATCCAACGTCGCCAGAGGGTTTTCATAACCAATATACTCAGCTTTGGCAGAGCTGAAGGTAGCTAGAGCCACAGCAATGGAGCCAAGTGCTTGAGGGAGAGAAAATGTCTTCATGACGAGAGAAGTGCGCGATCGAAGAGGAAGGGCAGAGTGTGGTGACAGAATAGTGTATCGGATTTGAACCACAAGACGGCACTTTGAGTTATAGTGATCGCGAGGGTACAACTTTGTTTGGTATATCGGACGACACGATTGAGACATCTTATTCCCTCCTGAAGTTGACCAAATATAGCGATCATTATGCAGGCGTAGACTGTCCGTGCCGTGACAACAATGGTATCTTGTATCTTTAGCCAGTCTGCCCCTAAGCGAACCTACTAAAGGAGAGTTTCTAAGCGAAGCGGCAGAAAGCGCAAGTCGGACCGAAATTGAATAGGGATGTGCAAGGGTTGTGGAAGAGGTGGACTGGGGTTTTTGCAGGGTTGGACAATGTCGGAATATGAGGGCTGAAAGAGCTCATCCAGGTCGACACCTTAGGCAGGAACTATGGGTTGTGAAGAGAGGCAGGGAAAGAGAGAGAGAGAGAGAGAGCGCCCGAATCAGAAGAAGAGAATTGAATTTGACCCTGAATTAATTATGCTCTCTAACCAACCAGTGACCCTATTGCCCACTCAGGTACTGATTATGCACTAGCCAAGGATTACTTATCGTGTCAGATTTAGCAACCAAACATCTGGCAGCATTTGGCTCGGGCTGACGCCGTCCATCGCTTAGCCATGCAGCCGATTGCTAGCAACATGTCTAGACCTCCCTGGGAAATATGGCCTTGATCCTAAATGCGAGGTGATATTAACTGCAGTCTCATCGCCTTACTAGTCCGCTCATCTCCCCGGTTTAGCCGCCCACCCTCCAGATGAGTTCTCTCACTCTTTCCACCCAGCGGCACCATGTCAATCCATAACATCACCCCGTCATTTCTGCCAGAAAGAACATCTTCACATCGACAAGTTCCAGACTAAATGTCTTCCTCCGTCTGCCATGGCATGCACAACGGCATAATCCAGAACGTGAAAGCGGATCTGCCATGCGGGGTCACGAATGCCACACATCCCCACGTAACCTGCTGCGTGAACGGCGACTACTGCCTCAGCAACTCCATCTGTGTCAACACCCACCAAAACAGCGGTGATTATTATTATGCTGCCGACTGCACAGACGAGACATTGGCCGATCCCGTCTGTGGGACGCGCTGTGGTGAGATCCCCAATCCCAAGCGCATTGCCGGTTACTTTTACTCACTCGCCCACGACGTCCGACAGGAGGTCGCAACAACGCGCGCATCACATACACCAAGGAAGGATACTGGGCATGCTGCGAGGACGCATCGGGCACAGTGGACTGCTCCAACCCCTCCGAGGAGAAGTTCCCCGGCCCAGCGCCTTCGCAGCTCGCGACCATCCAGTATCTCCCCTTCACAGCATCGGGCACCCCGACGTACGCGGTCGCATCAGCCACCAGCTCCCCCCACTCATCGACACAACCACACACAACTAGCTCGACGGGTATTGGGGCAGGTGCTGCCGCTGGGATCGGGGTGGGGTCAGCTGCCGGGGTGATTGCGGTCGCTGCCGTCATCGCGTTTATGTGCTTTCGCAGGCGAAAGTCCTCCCCGGACGGTGTGCATGGCTACCACGGGATAAGTGAGACGGTTTGGAGACAGCAGCCGAGTGAGATGCAGGCGCAGCAGCCCATTTATGAGCTGGATAGGGATGTTCGTCATGTGGAACTGGAGGCGCAGCCGAAAGCGGTATAATACATTTGGACTGTACAGGGGTTGAACCTTGAAAAGGGGATGTGTTTCTCAATTTATATATGAATCACTGGCGTTCATGGGAATGTGGTATATTATAGGCTTGTTGAATAAACCAATCCAAGTCAGCCACTGGGAGATAGTAAAGGGGATAAACTCTTTAAACCCGATGAGCGCCTTGGACTACAAAAGCAGGATTATTACTGTTGTCTTTGCCCCTATGTTCTTTTCACTTGAGCACAAGGAACTTCCATTTCCAACTTATCATTCCCACCACCAACACGACAGAAAGACGTTCTACTTGGCTGATCACCGGAGCCTCGTCCGGCCTCGGGCAGTCGATAGCCATAGAAGCTCTTAAAGCCGGCCACAGAGTCATCGGCACCAGCCGCACCGTCAGCAAAGCTGAAACGAAATGCTCTGCGTTTCCAGACTAAGGTGGCATCTGGCTCGAACTGGGCCCAGCGCAGAAGGATGCCCACGACAAATTCTCCCGATGCTCGCAAGAACACGATGTCAATGTTCTAGTCAACAACGCAGCTATGCATTCATCGGCGGGGTTGAGGATACTTCGTAGGAGCTAGGAGCTCGGCTGTTCCCTTGTGATTAAATAACAATTATCTGACTAGCACGGTTGGCAGTGAGAACGAAGTCAGGACCAGATGGAGGTGAATTTCTACGGACCCCTTCGCATGTGGTCAATTCATCCTCGGGGGTATAAGCAGGGCCCTTTCTTTCCAGGATGCCGCGCACTATAGTCACTAATCATGGCTAGACGGCGATCTCGATGTGCAATTTTGTTTACAACACACCGATGGCTGGGAGAGGACTTTCAATACCTCGCGCGACATTTGCCTTCGTTCTCGCAGGGGTGTCGCGAGTGTCTTGGTATCAAGTGACAGAAAATCCTTGATGGAGTAATAGCTGACCTTGCGACCTGCACAGTCTCGGATATGCGGAACTATATTTAGTGCTCTGATATGTCTTCCGCAAACTGAGCTTGGAGCTTCACCACATGACAGGAGATATAGAATAAAATGACTTGTATGCTCCCAAGACGCAGAAGCATCTGGAAGTGATGGTGAGAAGTACGTAATGTCTTCGTGCTGAGGGTTGTCACGTGAGACTGCATCGAATATTCCAGCGGACCGGGCAGTGACGGCAAGTCCGAGATGGTCTGGTAGTTTTCACGTAGCGCCATTAACCACGCAGTGGAGCAGCCCACTAGCATGGCATGTGCAGAGTGCAAGTAGTAGCAATCGCAACACCAGGAATTTGAGGAATTTATTCAAAGATACAGCGCTGAAAAGCCTCATCCACACTTTAGTACCACAGTCATCAAGCGATAACATGTACGGTACCTGGAAAATCCTCACCCACGGTACCATTCAGCCCTAAGACGCACATCCTCCTCTGCATCGGAACTCTCTAGAAATCACCGTGTGGTCGACTGATAAGAAAACCGGTTGTGCGACTATACAACCCTGACTAGAAGGCTGGGAAGAAGACCATGAAAATCATTCTCCACTGCATCCCAAGCCCGAACCCGAGCTCAAACCCAGATACACTCACCGGGCCAGCAGCGCAAAGCTTGGTTTCATCCCGAAACCCCCGAAGCAAGCAGCAAAATCCCGAATGATCGGCACCAGCATGTTCTCGACCGAACGGCGCAGACCCGAGCCTGCCATGAGATTAGTCAAGCCAACGGGAAACTCGGCGTGAAGCCTTATCTACCAAAGAATGGTGGGTAGGATTTGACTTGAGCTTTGACTCGTTGGCTTGAGGGAGAGTGGATCCTCACTATCAAAATTCGCCACGCGTGAGGTAAAAAATTCTTCCAGCTTGCGCACGGTCGGTGTTTCTAAATAAGAACGGGTTAGTGGCATGTCTTTCTGGGCGCCGTTCCCGATGGGACCCGATCTACCCGGTCCTTAACGAAGTTTTAGTGCCTTTGGCGGGTGTATCAGGGCACGGAGACAGGGGTGTGCTTGGTCTTGGGAAGTATACTTTATTTGTGCACTCACACTGACACTGGTAGATGTGCTTGGTAAGAGAACGGATAGAAAATTTGATGAGTATCGAAGTTTTGTCTATTTTATCTGAATTAAAATATGTAATGGTCGACAGCGTTCATATATACATGCCCGCATGGTGATTAAGTATTAACATAGATAAATGGGTCACAGAAGAAAAGAAAACCCCCCAATGCCTATTCCTTCCCAACTCCTCCTGGAATGCCGTAAGATGTCGTATTAGAGCGGATATATACTCGCTCGAGAGTTTCGTTTTGTTTGTTCATGGTAGATGTGGCTGCCGGGTGGCTGCAGTGGAACGTGCGCGATGGCTTTCCCACGCGGGACTGATTGAATGGCCCGCTAGTGGTGGATCGATCAAATGAAGTGGAACTTCTTGTATTTCTGGGACAGCTTTTGGCGCCAGCTGGAGCTCGACGAGGTAGTCGAGGTGGTGGTCACGGTGGCGGCCGAGCTGCTGCGCGAGCCCAATTGTTCGCGGGGCATCTCGGGGACGGCCTGCACCTCCTTGAGGCCGGCGGCCAGGGAGTCCGAGTCGAGAGTGCGGCGGCCGGCGCGACGGGGAGTGTAGAGGCCGTAGCTCTCGGGGCCGATCATGGGGAATGGGATGGTCATTTTGAGAGTTGAGGTGAGGTTTGAACCCGGAGGATGGATGGATGGGTTTTGTGAGAGAGGAAAGAGGAATTAGAATTAACTTGTGAATTGATTGCTTTGCTGGATGATGAGAGAAAAGAAAGTCGAGGAAGTGCTGCTCGACAAACCGTTTATATAACTTTTTTTTTTCCCTTATTCAGGGAGAGTGGTGTGAGTCGTGATTCATACAACAATAGAGACAGATTTTCGCACGGCACAATGGATCCGAGGGGCGATGCGCGGACCTAGACCGTTGGCATCCGACTTTGATAGTACTAAGTAGAACCAGCTGTCAGGGCGCCTATGCTTCCTTGAGGTTAGTGGGGCATCTAGAACAACAACGAACTCGGCCAATTCTCCGCCAAACTTGCCACTTCTCATCTTTCCCTGCGAAAACCGCGCATACAGTCTGGAAAACTCTGAGGCTCACCCGACCTTCTATCTCGACGCCGACTTACCCGATTGTTGTTTCCTCGACATAATGAGAATTGATTTACCCCCAGAAAGTGATAATTGTGTGCTGATAGCAAAGGAGGTTTCTTCGGGACTGCTGCCCAATACACACCACACTACACGCACACACTACCCCTATTGCGTGCGACCGCGCAATCGTACAGAATTTTCGCCCTCTGAACCCGCGGAAGTACAGTTCCCAACCTTCCGCAACCGGCACACCTTCTCCAAATTATTTTCTTCTGATATCCGAAACCGTGATGGATTGTGTGGCCTGCAGAGCTCTGACCCTTGGGTGAGGGCGGGCCGAGGCCGCAGCCGTGAATCAGACCACGATAAGATAAGGCTGTAGAAGGAGTGAGTTGCGTGAGCCGTGGATGTGATGTGATGTGCACACGTAGAAATCAGTTGATATGACAGCAGCATGATGCGAGGAGGTGCTGAACCTTGGCTCTTCCACTGACTGATGTAAAAATAGAAGCTATTTGACCTTAAGGTACTGTTCATACTGTACTAAGTATATTTGTTGCGAGTGATTTCTTATCCCGGAAGAGCACTCAGGGCTTTTCCCGTGCGATGGTGATTTGAGTGTCCGGATCCGGGTTTCTGGAGGGTTGCAGAACAGGAAAACCAGCTGCAACTCCGACCGAGTCAACTCTGCAGATCTCTACGTGGATATGGATGGATTACGCGATATGAACACACAGACTCTGTTATGGAGTGAAAAAAAATCTGTCGATTGTCCCCTGGTTCACATTGAGTTTCCGCAAGGTTGCAGTGGAGCCCTGATCGACCGACATGTCCATGACGTGCAGCACCACCATAATCCGTGCCAACGTCAACAAGACACACAATGTATTATATCACCGTGCTAGAGATGTTCGCACGCCGGTGGTGTCTGTGATAAATCGCTCTTCATCATGCAAACCTTTTCTAATCCAGTCTACCCCAACGACAACTGCTCCAACTTCCCTTAGATTCGGGAGTCTTCCATCAGGCAGAGAGTGCTCAGCCAACACCAATCGAAAATGCTCAAACACCCATCTAGAAGAAAGCAACCCTAACTGACCTTCGCTCTATACGGCCTCCACTGGCCCTGCATCCTCACCTGCAACCTCCTGCTGCTCCTCCTGCTGCTCCTCCTGCTTCTGCCAGGTCTCCTCCGTAACCGCCCACGGCCCATCCGGCACTTTCCCATCCCACGCCCCGCGAGGAGGTCTCCAAAGCAACAACATGCCCATACCCCGATACTCAAACATAAGCCTCTCCCACTCCTCACTAGGGTTCTTCCGTGCAACATCTACAGCCAACCCCATGACCCTCCGGTACCCACACTCCTCATACAGCCACCTCCCCATCGCCCCCGACTCAATAAAACACTCATACCCCAACGCATCAATCCGCTCATGCCCCCACCGCATAAGCAACCGTCCGACCCCTCTGCGGCGAAAATCCGGATGCACGCCCATGCGACTCACGCCTAGTTACCTCCCATAGCGAGGAGTACATAGTCAGCCAGCCACTCACCCATGCACATCGCACGATCAAACTCAATGTCCTGCGCACCTCCCAGCGCACCATCACCCCAGTCTAAAAACACCCGTCTAGAATCACAAGCAAAGAGAAAAAGGAGAGAGAGAGAACATACCGGCATGAGCCCGCGCAAACCACGCCTGCCGCGGCTTCAAACACTGCGTGAGCGCCTGCGCCGCGAACTCGGCCTTCGTCGACCCCTCTGGGTAGCAGGTGCAGGCGACCGGCTGCGGACCCCGTGGGAAGGGGTTGCTGTGGTGGATGGACCATTCGCAGCCGCCGGCGACGCGGCCGGATGTCCGGTCCAAGGCGTAGATGTAGTGGGAGGCTGGGTTCTGGGTGTGTGCTGTCCAGTGCAGGTCTGTGTCGCGGGCTATATCGGCTGCTCGGTCGGCGGCGGCGGGGCCTGTGGTTGCGTGGCAGAGGGTGAAGATTGGTCTTTATTCTCGATTAGCATTAAGGGTCTGAGGCTATGTGGGGGAATGAAGTGGTAGTAGTTTCTTTGGCTAGGGGAGATGGAGGTGGAGGTGAAGGGAGGTGGAGGTGGGATAACAGGCACAGGGCTGACTGACTCGTAGGGATGGAAGTTGGCGGTCCAGAGAACCTCGTTGAGACGCACGAACTCGGCATGCGTGCGGACTTCGTGGATTTCGAAGGTTGGGGTTGTGGTTGTCATGTTGATGTTTGGATGGAGCTGATTGCTATGGTGACTGATGGAGAGGTTCGTGATGAAGCCGCAGAGACCTACAACAAACGGACGGAACGACTCGACTCAGGAGTGCAGTGATATATATACACGTTGAGATCACCCTCACCCTCACCCACCCACTAAGGAGTGAATGTTGGGAACTTCTACGGTGTCACAAACCCCCCCTCCCCCTCGCTCCTTCTTTGTTCCACGGATCCAGCCGTAACCTCAACCTCGGCCAAGGGTCCCATATAATGCTTCCTCCCCCATCCCAGATAGTACACCACCGCCAGGATCAGCACCCCCCCGAAGATCGCCACGCTATAATTCATGTGCGATGGCGTTGGATGGCTACTCGCCGGCCAGAACCCGAAGATCACCACGAACCCTGAAAACACCAGCGCGAAGATGTTGTTCGCGATGCCCAGCCAGCCTCTCACTCGGAACGGTCCCCAGACAAAGCCTTTGTTACCGCCCTGCTGCGGCTCGGAGATGTGCCCCTTCACGCGGCGATACAGGAGGAGCGACAGAGGGATGATGTAGGAGAAAAAGAAGGCTTCCATTAGCAGAGAAAGAACAATGCTTAGCACCACGGACGACCCGATGTTGATCAGACCGATGAGACCGGCAGCGATGACGATCACGCAGATACTGTGGAAGGGAACCGAGGTTCGCTTGTTCAGCTGTACCGTACTCCTACAGTTAGAGTTAACTTGCACGGGTAGTCAGGGTTCATGCTGCGTACCTGCAGGATCCAGCGCCAGCCTGGAAGCGCCTGTTCTCGCGAGAAAGCCCACAGCATGCGGCTGCCAGACGAGATCCCGCCCAGTCCGCAGCAGGCTTGCATGATCGCAATCATACTCGCGAACACAGTCGCCGCTCCTTTGCTCTGCGTCGCGTTTTCGAGAATCTGCATAAAAGGATAGGTGGCTTCCGACTTGAGGATGACGGACAAATCTCCTGCCGTGAAGAGGAAGGTAACCAGCATGGCAAAGCCCAAGACCCCGTTGATGGCAATGGCGAATAGCATCGAGTGTGGGACCACCATGCTGCTATTAGCGACCTCTTCGGCCATCTGGAGAGATTCAGTTACGACCCCAGATTACATTGGGAGTAGACACTGACATGAACGACACCGTCCGTACCTGGTTGGGATTAGCGACCCTCTTGGGCAGGACACGCGTGGCTGAACTCACCTAAGAAAGCTCCTACTATGCCCTTGAGGCCTACAAACGTGGCCAGTGTGATGTCGCGCCAACCGCCGAGATTGAACGTTTGAACGAACACTGATTTGGCGTCAGCCTTGGGACCGAGATAAACAATCGGTATGAGCACTGCGAAAAAGCCAAGCACATGAACAATGCCTATGAAGACCTCGAGAACTGGTAGGATCATTCCAAGCCAGGTATTCAGGATCGCGCAAATCAGCAGTATCCCCCACATAATTAAAGTGACATGCCAGCCTTGTGGGTTGTATTCTGGACGGTTCATCGCGACCGCATTCTGCAAAATGCTTCCAGCTACATACACGGCTCCGGTTGGAACGGCTGTCCAAGCGATGATGCAGATTGAGCCTTGGCCTGTGTATCAGCATTCTGCGCAAAACGTAGCCTGGTGGATCATACACTTACCGGTAACATGGCTGATGAATCGCTTCGATGACTCCGGCGCCAGAATGCTCGCCCAGTGATATTGTCCACCAGCCTGCAGACATAAGTTAGAATCACTACCTCCAGGAAGCAAGCGTATGGGAGCCTACCGACGGAATCATGCTTGCCAACTCCCCCAGTGCGGTAAATATGCTGATGAATCCAATCCAGACAGCAACATAGCCATACACCAGACCGGCTGGGCCACCACTAACACATGTGAACACCCACGCGAAGCATAACCCGCCGATGCGACCACTCTGGAAACCTACTTTGGTAGCCCCACCCCGAAATTACTATACTCATGTCAATTTTGCTCCGGTCATAAGCGCGCGGAGAACAAACATCAGAAATGCCTCCCATGTGAGCATCAGGCTACAGGCAAATCCCACTGTGCTCGCCAGGCCAAATCTGCGCTGTCAAAGGGGTCAGCTGACAGGCAGGTGATAGGATATGTCCGACGTCTGGCTTACCTTGAGAACCTCCCTTTTCCCCACCTGGGCTAGCTCGAGCGCATCTCGACTACAGAGGACCACATTGTCTCTATGGAGAGTAGGAGGCCCCTCGGCTACTATCGAAGTCAATTCCACCTCGCTTTCATTTGGAGGGTCCTCATGCATTTTGTCGGCTGAGGCAAGCATAGGTCGGTCGGCACAGAGGAGAGTGACCACCAAAAGTAGGGACCGATATGCCAGAGAGAGAGAGGAGTAGACTTGACAGTAACCCCCGAGATAGACCAACAACCGACGGAGAAAAGGGATGGTTGTGTCCATGATTCAGCTTCGGGCTGTCCGATCGGCGAAGTAGGACAACGTGCGGGGCTTACCATGATGCCTGTATTGAGGCCTCGGTGACACAATCAATGGTCGACGTGTCATTCGAGCTCGGCCGACGAGCACTGGAACCAGAGTGCGTGGGACAAGGTCACTTCTCTGCTGACCGTGTGCCTTGAGAGGGAGGTTGCCATGAGGCTGTCCCAAGTCTCACAACCAACGTCAAAATCCAATGTCAGGCCATGGCTCATTCCTAGCGAGCGGAGAGTCATTTTTGGTAACTTTGAGTAATGAAGTGAATAATATTGCTGCTATCACCGATCTGGAAATTCTAATCGAATGAAGACAAGGGGGAGGGGGGGACCCTCCGGGCTATATTACTGTTGGTGCTTGTTGGAGTCAGGGTTTCCTCCTGCCTCTCAACGGTGCCGACCGGCCAGCCCTCATTGCAATCCAATCTCGAAACATCAAATCCTCAGTACTACCAGGCTCCATAGCTCTGATTGAGTCGGGATCCTTGCTCCCATCCCAAACGCTTTTTTTCCGCTTTTAAATGTGTCTAGCTCTGCCATGTCTTTACTCCGAATACGATAATCTTCCGATATCCTTCGGATCGACCCACTGTCGCGCCCAAAATCTGCAAATCTTCGTTTGTATGATGGAGGATCACGGTGCGGTCATCAAGATCGTTAGCTGGTTCTTGCTTATTGTGTCGTCCGGAGCTGTGGTTGCCTGTCTGTTGACAAGCTGGCATCTACTCGGGAGGAAGATCTTGGTGCTGACGCTCCTACTAAGCACGCTGGTCAGTATAAGCATTAGCTTTCAAGTCTTGACATCTCACACTGCCAGCTCTCGTCCGCCATCGCAGGGGCCACTGTCTCCATCGCCGCTACGCGTGGCTTGGGGAGACCGCTGTCGGAGGGCTCCCTCACCGAAGATCAACTTGCGGGTCTCCAGATCGCGATCTATGTCACTGAGATCTCCCATGTCCTGACCCTCGGCCTCGGAAAGCTCTCCTTCATTGCACTCTTCTACATGGTCCTCTCTGGGAGCGCGTTGACAACCCTCACCCGCGCCATCTTTGCTGTCGGGACCTTTCTCATTCTTTGGACCTTGACGACGGTTCTTGCGGTCGCGTTTCAGTGTCATCCACCTGAGGTCTGGAACTTGATGTCTGGGAGGTGCTTGGATGTGGTATGAGATTGACCGACCGAGCAGGATCAAACACAGAATGCTCACAACCTCGTGCTTACAGACCGCTCTGTGGACATACTACGGCGCCATGAACATCATCATCGAGACTCTCCTCTTCACGGTACCCAGTGTCTTGATCTACCGGCTTCGAATGCGCCTGCGCAAACGGTTGGTCGTTATTGGATGCCTGAGTGTGCGGACCCTGTGAGTGTTGGGTTCCTTATCTTTAAGAAATCTCATTGTGCATTCGACAAACAATCCTTGCAGACATCCCATGACCAGATAGATGGGCACTAATCACTAATCAATCATTTCAATCCAACAGAGACATTCTCGTCTCGGCCGTGCAGCTCCAATACGTCCACGGCTTCGACCCCAGCCCTTCTCTCCCCTCCGCCCTCTACCCGTGGATGCTCTGCAGCCAGGTCCTGCAGACTGTCGCCATTGTAGCCACCTGCGTGCCGTATCTGCGCGAGTTCCTGGAGTCTTTCCCGAGTGGTATGCTGAAGCCAGCAGGCGTGGAGCGGACTACGGGGCTGCGGTACGGGTCCGGTTCGACCAGGCTGCTGGACAGTGATTCAGGCGCGTCTCCGTGATTCATTCATTCTATATCATACTGTAATTTATTATTATTTCCAAACATTATATTAGAAGGCTGAACGGTATAATCTGACTGCCGTTGATAAATGAAGAGAAGAAGCGCTCTTCCAGGGGAATATTATATGATCAAAATATCGCGGCAACGTCGAGCGACGGAATAGTGGTACATGATGTCGTCGTTCCGGTCGCGACACAGGAGGTTATTTGGACACGAGTGATGGCGTGCGGTGGGTAATTGTAGGTCTCCAGACGAGCCACAACTGAGGATGTCAGGCTGACGAGGATTAGAGTTGAAGCGCGCATGGCGGCAGAGGTATAGGGCTTTATCAGCGACCTCAGAAGGAGCTGTACCCTAGGAGTAGAACTAGAGTCTTTTATGAGTATGACACAGAGGAAAGATATGGACTTGGCATACTGGGCTTATAATCTTCTCACGGCCGTTTGAGGTCTATCCAGCGGGCGAACTGGTGAAGCATTCTCGTTGGTGAATATCCCCACAGACGAACGAAGTACACTGGGTAGCTGCTATATAGATCCCATTCCATCCCCCTGCTCCCCCCGGTGCCCGGACCATCCGACTCGCAAACATACACTGGCCGCCTTACCTGACCCAGCGATACCGATCAGTTGCCAGCCTCCGGAGAATAAACGGAGCAGCTCCTATCCAAACGATCGACCGTGCCCTGCGTGGCTCATTGGATGCACGGACAACCGTGCAACGGAGATGGTTGCACAGGGTTGCGGTCAGACCAGTGGCCCAGTTGTCCAACAAATAGCTATTACCCAATGTGCAGCCCACTTACCAATATAAAATAGGCCCATTGGGAATGAGGAGTGGGAGTTGGGGAGTAGTTGGGAAGCGGTACTACCTGGCAGGCAAACGGGCTGTTTCCTATCGTCGCTAGTCTGGGGGAACCTTAGCCTCCATTGTTGGGGTCTCACTTGGGGATTTATGCTAGTCTTTGCTTTGGGTACGGCTGGCTCAGCCCTGTTGGTTTGCGGCCAGGCTTGCAGCATTTAGTTACTCTCGCCGGTGTTCTCGCTCGTTGTTGTGGTGCTGAACACGATTCGACGGGATTGCTCTATTATGCCGGGCAAGTACGAGAGGCTCGATGGCCTGAACAGCGATGATGAGGTCGAGGATCGACCGTTTACTCCTGACGAATTGAGCTTACTCCGGAGAGTGAAAAGCTGCGGGACGGTCTTTCTAATAATCTTACTCTCGCTGTCGTTGGCGCTGAATATCTGGGCTCTCTTCCTGCAGACACAACCACGCCCCGATGGGGAGAAGGAAAGCCTCTGCAGTGCACTTGAGCAACAACGCTCTCCCTACAGTACGCACATCTTCTCATCCACGCCTGTTACCATCTCTAATCCCAACCCAACAAACCAGCCGGCCTCGCCTTCGACACGCCGATTGAATACGCCCTCTCCACGAACTACACGAGCGACAACGAGAGCCTCGCAGACGGCGCGTGGGATAGCCTAAGTCTCGACTCAATGGTGATCGCGCCGACGATCACCTGGGCACAGGAGAAAGGTCTCCCGGATTCGTGGCCGTTTCCCTGGGACGCGAACCGCCGGATCTACTTCGTCAAGGTCTATCATCAGCTTCATTGTCTGGTAGGTCGCCTTGCTGTGAAGAGCTGGGGATGCAGACCGAAGCGCAAGCTAAGCGCCCCGTAGAAGAATATACGCAGAGCGTTCAAGCAGCTTTTATCCCACGATGCAAATGCAATCCCCTTCAGCCACGTCGAGCACTGTCTCGACACTCTTCGACAGGATCTCATGTGCCGAGCGGACGACACGCCTATGCCTTCGCTGAGGCTGGTCAATGGGGCTGGGGAAGGTCAGATCCGGCAGTGTAAGGATTTTGAGAAGTTAGTTGCTTGGACGAAGCATCCGGATCGGGATGCGTGCTATAGGCGGTTGAGTGATTCGAGGCCTCCGTTGAGGAGTATTGATCGGTATGCTTTTTGTGGGGCCCAGAGTCAGCATTTTGAAGCTATGAATAGGTATTTTGAGGTGTTTGGGTTTCCTGAAGTTGCGGACGAGGGATGAGGTGTTTTGTAGTGTTGTGAATGTGGCAAGTGATGGATGGTTGCAGTTGGGATGGTGGGTTGGTGCGGTGTAACATACTTGGCTAAAAAGATAGATAAGGGCTGAATTGACTCCCTGGCCTTGCTAGGTCTTCCACGATTTAATTATCTGCGATCTTCGCACACTCATGTTAAGCCACAGGTACAATTAATCTGAAATGGATGACACCGACAAGTCAAGATGCAGTGGAAATCCGATGGACTACTGCGAGAATGATCCCACCAACCCACGCAACTGGTCGAAGACGTGGAAGTGGTCAATAGTTGTGCTCATAGCCTGTTTATCTGCTGAAGTGTAAGCCATTCGACCAATTTCCCATTCTCTGAGCTCTACCGTACTGACAGCCCACCGCCACCAACAGACAACTGTGCACAATCATCGCCGCGCCCGTCTCTCCGCACATCCTACAAGCCTTCCATTCGAACAACCTGCTGTATCGCACCCTGCTTGTGACAATCTGGGAGCTGGGGGAGATCTTCGCCCCCCTAGTCTGGGGCCCTCTCTCCGAATTCTACGGGCGACGCTGGATCCTCAACCTAGCCAACCTGCTCTTCATCACCTTCCTCACCGGCACCGCGCTCAGCACCAGCATCCAGATGCTGGTCGCCTTCCGGTTCCTCAGCGGCCTCGCAACAGCCTGCATCCCAATCGGCCCAGGCATCGTGAAAGACCTCTTCGCGAAAACCGAGCGCGGCCGCGCGATGTCAGTCATGTCGCTGACCAGCGTGGTCGGCCCAGTGGTCGGCCCGATCATCGGGTCGTATCTGGGCGAGCAGGCTGGCTGGCGCTGGGTCTTCTGGCTGCCGACGCTTCTCTCGAGCCTGCTGGGCATTCTGATCCTCGTGCTCTACCGTGAGACCTACAAAGTCGTCATCTTCGCGCGTAAGGCCGCAATGCACCGTTCCCGCGCCGCCGGCACCACCCCATCCCTGCTCCGCTCCAAGCACATACGCACCACCATCCCCGGACCCAAACTCCTAAGCACAGCCCTCATCCGACCTCTTACCCTGCTATCACACTCCCCAGTCCTCTGCCTTAGCACCCTCCACCTCAGCACAATCTACGGCCTCACCTACCTGATCATGACGACCATCGCCCCGGTCTTTCAGGATGTGTACGCCTTCTCAGAGGGCGCCTCGGGTCTAGCCTTCCTAGGCCTCTGTCTGGGCTTTACCCTCGGCGCTGTGATCTGCAGCGTCCTGCTAGACCGGTACATTCGATCCCGTAGTCCCCCCGCAGCAGCACCAGAGCACCGTCTCCCCCCGCTATTTCCCGCTAGTCTCACGACAGCAGCCGGGCTTTTTCTGTTTGGCTGGGCCGTGCACTACCGTGTCCACTTTATAGTGCCCATCGTAGGCACGGCAATGGTCGGCCTCGGGCTGGCGGTTACCTCTGTGACGGTGCAGACGTACGTGGTCGATGCGTTTGGGGTGTATGCCGTCAGCGCGATTAGTGCGGTAATGGTTTTCAGGAACACCACGGCAGCGTTTCTGCCGTTGGCGGGGCCGCCGTTGTTCGGTGGGTTGGGGTATCGATGGGGTGGTACGGTTTTGGCTGGTGTCGTTTTGGTTGGGGCGCCGGTGCCGCTTGTGTTGATGCGGTTTGGGGGGAGGTGGAGGGGGAGGAACTGTGGTGGGGAGGTCTGAGTAGATATGGGAGATGGGAGATGGGAGTGGTGGTATATACGGGTTGGAGTTGGTAACGGATAAGCCGATCCCGGGCAGGAGATGCGATGCTTGCTAGGGCGTTGGGCCTCGATCAGCTGTTGAGGAGCTGCTGCTGCTGCTGCTGCTGCTGGAACAGTGCAGTGTTCTTCTCGACAAATGGCACGCGCACAAAGGCATGTCGCTTGGCCTGAGTGTCCACGGGTGAATGTACATGCATACATATATCTGCTCTGTAGGAGCGGATGCAGTGTGGCTGAGAAGGATATATCCAAACTAGCGGGAGTCGAATCACAACACTCGCCTGGAAGAACCACAATGAACCATCAACATCCCCCTTCAACCCAAGCTCACGCACATGAAAACACGAAAGAACATCAAAACCCTCAAGCGCCACCCCCCAAAATTCCCTGCGCCGCAAGCCAAGCATCCATATCGACATCCATCCCCAAATTCACCCAAGGTTCCATCTCCTCCCCAAACAACCAACCCTCCTGAGCATCAGGACTCACCAACCCAGCCCCATCCCCATCCACCAAGCCCCCAAGGCCCACCGCAGAGCCCCTCTCAATCACCGAATCATCCTCCCCCTTCAACCCATCCACCAACCCCTGCAAAATCTCCGCCGCATTCGTCAACGTCACCCGCAGCGCCTCATAAATAACCGCCTCCTCCGGGACACCCCGATGCTTCGCGTCCAGATGCGCCATAAAGGACGCACACATCACATACCCCTTGACATTCGTTTCACCAGCCCGGATCCGGTCCGCCGCCAGGCCGATATACCTCTCCAGCGAGGCGCGGAGGGTGGCGTAGCGGAATGGCTCGACTGCTACATCCTGGTGGTGCAGCGTCGTGGAGAGGATGTCGGTGTGGCGGTCGTCGTCGAGCTGGAGGTCTAGCTCGAAGAAGATGTTGCTTATTGCTATGGCGGGCACGTCGCGGAAGGAGGCGGCGCCGATGAGTCGGAGGCGGTGGGAGTCTGGGTCTGGGGCTTGGGTCTGGGTCGGATTGGACGGTTGTGATGGCGACGGGAGGCAGGATTCCAGCGCCGTGAGGATGCGCAGCGCGGTCTTGAAGTTCACTTGGCGCGAGTAGTAGTATTTCGGGTTGGTTGGTGCTCGCAGCGCGAAGGGCATGTGCAGGGACATGAGGAAGCGCTGGGTCATTAGGCTGTAGAGTTTGTGGTGGAAGGGGGTGATGCGCGTGGTGTTGGTGCTTGGTGCGGGCGTGGGGTGGTTGATAGCAGCGTTCGCGTGGTAGGTTTCAGCCAGCTCGGCGCTGAGGGCTAGTGCCTCGTCGTAGGACATCGCGCTGCGGAAACTGTTTGTGAAGTGCGCGACCTTTATCCGGGCTGTGTGTGAACGTCCGAGCGCGATCTGCAGGGTGCTTTGTGTTGTTTCGGTGGGGGGCCGCGCAGAGGGGAACGGGATCTGTTCGAGCTCGTCGTCGTTGAGGTTCATTGGTAGCGCGCAGTCGTAATCATCCGCATGGATCAGAGGAGTTCCGCCGGCGTCCATGCTGGTTTGGAGGTTGATCTCGAGGATGGTCGCCCATAGTCTTCGGCGGATCTCGGCGTCGAAGGGCGAGATCTGCGCCATGTGCCGCGGGTCGATGTGCACGCCCATGTGCATCGCTGTGCGCAGCAGGGAACCCGCCGCAACCCAGACGAGCTCGCTGCCGACCGCCGTGACCTGTCGTGCGATCAGGAGGAGGCATTGCAGCTGCAGTCCTGCGATGTCCAGCCGCGCTTTTTCGAACGGCGAGCTAAGCCAGGATTGTGCGGTATAGATCCATTGTGAGACTGACAGTCTCGGGATTAGGGATCCGTGGGGTGTGCCATCTGAACAGAAGACACTTCCGATGGCGAGGATCAAGAGCAGGTTCATGACGAATGCTGGGTTCGACGCTGCCGGGTTCACCCAGTACTGCTCGTAGGCGCGTCGGAAGGAGGGTACGTGCATCACTCGATACACGGATTCCATCGTGCGGAGATAGGCTTCGACAAGCTGGTCAGACACTATCCTGGGGGGCACGTAGTCGCGAGGGTCGGAGCAGACGGGCCCCCGAAGGATGATCTGGGCTTTGGCGATGCGGGCCAGTCGCTTACATCGGCCCATGATATTGTGGACATCGGAGTGCTCGTCCGTCTCCCAGCGAAAGAACAACATCATGAATTCACGGAACTGGATCGTTGATTAGAGCATGTCATCACGGCAAGCGACGTGGTAGATCGTACCTGCTTCAGACATATCGACCGATGGCTTTGGCCAAAGAACCTGGTTTTCGCGAATGTGCCATTGATGGATGGGTGATCTGGCCCTGTTTTCGCGGACAAGCCGGGGTCGGTGGACGGTTGCACGCTGAGGATATTGCTGAGCTTCTGCTCTAACTCCTGAATGCGATCATTCAATCCTTGGACAAGCGCGTCTGGTGGAGACATATCATCTTGCTGGTTTGATGGCAGTGTTCGAGTCGAGACAGCCTGACTGGGCGATGTCTCAGGCCGCGAGGCCAGGTCCAAGCAGTAGCCATGCTGCTCCATCGAGCGGTGGGTGGTAGACACATATGAGCAAGATCGTTTGAACCGTGAACAGTGATTACAGGGGGATTGACGATCGCATCTGGCGGCAGTCAACACGATGAACGGATAAAGGGGGTGGTCATTCATCCTGCGCACCGGATCTTCCGACGACGGCATTCCTCACAGGCTAGTGCGGGGCGTCGGCGCTTCCGGAGTGGCAGACTGTGGCGGGATTCCATGCTGGGAGGGATTTACCACAGAAACAAAAATCTAAATCTATAAAGCATGAGAAGAAAGAGGTGAAGAGACTTGTGCGGCAGAGAATGGAGATAAATAGTAAGCATGGAAGTGACAAGGAGAGAGCTTTAGTGAAAGCATTGGCTGACTGACCCTTGCCGGTCTAGTGGTATCGACCCGGTTTAATTACATGGTTCCATGATTTTTCCTACACAGTGTCACGTATTATCGCGTAACACTTATATTACACATCCATTCTAGGCATCGCTTCCTGGAGGATGAGAGAAGATCATTCTATTGTACTGTACATTCTAGTTATTAACACAGCCAGTATACTTAGCCATATCCACTAAGTCTTCGACAGCAGAGCATGCCCCGACACAATCTTCACTGGAATCACCAACAACGCCCCGACCAAACACATCATTCCACAGAAAGTCGACACGGCATCAAAGTCATGGTACCGTTCATACATAGCCCCAGTGGCTGGAGGCCCCGCCAACACAGCCAAAGAGCCCACCGCCATCCCCATCCCCATGTACGTGCCAATATTCTGGGCCGTCTTCGTACAGGAGGCCAGCGGAATTACCGCACCGGAGATAATGGCACCGGAGCAGAAGCCAAATATGGCCGTGAAGACGATGATGCCTGCATTTCCTTCAACTCGCTGCCAGCACAGCGTTAATATGCCCGTAGTGAGTCCGGCTACACACAAGACGTTCAGGGGGCCGATTTTATCTGAGAGTACGGCGGGAATCACCCGGCCGGGGAACGAGGCGGCGTTGAGGATCGCGGCCAAGTAAAAAGCCAGGGTGGCGCCCATGCCCTGGGTCAGGGCCCAGCTGGGGATGTAGAACATGGGCGGAAACAACCCGAGGAAGGTGAAGAACATGCAGGCGATGAGGAGACTGTAGGAGCGGTCTTTGAAGGCGCCTGGTAGGAAGAAGTGGGTTTTTCGGGGCGGTAGGCGGGCTCGAATGGCCAGGCAGGACGGAATGAGCACGACCAGCATTAGAAAGCCCACGATGCGGACCGACCATCCGAAGCCGAGGTCTGTCTGGGTGATCAGCTGGTTCAAGGCGATGGGGAGGATGACGCCTCCGATCGAGGAACCGGCAATGGCTAACCCCATGGCTGCTCCTCGCTTTTTCTTGAAGTACTGCGGCGTGGCGGCCATGGATGGAGACATTGTGAAGCCGTTGGCGAGGCCACCGAGGATGCCTTGTGCCAGCATGAATTGATAGTACTCTTTACAGAGGCTCGTCATGAAGATGCTGAATAGATAGATGATGGCCGCGGGGTAGATCACCTGGCATGTATCAGTATCTGAAATATTCACATAGGGAAGAAGGCTCACCTTGGCTCCCATTCGATCAAATAACGGTCCGCCGATCAACCCTGATCCGAAGATGAAGAACGCCTGGAGTGATCCAATCCAGGCAATTGCAGAGGGACTGACATCTCGCAACTGGTGCCCTTCATAATATGCCTGGTAGACCCTGATACACTCGGTCAGTCGAAGCAGAGAACTCTGATGGGTAGGTGACTTACGACCAGGAGTTGACATAGCCGAGGGTGCAGAACATTACGCCTGCATTGCCTAAAGCGACGCTCCACGCTCTCAGGCCGCCATCAGGGAAGGTGTCCGGATCGGCATCGCCTACTTTTCCGGTGATCGCTGGCTCCAGATATTGTTCTTTGGTGCTTTCAGCCAACTCACTCATACTTGACTCCTGTTGACGTGAACTCATCTTGTATGAAAGGATGTGCGGTTATTCGCAGTATGAGATGGACCTGCCCCGTCCATTTTCTCCCAGTCAGCCTTTTATATCCTGTCAAAGCGAGAGTCATTCCCGTATACACGGCCTTTCATCGCGATGGTTATTGTTGTTGTGTTGGGGAAAGACGGGGATAGACGGGGATAGTCAGGGGCGTGGTGTACGGAGTAAACGGTGTATTCCTCTTTGGGAAATACCCGCCTAGACGGCCCGGAGATGGCGATATCAGATCGATCAGATAGCGGAAGCTCCGAAATTCCGGAAGCGACCGGAACTGCGCGGCTGTTCAAAATGGAGGCACTTTACCCCATCAGCCTTGTTCCTTGGTTTTTTGGTTAAAACGATGGCATTCCCCACCGTTCTGGAGACTCACAGTCCGGGTGTTCTGTCTCTGTGTCGTCATAATGGATTCGCGGGCCCTCTCCTCCGCCGTGATAGCCCGTTGCAGCATGCATTAGGGACCATTAGGGGCTGCCTCGTACTTTTATGCAATCCCGAGTTTTCCCTGCAATAACAGCCCGGTATTTGCACCATGGAGTGGAGATAAGCGAGCAGAGATGCGCGGGGATGTCAAAAGTACCAGATGAGGGGATGAACTCTTTGGGCCACCTGCTGCTTGCTCCCTGGCTATACGCGCGCGGGCTATAGAGACGATCCCTTCGGAGCGTACGGTCGCATTCCGTCAAGAGGCCTCGATGGCGGGCGTAAAGAAGACAATCGATGCTAGAGATCAGTGGCAATTCAGTGATCCTCATCAATTGCTGTCTGTCCGTTCTGTTCCGAGTGTGCAACGCCTCCAGGTGGCCTCACCTGGAACGAGGGTGATTGTATATCTTGCAGCTCCGCACGCGGGATCTGACAGTAGAAACAACATGGGGTGATGCAGCAGTCAGATGGCTCCACGTCGGACACGCCATGCCAGGGGGGGTGTTTAGGGAATAGGGCATCCAGACCTGCCATCAATTTGTGTCGGGGAGCATGAACATTACTTTGCGGGGACTGCGCTGATAGGACCAAACACCGCAACGTGTCACCGAAAGCAACAAACCGGACAGAATCCTGACATTTGGACCGATGCGGCCGAAAGGAAAGAAAAGATGACCTCCTAAAAAGGTATAGTGGACTGGCGACGTCATGGACTTGCGGCCAGATTCGGTCGAGATTCCCTCCATCCATCATGGATGATGCGTTCGCCCCTTGTCAGACCACCCCCAGGGTTCGTTCTTTATAAGGATGAGGGGAGACACAGGTGAGAGGGGAAAAGCACACTCCTACAATCTAAACCTCATCTCTCCTCACTCGCTACACTCACAATGCCTTCTGACGAGCTGAGCATATCTGCTTATGGAGCTGCCCGCTCCACTATCAAGGGCGAACCTCTCGATGCCGAAGAGATCCGCAAGACAGACGCCTATTTCCGTGCCAGCTTGTATCTGTGCCTGGGCATGCTGTACCTCCGGGATAACGTTCTTCTGAAGGAATCACTCAAGAAAGAGCACCTCAAGGCCCGTCTACTCGGCCACTGGGGTTCCGATGCCGGCCAGTCCTTCACTTGGCTTCACATGAACCGCTTGATCAAGAAGTACGAGTTGGATGTGCTGTTCGTCTCTGGACCGGGCCACGGTGCCCCTGGCATCCTCTCCCAGTCCTATCTCGAGGGAGTTTACTCGGAGGTCTATCCCGATAAGTCCGAAGACGCGGTGGGCATGCAGAAGTTCTTCAAGCAATTCTCCTTCCCCGGGGGCATTGGTAGCCATGCCACCCCGGAGACCCCGGGCAGTCTGCACGAGGGTGGAGAGCTGGGCTACTCCATCTCGCACGCCTTCGGCACCGTCTTCGACAACCCCAACCTCATCACGCTGACGATGGTCGGCGACGGTGAGGCCGAGACTGGTCCCCTGGCCACCAGTTGGCACAGCACCAAGTTCCTGAACCCGATCACCGATGGCGCGGTGCTCCCCGTGCTGCACCTGAACGGCTACAAGATTAACAACCCGACGTTGCTGGCACGCATCAGTCACGACGAACTGTCCTCTCTCTTCAAGGGCTACGGCTGGACTCCGTACTTCGTCGAAGGCAGCGACCGCGAGAGCATGCACCAAGCCATGGCGGCGACGCTGGAGCACTGCGTGCTGGAGATCCGTAAGTTCCAGCAACAGGCGCGCGAGTCGGGCAAGCCCTTCCGACCGCGCTGGCCGTTGATCGTGCTGCGCACGCCCAAGGGCTGGTCGGCACCGCGCGAGATCGACGGCAAGCTCCTGGAGGGCTTCTGGCGGGCGCACCAGATCCCCATCACCGACGTGCTGACCAACGAGGCCCACCTCAAGGTGCTGGAGGACTGGATGAAGAGCTACGGGCCGGACCAGGTGTTCGACGAGAACGGCACGCTCATCCCCGAGCTGAAGGCGCTGGCGCCGACCGGCAACGCGCGCATGAGCGCCAACCCCGTGGGCAACGGCGGGCTGCTGCGGCGTCCGCTGGACCTGCCCGACTTCCGCGACTACGCCCTCACGGACATCAACCCCGGTGTCTCGGTGCGCGGCAGCATGGTCAACATGTCCAAGTTCCTGCGCGACGTCGTCGGCCGCAATCTGACTAACTTCCGCGTCTTCGGACCCGATGAGACCGAGTCCAACAAGCTGTCGGAGATCTACAAGGCCGGTAAGAAAGTCTGGCTGGCTGACTACTTCGACGAGGACAACGACGGCGGCAACCTGGCCATGCACGGCCGCGTGATGGAGATGCTCAGCGAGCACACGTGCGAGGGCTGGCTGGAGGGGTACGTGCTGTCGGGTCGCCACGGGTTGCTGAACAGCTACGAGCCGTTCATTCACATCATCGACTCGATGGTCAACCAGCACTGCAAGTGGATCGAGAAGTGCCTGGAGGTGGAGTGGCGGGCGAAGGTGGCATCGCTCAACATCCTGCTGACGGCGACGGTGTGGCGACAGGACCACAATGGTTTCACGCACCAGGACCCGGGGTTCCTGGACGTGGTGGCCAACAAGAGCCCCGAGGTGGTTCGCATCTACCTGCCGCCAGACGGCAACACGCTGCTGTCGGTGACAGACCACTGCCTGCGCAGCGCCAACTACGTGAACGTGATCGTGGCCGACAAGCAGGACCACATCCAGTTCCTCAGCATGGACGAAGCGGTCGCGCACTGCACCAAGGGGCTGGGGATCTGGGACTGGGCCAGCAACGACCAGGGCCACGAGCCGGACGTGGTGATGGCGTGCTGCGGCGACGTGCCCACGCACGAGGCACTGGCGGCCACGGCGCTGCTGCGCGAACACGTCCCGCAGCTGAAGGTGCGCTTCGTCAACGTCGTCGATCTGTTCCGGTTGATCTCCAAGATCCACCACCCCCACGGCATGTCCGACCGCATGTGGAAGTCCATCTTCACCGACAACAAACCCATCATCTTCAACTTCCACTCCTACCCCTGGCTCATCCACCGTCTGACCTACAAGCGGCCCGGCCAGGAGAACATCCGCGTGCGCGGCTACCGCGAGAAGGGCAACATCGACACCCCCTTCGAGCTGGCCGTCCGCAACAACACCGACCGCTACAGCCTGGCCATCGACGCCATCGACCACGCCCAGTCGCTGGGTAACACCGCCGCGGGTGTGCGCGAGAAGCTGCTGAACATGCAGCTGCTGGCCAAGCAGAAGGCGTTCGACGACGGGTTGGACCCGGATTACATTCGCAATTGGACGTGGCAGTGGCCCCGCGAGAAGTCGGAGGGAGTTTGATACGCAGATCAACCGAGATGACATCCGAATTAATCGTCTTTATTATTCCTGTTAACAAGCAAACTGAAGTCTATTACCCGACATAACATAATGAAATCGTGATACCATGCCCCCCTCTTCTCCCATCCATCACCATCTAGCTTCCATAATCATTAAGTATTCGTATCTTTGAGGTGACGACCCGAAACAATGCATCGCCCCCAATCAGACCTTCCCTATTATTTCCCCAAACCTAGATCTCAATCTCCAATACCCCAGAGTACGCACACTGCTGCTTGATATACTCCGTCGTGCGGTTCCGACACACCCACTTGGTGTCCTCGATCGACGCGTCCAGCCGCACCTCGCCTCGCTCTTGGACACTGCTGGTGTTGGTCGTCTGCACCCGCAGGGTGAATCGGTCGATGTGGCTGCCCAGTCCGGCGGGGAAGCTGACTTCGTAGGCGTTGTTGTAGCATTTCACGGTTGTGGAGGTGGGGACCGGTTTGGTGGGGTGCCTGCGGTAAGGGGGTTGGGTTAGTGATGCTGGAGGGGATTGGGGATGTTGATGAGAGAGTGTGCGTACCAGTTCACGTTGCAGATGGTCGGGGCGGAGTCGGTGTTGGGGTCGTAGAGGGTCATGTTGAAGAGCCCGAAGTCTAGGTCTGAGAGAGTGCGCGCGGTGAGGTCGCTGATTTGGAGGGGACGGAGGGTTTGTTGGTCTTGTCTGTGGTGGAGGGTTGTGGGGAAGGCGGTGGTTAGGGTGGTGGTCGTGGCGACGAGGAGGGTCGAGAGGAGGGCGGTGAGTTGCATTTTGAGGTTTGTGCAGTAGTAGTAGTAGCTGTTGTTGTTGTGGAGAGGGTGGGATTTGAAGCCTGAAAATGGAGGAGGATGCACGAAAATCAGTGTGTGGAGGTGGTTGGTTTGGGTTGTTGGTGATGGGGAGTGCAAGTGGGTGCGGACAGCTCTTTATAACTGTTACTCATTACTCCAGACCAGTGAACAGTGAACAACAGCATTGAGTGAGACAATCCCCGCCCAGTCCGAGAGTCAGACAGCCATTGACTGTTGGGTGGCTGGGATGCTCCACACAATCTGATTCTGAAATTCTGAGGCTGCGCCGCCGATCCGATCGTCCGGGTTTGACTGGCTCTGCATGGTTTTGGTTGTTCTTGGCTGCTGCTGCTATTCTTAGCTTAGCTTCCGCCCCCTATTTCTTGGTGCTGTCACAATCCAGTGTATCCAGTGTAGAATAAAGCTGCCTTTATTGTTGCTCCCACTGGCAGTATTTCGCCTCTGCTTTTATACTTCACTTACCTGCAATTGATACAGAGGTCTATCCAAGTACAGCCGGAATGGTAACCTTGATCGCGAAGCTTGAGAAAAGGTTCAAAATTCTAAACATCAGGAGCAATAGCGAGATAGTAGACAACGAGTTACTATTAGTGACATTTGCTACTTGATCTCTTCTTGATGACATGCTGATAATCTACATTTTCTCCCAACAACTAAAAGACCTCTTCCCAGCTCGTGCCGCGCCTCGTTTGCTTTTCTGGCGTCGCCTTGACCCACACACCGACACCTGCTTCTCCATCTTACCCCAGGGCCCTCGCATCTATGTATCCCTGCTCAAGTTACTCTTCTCACCCGCATCCGCCTCAATAAACCGAGGGGCGGAAAGCTTTGCACGGAACATCCCTCCGAACCCTTGTACCAAGCAGCTCTCAGCCACCCTCGTGCGACCAACACCATCCCCCCGCATGCGGCGGAGGAAAACCTCGAGCTTACACATTGAGAGGAGAACGGAGAAGATCAAGGGCCTTGGAAGGAATATTGCGCAGGAATAGAGTGACTAACACCAAGCCGTAGTATACTTGAGTAGTGCTGACGGGCCACCAACACTAATACCGACGATCTCCTCTTTTGTCAGTGTAGGATTGCTGTATTTTGAGCATCACAGTCCTCTCTGAGTGTAGCCATCAAGAAATACACATACATGGACAAGAACTGCTGCCAACTATGCCGGTTGACTGCCGTCAGCTTATCTCATCCCAGCCTCTCAAGCGGCGCTACGTTAATCGCGCAATCCCTTTGGCCCCCATTCTGGGGATGTGTTGGTTCTCTACTCTCCCTTACTGGGTAGTAGAAGTGACCTGTTTGTTTATGTCTCATTGCATCAATGCGGTGACGTATAGCATGATCTGTTGAGAATGGCAGAACGGTCTGGTGGGGAGAGTATCTCTCGAGCAAGTTTGTCCTACACACCCCCAGACTACACTACCAGCCTCCTTCTTTGAGCTGACCTCGATGTTGTTGGTCTTCTAGCGAGCTGATGTGGCTCGACAGTCATCTTGTGGCTATACAGAACCAGTACCCTAGACCTCTACTCGCCTACGGTATCTTTTCTAGATTTGGCGACGACTGCCTGCGCGGGCATCTAAGAGCAAGGTTGTCCGGCCACAACTTTTTACATCAACCTATCAATCTCTTGAGGCACTAAGCTATCATGAAATGTCTTCTACAAGGGCAACTATCACGATAGTACCACTCTACCCATGCAACGAGCAACAAGCATTGGCCTACTCCATCCATTGTGGTTCTAGGTACACCCGAGCATGTTTGAAACCACGGTTTTTACGCGTGTTTAGAAAGGCCGTCCATGTTTACCCCCGGCGATCCACCGATTGTATCGGAGAATTTCATCTTGTCAACAAAGAGTACCCTCAACTCCTGGTCGACATGCTCATCTACGAGATTCAAGGTTCGCCGTTTGATGTGATGGGACGAGAACTTCCGACTCTTGTACCCGCAAGAAGCTTCATTTCCAGTCAAACTACTTTGTTTCTCTGCCGGTTCGTTCATCTTCTTCTCTTCCTCGCGATATAAATATCATCCTACATAATGTTTAATGCACCTGTTGCTCTCCACTTTGCGATTTTTCCTGTTGCTCGCATAACCTGGTTCTAAAATCAAAACTGACCCATTCTACAGAAACCTCACTCCCCAGACAGCAGAAATGTCTGAGCAACGTCTGGCCTCCATGAGCGCGGAAGAATTCTGGGAGCTGGGCCCCATCAAGGGGTGCATCGAGATCGCAAGCAAAGAAACCTGCAACGGGAATGATACGTGCCAACTATGGCGCACGATACTAGCGGTGAGTCTGAACGACTGGGCTTTTCTTATCAGCCCTGTAAGCAGCCCGTTGACTGATTTGCGTAGCACACCTACCCAGCCCGTGATGGGTGAGTATTGGAATTAACGGGGTGACGCCAGCGAACATGGTGGTGTCGAAGACAACGACGGCGACGGTGATACGACTACGAGCGTCAGCGAAGGTTCAGACATCCCAGCTAAGCTTCCTGCGGCACCCATACCATTGTATCCCAGGGGCCCCCGCCAGGGGCTGGCCCCGAGTCCGGAAGCTCGCCAGGCAAGTCGTGCCCCGTCTGGCAGCTCCAAACGGTGCGCCGAGGATGAGAACGAGAGTAATGAGGACGTCAAGATAAAGCGTGAGAGCTATAGTGAGGCCTCGGACACCTCCGAGGAGGTGCCCTTAGCTGCTCTCTGGAGGCCTATGCCACTATCCTCTTTCCCGAATGAGCCGGTGCCTAGCATCGAGGTAGATGATGACCTGGACGGTTTGCCACAATCACCAACCCCGGATCCTCGGGGCAGATCCGAGCCCCCCGCCACAGCGCCCGGTGGTGCCGCGTTGAGAGCAGTGTCGGAAGGCTCCACGGTCTCAACGGTTATCCTTAGCCAACCGATGCTAACTCGAGGCAACATTGCACAGCATCACCCAGTGCCAGCGACCCCTATCGGCCTCGCGCAACCAGCAGTCAATCCGCCCAACGTCCCGGCATCCCCCAGATACTCGCCGAATACCCCTTCCACCTCTTCTAACGGTATCAACAGTGAAGAGGCGAATAAGGAGAACATCCGCTGGCAGGATGACTACAGCCCGATGAAGAGTCCGGAGGGGCCCCAATCGGTATCAACGCCAAGTGCTGCCGTGCTCCCGAGTGTCCCAAGCAACACGCCAGTCGACCCCCGCGAAGACAGCGCCAATGAGGAAGTCAGCCAGTTCACCCTCACCATTAATGACCACATCAACATCTCCGAACAGACCGTCGAGCTGACCACCATGGAACTCGTTTGCCGAGATCTCTCGGTCCACCGGCCCCTGCTCCTCCTCTACTGCCTCGACAGAATGAGCGACGAAGACGCCGAAAAGACCCTGATCAAGTCGCTCCTAGTCGAGGACCATATGCGGCACCAGATCACCGAGCTGATCGATCGCTGCTGCGCGCGAGTCCCCGATCGCCGCATGGAGCAAGACAAGCTTCGGTTCCGTCTTCTGAAGGAGCTGACGGTGGTGGTCGCTAATGGGCCGAGCGTGCGGATATACGACTTCGATCGCAGCGACGACGGGATCTTTCTTCTGGGCCAGTGTGCGTGGGTGGCTCAGGATGGCCGCCGGCTCACTATCAACGACGATCCGGAGGATGTCTACCGCATCGTGAATCGCCTTGCCCGCCTAGGCCATTAGTTCCTTTCGTGCAGTGGTCTGGTCGGTGGAAAATCTACACCGGGAAAGCATAAGAAAGTTGGCCCTCGGACGAGGAGTTAAGGTCAAATATTTTCTATCGGGATTGAATGAAATTTCATATTTTAAATTATGTTTTGGTTCTATTATAGGCCCATTGTAAAAGCCTTCTCGTAGATGAAACAATCGGATGTCAACATCCGTCTCAAGAATGTCACAAAAATCGTACATAAAGTTCCTGACCGGGGCTGGCTATACTCATCTAACAAGCAGAGGCCAAACTACCCCTGGGGCGCACCGGGCTCGGACACAGCGGCGAGCCCCCGGACTCAATCTGCCTGACAGCCATCGTGGCGACGGCACTATCATTCGTCTCGGAGGGGCCACACTCATCCCAGCCCTGCGGCGTGGTGACGAACGCACTGGTAGCACTGGTATTTGACCCGGGATAGGGATCATCCAAACTGGGGCCCTTGGCGATCTGCACTAGGCGGCCCAAGATAGCATACTCGAGCTTCAGCTTGATGCTGTAGGCCACGGGCTTGAACATAACCTGCAGGGCGTAGTAGCCTGCATACTCGATAGCGACGACAACCAGATCGAGGATCAGAATCACAATATTAATCACCAGCAATTGCGCGAGGATCAGGCGACGCGGGCGCTCGGGCCGCAGACGCAGCAGCTTGATGGTCTCCCAAACATAAATACCAGACAGGAGAGCCTCCTGGACGCAGAAGCCAACGAGCTGGATGCGCTCCATGGCGTGGTAGCCGGACTGGAAGCGGGGATTGCCCGTCAGCGCGCCGTACAGCGTCACGGTCGTAGGCAGGTGGAAGAGCACGGCGTCGGTAATTATCAGCCCCAGGATCCAGTGAAGGAGCCTCGGCCGGTCCAGCACCAGGTGCAGTCGCGACCACAGCACCAGCGAGTGGCCCGTCACCATGCAGTACCAGGTCAGGATGATCAGCGTCACCGAGATGTACGGCGACACGTCCAACGCGAACAGGAACAGCGTGTACCCCAGTACGTGCGGGATCAAGCTGAACGAGCTCACCAGCAGACTCCAGAAGTACATCCCCCGGTACCGTTGAAAAGTCATCAGGCATAGGATCACCAGCTCGATCGCGTTGTACCATGTTATCGCTGCGAACGCGCTGATCACGTATTTCTGAACCGTATTGCCCGGCGTTACCTCGCTGAGGCTGCCTTCCGAGGGGCGGTCGCTGAAGGCGGACATTTCATTCAAGTGTATAAGGGCGGAGGGTGCGACGGTTCATGGTCACAGACTGCAGGAAGGGGCTGTAGACGCCCTGGGGGGGGTTCGGTTGGAGGCGAGAGAGAGAACTAGAGAGAAGATGATGGTGAGGGAGAGGTAGCGACGTAAGGTAGGGCTGTTGGTCCTCTATCGGTCGTCTATAGCGGAACGCTCTGGCGACCACTCCATGTTCCCGAACATGAAGTTTTTTTTTTTAACCTCGAACACGATGGCTAGCAGGGATTAAAGAAGGATTAAGAGGGAATGAAAATGAGGGGAAATAGGCTCAATGGTGGTTGCGAAGCGCCAAGGGGCCATTGCTCCCCGAGAAACTCTTTTCGCCTCCTCGGGATATCAGACTGACGTCGACGACCGGGCGAGACTTGCAGCTTCACCCATGGTTCAAGGCACTCGTCCTCCTGCCTGCAACGCGGAATCCACGTCGGATGCGACCGTATCTTTCTCGTCGGATTGGCTTACCTCGGTAGATGCCAGAATTAACGAACACAATAGTTCAACTCCGACCGCAAGGATTGCCTTCAGAGTTGCCAGGCGGTGCACGCTAGCCCTAATGCAACCACCACCTCCTTCGGGTGTTATTCCGACTGAGACACCCAAGACCTCAGGGGCGAGTGCAGGCACCACGATGATGGATTCTTCTCACGGTCTCCAGATCAGGTAAGGATGATCGTTCTCCATGCGGGGAGGCTGCCAGGGCACTGTCGACCGCAGCTTGCCCAGAGTGCTGGATGCCGATCGCACTCTGCATCCACTCGGCTTGAGAGGATGGGCGAGAGAGAGTACTTCAGGTCTCTATCTGAACATAGAATTGAGACTCCGTCAAAAAGTTCCATTTGCATGTCTTTACAACCCCAAGATTGTCGCACGGTCGGAAGAATGCTTGCATTTCGATTAATTCCGCATGTATAACCAACCCGGAGCTCCGAAACTACACCATGGATAGCTTCTCCAGGTATCTTTGGCACCGCCAAGGAACCCTGCAGCAACTGCCAATCGCTGGGAGAGCTCTCCTCATTTAAGGTTCCCGATGCATGACAGCTAGCTTTGATCACCCGTGTGGTGCATCTGCAGACTCGAAATGGTACCGATCCGCCGGGTTCATATCCCCACCACGCTTTCATTGCGGTCGATTCAGGGCGATTCGACGTTGATTGACTCTCGGGCAGAGCGACGCTCGGAACAGATTCATCTCCTCTTTGCACGCACCGGGCTGTTCTCTTTGAGGATGAGTGCTCGTGTCTCTTGAATTGAGAGGTGCAGCTTGAGAGATTGCCACAGAGGGTCAATGGGATGCCTAGACCACGTTGCTTTGAGTCACTTAGTTAGAACACGTGAACGCACGGACAACTGTGGGCACAAACTTTGCTTGATTGAGTTTAGATTTAGATCAGTAGTCACATTTCTAATCAGGCAAACTTAATCCAGCTCCCACCCGGTGGGATTTGTCTCCTCGCCAGGTCTCGGTCTCTCTCCCCTGCGCCAGGTCTTACTCTCAACTCTATCTGGTTGGATGCATAACTATTCGACGCTCGAGCCGCGCCAGATGTAAGTTTTAATTGTTCAATTGTCAGTTTCTCGAGGCCATGTTGTTCCCGATGCCTCTCCAAAAGTGACTGGAATTAGCAACTGCTCTAGTGATGCCTAAGGCACTCAGAGCACAATACACTGATCCTCTGCTCAGCGCCGAAACAAAGAAAGCTGGGGAGGAGAAGATGATTGTATACTCGCCTGACGATGGTTCGACGAGCTCTGATATCGCAAATCTGAATACTTTCGGGGATGTAATTAGAGCACTAAGTCATGCTTAAACCCAGTTTCAGTTTGGTAATAGTGGATAGAGTGGTCCACAAACGATAAGCATAAACCACAGCATAGCAAGGGACCTCTCCACAGGTTTCCGCAGGTCTCGTATTAACAACAACATTATCCACCAAAGCATATATTCAGGCATGACTAGCGTAGCCTGAGCACCGCATTCTGCACTAAATCCCGCGAAAACCAACGGCGATCTTGTAATCTCCGCTCGGAATCCTCCAGTCCTATGCCACAACATCCCAGTAGCTCACATCTCTCCTCGTCAGGTTAGAAGTCACCAATCTCCGCTCTTGAACCTCAAGGTAGACCTTTCTCAAAGCCCCGGAGGACCTTCACCGTCGTGCCGGTTGGCACGGAGGCGTTGAGGAAGGACAGATACAACTGCAAAACGGTAGCGCCCGCCCTCGGTAGGGATTTCTGCACTGTGGCTGACACCGTTGCGACAGTTTTCCAGAGTGCGTCGTTGCCTCCCGGTGGTACAACACCGGTAGGAGCCGGTGGGAGCCGCTCTGGGATGGTGTCCCTTACGTGGGAACCAGACAGAGCGCCGACGACATCGAAGGTGGTGTAGCTCAGCTCGTAACGGAACTCATACAAGGGCGTAATGTTCGTAGAGTCAAAGTGGCGGTAGTCGATCATCAGCCCTTCCGTCAAGTTTCGACTGCCAGGCAGAGGAGTTGGTTGCTTGCACGCCTGTGATGTTGACGATCGGGGCATTGTAGTCCATCCCCCGCTGGGCGATGGTATACGGCAGCCGGCCGGACGGATTCACATCACCCCAGAGAACGTCGACAATCGAGTTCCCCGTCTCTTGCCCAGGGAGATGCGCGGCCAGGATAGCTGTGACGTTCGGGGTAGTCGCCCAGGGCATGATGTTCTGCCCTGCAGAGTGGGTGATGACTACCGTTCGTCGACCGGGACACCGGGCTGCAACCTTCTCGACGACGGCGGTCGAATTCCAATCGGCCTCGTAGGCGCCCCGATCGACAGCCTCGCGCAAGTATGCTTTGAGGAAAACTAGGCAGATGTCTGGGCTAGGGTAGATGGCCTCGAACGAGCCCCGGTTGATCAACCCGTTGTCCATCAGGTAGACTATCCGGGCACCCAGTGTCTTGGCCTTGGCATTGATGGCCTCCAAGGAGGCACGATATACGAAGCCCGCCCTCTACCAGACCCTCCACCCACCCATAGGGTTCCGAGGTTGTAGCCAGTATTGGGGACGGTACTGGTTCCGTAGTCCGCAGTGAAAATTGAAACCCAACGGACACGTCGGCGGCGTCATTGCCAAACACTCCTGTCATGTGTAGCTACAACCGTGTCAACTAGACCTATGCATGTGAGAATGAGCTTCCACTGAATCACTCTCTCAAGACAGAACTCGGTTTCCAGGGCTACGGGATGTCGGACAGGTTCGCCACCCATTCGGGCGTTCGCTCGGTGAACGCCGGGTTGGATATAAACATGCCGGGTCCCATTGTAGCTGATGATCCGACGAGCTCCTACTTCGGGGCAGATCTGACGAGCGCAGTCCAAAACGGCAGTGTTTTGGAGGCTCGTTTGGACGACATTGTCAGGCGTGTGCTCATCCCATACTACCTTCTACATCAGGATGAGCCTGCGTACCCTACCCCCGATCCATCGGATATGTACGTCCTTGCTAAGTCCTACGGCGTTGACCTGGGATTATCTGAGCACCCGCCTGGTCGTGATCTCCGCGCGGATCATTTACAGCTGATCCCCACCATTGGCGCGGTAGGTACAGTGCTGCTGAAGAACATAAACAAGACTCTTCCACTAAACAAGATGAAAGTCAATATCGACACCACTCCGGCTCGCATTACGTCAGCGAAGGGCCCTATGTAGACTTCACGGAGAGTCTGGTCATCGACATGGGAGGAGATTCCTTCTCTATGAACACTATTAATTATTGTATCGCTGCGTTGGATCTTCTGTTCACTGCCGACAAAGTACTTAACACAGGCCTGGACCTGATTCTCTTGGATACTGACGATAGTCCATAACATAGCCATGCCGGTAGGACACGGATCCACGGAGAATCCTGTCCAGTTACGGCCGCTGAGAGCACTTCGGCAAGGGGACCGGTGACAGAACCGAGTAAAAAATATTAGAGTCTCAACCTATGGAAGTTGAGAGAATGGCAGAATATATTCTATTATAAGATTGACTTTTTTGCCTCGAAACTCTGCCCTGATAGCTTTTCTTTATTAGTATATTAATTCTTTGTTCTAGGTTGTAGCAGTTGTAAGTCCTGCGGGGAAGACATTGGCGAGGTCTGCTATATAGAAACCTAAGAACTTATCGGCCAGACACAAGCTCTAAAAGCTGACCCGGTCATTCATAGTAGTAATATCTATATATTCCCTTGTCTGAGTCCCGGTGGCCATGCTTGACTTCTCGGTCAAATTCAGTTGTATCTGGAAAGACAGAGCATAATTCACTTACATATCCAGAATCCAAAAAACTAGGGCAGTGGACCGGTATGAAAATTAGAGTAAAGGGCGAGTAACAATACAGTAAAATACTCTCTCAGACCCTGAATAGGAACACGAACGAGTACAAGATGTATTATACTATAGCAAATATAGGGTTTCCTCCAACCGTGCCTTGCAAATCTAGGTCGAATATTTCCACAGCATACTATGAACAACCTGTCCAAGCTCTTTTGCTAGTCAAGGCCTGACGCTAAATGCCAAGGTGCGTTTGAATGTAGGCCAATAATTCAACTATAAACGGCAAGGGTAGGTCCAAATACATCAATACTGGGTCTGTCAGCAGAGTAGGCAACCTGCGCACAGATATTTTGAGATTGCATGCTGGCCATGAGCTCCGCCAGCTCGCTCTCCGTTTCTTTGTGCTTGTATGCCCCATCGAGATGGTGGCCACCAAGCGGCACAAAATTCTCTTCTCCATTATCATGTTCTTGCCAATGACAATGGCCCGCACAGTCTAGCATTGCTAACCCCGAGTCCTTCGCTACCTAGTTATTGAGTACTCTTTCAACGCCAGCCATATTAATCAGGGCTATATACTCTATATTCAAGCTAATTAGGAGACATTCAAACATGAAAGATAAGGAAAAAGCGCACCAAAAACAGAATCTCAATCTAACATGACCACGGCATCTGGCGGGCCATACGCTCCCAACTTCCGAATCTTCCGCAGCAGGATCCCCGGATGAACCGCCGCGAAGGCAAACACAGCGATGGCCAGCAGCGAAGCATCGAAGACGTACAAAAACGCCTCTTTCTTGCTTAGAGGACTATCAGTGCCAGCAAGAAACTCGATGAGGCGGTAGATGCTGCGGACGGTGATCAAGCCGGTGACGGCGTGCAGCGTCCACAGGGTGCGGCGCCAGGGCATCGTGGGATCGCGGGCTGGACCGGAGGGCGGTCGCGAGCTGAGACGCCGATGCACAGAGCTGGTCTCGATCAAGAACCAGCCCAGCGCGACCAGCTGCACGGCCAAACCCCCGATAACGACGCGTTGGCCAGTGCGCACGCCGTCCAGATCGCCGCTCGCTTGCATCGCCGATCCCATCATCTGGCAGACAAAGCTGCCGATATCGATCAGCACATAGATCTTGGTAATCCAGGTCGAGCGGATGACGGTGGCCGATTCGGCGTTTAGGGCGCGCACGAACCGTCCCAGCGTCATGTACACCGAGGCCGACAGTAACGGGGCTGAGCCCAGGATCAGCATAAGCTGCAGGAGATACGGGGAGCCATCGCGGATGTTGTTGTGGGACCAGGCGCGGCCGTAATAGCCGAATGCTTCACCTGGAAGTTGGGCCCTAAGTCTTAGCATGGCACCCAGCGACGGAAATAAGGCCAGAGGTGAAGCTCACCGATACATCCCAGCAGAAAGGGGGTGAAGAACCACGCTCGAAGCCGGAACATCATCACCAAGTGCACCGCTCCTCCAATGCCGAAAATCACCACAAAGGCCCAGCCTGCTGGGGCTGATGGGTTGTATGCGTAAAGGTCGAACGAGGCCTGCCCTCGTTTATGTAAGGCGGGAGGTCCGGTGTGCATTGTTCGTACTCTCGATTCGGGTGAAAGTGAGGAAAAGTAAGGGGCCTGGCAGAATAGTACCAAGAGTCTTGAATGCAGCTCTTGCGACTCCAAACATATATAACTCTTTCAACTTCAAGAGACAGGATCATCCGTTGTGTCGAAGGCCCATTCCTGACGACTAGAGAGTACGAATACGCCAACATTTCCCGATTGGGATAAATTCTCGGAATGATGCCGCAGATAAGCACCTATTTTAAGCGCTTCCCCACGAGCCAAATCATTCTCCCATGCTTGTTGGCGCGTCCCCTGATTCTTCGGTTATTGTGGGTTTCAGATAAGTTTTCATGAGCGCATCGCATCATCCAGGGGGGCAAGGAAGCGCTTGATCGGACCCTTTGAAGTCTTTGTCTATCTACCGCCGAGGTCAACGACACGATTTGCTGTCGGCTACCAAGCTTGCACCAAGCTCAATAGGTTCATGCTTATCACAAACACGATGACCCTCTAAGAACATCGAAGTAGAATATCGGTGAAGAGCATACCGACTCTAATAGTGTTGGGATGAAACAACTTTGAGGGCCACAGCGGACCTCATTCTACTGGTCACTCATGATATCAGTTTCATTCCCGGATACCCAAAGCACATTGACTAAGAATGTAATTCATGGTATTTCTGTATCCTAGCTTTGCCAAATCGAAGAACTGTGTATACCCACCCCTTCCGGGCGAGACCCGATCTCGGCAACAAAAATAGCACATTCTGACGGCTCTTTGACGATTCTATCATGATAAATACCTCCATTTCAATCTGTCCCATGGCTACATTCTGGACCCGAGAGTATTCTCCGGCAAATTGGTATTGACAACCCCGGAAAGGTGCCGTGAGGTCCACTTTTGCAGGCAACAGGTGGAGCTGATCACACACGAGTACGAGAGAATTGCCGTATGGGGGAAAGGTGCCAGTGCAGGGCCCAAACTCTAACCCTGCTTTTGCCCGAGCCTTGCGCAAACTACATTCATTCACCATATAGCATCTATTTAAGTCAGCAGGACTGGTTGAAGTAGTGCTCAAGCCCTTATATGGCTCACCACTCTCTCTTTCCTGCTGATCAATTACATTCCACCATCAAGTCTCCCACAATGTCAAACCCCGCAGCCTCACGCCAACCCCATCAAAAAAACCTCGATTGAGGAATACTGGCACCTAGGAGGCGCCTGCGGACTCGCCGCGCGAGCCACCATGCGCATGCTGCAGTTCGTCTTCGCGGTAATCGTGGCCGCGCTGTACGGGGTCGACCTGGCCCATGCGACCAAGACCCGGGCTCCTGCCTCATCGGAGTGGATCTTCGCCGAGGTAGTCGCCGCGCTGTCGGCCCTGACTTGTATCGTGCACTGCTTTGTGGTTGTGAAGCGCGTGGCCTGGTCCGCGTGGGATGCGGTGCTGTTCGTGCTCTGGCTGGCGCAGACGGGGGTGTTTGGGACGCTCTACGTCCCACGCGAGGTAGAGCCGGCGGATCGCGCAACGACTACCTCGTTGATCCGCATGCGCATGGCGGTCTGGTTTGATCTCTTGAATATGGGGCTGTGGCTGGTCTCGACGGTTATGGGTGTCGCTTGGTGCGTTCGGGCGCGCAGGGTCACTCGCTCGACGGAGAAATGTGATTGTCGTGAATCTTGCGTGGAGACAGGCAGCGAGCGGGATGTGGAGGAAGGGATCGTGCCGGATAGCAAGGCAGTTCTGACGGATCTGGGCGACGGAGACTTTTCGAGCGTGGATAAAGATCGGCAAAGAAGCGATGCGCTGATGCAATACGCTAACGCCATTGATCACATGCTTGAAGCTCAAACTGAGAGCCTGCCGCCGCCCTCCTATCACGAAGCACAGAAAGATCATCATGGGGCACATGCCTGAGAGTCCGACATTGACAGAAGGGACTACACACAGGAATACGCTAGGAAACGACATGACTTCTTATGAGGTCTTATCTTGATTGGGCCTTTGACGGACAGGTGCCCGGATGATTTGGAGTAGGAGACTTGAGGTATTGTATGGAAAATTGTTGTACAATTTACCTTTTTGAACAACTTGTTGATTGAGTTATTATTCTCGGATATATATATGCATTACATGGTCCGCACTCTCTCAAGACCGCCAGGTAAATCGTGCCAGGCGCGCTTCCCTCCTGTACAATATGCCCATTCGAGGTCCACCACACTCTCATAACTCCAGTCCACATCTGCCGCGGCACCAAATTGAAAAGCGAGAAACTGCAGATACGCAATCCCTGTGTAGGTAACCGGGACAAAATAAGCTCCGCGGCGTACCCACCAGAGCATTGCACGGACAATCTTCTCAGGCGAGATGACGGTTCTCCCGGTGGAGGTCTTCCACAGAGAAGGCACGATATGTCGATATACGAGTTCTGACGATCGATACAGCGAGCGAGCATAAGGCAGGAAGGATTGTTCAGTTGGGACGGATTCCTGGCCCCGTTCTGTGGCCCCCCGTGTCAAGCACTCGGCCTCACTGCTGATGTACCAGATCTCGGGCAAGACCTTGCCTTTCTGTGCCGCCTTTTGTGCGAGGAATTGTTGGATTAACCGTATCGTCAAAGTGCAGTCAGACTCCATATCTTCCATACCACCCGTGCAGTTTGCCAGGATGAGAATATCCGCTTGATCGAGCATAGGCATCAGACGGGTAGCAGCCTGTCGGGTCCAGGACTTCCCGATTACCGGCTTGTGGATGCTTCTTACGCCCTCAGCGAGAAGCTGTTTCTCTATTGCCTGCCCGAATTCGCCCGAGCCGCCGGTCATGACCACCACCTTGCCACGAAGAGAGTACGCGGTGCCTGCGACCCAGTCAAAGAGCTTGATGGCCGAGCCCATGTATCGGTCGGGGTAGCGGTGGTGCAATGCGTGGTACTCAGGGCCCACGAACGACCAGCTCCAGTCTTTCGGGACGGTATCGTAGGAGATATGGTTGGAGTCCTTTCCATCATTGAGGATCACGACCAGGGAGCGTCCGGCTTGGATGACTAGGACGATCAGCAGTGCCCTGCGGTCGATACACTCGGTTCGTCCCATCATTATGGTCCAAGCCACCAACCACCCGACAACGTTTCCCAGCATCTGGCATAGCAACTCGAGCGGAAGGGCGATCCGGGTGTTCTGGCGTGTGTATTTGGGATTGAACTGGAGCAGGCGGCCGTAGTACAGGTGGTGGTATTGGTGATAGCGGGAGAGGAGTCGTAGGAAGCGCCATTGGGACCTTGACCAGCGATGGAGCAGGAAATGCATCCAATCGAAGAAGACGGTACCAGCCAGGTAGAGGTAACAGAGGGAGAGGATAAACTTAAGCCACGACATGAGTTGGAGGATTGAATGTGAGGGTGTCTTGCGATGTACAGACTGCCTACCTACGTCTTGTATGCTACCTTAATACTCATCGAGATGTATGTCCCCTGAATGTCCAGCACGAGTGATGGTCCTTGACCTGTTACTGTGAATAGATAGTGTGTGGTGGATCCCATCTTAGACCTGGGGTGGACCGGCGGAGACCACAAATTCAAAACTGGCACAAAGCACCGATCTCAATTGTCGCCACAAGACACGCGAGTGGCATACTGTTGACCTCTGACCGAGTGTTGCCAGGCGCAGAACTTCTATGGGATGATACAGCTCGCGGGATCCCCAGCATTTGTTTGCAAGGACGATGAGCCCTGAGAACCCAATCCCCGCTGGGTTCTTTCATGAATCTCAGGGAATAAGCGTAAATTAGCGAAGCAGCCGGGTTTGACTCAAAACCCGGCATTCAAGCCAAATGGAGACAGGAAACCCTCTAACAAGCCATCTTGCTGTGATCGACACTAAGAATAGATCAATGGCATTTTGATACGAATACGACCCCACAGGTAGGGTTGTTGGCATGTGGGGCTGGGAAGCGTCGACTGCAGCTCTAATGAAATGCATGAGCACATGTACTAATATAAGCGGAAGAGCGCAGTTTGATTCCCAGTGAGTGAGGCTTTGAGCTCTGTTCTGATTCCAAGCAACGCCTGGGAGTTCATTGAGATAATAATTCCTGGCCTACATGTATGAGTGGGACGGTGATGCTAAGATCGAGCTCGGCTTGGCGACGTGCGGTAGAGTAAAAGTAGCTAATCCCGTGAGATAAACCCCGTCGTCCGGAACAAAGATACCCACCTTATCCAGTTTAGTCCCTGCCATGCCACGTTCCTGGGCCGCAGAAGACAGATCTGGAGGGGTTTAATTGCCAAATAGCGTCCAGCATGCTTTAGGCAGCCACAAATCTAATCCTGATAGCTCCCAATCGTTTTCTCCTAGATGAATGTGATAAATTTCTTGTCGGGAGGTTTCATGCACTTGGAGAGGGATTAACGGGTGGTGCGCGGGGTCAGCTTTCCGTGTCATCTATGGGATACAGCAGGCGAGAGCATACAACAGAGTCGATGGTCAATGACATCAATGTCAATGCTTTACTTCCGATTAAAAGGCTACTAGATTGCTTGTCAAAAACGTTGAAGATCGCCAGAAGAACAGCCACTTCTCCTCACCAACGGCCGCCCGTATCAGTCATAAAAAGGTAGAACTACCACATTGTCAGAGTCGGTCCTCCCGCCACGGCAATTGTCTCTCTGTTACGTATTCGCATTCACCCGATTAGGGGTCAAAGTAACCGTTTCAGGGCGCTTAGTGTTTCACCGTCAACGGTCTGCCCGAATGAAGATTTGTGCTGCCAAGAGTATCATAGCGTGTCTGTAAACAGAATTGGCTGTATGTTTCTTCACTATAGTGGTCGTGTTGATTTACCCCACTGCAGACTATCTTATTATAGCTCTCTCCGATCGTATCTCGTCCCTATTTAGTCAGTAAAGTTATTCTATATAAGCTTAAACCTGAAGACTTACCGGCTATCCATCTGAAAAGGTTCCGCTATCCTTCTCGCTAAATACCATAAACTTACCGCTGAGTAATCTTGGTTGGAGAACTTGATTAACGGGTGATAGAGAAGGCGGTAAGAGACAGAGGCAGGCGACCATAAAGGTGAATAATGGGGCTATTGTTCTCAAATCTTAGACATCTTCTTGCACTGAGTTACTCACTCTCAATAAGGACCATAGGACATACCTTAATCTTATGCTAAAGAGGTATTGTTCTTCAATGAATGGCTGAGTGCCCAAGGCAGCCTTGTGGCCTACTGCCTTAAGGCAAGAAATCAACCACTTCGGATCAATAGAATCATTGCCCTAATCCAAGGCCTGAGCTGGGACCGACCAGTATGATCCCACTCAGCTTTTAGTAGATAGATGCTGCCTAACCCTTACACTGCCACGAGGGTGGGGATTCTTCAAGTCGAAGACTGGAGGCACATATCCGTTCGGCGTAAGGTTGGCGTATTCGTATACAGATATCTAGTTGGAGCTAGACCCTGCGTTTCTTTCCAATGCCCTTCGGCCCCAAATTGATTCAAACTTCACAACTTTGTGGCATGAAGCGCATGTTCCTAAATCAATAATTCTCTCATCCCTGAATATTGAATGGTTGGACTTGATACAATGCTTGAAAGAGACAACGCTATAATTGGCAAGAAATAGGCTTTGCGTGATAACACCGTCTGCAAAGATGATCAGGAAGGCTTGTTTTGATTGTTTCAAATCTCCTCCGGCAAGTATTGCATACAATACAATAAGTAGTTGACACATTTTTGTCATTTCAAAAATAGCACTGCTCGCGAGAGTGAAAGACAGAATCCAAGATCAGTTCCTCCTGCAAAGCTTCCCCGTGTCCAAATCATAGTCCCACTCATCGCTGCCCACACCCGAAAGCACAAACAGACTGTAGCTAGGATCATGCTTCTTCTTGATCTGCACCAGGCGATCGTAGTTAGAACCATAGAAGTCCTGCTTGAAGTTGCTGTCGTAAGAGTTGGCTTCGTTCATGTAGGCTCCAGATTTGGGCGACCACTCCCTCCACATCTGCTCCTTGGCCTCATTCCACCGCGCCGCCTTTTCCAAAGCCAATTTGGGCGAGCCTGCGGCTACAGAGTTCACAGTAGCACCATTGGTGATAAAATGGAGATATGCAGGTCGCCAGGCGGGAAGCAATGCTCCCCAGGCTTTCTCGGGCGTGTTGCGTACGCCAGGTCCGCCCTGGAGACCAACCGTAGCGTATGTACCACCTTCGGTGTCCTGCGAGCGCATCGCGATTTTGAGATACTCTTTCTGTTTCTGGTGGGGGGTGTCAATCAGCTCAGCCCGCCCCAGTAGACGACTGGAGACCAGGCTCTCGCCCCCTGCAACCTCACTGCCAGAGATGGCACTGTAGAAGGAAGAGTAATTCCCGCTATCGGTTGCGGTGAAGGTGATGCTCAGGCTGCTATTTCCCCTGGCCGCCTTGGTGATGTTCGCCAGGACGGGATTTACCAGAGCTTCCATTGCGGCGGGTGTGGAGTTGAAGGCCCAGAAGACCTGCTTGACCACCACGCCCGCGGTGGACTCGTGTAGCGACGCGAACGATTTTGCCGTATTGCCCGTAGCTATCATACAAGCCCCAGCCAGTCCGGCATCCATGAGGTCGGGAAGTGCAGACAGATGGGTCACGGCGGCGTCCCAGGACAGCTCAGCGCTGTGGTTGTTGCCATCCTTGGGAGCGATCAGAACATCACCCAGGACGACATTCCGCGGTGCTGGATGATGTCTAATCACATACTCGGTAACGACTCCGTACAGCCCCGGGCCGCCGCCACGGAGCGCCCAGAACAGATCCTGGTTCTCGGCCTCATTTGCGACCAGCACTTCACCTTTCGTCGTCACCACTCGCATCTGCAGGACGTGGCTCGACGCGAGACCGTACGTGCGCGACAAAGGCCCGTGGCCTCCCCCTTGGATATAGCCGCCAAGCCCGACGCTGGGATCCTGGCCGGTGGTCACCACTCTTCCTTGCTCCAGCGCCTTAGTGAGTACGTTACCCCATGTCTGGCCGCTGCCCACGACGTACACATCTTGGGATACATTGGTAGCTGGATTCTGCCACGAGGGGTGGCGTTCCAACTTGTGCAAGTTGTGAGTCCAGATGGACAAGGCAAAAGCACCACTAGATCTGGGTTGAGACGAAGCGTTAGCCTTCTCACATTCAACGCTATTGGAGCAACTAAATAGCACACTCACCTTCCATTGAGATCATGACCCGTTCCTTTGACCACAATCCGAATATTGCGTGCAGCAGCCCACTTCATTGCAGTCGCGATCTGCGCTTCATTGGTGGCATTCACGACGTATTGCGGCATGCCGCCTGTCGTGCAACCGCGCTCAGCCACATAGCCCGAGGCACTCGGCGGCAAGCACGAGTTGTTCGCATAGACGGGATAGTCGATGGACTCGGGAAGCTGAGCATGCCACGAGGCGTCGGCCCACGTCGAGTTGACGGTGTTGCAGGGCACGGTTGATCCGAATGGGTTGCCGGACCAACACGATGAAGCTACTGGGACGGTGCTGAGAAGTTGATGATCGATCGATCGGTTGAGGGCCGCCCAGTCCTCGTGGGATGGCCAGTCTGCATCGTAGGGAGTCACCTTGCACCCAGGAGACGCCGAGACTGCGAGGGCAAGGTACAGTGCTATAACGATGAAGGGAAGCATGATCAAGGAGTGAGGGTGTTTTGAAGCATAGAATGAAGACGAAGGAGAGGCATCACTTTGGGTCTTTATATGCAGAGGCTGGAAGCTCAGTCCCGGCAAAAGAATCTGGTATCATACTGTCTTCCGAAACGAGTTCAACGCAGCTATAGGCAACTGCCGATATCTATGCGTGACCCATATTCTCAAGGGAATTGCGCAGTTGTGGAGGCAGTTGATCGGCGACCAAGGCAGCCAGGTCTGTTTCGAGAACCACCTTCGACCAAGCCCGTACGAATACGACGACATTACCCAAAATGGAAGAAGGCTGGATTGGCGTACGCCCGACACCTGGGGCAACATTAGCATTCGCTAGCGAAATACCGGAGAGCCCTAACGAGTGATGCACGTGGGTCTGAAATAAATAGATAGAGTACGTCAACGCAGAGCAATACCAGATTTCTAAAAGCCAGGGTGTTCAACATACCTAATACGGATTCATTCTATAGGTAATGCAATGAATCAGTAAAGCTATCTGTGTAGCATCCCTGCTCAATTTACTCAGCCCATTTATGCTGTTAACCCTATGCAACCTACCTAGGCTTCAAATAAACTACCAAATGCTCTCTTCAGATTGACCTGGACAAAAGGTATTTCGCAAAAGAAAAACAGCTTTGGCACATGTCATTTACCGCCGTGACAGCATGCTAATGACTGTGTATTTGTCTACTTCTACCGCATGCTTAGCTCTTATGTAAATTGGCTGGTAGTCCTACTTCCATGACCACCTTCATTCGAGGTAGCCATATCAAAGAATTCCTTATTATCCTCAAATTACCCTAGCATTATTACATTACTCGGAGTTCCATTATCCGTTCATCGTAAAGGTGCATCATATCTTACGCACTGCCGAGAATGTTCTTCTCGTAGATGCTAGTCAACTTGCCCGTGTTCTGGTTCTCGACCTATTGACTACTTGTCAGTGCTAGCCAGCAGCGGGGAACGACCGGCAGATACGCACCTCATAGCGAGGGTTCTCCTCGCTGGCATCGACGTTGCGATCGGCCTGCATTCCGGGTTCCGTCAAGACCGACTTGATTGTGCCGACGCTCTCTGAGGTGCGGGAGTCGGGGCCTGTGGGGCGCATTAGTCTCGAACTATACAAGATAAGGTAACAAAGGAGGATAAAATATGGTGTCGTACCGCCAACGGGCTTGTAGCGGACTGCTTGGCCGTTGCTGTACTGAGGCATGTTGGATGATTGTTGTTTGTTGAGTTTGGCTTTGTGTGATATAAGACTGGATGATGTTGGTATGGAGAATCTACTGAATCGAAGATGATGGTTTACTTATGGATGGGAAATCTCTTGGGCATTATATATGTGGATTGCATGCTTAATCATTGATGATGATAGTGGTGATGATGATGATGCAGGTTATTGTAAGTTTGACGTCAAGGGATATGAAACTGTGGGCGATGATTGTGGAATGACAATTCGATGTGGTCAATAGGGGGTGATTGTTGACGCATGGTGACATTATCGGGCCCGGTTCCACGGTTAGGCTTTGGGCCTCGATCTTGCCGCCGATCCCGTGGGGTGAGAACTGAGATCGGACTCACATCATCGAGCAGAACTTACTATGAACACCCCACAGTTGTTCTCTCTGAGAGGGAATTATATTTTGGCCTGCAAGTGAGTTTGCAATTATTAGTCAAATGATTTTTTCCTGGCAGATACCTCGTAACACACGCCGGCCCTGGACTCGATGATCGAATTTCTGTGTATACAATGAACATGAGCCACATCACGGAAGACATTGCAATGGAGACGGGGCCCCACAGAATGATCGTAGCTGTGTGGAATAAATGACGATCGTTCCTATCACCAGATTATGAGCGCCTTAACCTGCATTCAGTACCATGAGTTCCGGCACTCGATCCGATGCAAACACACCAAATCTGATTGCAATCTAGACAACTTCATTCAAACAGGGCCTTCACCTTCCTCACCACCGACTTCCTCACCGGCGTTGACTCCTCATCAGCCCGCTCAGCATAGAAGCGCCGAAACTGATCGAGGTCGATGGTGCTCGCATCCACCCACAGCGGGCAGCGGTACCAGATCTGCGCCCCCACCCAGATGATCACCACCGCAATCACACTGATATAATTGGCGAAGAAAGTCTTCGCCGACGGCTGTTCGTGCAGGGGCCAGATGCTCAAGTAAAGCTCCAGCCCGATCAAGGCGATACACCACGCCAAGCCCCACCACGTAGCGTACGGATACGCCCAGGTTCGCCAGGGAATGTGTGTCTGATCACGACCTTGCAGCTTCCAAGTGTAGCGGAAGCGGAGATGAGAGAGACAGATCATGCCCCAGCCGAAGAGCGTCAGGAGGGAGACCAGGTTCGACAGCCAGGTGAAGACCTGGACTCCGGTCTGCGACACATTGAGGTAGGCCAGGGCTCCGCCGATGCCGATGGTAGCGATGTATCCGGCCCACGGACGGCCCATTGCGTCGGCTTTGCCGAATATCTGTAGTTTGTGATCACTTGCGTTAGCATTCTGCTTTCCTCAAAGGCATAGCTCTGGGTGTTGGGACTGTACCGGGTGATTCATGCGGACATGGGCCAGTCCCATTAGCATGCGGGATCCACCGTAGCCGGAGATACTCCCCGTGGAGACGATCGAGATCAGAATCACGGCGTTGGTCATATGGGCCAGGGCCGTGAGGCCGGCGCGCTTGAATGCAATCACAAAGGGCGATGCGTCGCTACCGGAGCCACCGAACAGGGAAGGATCCTTAGGGTCAACCGTCAAGGTAATTGATAGACTACCTAGGATGTAGAAGAGGCCGAGTCGGAGCCAAATCGATCCAATGGTCTTCGGCATTGATCTTCGTGGGTTTGCAACCTCGGTGGCCACCAGCGCTGCGTTCTCTGACCCAGCCATGGCGAACACGCAGGTTGGTAGGACGCTGAGGAAGCCCTTGACGCCGTTGTTGAAGGGCTGCGCATTCCAGTAGCGGAACCCGATCGGTTCCCCTTGGGGAGAGCCTCCAGCGGCAATCACTGCCCAACGGTTAGCGACTTCGTCGACTGAGAGGCGTTGTAGCATCTACCAATCAATGCCACGATGGCAACAAACATCCAACTAAACTTGATAGTAGACGAGAATACTTCCACATCGGCAAAGAACCTCACCACCCAAACATTAATCAGAATTATCACAACCCAGAAGATCGTTATCAAAGCCGCCGTCGGCACCTCGTTGGTCCAGTAGCCGAGTACGGTCACGACGCCCTAGAAGAGAAAACAAAAATGAGCATCATAGGGTCTTCGTGTTTAAAGGCAGGTAATACTCACCTGGAGCTCGTTTGCAATGGTAATCCAGTAGGAGAACCAGTATCCCAGCCCAAAGCAAACCCAGCGGCTGGACTGATAAAAATAGTCGACCACTGCACAAATGCCGAGGGGAGAGGATAGAGTACCGCCATCTCGCCGATGGACTGGCAAACGGCCCATACGATGGAGCTGCTAATCACGAAGCCGATAAACATATTAGCCGGGCCTCCGTTGATGAGAATCGTGCCACTTCCGAGCCACATGCCCATGCCAATCGCAGACCCCAGAGCCACCATGGTAAGATGGCGAGTGCCGAGCGAGCGATGAAGCTGTGTATCGGCTCCGTGATCAATCACATCTCCATTTTCTTTGCTGGGTCCATGTTCCATGTCCATGGTGACCTTTTCACCACGTTTGTCCATATCGTGGGGCACATGGCTTTGAATACTTGCACGATCTGAACTCATATTGATCGCAGACGGAGAAAAGGGAAAGGTTTAGAAGTATATGAGATGTGGAAGAGAGGGATGGATGCTGAAATTGAGATCACGCTGTAGGCAATTTGAAAAAGGAAGGTCTGGTAGTAAGTTCTTATATTCATCTCCATGAAGACAAGCCATGATTCTGAGGAGGGGTATAGACGCAGATACCTCTGGCTATCTTGACCTAATTCTCAACATCGGTATGAATCCGAGATAGAGGACACAGGTCGCCACAAGAGATAGCAGATCTTGTCAAAATGCGGGGAAGATAATCAGCATCGAGACTAGGAGATGAAACCTGTCATTCAGCAAAGGCCGTTTGAAGTAGTATTAGCGACCTCCACGAGCTAAAGCTTACTGTATCTGGCACTTGGTGTCCAATTCGGTGTTTGAATCAGCCTGGGCCGTGTCGAAGGATCAGCCTTCAGTCATTGATATAGCTAGGGCCCTTGGCGAATGTGGACTAGAGTTTGGACTACACCTATCACGAGGTAATTAGTTATGAGTATACTAAGACCTAGTTGTAAACCATCATGATACTATCACCACTCATCTCCGGGATCTGAGCGACCGGTGTTTGAAGCGAGCTTGACAGTCTTTGTCATGTTCTTACACAATGATGAGATACAGCTCTAATCTGTCATGTATACCAGCTCGCTGAACCATGGCCCCTACACAGGGATCCAAGAGGCTCTTGCAGGGAAGGGTCAGACCCTTGTGAATCTAGCACACGTGATGGCTAGATAAATTACAAAGGTAATCTTCACTCGCGTTGTAAGCCACTATGGCACTCGAAGTAGATAAATGAGCTAGGTCTGCCAAGTTTGTGTATTTGAGAATTCATTCGATCTACAATAGGCCACAGTTCACAAATTTCTACCTCGTCAAAATTATGTATCTTCGGAGAACGTGAAATTGCGTAGTATTGATAAACATAAAGTGGATACGTCGAGAAGAAAAGATCATCCGAGCATAGAGAGTTTTAATCATGGTCCTCGTAATTATCGTCATTGAATAGTACGGATTATGCGTGCCATCGCCTCCTCTAGCCAAGGAATGGGATGCGCGAACACCACGCGAAACCATCCCGGCTTCTCCGATCCGTAAGCAAGCCCATGAGCCACGTATACCTTATTGTTCAGGAGCTTTTGAAAGAGGAAGTCGGTTGATTCTACGTCCTTTGCGCTCACTTCCGGATGGGTGTTCAGATACTTCTTGCCCAGATTGATCCACAGGAAGAAGCCCGCATTCGACCCGTGGGTATACTCGATCTGATGGTTTCGGAGCGAGTGTGCAAGGAACTCATGGGACTGGGAAAGCAGCTCCCGGTTTGTCTGAATATATATCGGTCCGTGAATCCATCGTCCTGAAGAATCGTGGCGGTGATCTGGTCGGACATGCCCGAGACGAACGAGTACAGCGACAAGGATTTCTGCGCAACGTGGAGTTCCGGATTAGCCTGGGAGATGATCGCCCCGACGCGCAAGCCGTTGGCTCCAAAGTCCTTGCTCATTATCCAAAGGACGTGCACGAGATCAGGGTCGATCAGGCCGGTGGTGTCGCGCGACAGCAGCGACTCGAAGGGGGTGAACGAAATGTTGTCGTCCACGCGGTTGTTCCAGACCGAGAGAGCGTAGATCTCATCACTAATCAGGTGCATCTGACGCGACTGACAGAATCGCATCAGCCGGTCGACTGTTGCGCGGGGATAGCACCGGCCGAGGGGGTTGTGCGGGTTGCAGAGCATCACGGCGCGCACTCGTCGCCCTGTGCGTGCTTCAAACTCGATTGCGGCGTTCTCGTACTCGTCAACTGCCTCTGGACTCAACGGATCCACGTCGCCCATCTCCACGGGAACCACCACTGCCTCCGGCCGTAGCGAGATATCGGCGATGAAGGTGCTATAGTATGGTTTGCTGAGGAGGATAGCGTCGCCCGGATTGAGAAATGTCCAGCTCAGGTGCTCGATCGCCGAAGAGCATCCGTTTGTCATGAGAACATGGACAGGCTCGACTGGGCGGAACGGTTGAAAATGCCGGTTCAAGAAGTGTGCAACGGCTTTGCGAAGTGCGTTCGATCCCATGCTTCCATTGTTGTAGGTGAGATGCACGGCGGAGAGCTGGAAATTGGAGTGGATGTAATCCAGCAATGTGTCATGAAGCAGGGTGTTCTCTGCCATGCCCACCGACAAATATCCGGAGCAGTTGGTCTCAGGATGCCACATGTCGCTGACAATGTCCCAGGTTATACGCTTGGCTCCCAGCGCAATCGCATTCTGGCCCCGTTGCGAAAAGGTCTCAGAGTACCGGGTGACTGAGGGGGAGATGGATCCCATGGTGGATGATAGATTGAAAGTAGAGTGGAGTGATAGATATGTAGTATGTAACTCTAAAGCACAAATGTATTCCAAAAACAACCCTTTCTCCTTGGAGCTTATACTATATATATCAAAGGAGATCAACACAAGCTTTAATTGTCATGTTTCACTTAGTTCATGTGAGTCTAGGAATTAGCCGATGTCGGGTTAATCCTCATACCTAGACTCACATGAACTTAGCTGCACTTATCGTCTTCCTTTTGTCCAGTACCGAGGGTAGCGAGAGGCAGGAAGACGGTAGGTAGACTGCATGCAGTATGTATCGTATCTCGCCTGCCAAGGCTGCAAGGCGCGATAACGACTCTCTTATCGGGAGGCGCGGCGCCTTACGGGAACAATGGAAAACTAAATGAATGGTTGGGAGGCGCGCGGCCTTTGAATTCAAGCTCCTATTGGTTGCTCGGTGTCTGAGACTTATTGCCCCACTGAATCAACGAATCTTGAATGAATCCATTGTTGCTGCAACTCACGCTAATATCATTAGCCCTGTTCAGTCACTCTCTTCGTGACGCTACCCCAGATCCTCATCTTCCCCTCTCTTGAATTCCACATCGCCAGATATTACTCTGAGTTACGACAAGAGGGGAAAGTGAGAGAAAAGAGTCGTATGGAAGGAAAGCGACAAATACGCTCGGATGTGTAAAAAAATGCCGTCTGCCTCTCGCCCGGTGAAGCTGGCATGCCTGGCCTGGTATGTCATCAAACGATCCGCGGATTCTATGCAAGGGTTCCGCACTGACATGAGTTGAATGACAGCCGGGCTTCGAAGACCCGCTGCGACGGACAAAGGCCGTGTGTCAGTGTAAGCCTGCATTGACTTGAAGATGGGACCTGATGAGAAAGTCGGTAATAACCCTCTGTAGTGCTCCACACGTGGAGAAGAGTGTCAATATCAACCTAGTCAACGAGGTGGCGCTCGACGGGGTCCTATGGCCGCCGCGGAGCTGGCAAGGAGAAGGGCTCAACGCCTGGCAAACAGAGCACGTATCGAGAATCATAGCCACTCAAAAGACTCCGAGCCTCATTGCCAGGACTATCATTCCCATTCACATCCCAGTGCAATCGTGCCATTTTCACCGTCCTCACTGTCCTCGATTGATCTGACTTATCATCTGCCTGCGCCATCCCTAGAGAGCCTCAGCATAGGGCTCCCCTCGCCTAGAGTAACGGAGGAGCTCCTGGCGGCTGTGGAGCTTCCTGCGTGGAGCATTAGAGCTTATCGTTGTGATCAGGATCTGTACGTCGTGCCTTGCTGAGATGATCTATCTGACTCTGAACCTGATACACCTTTCCCCCCTACTCTCCGTCTAGGCTCAACGCGTATTACATCTTCATACACCCATACTTCCCATTTCTGCCACCTCCAGCGGTTTCCCAATATGAGGATAAGTGCGTCGCCCTCGACATTTCTTCGTCCTATGCAAATGCTTCAACCCTTCCCTACTGGCCCACCTCGCCGCTGGCTCTCGCCATGGCGGCGATACTGGTCTTAATCCCTCCGCCAGGAAGACCACGCGCAGCAGAAGATGAGGCTGTCATGTTGCGGCGTTCTTATGCTGATCTCTATGCACGCTCTGCACTGGAATTGGTGGATGATTCCCTCGAGAATTCATCTCGGGTCACATTAGCTGGGGTTTCGCGAAATGGCCTGCATCCAACAGTTCCTCCAAGGATCGAGCCAGTCCTCGCATTGGGACTACTAAGCCTGTATGAATACTCACAACGCGGGAGTACTTCCAAAATGCGCGCTCGGGCAAACCAGGCGCTGACCCTTGCGATGGACCTATCTGTACATACGGAAAATGTACAGACAAGGTGTCTAGATGCACATCGGCGGTGCTGGTGGGCGACGGTTAGTCACGCATCTATAAGCCTGACTACTCTCCTCGTGACTCTTTCTAATAACATCCTAATCATGCACACAGGTTTTTCTGGTCTACCTCTCATCGATTCTTAATGCATCGGTTGGTCATGGTTGGAGTGCCGTATCCACTGAGCGTATTGACTGACCACACACCAGCCTCCGCTTATTACTTTCGATGACCTTCGAATCACAACCATTTATCCCGAGTTTCGTGGCTGCCGTGAGGTGAGCTACATACCTTCGCCCAGACTATTTTATTCCATGCTAACTTTGTTGCTGGTCCATGCAGCCATGGCCACTCTTCATGAACGCACAAGTGGCTCTCTTCCGCAGCTGCTCCCTAGGACGCCAACTCGTCGGCGCAAACGCCAGCAATGACAGCACAGGGCTGCCCCGGTCCCTAGGCGAAGATATCAAACGCCTCGACTCCTTTATCCTCGAACTTGCTGCGGAGGCGGACCGGTTCCGCTGTGTGACCAACTACCAGGGTTCCGAGGCCGACGCCTCGCGCAACCTCTGGGCCATTTCTAAAGCGCTCATTTACACCTCCCGCCTGACCCTCCATCGTCTGCGCGCATTCCTGGACAGTCCAGCTTTTCCAGACGAGCGTCACGACTTCCTCCTTGCCGGCGACACGATCCAGACCAACCCTTCCTCCCCTTCCAGAACAACCCGCCCATTCCACCTCTCCCCGAACCTAGCAGAGCAAATTACCGCGGTATTCCCCTTCACGGGGCAAGAATCCGTCAGGTTCTGCCTGCAGTCGGCCTTAGCCATAGCCAGAGTATTCCGCCGGCTTCCCTCGCCCAACCCGATGTATTCCGACGAGGCGGACGACTCGGGGAGTACTGGGTCTAAAATGTCGAGGCGACGGCTGGTGGGCTCGCCCCGTTCCATTCCCTATATGGCCAGCTGCCAGTTGCAGAGCTTTTACACCTTGGCCATGTTGCTGCAGCGGGTCCGAACGGCCTTGTCCTTGGGCAATCTGGGTAGCTATGCCTACCTCCTGAGTCAACCAAGTGCCACGACCGAGATGCAGGACATGGAGCGGCTGGTGGAGGAACTGCAATGTGGAATGGATGCCCTAGCGAGGTCCCTGCAGGCGGACGCCGTCTTTGAGGGGGTGGCGTTGATGGCCAAGGCGGCGGAGAAAGCGTATGAAGCTACCGCTGGGGACTGAATGATATGCCTGCGAGGATAGGCTTCTATCTTTTGCGATGAGTAGAAATGATTACTATCTGTAAAAGCTAGAGATTTTATGACATGACGCTCGTGCGAATGCGGCTTTTATCTCAATGCTCTACTTCGCTTAATCACGATCTGGGAGGATTGGATGAAGTAATCGCAGCTTTTGGATTCATTGTGGTCTCATGGAAGACCGTACACAATGACTAGCCAGTGATAACTTGGTGGCGACAGCAATCTGATTATCGATTGATGGCTTTTCCGGTGACTCGGCGTTTGACCCCCCTTTCCCACTGAGATTAGATAAACCCATCGGCTCTTCTGCCATTGTTCCACTTCGGCCATTGAACCAGGCAATGGCCATGTCGGACTTCTTCCCGACACGTCTTCTGCAGCCTGCACTCGTAGAACATGTCAATTGACACTGCCCAGCCTTCTAATACATCGGCCTGGCGCGTACCTAATACATCTCTCACACAATGACTGACCAAGGCCTCGAACCCACGGCTGACCAATAACTCTCTCGAGATAGCGGCTTGGCTTGGACTCGTCTATGGATGAAGAGACGTAGTCCAAGTGGAGCAGCAAGCAGTGATTCACACCATGCCGGGATCCCGACCTCAGCAGCATCGATCGTGACGAGCTTTTTCTCTGTTTGTACTCCTATAAATATATACTCTACCTCGATGAGGATATAGTATGAAGCCCCTCGCTACTCGACAGACTTGAGAGCAATCGTCGATCCTCTACAACAATAGAAGACGATGGGTCCCTCAGAAGGAAAAGTCGTCGTTGAGACGGACCAGGAAAGCAACTATCCCAGCCTGGTCAAATTCGACGGACCCGATGACCCAGACCTGCCATTGAATTGGTCCTTCGCCTGGAAAGTCTGGGTGACCACGGTGGTGGCTGTTCTCAATCTCATCGGGACGATCGCCAGCAGTATCTTCCAGACAGGAAGTAAAACGTTCATGCAAGAGTTCCATATCGGTCAAGAGGTCGCCGTGCTGGGCACGACTTTCTTCCTGGTGGTGCGTTCTGCCCCAGCCTCAACCTTCCTCAGCAGAATATATCGGGTCAACTGGAGTCTAACAATGACCATCTAGGGCTACATCTTCGGCTTCCTCACGTTCGGCCCTCTGTCCGAGCGTTTCGGGCGCAAATGGCCAATGCTAGTGGGCATCACGCTTTCCTCGCTGTTCGACCTGATGCCTGCGCTAGGCCACAACCTGCCCACGATCCTGCTCGGCCGCTTCTTCGGTGGTCTCTTCGGCGTTGCGCCCGTCGCCATCTTCGGGGGAGTGATAAGCGACTGCTGGCCGGTAGCGCAGCGCGGCGTCGCCATGGCGCTGGCCGTCTCCCTGGTCTTCTCAGGCCCGACCTACGGCCCGGTCTTCGGCGGATTAATCATGGGCTCCCCGTCGCTAAACTGGCGCTGGAACATGTGGGTGGTGATCATCGTCGGGCTGGGCGCTACGCTCATATGTGTGGTAGCCTACCCGGAGACATACCCGCCCGTTCTCCTGCGCCAGAAGGCGCGCGCCCTGCGACGCAAGACCGGGAATTCAAACCTGGCGACTGAGTCCGACAAGGAAGGGTTGAGCATGGAGGAGATCAGACGCAAATATCTGATCCGGCCGTTCTGTGCGTTACCCTAACACTCTCCCCCTTCCCCCCATCACATTGCCCCGCAAAACCAGAAGACAACTAAACAAAGAATAGGGCTGATAACAACGCAACCAATCCTCGCCCTCCTAACTCTGTATCAATCCTTCGTCTACGGCGTCCTCTTCCTCTTCTACCAAACCTACCCGGTGGCCTTCGGCGAAGACCGCGGCTGGAGCATAACCCTCCGGTACCTGCCGCTCCTCGGCATAATCACCGGCGTATTCGTCGGAGCCGCCGGAATCGTCCTGCACAACCAGTTGTATCTCCGACACTACTGCCACGCGCCAGACGGGAGCTTCATCCCAGAGAGCCGACTGCCGCCGATGATCGTGGGCGGGCTGCTCGTGCCGGCGGGCATGTTCTGGTTTGCGTGGACGGCCGCCGCGCCGAATATCGCGTGGCCGGCGCCTGTGTGTGCCGGTCTGTTGATTGGAGCAGGCATGTATCTGCTTTTTATTCAGGGGTTCAATTATATTGTGGATTGTTATACTAGTATGGCCAATAGTGCGATGGGGGTTAATGGGGCGATGCGCAGTGTGTTTGGGGCTGTGTTCCCGCTGTTTGCGAGTCAGATGGTTCATGGGCTTGGGGTTGCCAAGACGGTTTCCCTGCTTGGTGCGTTGAGTGCCGCGCTGGTGCCAGTCCCCGTTTGTTTTTGGTATTGGGGGAGTAGGATTCGGGCTTGGTCTTCTGCTAAGGTTTTGCCTTAGGGTTTGGGGGTGGGTTGAAGACGGTTGGTGGAGGGATGGAGGGGCTATTATAGGGCGGAGCTTGGGTATTGTGCTTGGTGGTAAAGGGGGTGGTATGTATCACGGTGTTTGTGATGGTGTGGCTTGCTGATGAACAGATCTTAGATAAGCTTCGCGGTTCTCTGTATATATCAACTGACTATAGAGGTATTCTGGCTTTAAAAGACTGGCAAGAGCAAGCGCAGGGCAACGTTGTAACCAACTCTTATAGACTTGCCGTTGGGGATTATGGAAGTATGGAGTATATACGGGTTCGAGACCAGAGGGCATGTCAAATAGGTTTCCCTGCATGGCCTTCGGAACTACGTCTGTTGAATTTACGCGACAAAAGCAAATAATAAATCATGGAATGATAATAAATTATCACATAGTTTAAAACTGGAAACCCAGAAACACTACGAAGGGAATCAGAAGGGGCTTCTAACAGGATCAATAGTCCAGAGTCACCGATAGCCCTCAGGCATCTCGATAACATGGCAATAATCGCCCGAGTCATCGTCAGTATGCATGGGACTATACGGGAAATAATCCATCGCGAGGTCCTCGGTGTCCTCTTCGTCCCCGTCCTCCTCGTCTTCCCCATCACTGTCATCCTCGCTCCAGGCGTCCTTAAACACACAATAACTTTGACCCTCGACACGACGAACACGATGCATACGGCGCCGCAACCGCTTCAAAAACGCCTCAACAACCTCATGATCCCGCCACAGACAAAGCGAGCCCTGCTTCTCCAGCCGGCGGAGCCTACACAAAGCCAACTCCTCACGCTCATTCTCCCTCCACTGAAAGACAGCCAGGTTATTACGCTTAACGAGAATGATCGCATGTTTCTTGCGCCGGGCCTCCTCGGAGGGCATGTGGCGGTGGACCAGCGCGTCGGCCTCCTCCTGCGTGATCTCGAGGCTGCCCTGCGTCACATCCAGACAGAAGACGCACACGGCGGCGAGGCGTTCGCCGTTGGCGCCGATCTGCTCCCACTGATGCGCGACGTCGACGGTGCAGTACGGCCGAACGGGCCGCTGCGGATCCGTCTTCGTGCGGAATTCGCGGACCTCGAGCGTAAGCCCGTACCGTTCGTCTAGACGCGCCCCCGGCACGCTGAGCGCGTATTCCAGGATCGACCGCCAGATGTATGCCGCCCCGGCCGCCCACGGCCACCCCTGCTCCAGTCCCCGCTGCCCGAAGTCCTGCACCATAGCCCGGATCTCGGCGTTGTCCCAGTAGTCGACTGCATGGTCGGTGTACGGTGTTCGCAGGTACGCGATGCGCTTTTCTTCTATCTCTTCGTTTAGGGTCTCGTCGAGTGCCATTGTGGTGTCGGAGTTGGGACTTGCGGCTTGTGTTTATTTATGAGTTGCGTCAGGTCGAGGTGGTTGGTGCGATAGTGGATGAGAGCGGGTGGTCTCTTTTTATACTCGTCAGGTCGGTGACATGAATGCCCATGCTCGGGATTGAGGAGTGAGACGTTTTGTTCGACATGAAAGACGAGATGATATTCGGCTCTGCTGTTCCTCGGTTTGTTGCCGCTGCGCTCCGTGGATTGAATCTCCAGACAATGTGTGGCCTTGAGAACAAAGACTGTTCTCATTGGAAGGGCGCTGACAGCTGCCGGATCCGCACAATGACTCCCGACCTGGATGCAGAATCAGACAAAGCTTTTTTTCAGTTGATTATAGAAAGCTTACCTATCGCCTTCTTTGCTTCGCCTCGACCCGCACATAGCACATCGTACAAGTAAATCCATCAGAAAGCTACGACAATTACTCTCCTACCGAACCCCTGTCATGGCAACATATCAACATTGAGGCTACACTATACATCATTATCTACACTTCCAAATTTCACTTCTCCTTACGCCCGCTACTTTTTGCTCTTTATCCCTGGAAGCCAGAATATGCCTTCGCACTGCCCTTCCCCTTCCCCTTGGACCCACGCACCGCCGCCGGCTTCAGCAGCGTAACCTCATCACCAATGGACCCATCATCGCCGCGGATAAACTGCCACTTGACCTCGGTCTCGCTCTTGACGGTCAACTTACTGAATCCGTAGTGCACGGTATCCAGCACGGCGGTGATATTGGTCAGCCCCTGGCCCTTGCTGAACTCACTGTGGCTCTCGATATTGCCGGCCATACCATTGATGATATGGGTGAGCGACTTGCCGTTGTTGGCGATGTAGGTGTTGTTGTTGATGATGCTGGCGGTGTCGATGGTCTGGTTGGCGCCGAGAGGGTACAAGCGCTCGTACCAGTGGATGTGTCTATCTCTCTGTTAGCTGGGAACAGGAAACGCCTTGATGACAGGGGTTTCCACGCAGGGAATGATAAGGTCAGACTCACCCGGAGAGGTACGCATCAACTCCGTACTTCAGCAACAGGCCTTCGAAGGCATCCCGCACGTGCTTCTCGTACGACGAATACGCCGAGCTGTACATGGGGCGGTGGCTCATGACGAACACCCAGGGCGTCTTGCTGCGGTCGACCTTGGCCAGGTCCTGCTGCAGCCACTTGTACTGCGCGTAGTTCTTCGTGTTCTTGTAGCTGCCGTCCACGGCTCCGAAGGGACCGCTGTCGGTGATGAAGGTCTCCGCGGCGGTGGGGTGGGTCTCGTTACCCTTGATGTCCTCGGCAAAGGGCCACTCGGGGCTGTTGGCGAAATCGGTCTCGCCGTCGATCGAGACAAAGTGCGCGAGCCCGTAGTCGAACGAGTACCAGAAGTTGCCGACGCCGCCGGTTTCCGCGCCGGGCATGCGGAAGCGGTGTTGGTAAGCGGTGAAGTTACTGTTTACGGGTCAGTCGCCATAGCGGCGGGGATGAAGAAGAAGAAGAGAGACAATAGGTTAAAAGGAGGAAACTCACCGTTGAGAAGGAGGACAGCTGTAGTAGTTCAGCTTAGCGGCCGCAGCGGTGCCGTTGGCGACATCATCATTCAGATAAGCCGTGAGCACGTTGCCGGGTCCGTCGAACTCGGCGCACGCCGCCTCGTGGTTACCCGGCATGACCATGTAGGGGATCTTGACGGTCACGTTGGTCAGCCACTGCTGCCACAGATCCCAGTTCGACTCGTAGATGACGCTGACGTCGCCACCCTGCGGACCACCCTGGTTGGGAACCTCGCCGGCGGGAAGAGGCTTCTTGTACTCCTCCGGCACCGGGAGTTTGCCGGGCAGCTTCGTGCTCGTGCCGTTGTAGCAGACGTCCCAGGAGGACTCGCACGGCAGGATGCCTTCGTACCAGTCGTCGGCGTAGCTGATGTCGCCGCCGTGCCACGCAAAGGCCGTCCCCTCGTTGGCGGCCTTGATCAACTGCTTGTGCGTGCCATGCGCGTTGGTGTAGCCCATATCGTTCAGCACGGCGACGCTGAAGGATCCCTTGTCGCCGGCCTCGCGCGCGGTCTTGAAGCTCAACACATCCGACTTGGTCGTGCCGTTGGCGGCTGGGATCTGGTAGTAGTAGGTCGTGCCCGGCTCGAGATTATCCAGACTGACTTCATGGAAGTACTGACTGCACTGGGTGATGATCTTGATCTCGGAGCAGGAGGGTGTGCGGTCGTAACTAGTGCATTGTTAGCCATTCTCCACGCTGGAATTACAAGACAGTCATGCTTACGTGTGGGTGTAACCACGAGCGACCTTGTTCAGCTCGTGGGGGTTCTTGCCCCACATCACTGACGGGGTCTCGCCCAGACCAAAGGGCGTCTGGTAGTGAATGTGCATGCCCTTGGGGATGTAGGACAAGGAGATGACGTTCACATTGTTGCGAGGGTTCGCGCTTGCCGGCCGCACAGCTGGGGGCTCAACCAGCCGAGGAAAGCCCTTGCCGTTGCCATTGACGGTGGAATCGACCCAATCTCCGACAGGCACAGCCGGGCCTGTGTATGGGTAGCGTTCATCGGCGACAGGACGAGCCTGCGCAACCGTGGCTGAGAGGGCAACGAGCAGAGCGGAAGCAGCAGCGGTCTTCATGGTCGCGTGCCTAGTAAATGGAACGGGAAAATTGACGTCGAGGGACCCAGATTGGCATGCACCTGCTCAGGAACATAACAGCGAGATGAACGCTGAATTTATATCGTTATAGCCCGGCATGGCTATCTCATCGGTCCCCTGCAATCGACAAGCCGACAAGCAAGGCACGATACCACACGTGTAGGTGCCCAGAACGGCAATTGGCCAAGACCGCTCGGCTACAGCGGACAGGCTTAGTTGCATTAGACTAGCCATCATTAATTAGCAAGCTGATATAGACCGACAATGGTTGGCGATAAACAAGACGCGAGTGGAGAAGATTCAAGCATTGAATCGAAGCCAGGGAAGGACAAAGCGGAGAAAGCCGACAATTGCTTCGCCTACCATCCCATGTGCCCTTATTTCGGCGTCCTCATTGGTCACTGCCCACCAGGCACCGGCTTTTGCCTGAGGCCGGGAGTAGCCGGAGTCTAAGCTTTTCATTGGTTCAGAGCTGTAGGCACGTGTAGCCCTTTATGGGCCACTGAGAAGCTGGGAATCGTCCCTCCTGCTGTTGCCTGAGGCTAGGTACTACTACCAGATTCTACTTCCACCTTTTCCGCATTCCAGCTATTCAGGCCTTCACTACCTATATCCTCAGTTATGTACAGCACATAATCGTTCAAAATGATAATTAGGGTCTATAATATAGACCACGCTAGAATATGAATATGTGCATTTTGGTCACGCAATACTCTACACCGCAGCAGTGATCCGAAAACTTCTCTCGTACCCTCAACCACGACATGGCCCACTCGCCCCAAGCCACCAATGCAGCCCTATACACCAAATTTCCCGCTTTTCGGAAGAGGCAAGTGCGGGCATCCCTTCCAATCACATGTATCCTGCAAGTAGCGTTGCGTTAGTCTCGCACTAGGTATCGTTGCCAGTCCATCACCAGGAGCACAGCACTTACCTTATACACTTCCGTCCCCCACCAGCTGAAATGCGACGACGCGCCACTATAGAAGATGGCAAAGAATATCACCACCCCTGCAATCGACACCGACGAGTCCAGCGCCGAACTCAGCACGAAGTTGTACTTGTACCACCACTGGTACAGCCGCTTCCGAATAAGAATACCGAAGGTGAGGCCCACGATCGCCCAGCTGCCGTAGTTCGTGCCCGTTGCCGGCGGCAGGTAGTTCAACCCGCCAACGAACAAGGGAATATGGACCCGGCGCCATAAAGAGTTAGGATAGCGGCGCTGGAGGTAGTACACGGGAATTGGGAGAATGGCCCCGATTATAAAGAAGTACAGCAGGGAGCTGTAGCCGATGCCGTTGTTGAAGAAGTTGCGAGGGCCGATTGCACCCCAGATCAGACTGGTGTTGAAATGGGTGCGGGAATAGGGGCAGCTGAACCCATTGACTGCGGTGGTCGTGCACACGCCCTCAATGTGGCCCAGGCCCCAATTCAAAACGCTGACGGAGCTGAGTGTGCCTGCGATCATGCCGACCACTTGAACTATGAAGACTTTGCGCCGGGGAACCTGGTTGCTGTGAGTTTGAGGAGCTTCGTGAAAATATTGAGCTAAGACTGTGGCAAGCTTACGTGACAATAGTCGCCTAATTTCATGTCCTGGGCAAAATAAAGACCTTTGATGGTGGTAATGTATCCAATGTCAAAGAACCAGATATTGGCCAGGATACGGTTTTCGAAGACGAACCCGGCAATGATACGGCAGAGAATATCAATGTTGATCTTGAGGTTAGATGTGGCATAAACTAACGCCAGCTATAGCATGATTAGCCCGAGACGCAGACGCAGATGCAGGTGAAAAAAGAGCCCGACTTACCGGTCCGTAGAAGACCATGGCAACAGCACAAGCCAGCAGAACACCGTACCAATGCAGCTCAACATGCCAGTACTCGACAGCAAATATCGTCACAAAAAGCGCGATAGTGGCCGTCAATAAATACCACCACATGGGCACCCCAGGATGTGCGCCGTCTTTCTCGGCTTCCCCTTGCTCGCTGGAGAAGGACCTGCGGATCAGCTGGGGAATTCTGCGCGCAGCAGCGGCCATAACATCTCGCTTTTCGAGAAACGTCCACACAAGCAGCGAGCTCAACGTCGCAAAGGACAGTCCGAACATGTTGAGGGCGTAGGTAATAGGGGTATATACCTAGTCATTCTTGTCAGCTAATTCTCATGGCTTTTGGCTCGGGGTATACAAACATGTGAGTATGCTTTGTACTTTTTCAAGTCCAGCTTGTACCCAGTCGCCGCACTAACGACCTTGGATGCTTTGTAAGCGGCGCCAGTATTGTCGTACACTGAAAACGGGTCTCTTATTAGCAATACGATCTCAAATGATCATGGACGAGCACCTCACCCGACGAGCTCTGAAACGGCAGATGCCCGGTATACCACACGTTCATATAATAGCATGCGACCGTCACAATCCAAATCCAGAATACCAGGCCCGCAAAGACATTGATAATGGCCCATGATGGAATCAACAACGGAGATCCGACGTAAGAGATCTGACTCCCTGCACGACACACACCAAGTTAGCGTCACCTCGCAGGCATCAGTGGCTGGTCTTACAGTCGAAGGTAAGCGGCAATAAACCCATGCCACTCTTCATGCCGAATAGTTGGTTGACCACAGTGCTCTTGGGATTGATCCAACAAGGGAAGGTGAAGTAGCTCAACGCCGGGAAGATGAAATCCGGGAACCAGTACCAGGCGAACGAGATACAAAATGCCAGGCTGAAGAATCCGTAACGCGAAATCTTCCACGTCGCGTTCCTGATACTCGTTAACGACCAAACATCCATCAGTCTGATCCAGTATCACTCACAGTCCTTGCACATCACCTTGTCCCACTTGATGCAGGGTGGTTGTCAAAGCGGTGCAACTGAGGACGCCAGGCCAGACCAGCTCCCGAGGTTCTACCACAAGGGCACGGTAAAACCCAGCCAAACAGAATCCGATCAGGAATGTTCCAAAGGTGATGAGCATTTGGAAGCCCCAACCCGCGTGATACCCGTAGAACATCTGCTGTTCGGTCAAGACATCGGCGCCCAGTCGGACGTAGATACTAAGATTTGCCATCATATAGATCAACACATGTTCCTGAAAACAAATGTTAACGCAGGCCAACGTAGTGGTATTGATCAGGGAACGACTACCTTTTGGTTGAACGGTCCCGGGTTCAGGTTGAAACTCCACGGCCCCAAAGGCACATCCCAACTGGGTATGACCTTTTCCCAGAGCCTTCCCAACGGGTATGCAAGCAGAAGAATAACGGTGGCCGAGATCGTGATGGACGGGTTGCGAAGGGTGTACAAAGTGTTGAGTCCACTGGCGATGATACAGAAGCCGACACCAAGCACCCACATACGTAGGGTCAATACAGGCTCCGTCGGATCATCTTCGGAAATGCCAATGCCAGCAGCTCGCAGTACCTCGGTTTGCGAATCGACTTCGGCTAGAGAGGTGTTTTCGTCAGCAACTGGAGACGATCAAGGACTTTCCGTGCCAACAACGTACCTTTGTCATCGTTGTCCACCGCATACACATTCTCCTGTTCCAACCCTTTCGTATCGGTCGCCATTGTGAGAAAATAGAGTCAGAAGGGGTAGATGGTCCAATTAAGCCCCGAAGGGGTGGCAAAGAGCTCAAGCAACAGGAGTGACCAGAGACGATTATCAGATCGATCAGATATCTTCCATCAGATAAGATCCGGCATTTGATAAAAACAATTTTTTCGTCGGGCCTAGGGGGTAAGGGATACTTAACAGCTGGCCCGGATGAGTGGTTAACCAAATTTTCCCTCTCACCACCCAACTGTCCACTGTCCGACCGTCATCACAACTCGCCGGGGCTAAGCCTGGTGGGCCCGGGCTCTGTCCGGCTTGGCTCACCACTTGGCTCAGCCCTACCTAGCCTTATGGAATGAGGAAGGAAAAAGAATGCTTGCCTCGCTATGGTGGATCTTACGTTGCTCTAGAGTCTCGTGTCCAGAGCTACATTCCCACACCCACCAGGATACTCCATCAATGGGAGAGGGCAGCTTTCCAGCTGAGCATGTTGATGTGGTCAGCTCGGGGAGGTCGTCTTCCATGTTGTGCGGACTTATTATCGTGCGGTATCCACCTTTCTGCGCCACAGCTAGGAAGGGCTCGGCTAAGCGTTCGGCAACGTTATCCCGATTCATGGCATGAATGGGCGAAAGGGGATAAATGGCCAGCGACATGCTTCCTCGTCCGTGGGTGCATGCCAGACTAGTTTTGGATATGAGGGTCTCGGTGGATGAACAACATCGAATAAACGACCACAATCTCGGTGGGCACCTATTATTAGTGACGAAGGCGACAGGTTATCTGATCAAAATCGTCCAGGATGACGTTCCAAGCACCGGGCCTCCGGATTTGATTCGGATTTGCAAGGTGCTGTCGCATAGATAACGCCTCCCCCGTGCTGCAAAATTCCCCGCAGCGTAATTTGAGCCATGATGGCTAAGTCGGTCAGACCATCAATTGCGCTTGGTTCCCGTGTTCTTATCAGATCCCGTCAACGTCACAGACCATGATATGTGCGCAAGCAAAGTTCCCAGTCTCCATACTCGGCTCTACGCCTTGTAGGGCTGAACATATTTCGCTGAATACATTCCAGCGTCGATTGACAAATGCTTGTTGATCAACTGAGGAGTGTAAGGCTGAGGTGGGGAAGCAACAACCAAGTGAGGACGGAGAAATTCACAATAGCAACTACGCCGAGAGTCAGAGCGGATCAGATAATGTCGCAAAGTGAGCCTTTTTCCAGAATAGCGCGACAAGCACAAGAGATCGGGAATGACAGGAGTCGTGGACTTGCAAGCAACACGTTCGTCCACCCCACCCTCTTGGCCAGGCTTATCATCTGCCAGGGGTCAATGGCCTGCGTGATTCGTTATTGAGTACTGCATGGCTGCGCGATTAATTTCTCAATCAACGTCGACATGCCAATTCCGCGGTTGAATCACCGGCCGCACTGAATTCGATTCTTTTGACATGAAGTATTAGTCTCGAGAGCAGATGTTTCGTGGAATCAAGATTGATCATCCAGAGACTCGGTGGACTACCAACAGCGGGACTTTTCCATGGCCAGCAACAAGGAAGGGGATCAGATAACACAGCAATAAATATGACAGCGGTATCACACGGGGCGATTGATAACGCAAAAGCTCCATCAACTTCCCAACAACAGCTCGATCGAGTCAGGCGCAGAGAGACCCGCGCCGTTTCTGCTCCCAGGAATGGTCACATCCGCCGACCAGGTTACAGCGTTACATGCCCGTTAGGCAGACACTAAGCGGCAATGTCTCAGATTACCCCTCTCGCGCTCATGCCAGTCGACTCCTTTGGTCCGTCGGTGCGTTGGTTGCAGCACACGGCTTGTGGCCGGACCAAAGTGCTCTGACTGTGAACTTTTGCAGCAGGACTGTGCTTGAGTATATATTATTATCAGATTCGATCAGCTATTCAGGCTGAAGGGGTAAATTCAATGTAATTCCAAGAATGCTCGTAACAGATCACAACCCCCTGAAGGTTGATTTCTGAATCAGATTAGCCAGCATTCCAGGGATGAATGAGGGAGTGGGGGGACCTTGGCTTCAGTTGCACATATTACGAGCCTGAAAGCAAACTAGTCTAGGATCACTCACTGTGTGCCATTGGTTCATCGTTGATTTTCGTAAACCGTGTAGAGTCAGACTGAATTCAACCCATCATCGCGACAGACATTGCATTGGACTCTGTGTGACTCCTGAAAGCTTTGTCGGAGAAGAGCGTGAACTTGGCGACAAGGGATCTTGCAAGGTAAACAAACAAACACAGGAGCCCGACAAGTCACGACTTCCCTTCCCGGATATGGCACGTGACCTGGTCGGATCTTTCTATCGAGAGCATCGGATTGTATATTCTGACAAAATAGATCATAGATCAATAGAGCAGGCTGTAATATCAAAGTACTGTAGTACATGTGAAAGTGGCCTTTGTGCTGTAATCGCTATAGTCATAAGGTATAATGCTCTTGACCCCAAAACAAAAATATTTGTAGGGAACTCGGTTTCCGCTCGATATATATCTTCAACACCCGCACCGTTGACTTGGAAATTTAAGGCAGACAGAGTCTACTAAATGTTTACAGCTATTTGTAGAAGCGTATTGGTAAATTCCTTTAGAATCGAAAGATTTCCAGTGATATAAATGACAAATGTGTAATACGTATTAACAAGCACCACGCCCCTCGCGATGTAAAAAGTGAACAGCGACGACGAATTGGGACATATCTAGTATCTCAGGTCATTAATAATTCCTGAGTCGGGGTATTGGAACCATTAAAGAAAGAGTACACAAAGCTCATATGGGGGCACGTGTTGCAAACGATAAAAGCGCCATAATCAAATGCAAAGCATAGATAGTCATAACGCATCAAGGAAGCAACAATCACGCGCTTGAATGAGACTTTTGCCGGAAAGGCAGACTCATCGTTCTATGCTTGCTGCCCGCCTCTAACCCAGCATGTTCTGTAGCTTCGCCCTGCTGCTCACCAGGCTTGTTTATGGTCTCCTCCCCTCGCTCACGAGCCTCAGCCTTCTCCTTCCGCTTCCGCAGGAGTTTGTGCTTCGTCTCATCCGCCTTCTCATGCAGATTCCGTACCTTGCGTTTTGTCCGTGTGTAACCCTCGATCCCGAGCAAGACGGCGTAAGACTTGCTGATGGAGACGCCTGACATATCCACCCCTTGGTCCTGGAGGGAGTGCACGAAGGCCCGAAAGTTGGCGGCGGGAGGGCGGTAGTGACCACTAGCGATATGCGTCAGCTCTTCGTTGCGGTCGCAAACCAATGCAATGCCGGTGAGCAGTACCTGAGAGGTGCTAGACTGCGCAACTGTCCGTTGCGAATCTTAATCAGCCCCGCGGCGGCGATACGGGCGCCACGGAGGAAAGAGGAGTGCTGGAAAGCCCCAGACTCCTTGATCCCGACGAAGAGCCGGAAGGAGGTATCGGCCACCTAAACATATTAGTCGCCATTTCGGTAAAATTGGGAAGGATGGCTCTCACAAAAATCCACATATCCTCCTTCCTCTTCGACGACTTCCCCTTCAGCGCATTGAACATGGTCGCCGGAGTGGTGTGCACAAACTTCTTCGCCACCCTAGCAGCCTTATACTGATCGCTATCATGCTTTCCGATCGTATCATCATGCACGCTTTCCGTTGTACTGAAATCCGATGAGGAAAGCGACGACAATGACGATGCCGACGACGACGTCAGGGATGAAGCTCCATCGACCTCAGCAGCCGCAACATTTCCCTGAAAGCGCGGCGCATCCTCCTCCACCGGCACTACGCCATGCAAGCTGTCTTTGAACCGCTTGCTGTCCGTCCACACGAGCTCATTGTTCCGCGCCCAGCGGAACCGCCCCGCGTTGTCCACCGTCACCAGGTAATTCATGCGCTCCTCGCGGCTGAGGTAGCGCACCTGCTGACGCTCGAGCTTCTCGCGCGGACACTGCGGGAGATCGAGGTCTTTCCCGTCGCCGTGATCGAGCCAGTAGAAGAAGTTCTGCTGCGTGGGCGAGGTCTTCCAGTACATGTGGTAGACGCGCAAATTACTGCCGTGGCGGTGCTTGAGGTCCACCATCTCCAGGAAGTATTGTAGGTCCATCATCTTGGCGGTGGTGCCGGCGGGGAGGTCATGGTGAATGCTGGAGCCGTGGTTGCTGATGCCGTTGGAGGGGCGATGAGAGTGTTCATGCTGATCGTGTTGCTCGTGTCCGAGGGAGGGGAGGAGGAGGTCGTCGCCGTCGTCGTCGTCGCCTCCGGCCCGCTTGGCGACGCTGACGGCACGGAGCCAGTTCTTACGCGCGTGGGCGGCGCTGTCGAGCTCGCTTGCGTCTTCGGGGGCAGAAGGCTCATGTATATGGCGCCATTCGGCTTCTTTGACGGCCTGATAAGTAGCACTTGGTGAGCGAGGAGAGGGATGGGGCTTGCGGGCTTCAACGGCTGGGAGAAGATGCTTACCTCGATTAGACGCGAGCTATTGTGGGAGAGTCCAAGTCCGCGTATTTCTCGCCGCGTACGGTACCCTCTATATACTCTCTGGGGTGTGGGTTTAGGTTAGCGATAGAAGTCGCAGCCGGAGAGTAAGAGAAGTGATCCAACCTGGATTGTTTGTGCGGCGAGTTGTTCCTTATCGCTGACGTCACGAGTGGTGGGGTTCGGCTCTGCGGTCGGCGGAAAAGACGATCTTGTTTCTGCTGTCATCTTCATGCACTCGAAATAATCTGGTTGTCTTTGTTTCGAGACTAGTTCGTGAGGAAGATAGCAAGATCAAGACAGAAAATAGTTGTCATGTTTCGACGGGAAAAGGAAAGGGGAGGAAAAGACGGGATAAAAACAGGAGATCGTCACAACGTAAGGCTGAGTCCCGGTTACGAGCGCCAAGCATCTGATAAGAGGATTGAGTATAGATTGTCATTCGGTCATTTTCGCCAGAATATGCTGTATGTATCTACGGTTAGATAGGTCTATGATGGAAAGAGAATGGACCGTCTTCGTCTCCATCTGCAGACTAGGGCGATGAGATCTCTATAACGTAGCTAAACCTCTGTGGTTCCACTCAAGTTCTCCCACAACTGACAGCGCTGCACGGACACTGCAGGGACCTCCTCCATCGCCGTGTTGTTTGTTTGCAGTCGCAGGCGTGACCCACTACCCCAGGTCTTCCACTCCGGTGCACCCGCATATCGCAATGGGTTCGGGTTGAGTGCAATGGCAAAACTGATAAAATAGTGCATGGTCACCGGAATGATTCCGGCATTGTAGCTGAGATACGAGGACGTGCTACGAAGGGCTCCGGTACTCCCTGCGCCAAAAATCGCGGGCAGCTCGAAGGTATGAGGCACCCCAATGCCGCCAGCGAGGTTGGCTTGATCGAGAATGTTGACTCGGTAGTTCCACGTCGCGTGCGGCAGGCGTCGAGCGACGGACGCTGTCACATGGTTACCGGGACAGGTAAAAGTGGCATCTCCGTAAGCATCGGACGAGGTTCGGAACCAGGCTCCATGCTTGGGCAAGGGAGTTCTCGGCGGGTAGGCAGCCAGAATGCTTTCCAGCTGGGAGTCGGTCAAGTGAGGGTAATTGTTTTTGAAGAATTGAGAAACATCAGACCTGGTATTGGCGTTGTAGGCAAAATTCGAGCCCTCGTCTGTGTCATCACCGACCAGGGTCGGCACTTTGATGAAATTACCCTTCTTGAAGGCATCGTAGAGAAGCTCAGGAACCAGTGTACCATCAGTCACTGGTAACCAGTACCAATCTGGAAGTGGACTATCGCTGCCACCCGGGAACGGTGAAGCAGTATTGGCGCTCTGGATGGTAGCGATGTCGCGTTCTCGCAGGCATCGAAGGGAGTCGGTCGCGTTGGAACACCCGGTCGCGTTAACGAATCTTTCGTACTGGAACTCCATCTCCGCGACCGTGCGTTGAGTGGGCCAAAACGAGGACTCGGCAACAGCGCCGACAAATAACTTTTCATCTTTTCCTCCGAATGCAGTGAGATGGAAAGCGACCGATCCAGCGCCTGCAGAGACACCGTGGATCACAATGTGGTCGGGGTCTCCGCCAAACTAGTACTCGTCAGCACCACTTGTCACAGTGAGAATTGTGCGGGAGAACCTACCGAAGCGATATGCTGTTTGATCCAATGCAGAGCCCTGCGTTGATCCAACAGACCCACGTTCAGGTCGCCGTTCTTCCTTACTTCTTCGCTGGCCAGGAAGCCCAGGGCTCCGACCCGGTAGTTAAGCGTAACGAACACCAGCCCATGTCCAGACTCCTCCACCACCGCGGTGCCGTTGTAATTGGCATTGGAGTTCTGTGCATATCCTCCTCCCTGAACGAAAAACCAGACTGGGAGCTTGGAATGCGACGTGGCGTTCGAAGGCTTGAAAACGTTGATGAAGAGGCAATCCTCAGTCCATTCTTTAGGGGTATTGTCTTGATCGACACCGATGCAAATTGGTCCATACTAGGTCCCTCAATTAGTACTTATCGGACGAGCGGAAGCCTCACGAGAATGCAGGAATCCAAAGACAGTTGTACCTCAGTGGCAGCCTGCAATGTGCGATTCTTGATGGGATCCTGGGGTGCACGGAATCTAAGATCTCCCAATGGAGGTGCTGCATAGCGCATGCCTAAAAACTGATCTACTCCCCCTGCGAGTCGAGTGCCTTGGTACTTAGAGTACCCGAGGTCAACAGTGGGGGATGAAGCGCCATGTGAGGAGCTGGGAATAGCCCAGGCGATGTTGGGGACAATGGAGAGCCAGACGGGGAGCTTCATATTGTCAAATTCAACCCTGTGGTCAACCTCGTGAAGACAACTGGGACTCACTTTGTTTCAATACCTGTCCAGTCGTGCGGAAACCCAGCGGTTATGTAGCTGCTCAGTGCTTCACCATCATCCCACGCATTGCTCTTATCATGCGGGGTGTGAAGCAATCAAACTCCCTAAACCAGATTGATCATTTTTGCCGGTTATATAGTACCTTGCAGGCATTGTGGGGGACTAAGCATAATTATCCAGGAATAGGAATGTCTAAAACTGACCGGGTGGCTCAGCTCATTCGCGAAAGCGTGAGGGACCGGAAGAAAAGGCAAAAAGACCAGCAGAAGGTGGCGAGGGTTGTAATTTCGGACGAACTATGAGAGTAAATGCTTTATGCCATCCGCAAAGCGAGAGAAAGAGGCATTGCGTGCACATTTGGAAGGATGGCACATAAGCTTTGCATGACGGCATGAACAGGGTCAAATCTGCCATTGTTGGCCGAAAGTTCAAAAGGCAGATCCGCAGACCCTGATGATATCATCAGACTTGAAGGATTAAAGGCTAAATGGAGAAAGGGTCCTTGGCCGTGCATATGCCAGTCCAATTGAAGAGGAGAAAGTGAGGGGGAAACGAGGGGGAAAATTACTAGGACTTGTAAGTAGAGAACAGAGAGGGGCAGAGATCGGCACGTGAACCACCACCCCGCACAGTCAAGTCAAGATCTGGAATTGGTTGTCGACAAGAAATGTGTCTGAATATATTATAGAGGGCCATGGCATCCTCAATCTGAACCAGAGTTGAACCACTAAGAGGATACTATATCGACATGCCACGCTATAGTCGCTTGACATCCACGACAGGCCCTTTGTATACCCACCTTCCCTGAAACATGTACATGCCCACGCTGATCATAAACACCCCCACAAACAAGAGAATACTCCAGTTGAAATTCTTCAAGGTGACGGGGATCTCCGGAGGCCAAAATGACCAGAAGAGAGCAAAGAAAACGTACACCAGACCGGTGGCGTTCACCCAGAGACCATGTCGGCCTAGGCTCCAGCGCCTGTGCGGAAGGGTATCGGGAAGATAGATCTTGCGATACATCACGCAGCTGATTGAGATTGCGTAGGTCCACATAAGGGCGGCGACATTGAGTGATATAATTGCATTGAATGCGGTGTCAGAGCCGATGTTGATGAGCGAGAGGAGGCCGCTGATAATGCAGGACAGTGCGATAGCATTGACCGGGAGCTTGTAGCTCTGGTTCACGTGGGAGATCCAATTTGCAAAGGGCAAGCCCTTGTCTCGAGCGAAAGCATACGTTTGGCGAGCTGTGGATGCATTGAAGAGGATGTTGCTGAAAATAACGGGTATGAGAATAATGGCGGTCAACCCGTTGACTCCGGCTGTTGAGACAGCCTGTTTGAACACATAGATAAACGGAAAGCCGGTAGGATCATTTAACGCGTCTTCGACGGAGGGCATGGCAAACATCAGGGTGATGACAGTGATGAGCGCCAGAATCCCGTTGCTGAAATACCCACCACAAATGGCTAGGGGCACATAGCGACCGGCATCGCGGACTTCCTCGGACATGTGTGCAGTGGCATCAGAGCTCAGCGACCCATAGATGGCTGATATCTGTCCAATCATGAGGGCCAGCCCGGCGCTATGCCAACCACTATAAGTCTTGATCTCCGTGAACACCGCCTTTGCGGATTGGCGAGGGGCCATGGCCCACAGCACCACGATCACAATTACCCAGCATAGAGTGTGGAGAGCAAGCAATACATTTTGAATTCGCGGCATCCAACTCGCTGCGTAGACATTGAAGAAGTAGATTACTAAGATCATAGCAAAGACGAAAAGTGTGCCTTGCCATCTTGTCGGTTCGTATCTCGGGTTATGCACGCTGATGAGGCCCTGAATGATCGTGCCAGTTAAGAAAGATCCGGATGCTGCTCCGGCTTGCCACGCAAGAACGGACATCCACCCTTCATAAGTTAGTGAGGCTTCCAAGACAACAAGGGTAAGAGAGGATGCAGACCGGTAATATAGCTGAGAAACTTCTGGTAGCGTGGAGAGGCAAACTCAGAAACCCAGTGGTACTGACCTCCGGATGTAGGCGCCCTTCAATTGTATTAGTATATTAGAACACGGTTGACCCGAGGGAACCGGTGGGTTCTGCGATTGACTGACATGGATGCCATTTCCGCTAGTGAGACGATGATGAAGCCAAATCCGACAAAGGTCCAGACGTAGGTCCAGACCAAGCCGGCCATTCCTCCATTCTCGAGGCCTTGGGTGTTCGATCTGTGAGGAGGTATTGAAGTTAGGCTTGTTCGATTCAACATTGCTGGGTGATTCGTACATCAGGATAAACTCCCAGGTGGCTTGAAGAACTGACGCGAAACTGAGAGCGGCCAACGGTCGGAGGTTCCTCTAGGATGAGATACAAGGTCAACATTCCAGTGTGTCAAACATCAAGAGCTCACAGACCTTGAATTCCTGCGCCTTGCCCATGCGAGTCATATCAGTATGATCGTGTCTGGTGCCCATTTCGCCATCTTTGTCTTCCGTGAGGACTTCCAGCGGGTGGCATCCTGTTGCTGTGATCAGATCCTCCCATTTTCGCGAACTGGAGAGACCTTCGCCCCCAGACGCTGTTGCCATGATTATGGATGGGGTGAAGGGGGAGAATGCGATCCAGGCTGAACATGAAAGTCCACGGAGAGGACGAAAAGGGGGAAACGAGACGCATTGGCAGGTATTGACAAGGTGTTGACAGGTAAAATTGATTGTGCGACGTGAGGAGCAGAAAAGGGAAAGCGGCGTGGGAGGAGGAGGAGGAGGAGGAGGAGGAGGGAAGGGAAGGTTGTTTTGTTTGTCACTCGGTATTAGGTACTCCTCTCCTCTCCTCTCCTCTCCTCTCCTCTCCTCTATACTTTCCTGCGTCAAACTTCTTCTTCAATCACTCACTCACTAACTAACATTTATTCACCGACCGTTGCAGTACTTACCTCGTCCCCCTTCCATCCATGTCAAACATGGCCCACAGTCATTCCTCTCGTGGAACCTCATTCCGGCTTCTAGATGTATGTAGTATGCACCCTAGTTCATTTCTGACATGCCTGGTGTGGTCCTGATTGCAAAGTGCTGACCCCGTGTGTAACCAAGCAACGAGACTGCCAGTCTACGGACACTGTGGATCGATAGCTTGGGCGGCAAAACATGCCTTCCCTGCTTCCTCGTGCATCGGAAGCATAGGATTTGGGATACCAAACGGTGCGAGACCCAACGGAGGAAAAGCCCCCTCGGGACGACGTGCTTCACACCACCACGTGAACCCCGATCGTGGCGGATGAAAGAATCGAGGTTGACCATCAGACAATGCGCTGGGCGGTTGTGTAACGTACCTTTGTCCATGAGGTTCCTATTGGTCTTACGCTGATCACCTTCACGAAATACGACAGTGTCTGGCGTAGAAAGGAAGCTCATCTCCGGTCGGCTGCGGCCAGCTTGATAGCAAGTCGGAAGCTGTATACAAGGCAATGCTTGTGGCTGGTGCTACAGACCAAGACTTTCCACGAATCATATACCAGCAGACCTTTTTTTTTTTTTTTTTTTGAAAATATCGGAGAAGCGTGGCCGAGGCAAACTTTATACGGATCGTGAGTGCTCGGGAGGAATTGGACACGGTAAACAAGCCAAAGCAGAATTCTGTCTGGCCAGTTTTCAAATCCTTCATGGAGCCTGCCTGCGACGGCGCTGAACCACTCTCATGTGCCACCGGTTTTATGACTTGCGACCGGCGGTTACGTGGCGAAGACTGCATTAAATCAAGCTGGTTATCATTTGAACGAGGAAGAGGATACATGCCTGGACGCTCAGGTTCAGCTGGAAGTCTGCGGAGATCGTGATGCAGACATCCGGGGGGCGTCAAAGGTAGCAATCACGGCAGGGTGTCAGACTAGGATACTAGGATGATCTCGGCTCACTCATAGATCGCAATTTCCTAAGGAAGCAAAAGCAGAAAGATGACGAAGAGAAGTCCGCGGTGTCGCCAGCCAGGCTCACATTCACGCCCTCGACAGGTCGCTGATCTGTTTCAATACAGTCCCTTCATTCAGGAGCGCCTGAAGCGATCTCCAATTCCAGGATGCAAGTCCACTCTTCACACTCTGTCAACTTGACTCTGACATAGCTTAACCGATGGCCACTCTCGCCTCTCCTCTACCGCCGGGGGTCTCCCCTCCACTGACCGAGGAAAATGAGCACAATCATAACGGGCTCATTGTCATCATCACCTCTCTGGGTCTGTTTCTCGCCTTGGCCTCCCTTGGAATCCGCATTTTTGCATCCTCCAAGCGAAGCATTCTGTTACGAGATGATTATCTTCTTTTTGTAGTTGTGGTAAGGTTGCAGCTATGCTGAAACACCCCCGCCGGAAGCTCCTTTCCCCGCTGGCCAGCTGACTGATATTGACCTAGGCATGTGCCTGCACACAAGTCTCTCTGGTGCTGGTCCAAGTGCACTTTGGGTGGGGAAAGTCCGAGGAGTTGATTCTCTCTGCGGACTACCCCCAGATGGTAAAGGTACAGACATTTATCGCAGCTTTCGCCGTGGCATGACTAATGTCCAGGTGCCGCAGGTTGGCTACGTAGCAGACCTGTTGTATATGCTAATCTTGGGGCTATCCAAGATCTGTACCATGTTGTTCTATCAGAATCTCTTCCTACCTCGGACGAGATGGATGATCAAGTTCATTCTTATGGCGTGTGCGCTCTGGACGCTTGCCGCAATGCTTTTGCTAGCGCTTCGATGCAGTAGCGATCCGTGGGTTGACATAAACCACGAATGCCAGGGTCTCGTGAGTTTCCTAAGAAAGGCAGATACGGAGCCAAGTCTAACGATGATACTTCATGGCAGCTTCCACGTTGGCGGGCAATCAGCGCTATTGATATCATCCTCGAAGCGTTGATCTTATCGTACCCCGTGGTGATCATCCTGAACGTCCAAATCCCTCAAAAGAAGAAGATCACGGTCCTTGGGATTCTCAGCTGTCGCATCATGTCTGTCTTGCTTCCTTCAGTCGCAGCTTATCTTGCTCACGACTTTTCTCAGTCTGATACCGCTCTCCGCCATTCACCTATACTACATCCAAAAACAGATTCAATCTTCCAACCCCACTCTACTCGGAGCCTACGCTACCACTACTGCTGAGCTTCATCTAAGCCTCAGTATTGTACTATTGACAGTATCGTCCCTCAAGCTGTTTGTCGCAGTGTACGAAGACGACCAGGGCTTTGCTTATACGGAAGACATCTCCGGCTCCCATAGTAATAGCGGACCCACGGTGCCGACGGCGTGGCGGATCTCACGTCACGTAAAGGACCCGAGCCTCCTGAGGGGGAGTGGTACAGAGCACGAGCCAATCCTGCAGGGTACATCGGCTTCGGCTTCATCATCCAGGACGCCATGTCTACTTAAGCGAACCAATGCCATCCTGAAAAGCGTTCAGGTTTCCGTGACAAGGGAGAGTATCGAGTTGGAAGACAGAGGGAGACCAGCTGGTAAGTCGACCGTCAACGTATGACTTGTTTTGTGTGCTTCAACTGAGAGCATTGTCTGCATGGCATCTCGTTATTCTTTCTGTCTGCTGCTGGGGTTGTCGTGTCATGTGGTATATTTTTGGGCCAGTTCAGTCCTCCGAGGCAAGCTGGTCAAGCCTCTGGCAATTATCAGGTCGGCGAGAGATCAATTTGGCGAGCGTATCAAAATTCAAAAACCTTTTCGTCGCTTATTGCCAATCTGCGCCAACAGTATAGACTGGTATTTTATCAGGATGCGTGATACTCATGGAATACCAAGTTGACAACCAGATAGTGTAAGAGCGGTGATGTACACAGATTCCTGGCACATGAATTCTCGTTACAGATCCCAACGTTGCCACTCAATTACCAGGATCATTCCCTTACTCGCCAAAACAAGGTAAGCTGTGCAACAATCAACAAATGCAGGGTAGGTCTGAGGAGAGCTGGGCGCAACCTGCATGTCATAACATGAACAAGTCCCGGATGGTTACTCATGTACAGTACTGTACTAACCCGGTTGTCAGGATTCGCCACATTCGATACCGCACGCATTAATAATGCAGAATCGAGGTCTTTCCTAGCCTTGCCTCACCTTGCACCACTTCAGCGATACTGCAACCTCTCTCGGGCTCTTCCCCGTTGACAGCTATGGTCCGAGTCTTCCGTCGGAGTTAGAACCCAGCAAACCCACAGACTCCAGTCCCATCTCCATATCGTGAAACCCTCAGCCAGCGTCATCCCCACCCCAGCAAATTCCCACGAGTAACAACCTATCCACGAGGCCCCAAATCCCTGATACGGTTAGTTTCAGTGGAGATACTGCCACGATGATCTGCAACTGTTCCCACTTCCTATGAGCAACGGTTTCAAACATTGGTCCTCGCCGTTCACCCCAGTACTTAGCAGATTGATGCTAGCCCAAAGGCTCAAGACTGCAGTGATCGGATAGTCCTAAGGCCGAGAGGCCGAGGCTGACACCAGTAATCGCAGGCTAGTAGCCTGAGTCCTGCCGATCGCAGCGTCCAGAAACCAATAATTGAGTCGCAAAGCCGACAACCCTCCACAGCCGGAGGTTGAGAACAGAGGCCAGTTCCGCGATGTATCCGCGATGCGCACTGAGGGTCACGATGAAGTTTTTATACCCCCGGCACTATAGTCAAGGCGCTATAGATACTTAAAGCCCGACTAGCTACTTAATCACGCCATCCGCCTTCGCAATGTCCTCATCTTTTCCCTTTCCCATTGACCACCATCACTTTAACCTTTAACCCGTGGTCGGAAAGGATCGATTCCGATCTAATTAATCGATCAATCAATCAGTCGACGAATCGATTGTCGATCAATCAATCAATAAATAAATCCCCCCCAAAAGACATTATGACCAAAGCAATCCCCTCTCCTTCGCAACGCCTGCTCCTCGTCAGCGTCCCGCGCACGGCCTCCAACCTCCTCCTAAAAGTCCTCAACATCCCCGAACAACCTCACCTGCACGTCAACCCCAAAGGCGGGTACTTCTTCTTCGACGCCTTCACCGCCACCGCCCAAAGCAACCTCCTGACCACCCCTCCGTCTGATTGGTCTTCCGCCACCGTGCAGCACGTGCAATCGACCTTCCAAGCATGCCTCGACGCCCTGGAAGCATTTTCACAGGAAGCCGACGCGCAGGGTAAAGCGGCGTTCGCCAAAGAACACGCCTTCTGGATCGCGGACCCGCTCTCCTTCCACAACCAAGGTGACAGTAGTGGCGAGCTGAAGGAGAATATCCGCGTCACCCTGCCAGACGCCTACGGGCCCACCACGACCTTCTCTCCAGGCAACGACACCATCTTCCCGGACGAGTACCTCCTCACCTGGCGCCTGGCCTTCATCATCCGCCACCCGGCCCTCGCCTTCCCCAGCTTCTACCGCGCGATGCTCAAGTTCTCGGATACGGGGTACATGATCGATAAGGAGGAGACACTGCGCGGCACGCTGGCGACGAACATGTCGTTGCGCTGGACGAAGGGGTTGGTAGAGTGGTGTGTGCGGATGCGGCCGGGTGAGCCTGTCTTGCTGCTCGATGCGCATGATCTGATCCATGAGCCCGCGACGGTGAGGCGGTTTTGTCAGTTGGCTGGGTTGGAGGAGTCCGTCGTCAAGTTTGAGTGGGGGGCCGATGAGCAGCAGAAGAAGATGGCTGAGGCAGAGTTGACGCAGGAGCAGAGGGATTATAATGCTGCGCGCAAGATTATGTTGGCGACTCTTGAGGGCTCGTCTGGCGTGTTGAAGGAAAAGACTCCTGCTATGGTGGATATCGAGGCGGAGGTTGCGAAGTGGAAGGTTGAGTTTGGGGACGAGGTCGCTGGTATGTTGGAACGGGCGGTCCGGGAGGCGATGCCTGATTATGAGTTTTTGAGAGCCAGGAGGATGACGGCTTGATTGCTGGTACATTTCTGTTGAAGAAATAGGTTATGATTTTCGCCCGATGTAGAAAATGTTTGTATTTCTTGTTATGATAGATGAGCAGATTGTATATGATGATTCAGGTCTATCTCCCCTCCCAGATATGTAGAGGCTCGATACTGTCGTTGTCAATCCCAACAGAATCGACCGGCAGGAGCAAAGATACACTTCAGGCAGCTACGCAGAGATCCTCGCAAGGTAACAGAAAGGTGACCCGTGGCAGCCGCACGCATTACGGCTCTCTCTGACAGGCCACCCCCAGCAACCCGAAGAACACAATCCCCGCCGTCAACGAAAAGCCCTTTGCAAACCGCCACCGACAACTGGCACTAGTCTTGACGTCAACCCAACCCAGATTGACAAGTAGACTCACGGCCGCGCAACCCGCCGCGGCATAAAAGTATCGGCCTAGACCTGCAGCAACCCCACTAATCCAAGGCAGCAGCATATACGATGCTCCCAATACTGCAAAGAGACGCCGCGTCGCATGCTGGAATCGAACACTCATACTCTTCACCCAGGCCGTGAGGTCATCTGTGAGGCCCTGGAATGCGTAAAGCACATCGACCATCACCACCCACAGAAAAAGCACGCCCCGAATGCTGCCCGCGGACAGCTTCAGGGACCGGGACTGGGACACCAGTCAGAGATCGGTGGACTCGTAGCTCCATAGGAAGCCGATGGAGAATATCACACCAAGGATGGGTTGTGGGTAGTTCGTGAAGCGCTTGCCGAAGGAATACACGATGCAGGCGAAGATTGCTGCGGCGGGGTATATCGGTAAGGCGCGAGGGAGAGTCCACGCGGATAGTGCGATCAGGGAAATCGCTTGCAGGGCTGCGAAGACGCTCGCTTGGATTGGGGAGATGGCTCCCCTGGGAAGAGGCTGATTGCGACTTCGAATTACCTGCCGGTCAATGTCTTGGTCTATGATGTCGTCGACTTTATGTGCGTAGCTCGATTGTAGGATTGATACGGGTAGCCATGCCAGAAGGCATAGCAAGACTTGGGATAGAGACAATGTTTGGGAGTGAGAGTCCACTGCAGCGTGCACAATGCCGGTGGCGCAGGGGAGATAGGTCAGAACCGTCTGGAAAGGGCGGTTCAGCCGCGTGAGTTCGAGGCAAGGCATCCAGGACGCGATAGACGTAACCATTGTCAAAGCAGTCCAAGTGAAACGCGAATTGTTGCGATAAAGACGGATAATCACTTGAGCGTATTCTTATCAAAAGGATTGACCTCCCAATTATCCGAGGTACTGGGCCCCTGCTTAGGTATCATGCGATAGGGGCTTTAGGTAGAAGAGTGGTGGTGAGATATAATATCGGTCGAAGGCTCCGGCAGATGCTTCGAAGAAAACCCTCATTTCGTGATAGATCTCACTGTAACTCAAGCTTCTGGATAGACATTGGGCTCGGATGCGCGTCCTTAACCTGATAATGGTCGAAGAGATCTGGATTTAGATCAAGACATTCTTGGTAGCTGACCTGACAAAGAAGGTATTGACTCTCAGCCAGCCGAGCCTATTCTCAGCCTTTTTCGATCAGGAAGAACAGACTGAGAGCTGTATCCTGAGCCAGGAGCCTGAAGTTTGAAACTTGGCAAATACCACAGCCTGGGACAATGATTAGCTTGGTTCATCTTGACTGTCAGGCTTGAGCGGAAGTAGAGGTACTGGAACAGGATTTGAATCTGAGCAGCTGACCTGGAAAGTAGTTCGTGCAGATCTCCGGATAAATACCATACCCAGGACTGACAGGAATGGACCATGTTCGCACTGGTCATGGCCGGAGGTCTTTTCCTGGCCTGTCAAATCGCTGGTTGGATTGTGGTTGATTCCAGCCTGAAACTTCTGGCGTCAACCATTGATTGTTATGTGCGCTTTCACTTCCCCTTCCCCACGACATCTCAACACCTCAACACCGCAACACCACAACATCACTACCTCCTCGTCTCCTATCATTGTCATCATGCGTTCCTTGAGAACGGACAGATCTCGCGACTGCTCTCCTTCTGTTAAGATCCTCCTATATGTCTGAAACACAACAACACCCGCGCGAGGAATGAAACGGTTTCGCGAGACAGCACCATGAAGAACTCCACCACGCCAGCACCATCCAGGTACAAAACCACAAAGATAATGTCTCATTTTGCCCCAAACTTGGGCTGGCGATAGTAATTAAACACATTCCTATTCAGACAACATTGCGGAAATGCGACCACAGCATTAAGGAATCAAGCGAGGTAGATACTCCAAATCGCAGCACAGCTAAGTTTGTCCGAAGAAAGCGAACTAGACGACATTCGGTGTACTCCGTGACCTGCACCATACGATTAGCAACTGTCTGCCAAGATGAAAACCGAGCAACATCATGCTTGAAGACATTCGAACGATAGGTTGACGTTACCGTTGTTCGGCCTCGTCCCGCGGGCGAGCACGGGCTCGCGACCGGGATAATAACATGATTTCGAAAACCTGGTTGAATGGACCATGCAATAGTCTTCAAGCTCGAAAAATCGTGCTCGTGTAGATTGACAGTCCATGACAACAGACCGTCTCCGGCGGCCTCCGGGAAAACTCCCACCGGCGCTGCAGGCCAGGGGCCCAAGCCAGTGGCCAGGGCCATCTGCATGACACGCTTCGTTGGCGCATCCGTTGTCGACATGGGTACTAGCCTGCTAGCTGGCTTCTAGTGGTCGCCGAACTCCATGGAAGCATCATCGCAACCAGTCCTACCGCCGACCGTTGGCGTTCTCGTCCGATCTCTGCAGGGGGGTGGTCCTTCCATGGGTCCTGCGTCATTGGGGTGGGAAGGCATTCCTGTCATGATTTCTCTCTCTCTCTTGAGTATGCTTCCATCATTTCAAATGCAACTAGGGTGCAATTGCACAAAGTGGTGCACAGCATGGCTGGCAGCCGCAAATGAATGAAGGCTTTCCCCTATCCTCGAGGGCCTCGGTTCCTTTGAGCTTACGGATTGCCCTCATCAGGAAAGATGAAGATCGTGGCTTGACGAATGGTTCAGGTTTAGATTTGGGAACCCGTGCTTTATCGAGTTCGACTGGGATGTCATGTTTAATGGGATTCCCAGAAATGGTAGACATGCTGCAGGCGCGCGCGCTGCTGCTGCTGCTGCTGGGACGGCTGTTGCCATGCCCAAACTATTCTGGCGGTGCATGATTATTGCTGCCGATCGAAGGGGGCAGGCAGGATTCGGGGGTTCTGGGCGGTGGTCAAGCCACGCATCGCCGAATGAGTGATTGGGTGGGTCATATTCTCTCCATCACCCGCTCATATAATTACACTCCGTCCAATGCAGCTGAAGGTTACGAACTAACTACTGTCATGATCCTACCGGTTGTGGAATAGCATCGGTCGGACCATTGCGTGTCGCGAGAACGGATCCAGATACGACTCCGCGATTGGCAACCTTCGTCTTCCTAAAGTATCAGCAGCACTACGTTGGCACATACCAATGACGGGGTGACCGGTCCGTCCATCGCAGCACGGGCAAACTTTCGTGATTGCCTTGCAATAACCTACCAGTTTTGTTGAGGTCTGTGGTTGTCCGCCCATCGGTTGCCTTGGGGGGAAGACGGATGTGAACTCAGAAGAGGGTGGGTAGGCCCTCATCCGTCTCTGCATGGACCTCTCAATTAGACCCCACCAACCTGCAAGACAGTTATTTTCCTGGTACAGTACACTGACTGTACTGTACTGCGGCAGCGTGTCATTGCAGCATTCTAACAGGCATTGACTCTGGTGAGTGTGATCCAGTCAGGTCCTCTCCCCTCTCCAGGAAGAGGGTCAAACCGGGAGGGTGAAACCGTCACGGTCTTGACAGTCAGTCAGTCAGTCTCGGCGTCTTGTGGGCCTCTGTCGCGTTCTGCTGGGCAAATAAAGTTTCAAGGTTCGATGGAGCCCATGAGGGGAAAAAGCAACCAGTCAGACCCTGGTCTGTGGAATGAACAAACCAGTTCTGCTGCCAGGCCTTCTGCACTTTCCCTCCGGCGGTTCTGAAGTTCTGATGGTCTTCCTACCGGCGCTAGTCCCAGAGTGCAGAATCCACTTTCGTATCCCGCCAGCGGGGAGAACTGAGCAAAAGGACGGGAAAAGAAAAAGGGTGAAGGAATGAATGGATTATGGAATCTTCAAGGGCGGCCCACTCGAGACGAGGAGACAGACAGACTGGCAATCATTCATTTCTCAGTCTGAATTTGTCATTGTCATAAACATCACCCAGCCTTGGCCTTGGCCCCGCTTCTGCAACTGCCCGGCTGTGCTGTCGTGCTTCGATTCACTCGCACTCATTGCAACTCCAGGTGAAAATGGCCTTTATATTTGGGTCTGCAGTTGGTCAATAGTCCAGAAAGGCTGGGGTGACAGCATTCTGGCACCCGTGCGGTGCAGAGAAGTGGATGCGATTCCCCGGGCCCGCCTTCCACCGCATCGGGTCTCCTCACCGTCCAATGTCCGGCACGCGAATAACAACTGACGGGAATGACGGGAGACGGTGTCCGGCACTAAGACAGTAGGGCCGTCGCTATTTTCAACCCCGGCTCGCATCAATTTTCCCAACTTTGAGAGGTCGCAGAATTGGCACTGCCTGTGCATAAGAGTTCACGACACCTCATAGGGACCCCGGAGGAAGGGGGAAGGGAGATAGATACCAAGACGGACTACCGTATTGCCAATAAGGAGCCTTGACAAGTGGACACAATAGCGATTGTTGGGCTTGGTAGCCAACCAGAACCCGGGGGCCGAGCAATATGCTGCACTGCGTTGTCTGCGCTGTCTGCACCCCTCAGCACTTTCTGCAGCCTCATGGAGGATTATGACTGGAGTCAGTGAAAAAGAATCTCCCCCAACCCGGTGGTCTAGCCTTTCTAGGCAGTGCCAATGGTTGTTCGCACGGGCCTGGCGCACCATGGGAGCTGATGAGGAGCAACCCCCAGTTTACTAGGAGTAGTTCAGCTTTTGTTCAAGCCATCCCATCGGGACGGTGTGAAGATTCATGTTCCAATTGCTCGGGTCATCTATGACGGCTGCACTGGACTGGGCCTGCGCTCTCGTTGCCAGTTCGGCCGCCTGGCGACATTACTTATCTGCACAATGTCCCAGAATCTCGGGTCCCCTCCCCTTACCCCCTTCCCCTCCGTTGATGTTCCTCTAGTCTTGCATTACTGTTTGCCCTATGAACCCTGTCCTTCAGCACCATGGGTGTGGTACAGGATCTGGTCGCCCTTCTTAGGCCTCTTGTAGACTCTCCACTCTTGTTCTGTGCCATTGCAACGGCTCTCTCGTTAGTATACTTCCTGGCCCTCGGCCTGTACCGCATCACCCTCCATCCGCTGGCCAAATTTCCTGGTCCCAAGCTCGCCGCCTTCACACAATGGTACGAGACCTATTTTGAAGTATTCAAGTCACCTGGGGGGCAGTTTCTGTTTCATTATCGGAGCCTTCACGAGCAGTATGGTCAGTGTTAGGACCTAGTTCATAATCCAATTATTTCGCCGCTGATCTTGCTGGCTGCAGGTCCCATTGTGCGAATTAGCCCGAATGAGATCCATATACAGGACTCCTCTTTCTTCGAAGATCTATACTCCCATTCCTTACCGTGGGACAAGCTCGAACACTGGAAACACCGCTTCGGGAACGATACCGGCCTATTCCCAACACCTAAGCACCATGTGCACCACGGCCGACGGGCTGCTCTCAACGCATTCTTCTCCAAGCGCACCATCGCGGAGGCTGCGCCTATGATGCAGGAGCACCTAAACAAGCTCTGTGATCGATTGCGTCGCGAGTACCAGGGCACGGGAAAGATCATGCGGTTCGACTGGATGTGGGGATGCATCGCGTCCGACATCATTATACAGTATTGCTTCAACCGTGGCTATCGATTTGTTGAAGCGCCCGATTTCCGCTCCCAGTTTATCCAAGCAATGGTGGATCTGCTGAATATGGTTCACGTGGTCGCTCAGTTTCCATGGGTAGCCACAATCATGGATGCGCTACCCCAAAGGGTGGTCGAGTGGTTCCAACCAGGCATGAAATCTGTAAATCATTACAACCATGTACGTCTGCAGCCAACTGGGGGGAATATCGCGTCCTAACTGACTGTAGGAAATGTCGAGTCAAATTGCGGAGATTCTCGCCCTCAAAGCCCAAGGGAAGACGCGTGAAGCCGATCGAAACACGGTTTTTACGGCGCTGCTGGAGTCCGACCTACCACCAGAAGACAAGACCCTGCGGCGAATGCACCATGAAGCGTTTACCGTCATTGGTGCCGGATTTGATACAACTCGGTTCGCTATGACTGTTGCTAGCTACCACATTCTCAGCACCCCGTCCATCTACCACCATCTTCGCGAGGAATTGAAGGCTGCCATTCCCGATCCTGCGAACATGCCGCCCCTTCAGGTACTGGAGAAACTACCTTACCTGACAGGATGTATCCAAGAAGGTATATACATGGCCCTTGTCGGCTTCTCCTCCCTTTACCCGAGTTCAGCTGACCATTTCAGGCATTCGCTTGTCCTATGGTGTCGTTCAACGCGGTCCACGTATATCGGACAAGTTCACCCTGACGTACAAGTCGTGGGTCATTCCGAAGAACACCGCTATCAGCATGGACATCTACTCGGTTCACCACGACGAGGAGATCTTCCCAGACTCATTTACCTTCAAACCAGAGCGCTGGCTCGGAGGCCCAGTTGCGCCTGATGGCCGGAAATTATCCCGCTACATGGTGGCCTTTGGGCGAGGCACGCGGTCCTGCCTAGGCATCAATCTTGCCTACGCCGAGATGTATATTGCCCTAGCCAATGTTTATCGTAGATTTGAGTTCGAGCTGTTTGAGACGGGCCGTGAATCAGTGGAACTCTACCGCGACATGTTCTTGCCCCATGTGCGGCCCGACACGCAGGGTGTGCGGGTGAAGGTGCTTTAATATGATTCTTTTAGTATATATACACGTTCTTAAGACAGCGTGAATGACGCTGGTCTATAATGCCATGGCCGCGATTTCTTGTATAAGATCTACACTAATCTAGTGAGTGGCTTTTTTCTTTCATCCCAATTCGATGGACTGCCAGCCTACAATTGAGCAGCGACATTCTCTACCGTCTCGCACACCATCTCCAACAGTTCAGGCAGCTACTTCGAAACAACCTCCACAATCAGCATCGAAACATCTAACCCATGCAATCCATCAACCTTCAACCGCCCATCACCCACCTCCCACCGCACAGCGCCCCAGAGCACCTTCTCAATCCTCCCAACCGTCCACCCCCCTTCAATCTGTACATCCACCTTGCCCGTCGCCTCATAGTTCAGGTTGACCACACTGACCAAGGCCTTCTTAGCATTATCATCCACCCAGACAGCAGCATCAACCCTCTCAACCCCACCCCCAACACTGACCCTCCGCCTCCCAACACCGACCAAAAACCGCGTCACGTCCTCATCCGTTAGCACACGCGCCAAACCGCGGGTGACAGCACTAATCTCAGCACTCGTAGGAAAATCCCACATAACAACCCCCAAAGCCCCATGATTAACACTCAAAACATCCATAACCACCTCCTCAGCAGCCGTCGGCAGGCGTGTCCAAAACGACTCCTCCCCGAACGCCTGCGGCGCCCCCCAATGCACCTTCTCCCACCCGACCACCTCATCAAAGGCCTTGAACGTATCCAACCGCACAGCAATATCCTCAAACCTCCCCTCGCAGTCATCGCACCCGCAACACCCGTACGTGGCGTTACACGGCGTGCCGTATACACTACACCACGACGTGTTCGTAGCCACCGGGTAGACGTCCGAGATGATGATGTCCGCCCCCGCGGCGTACTCCCTGTAATGGAAGTTCGCGCAGTTTAGCGCCAGAGAGACGGGGTGGTATGGGTCGAGGGTCTTCAGGAGGGTGTAGGCTTCGTGTGGCGCGCTTAGGGGCTGGGCGCCTTTGCCGTCCGGTTCGTCGGCTAGGTACCAGAGGAGGAGGGAGGGGTGGGTGTGCATCTTTGCGATGTGGTCCAGGGCTGTTGTTTGGTTGGTAGGGTCCCATTGCAGGTCCCATTGAAGTTTGAGGGAGTGGCTGTCTGCGAGGTCGAGGTAGGGGGAGAGGGTTTCCCAGGGGAAGGGCGTGCTGGAGAGTGCGCCCGTTGGTACGATGTGGATTACGTTGTAGCCTTCTTCTGTGAAGGTTTCGAGGGTGGAGGGGCTGGTGTTCCAGTATAGGGTCCATTGGGCTGGGTTTGCTGCTGTGTTAGATTGAGCGATTGTGCTGGAGGGGCAGGGGCGTACCGTACCGTAGTAGGTGTAGGGGAAGATTGAGGTCCAGGTTTCTTCGTGGCTGGTTTGGTACGCTAGACCCCCGTAGAGATTGTCGATGCGCGTGGCGCTACCTCCGTCTGTGCGACGGGGAAGGTGGTAGAGCTCGGTGGTGCGAGTGAAGGTGGTGGGTTTGGTGCTTGTGTTGATGGGCGTGAGGGTAGCGTGCATGGTGACGGTGTAGGGCTGTAGTTGCGCGGGGAGTTCGTGCAATGAGATGGGAATTTTGTTGTTCAGCGTGTCCAGGGAAAGAGTGTGGTTCTGGATAGACGATACTGGCCTGCCCTTTGGATCACTGATCTCAATCGTCAGGTGCAAGTCGTGGGCGCTGTAGTCGATGCCTGCAGTGAATGGCAATGGGTCACCGACGCTATGCGATACCCCTGTATCGACTAGAAGACTGGCATCGGCATCGTTGGAGAGATAGATGCTCATCCGGGGCCGGACTTTGAGGTTCAGCAGTGGGGTTGGAGAGTGCGAGGGCTCTTCAAACCATCCTTCGGGGTTGAAAGAGGTATTGCTGCATCCAGGACATCAGTAATATGATCGAGGCGACAAATTGGACACTCACCTCGCACGATAGGCTTTGCCACACCAGATATCGACTCCAGGCGGATTGTTGAAGGCAGCACTCAATGGCACAATGGCCAGAGCTGCGAGGGCATTCAGAGTCGGCCACATGGTAGGTGTGAAGGAGTAGGGACAATAACCTACGCGCTCAATCGCACGCAATTCTTCTTATCTACGATCACAAACTAGCCACGCGTCTAGTGGGCGATGTAACATGCAGCTGTTCCCAGCATAGTCATGGCAACTTGGCTTATCGCAGTGAGGGGAACGAAGCCCTAACTTGCATCTCCTCCTCTTATCGATGCATTCCCCGCCCCTAGTGATATTAGCATCCTTTAGTCGGCTGCAGCTTGCCTTCTTCCTCCAATGAATGCTGAACATTCGTGGATTTGCATTTCCCGTGTCTCCAGTGACGATGTCACTGTGTCATTATTGGTGAGGGGAACAACATTGCATGAGCTCGTCACAACTGTTCAAATTTCACCCGTCTGGCCGCGCTGTACGTCCGCACACCACCATCATGAAGTACGCTGTGCTGCCTTGGGCAGTCCTGGCAGGCTCAGCAGCCTCTGTTGCAGTCCATCCTAATTCTTCAGTATGTTCTACCCATTCAGCCTATCCTTCACTCTCTCTAACCTCCCAGTCCACTTTGGTCTCGCTCGAGCCTTACTTCAATAACAAGGCCTTTGGTCAATATCCCGGCGAAGCGCTCTTCAATTCAGTCAATGAATCCTATCCTGATCCCCGCATTCTGGGCATCAATGGGAGCTACACCTCTTCCCACACCGGCATCGTGTACGCCTTTCCTGGGTATCGCAGCGGTATGCTCCCCGACAATGTGGTCTGCGCAGGCCAGTCCATCACAGTACCGAGAGGGCGATACTTGTCTGCTTCCATGCTCGTCTCGGCCGACGTGCAGCTCAAGACCGTCTCGGGCAATGTGACGTACAGCTACAGTGATAATACCACTATGGTGTCCGAGCTGCGCAGTCTACCCTGGTGGGCATTCCTGACGATCAATCGCGGCGAGATCATTTTCCCTTACCGATACACCCCGAATGACACCAACTTCAACACCTCCCACATATTCGAGTATACGGCCGCTTTGGACCCGAGCAAGAGCCTGCAGTCTGTCACACTCCCAGTCACGACCAATGCCACCAAGAGCCGATTGCACGTCTTCGCCCTCTCCCTGTGGCCAGCCACTGCCTCTGCATCGGCGCAGGTTCAATTCGTGCGGCCCACCCAGAAATGGACGGAGCAGGGCAACCAGGTGGTTGAGCTTACGATCAACAACCCCGGGACGGGGTGTATCTCAGGGGCTGGGCTAACTGCCTCGCTTGACATGGCTGGTATCGTCACAGCTGAGCCTGGGCATATCAGGCGACTCTGTCCAGGCGATCAGAAACGAGTCAATCTTGGGGTGAACGGCACGGCCAATGGCACGGCCACCATCCAGCTGACTTACAAGGATGCTATCCTCGACACCCATACCGCCAATCTTTCGCTCGGACTTACCAACTACACCTCGGATCTCGAGAGTCTCGCCCGTCACGAGAGCCCAGAGTGGTTTGACGACGCCAAGTTCGGCATCTTCATCCACTGGGGGCCGTATTCCGTGCCGGGTTGGGGCAATTCGACTCCGTGGGAGAGTTACGCCGAATGGTTCTGGTACTGCTCCTTTCTCCCTCCATTCCTCGACCCCACCCCCCATACCCCCTATACATAAATACAGCCTCTAAGCATCGAACAGGTGGTACACCACACACCCAGCGGCCGACAAATCCGCCACGCAAGCCTACCGGCTCCGCACCTTCGGCCGGGAGTGGAACTACGACGACAGCTTCGCGAACTTCACAGCGGCGTACTTCGACGCCAAAGCATGGGTAGACCTGATCGCAGCAGCAGGGGCCAAATACTTCGTGCTCACGACAAAGCACCACGACGGCTTCGCACTATTCGACACAGGCAACACGAGCCATCGCAACAGCCTACACTACGGCCCGCGACGCGACCTGCTAGCCGAGCTCTTCAATGCATCCGCGACATACCACCCGACCCTCCGCCGCGGCACGTACTTCTCGCTGCCGGAATGGTTCAACCCGGACTTCGCGCCCTACGGCTTCGCCGAGCTGCCCGGCAACAAATCAACGAGCTGGCCGGGTCTACCGGCCGTGAACCCTTTCACGGGGCGCGAGGAGCCGTACACGGGGCGTCTTCCGCTTGCCCTGCCTGGTGTCCCTAACGCCAGCTCCACCACAAGGCCCTCCACAACCACCCCCAGCACAGCTCACACAGAAGCAAACTACCTAACCTCCCTCCAGCACCCGCAAATGCACACGCTGGCAACAACCTACTCAACAGACATCATGTGGTGCGACTGCGGCGCGGCAAACACCACCGCCCCCTTCGCAGCAGAATGGTTCAACACCGCCCGCGCAACACACAACCGCGCCGTGGCCATCAACTCGCGGTGTGGGCTGGCGCAAACCGCCGACTTCGACACCCCCGAATACAAGACCTTCTCGTCGCCGCAGCGCCGCAAGTGGGAGACCAACATGGGCATGGACCCCTACAGCTACGGGTATAACCGGGCCACTGCGCCGGAAAGCTACATGAATGCGTCGGCCATTGTGGTCCGGCTCGTGGATATCGTTAGTAAGAATGGAAATCTCCTGCTCGATATAGGGCCGCGGGCGGATGGCACGATTGTGGGTGAAGAGGAGAGGGCGTTGAGGGAGGCTGGGGGCTGGATTGCGGCGCATGGGGAGGCGGTCTTTGGGACGCGGTATTGGTTTTTCGCGGCAGAGGGGAATGGGGGCAGCGTGAGATTTACTCAGTCGGAGGAGGCGTTCTTTGTGCTCTTTCTTGAAAGGCCTGATACTTCGCGGGGGGTTGTGGTCGAGGCGCCGTTGCCGTTGTTGCAGGGGGATCGGGTTACGGTGTTGAGGGGGGAGGGAAACGATCAGGAGGTGAGATGGGAGAAGCTTGACATGCACAGAGGATTTGTGTTTCATGTCCCTGGCGAGGCGTGGCAGGGCGAGAGATACTGCTGGGTGCTGAAGATTGAGTATCGTGCATAACCTTGCAAGGTTCCCATTTAATTATCCACAGTTCAATGCTATTAAAACTCGGTAGGTATCGTCTATCCTGTCTTCGTCGCTTGCGCATAAAAATCGTATACTCGTAGTGATAATCATATCCCATGCATGCCATGCAATGCGTTGCTCCCACAACCTAGAACGCCCACTCCAATTCAGAACACACCCTAAAACAAAGCCCCCTTTTTCGCGTCAGGCATGTCACGTAGAATATCCTGCAGCTTGACGATCGAGATTGGCTTCATCAGGAACAGATTGACTCCGCTCGCCCGGGCCTCGTGCTGGATGTCCGGTGACACCCCGGCTGTGAGGATGATGATGACCGTGGGTTCCAACCCCTTGGATCGTTCCCACTGCCGGATCTTGCGTGTGGCTTCGAGCCCGTTCATCACTGGCATCGAGATGTCTGAGTCGGGTTAGTGACTGTTTCGGAGGAACAGAATCGGAGACAGAAGACATACCCATCACCACGGCATCAAATGCCGCGCTTCGAAAAGCCTCGGCCGCCTCCAATCCGTTTGACACCGAGTGGTATTGAAACTTGCACTTCTTGACAGCCATTTCGAGGAGCTATGGGTACGAATTAGCATGGTAGACGTACATTGGAAGTAAGAACATCGTACCTGAATGTTGATGGCGTTGTCTTCTACCAGAAGAACTTTGCGTGGGCCAGAACCGGTGTTTGGCTGCCGCCGTTCTGTTACTTCATCACCAGAATCATTCATCGCCACCTGACTATCGCGTTCAGAGGCTCCTTGCTGATCACCAGACTCCTCATTCCCTCTTGATTTCGCGCCCTGCGGTCTAGACCCATTCACTGCACGCTCGGGCAACGAGGTCTGGTTGTCTGACAGAGGAGATGGCGTTGACTGCATCCGTTGGCTGCCTTCTTCCGAGCGCTCCTTGATGTCGAGACAAGTCTCGAAAGCAGTGGCCAAACTCTTGGGGCTCACACTAGATCATTCATCAGCAATGCAAATAGCCCAACATAGGCCAAGAGCAACTCACGGTTGGTAGAAAAAGACAACATCTTCGCGATCGGACCGGAGATCAGCAGCCTTGGTAGCGTTGGCACTGAGGACAATCAATGGAAATCCCACGCTGGTCGACACCGACGGAGACAGACCGCCCGGCTCCTCAGAATCTGGGTTATAATGCCGACGGTATTCATCTTGGGTGATGACGTTGATGTCTGCCGCTTGTCCTTCCAGTTCTCCAGCCGTCAATACCTGCAGGCCAAACCAATCGCTGATCATCTGTCGAAGGTTCGTCACGACGTTGTCAACAAACTGTGGCTTCACCTTGAGGTCATCGGCTTGCAGTGTATTGGTGAACAGAGCCACCGTGCGTCCGTGCAACCTCTTCTTCAATGCCGCATACCTTGAAGAAGCCAACGACGTCGCTGACTTGTCTTGAATCATCGTCACGGGAATCAGTAGGCTGACTTCAGTTCCCACGCCAAGCTCACTGTTGAACTCTATCTGACCGGACATGGACTTGACTATTTGGTTCACAATGTGCACCCCCACACCTAATCCAGGTGACATCGTGTCCTCCTGCACAAATGCCGTGTACAGATGGTGCAAGATGTAGTCCTCTGACATACCACGACCTGAATCCGTGATCACGATCCGGACCGCGGGAACCTTCTCGTTATCCAGTAGCATGCTGCCGTTCTCCATCCGCAGTCGAATACACCCTTTCTCGGTATACTTCAAGGCGTTACCGAAGAGGTTCATGATGACTCGGCGCCACGCGCCCGGGTTGACTTTGCAATGCCAGCTTTCTTGCCACTGGATGTCGACGATGGTGATGACATCCTTGAGGTTACCCTTACTTTTCTTCTCCTTGACTTGCCTCTCCTTCTCTGATTTGCTGTCGGTGGTTCGCCAGAAAAAGTCCTGGCCAGCGACCAAGCCTTCGACTACTTCCTGCACGATCAGACTGAGATCTTCTTCTTGCTCGGGAGGACCCGCTGATTTGCTAGAGCGACGTTCCTCCTCGTTCTTCGACTCATTCTGCTTCTGCGATCCTTGGGGGTCGTTCAGCGCATTCATTTTGCCGTAGTCCAGGAGGTTGTTCAAGGTATCGAGCAGGGTTTTTCCACAACTTTGGACAGTCTCCAACAAAGGCCGCTGTATGGTACTGGTTGCCGTATCGTGCAACAGTTCTAACGTGCCGAGGATGCCATGCAGCGGGGAGCGTAACTCATGGGAAATCGAGGAGATGAAGTCGGCCTTGGCGCGGTCGGCTGCCTGCAGGTTCAGTCGGGAGATCTCTGCCATGACGCTGTTGCTGAAGGCTGCCATATACGTCAAGTCCTTTGGCTCCGACAAAACTCGACCAGGGTCTCTCGTCCACACCACATTAACTGCGAACCATCGGTTGCGCTGGAAGTCCCATAGGGGGAAGATTGCAATACACCGCGCCCCGGGCATGACCTTGATGAGATCGCGAATGTCCCGGTTCTCTTCCTGGATCATGGCATCGTGGGGTGTCTTGACTTGCCCGCCGCTCCCCTCTCCTCGAACATGGGTTTCCAGTTCTGAGCTGAGCGCGGTCCCTTCAAAACTCCTTGTGATTGTCCCGTCCGCATCGATATGAAAAATCTTTCCGCGTGAGTATCGGTCGATGATTCGACTCACCAGTTCGCTGGATAGAGAGACATAATGGCGGTCACCCGGCTCATGTACCTGGGTCGCACCTGCATTTGTTGAATGACCGAGGACCAGCGTTGCTGAACCCAGATTCTGGTCTTTGGCCTGCGCCTTCTTGGGCGTCCCCTGTTCATCGCTCGATCGTTTTCGAGGGCTGGGTTTCCGGTCTTCGTGTAAGTCACTAGTTGAGCCCATCATTTGCCGTCTCGCGTACACCGACGCATCGAGGAACATCGTTCCTTCCACATCAAGGGCTTGGTGAATCAGGTTTGAAGCCCGACTGAGAATTGTTCGCACATTGGACGGTACCAAGGATTCCTGGAGGCGACTAGTGGTCGGTGAGAGCTTTGGACGAGTTGGCCGTGCCTGAGCATGCGAGCCTTTCGGGCTCTTGGCAGGCTTGTCCCCTGCCTTTCCGAATTTATGCACGGTGGAATCGGGCTTATTCTTGCCATTGGTGGCCTTGTGTGAGGGAGTGGTTTCATCCCCGTGTTCGTCGCTTTCGGATGGCTTAAACGTGTAACCTTTCTCTTCGGGGGCTTGGTGTATATTGTTGTTGTCTTCGAAACGCTTGGATCCGTCTCCTTTCTCATTGTTTGACGAGGATGGGTAGCCTTGCTCATCTCCGGCCGGAGATGGGCTTCTAGCCTCGAAGACCCCGTTCTCTTCTGATGGCGCGTATGCATGGTCCCGCTCTTCCACCCGATCTTCGAAGGGTTTGGCCTTGTCACCATTCTCCTTCGATGGTGACAATGTATAACCTTCCTCTTCATCGGCCGGTGAGGGGCTCTTCTCTGAAGGGGCACTCAGATCTGGGGTGTTACCGTTGTGTGAAGAGGGGTTATTTTCTGCAGAAGGACTGTCGTCTGGGAAAGAACTCCTGTCCCGGGAAGGGCTTGTGCCTTTGGGAGACATTGGAGTGTCATCCTCATCAATCAAAGACTTCGAACCCACACCGTTGGGCTGTTGCCCCGTTTCGTCCTCGGAGTCGGTGACCTTGAGATGGTCGAGGCGAGTTTTAACTTCCGACATGTCGACCAACGCAACACCCAGCTTTTTTGTTGGTCGTCCATCCTGATTCTGGCCCCATTCCCCAAGGTCTGACTTGCCATTAACGAACAAGGCTAAGGCCTTTACCATCTTCTCCTCCCGGTATTCCTCGCGCATCGCTCGCTGGGATTGCAGATGGTCGATCACGGTCAAGGCCAAGTCTCGGATGCAAGTGAGTTCTTCTTCGACGAGCCCATCTCGAGGCTTGTCGTCGATAACCACAAGGTTCCCAATCACATGCTTGCCCGGGGACACGATGGGCACTGATACATAGAATCGATTATGCGGGTGTCCCACCACCGAGGGATGATCGTGGAAGCGCGAATCCTTCGACAAGTCGCGTACCATAAAGACACCCTCTGGGTCTTCCACAAAGCTTTTCATAGCATGATCGCACATCTTCATATATTCGCGGGACATCTGACACACGCCAAGCCATAGATTCCCTGATTTCGCCTTCGCATTTGGGTCCTGTTGTTGGTTGTGGTGTCTGCGGAGGTCGTAGTGCGGTGTGGCTTCGGCTACCACGTATTGGGTTTCTCGGTCGAATAGGGAGATGAGAGCTCGCTTCGTGTTAAGTCGAAGAGTGGCGAGTTGTGCGAAGACGGTGAGCACGTTATCACGAGAGGCATTAGCCGATCGCTTCTTCACCGGAGGGATTCCCCAGTAGGGATAGAACCTGGACGGCGAAGTGGCCCCGTCAGTGGAAATGTTGAGGGATGGGTTTTGCAGCCGTCGAAACGGAGAGGAGTGTGGTCTCTTACAAGTGCATCTCACGCTCTCGGGCCCCTTCGACATTGTATGTCAAGCTGATCGGACGTCCCGATGACTCGATATCTGCCCCTTCCTCTCCAGTGCCGTTGGCAGCAGCCTTGTGATCGCCCATTGTCGGTGAACCGGCCGGGACGACCCCGGTGTTGGAGCGGGGTTGATGTTTAGACTTGGGCGGGAAGAGATTTGCAGGTGTACGGTCGGAGGAGTCAAGGGTGGGACAAGGGAGAGGATTCGACGGAGAGAGTTGAGCTTGATTTCCTAGCAGAGAATGGTGACGAGAAAGTTAGTTTGGTGAGAATTCGTGGAGATCGCTGCATTGCTGTTGTACAATTGGCTCATTCCCCACAGGATCTGGTTGTGCGGGGAAGCATCTGGACGGCTGCATTCAAGGTACGCCGCCAGGCCTGACTCTATATATATCAAAGAGCATACTGGTACCCTGAGTGGAGGGTAAGGGCATGCCGTCATGACAGCCACCGAGATGCCCAAACTGGGGGAACTAGCGAAGGGGACCGAGACCCGCACGGGGGGGGGCAGAGAGAGAGCCTTTGGGTGGATAATCAAGGCAGCATGAAGAATCGCCCCTCGCTAGTGGTAGTGACATCATCGGGTCCGCCTGGGGAAAAAGTGATCCATCGCAGTTCTTTTCGCCTGGCCCGAAACGCAAGGCAGCCCGATCCGATAAATAGGGTGGGAACCACCTCTTCCGTAAGTTGCTGCTGGAGGAGGGAGGCGAGGGGTTTGAGAATTAGCCAGGTACACTGGCTGGCTCTTCGTAGATTTGTCGTCAATGATTGATTGATAGATAGACATAACAGACCTCTGTTGATCTGTCTTGATTTGTCTTGCCCTATCTTGTTAATGCTCTGGCCTCGAAGCACAAGAGACCGACCGACAGAGCACACCTGACACCAAACCAGACCACACCACACCACTCACTCAGTCACTCACTCACTTACCAAAGAGGATGGCTCACATTCCCGGAAAGATCCGAGCCAGTTCTTCGTCATTCTCTCTTTTTCCCCGAGTCAGGAGCAAGAGGATTCCATGTTACAGTGGAAAGGAAAGGCGGTCGACGGTAGTCCGACAACCTCGGAGAGGGAAATAGTCTCCCAAACTGGCTTAGCCTGGCCGCATTTGGTAAGCGGCATTGTATTCAATCCAGCCACTGGAATGAACAATGCAATGCGTTCATGGATTACTCATAAGTAAACCCGTGGTGAAGATGAACCTGCTGGAAAATAGTCTCAAGGATCCACGGGCCGTGAAGTCTGTTTGTCCCCTTCCACTGTCTAACTCAAAGCTGTCATTCTGTATCGCCATCGATCCCTAGTGGGCTTCGATCTCAAGCTGTTGTCGGATTGCCTTTTCCCTTCCCTTTACTGTGGATTCTTTCCCGAATCCCTATCCCTTCGAACAACAGACACCGCACATTGGTCAAGACGACCGTGGAATTGGCATTTCCGAAAGATCTGGAACAAGGATGGAACGTCGATCATAGCTATTAGATCGGTCCAGCCCACTGTTGGTCATTGAATCCGAGTGGTCATAGATTGAGTCGAGTAGATGAGTAGCACCAGTCGGCGAGCGACGTTGGGATGAGTGACGTAGTGGCTGAACCAATGACGTCGGACGATCCTTCAGTCCCACGGCTACAAGAGCATTGTGGTGAATGGCCATCATCGTCCCAGCAACTACCACGAACACTTGTCGCCTCTCAGGATCCATGTGACAGCTCGTCTCGTCTCGCTCACACAGTACTTTTGCTGTTAGCCTCAACACTTGAGTGTCACTCCTAGCAGGCAGGCGGTTGGCAGGGACCCCATGCTTCGTAGAGCTAAGTCACGTATCTATCCTTATTCATTGTTGGGTGCAGCAACTTGACTGGCAGACCTGCAGGGGAGATGCGGGGAAAAATAGCCCGTTTCACAGAAGTAATAAGAACGGCCAGTATCCCGACGTCAGGGGCTACTGTTTTGAGGCGCATGCCAGCTGCAAATTGTCCGCACGTCATGATCTCCACCACGCCGGGAGCAATGGATTGCGTAGGAGCGACCATATTCTGCCATGCTCTCTCTGTCAATGTCTAGCAGCCAGGAGACTATGATTTCCGCTGAATGTCTTCGTCTTCGTCACATCAACTCCAGTGCACTATTGCTTGTTCCACTGCCTGCGACCGAGTTATTCTCATCGTACCTGGCCATGAGTTGGACTAAGTACCGGCGACTCAGAGGTACAAGAATGCCGACGTTGATGTATGACATATTGCTCATGAGATGATCCGGACATTGTCGCGAAATGCCCTCCTTAATCTGCTGCGATGATTGCGAGATCCGATTGAGAACATTGCCACCGTCACTGATCGAAGATATCTGTTGGTGACCAGAGTATACGGAGTGGAGGAGAGTGTCCAGCTCAGATTTCCGGGTCATCAGACGTATGTTCGATCGCGGTGTATGCGTTCTCGATGTGCCCGGGCGCAACACACTGCTTGATCGACTAATCAAAGTATCACTGACACTCCATGGAACCCAGAGGTTGAAGACTGGTTCTGCTACCTAGCTAGATACGTACTCCAGGCGTTGCACTTTGGCGTGACTGCATGCAACGTGATGGGGAAGACGCGGAACGGCCAACACCGAACTTAGCAGCGATACTGCTTGGCTTAGGTAGCAGAGAGCCCTGAGCAACTGTATCACTGCTCTGTGTCAGGTTCGAGGCCTGGTGGCTATAGAAACCTTGAGTCTGCAAAGTCTGTGATAGGTCGCTGGCAGTTTCACTCTAGGTGAACCTGTTCTATCGTTCATCAGCACCACTGGCTAAGACGACAATCGAATGCAAGATATATCGATACCTTTGCATCACAACCACTGGCTACCATGGTTTGTGCCTTCCCTGTTGCTGCAGCTTGCACTGGCCATCTATATAGAGCTTCGTGGTCGTTAGCGGTTGCACGACGCACATTTGGCGAGGACGCAACCCTGTCGATGTGTTTATTATCATAGTCGCGCTAGAGTTGGTCAGCAGCGTATTCCGAGGATTGGGTGTGCTCTCTGATTGCAATGCTACCGAGCATATGACGAGATGAAGGAAACAGGGAGAAGTCTGCTTGTGGACTAGCCTAGGTAATCGAGATCTGATCAGTGCTGCGCGAACAAATTTCAGACTTACATTACGAATACAAAGGTGTAGATAGTGAAAGGACAACTCACTGTGGTCTTGCAGTGCCACCTGTGGCAAGCAGATGTTTTGTTGTATTCGGACGTGGATACGACCTTCGACCCAAACAATGCGGTCATTTGCACAGGGGACGCATTGATAGTCCAAACTCAATCGCTTTTCACGTCACAGGTGCACTGAGTGAGCTCTACCGGTTATATATACCCTTGAGATATCTTTCTCTCTTTTCGTTGTGGCATGAAAGAGGCTTGTCGCATCCTCCTCGAGGATGCAGACGCAGAGCCATATCGTGTTCGTGTGATCCCAAGCCGAATTGGGTCTGCGATCAATCTGCTGTTCCAATTCAGCTTGGTGAGCACTGTGATCTCACCAAGTGACAACAGAAAGTGCAAAAACAATGAAAAGGGGTGGAAGGGGCATATTGGAAGTGAGGACCGGGAATATGGAACCTGAAGCCCAAGAAACATGGTACTGTATACTGATGTACCTACTGTCGAACTGCACTAAGCCTCTTCGGGCGATCTCCTGATGGGTCCGCGGTCTCGGGTGGCTCTACCCGTGACCTATAAAGCACTATGCCTAATTTGAACATCGGCCAGGCACCCTGCTGTATGCACAACACCAACTTGGAACCATCGTAGCCTAGTACACCTACGAGTTGATTTCATAAGAGCATGACTGGAAGTCACACGGACAGAATGCTATTCAAGGAGCACTTATCCTGGGATCAAATTGCAATGCGGTGGAGAATAGCTCGAAGTACTTTCTCTACCTCTACGACCAATGAATCATATTATATACTGACGGGTCATGTCGCCATGGCTGAAATCAAAACCTCGAGTGTTTTTTCCAACCTTCCGTGAATCGCGCCTGACTAGACATCAAACCGACTCCCGATCAATGCATCTCGCAAGAGACTTTCCGACCGCTGTTCAATGATTAGACTCGAACAATGGCTAACCTGCACACCCCGGTCCAATCGTCCCCAGGGTACGCCGAGAACCTCAGTCATGGGTGACACGGCATGCAAACATTATCAAATGAACATGTGGGTTTGACTTGTTGCGCTACAATCTTATACAATACCAGGGAAGTCTGCCAGAGCCAAGGATCTGCATACGAGTGATGGAGCGGCTGTGTAGGTCACTTCTCTGCATAGATTCGGCTCCTTGACGGCATTATCGAATTTGGGATTCAAGCCAATGCCTATATCGGCTGAGCCGTGAACTCAAGGTCTCCAAAGACTGCCGCGAGAAGTCTATAAGATAGGCAGGAATATTGCCAGCAATGCTGGGCTTGGGTATGCTCGGCATTGATATGGCAAGTAGCAGAAATCTGCCAGCATCTAGGATGCTTGGTTGAATCACTTGAAGGATGCATCCGGGTCCTACTACAGCTCTCGCTCGGGAAAATTCATATACACCTCAGATTCAAGGAGTCGCAAGGACCTGTCCAGCCACGTGCATCCCGGCTGGCCTCGAGCATTGGGCCCATCAGGTCAAGGTCATGATTATGTGTCTCAAAGCTTCGCGGAACCACTGACGATGCGAGATGTTGGCCTCCAATTGAGAATGTGAAAGTGAGCAATCCCCACCGATGCGACTGCAAATCAACTGCCATTTGCCATTGCATCTAGGCCATCCTACAGACGTGCCAGTTCTGTTGTACTAGATTCCTGGCCAGGATGAAAGTTAATTGTGAGGTATTATGGCCAGCGTGGCTTTCTACACGCCCTCTACTTATAGCCTTATTCATCTCGCTCTCCGGACATACCTAACTACTTTCGAAGAGCAGGCAGATGCAGCTCACTTTGGCCTCGTCGCCATTTTTGAAAGATTCTTTGACATCTACTTCTTAATAGCCACTAGGTTCGTGAATCGCATACTGTGCATAAAGCAGCACACCACAGTGGGGTGGGAAGACCGCTCGCTCCCTTGGGATATTTTTGCTCAGCATGGGAATGACTAGCTTGGCCCAGTGGCTGCTCTGACATCCATGGGGGAGTGAGCGGAGTGAGCCACCGCTGGTAAGGATAAGTGCTCATGAGTCTGCAATATGTGATCGGGACATCGGCCGAGGAGATTCAACATAGTGTTTCAACATGTCACAACTACTTGCAGGAGTTCCAAGTACAATGCTGCAGTTGTTGCTGGCTGCACCCTGTTCCGTGTTGGACAATCTATTGACCTTGACAACGGGAAGCTTGCAATCCCAAAGGTGGCCTGATGCGAAGAGGGGAGATGGTTGGAGAAGATACGGCGTAGTTATACCTAAGATCGCAGGCACCAGAAAGTGATCGAGACTGAAGGCGGCCTGAGAGATCAGGCGACCGGTGTCCTAATTGGGTAAGAAGCGGGTGATGATGTCATGGCGCCGTTTCACTTTCCCCCTTGGGATTTTCCGGCATGTTCGAGACCATCGCATGGAACATGCCGAAGAACTCAACAACATCAATTCTCCAAGAGTACGCTTTACTCATTTACATTCGAGAGAGTGTGTGTCATTATCTGGCACCTGTCGCCCTGAACTCCCTCCATAAATCAATCCATCACACTACATCCTCAGAAACACACGCAGTTCCTGCGAATGGTGGCTGGTCTGTCCTCTGCCCGGGAGAGATGCCTCCAGTCGGGCTGCACTCCGAAGATCTTCCGATCAGCACTCCCCGTTTGATGAATGGAACGTTTGTCCAGCATGGGGTGAATTCCTTGTCGAATGCACCAGAGACTGCTACTCTATTCAGCTCCAAGCTGGGTTCGTTGCCAACCAGGACCGGAATTGTCTGGGCCGACGATGTCACCAGTGGAGCCAACCTTTCTCCCCGTCGTCCGCTGAGACTGACTAACTGGCCGATCCTCACAAACCGGTCCAATGTGCTTGCGTGCGCAACGGATGGACTTCCGCCAACCATCCCGAGCTCACTGCTCGGCATGCCAAACCACGCCGGCGTGGACTTGCCTTGCTTCTCAGAACCCGCCAATCAACTCTGGACTTGTCGGCTTCTCTCGCCATTAGACTATTTGTACTTTGTTCGGAGTAAACGGATGGTCTTTGTTGCCGTAGATCATTTACCCGACAAGCATATTCAGGCACTGGACCCCGACCGCTACAACTACCCTTACCCACCATAGACTCTCAAGTTGACTGGCTGGTAAGAAGCCCGATCTTGAGCTGCCATGCAATAATGAGGATCTCACTACCATGATTGCTGCTCCCTGGCCACCCTTCGACACTGGGGCGTTGCAGTCATTCCAGCGTCTTCACTGCATGAGTACGACTACCAGACAGGGGTATACCCGTGAGCAGGTGCTCTTGATTATACCACAATCCAGTGTGCCAATTTGTTGTCTGGAAGAGTGTTTGGAAGAGGGTATTTGGGGTGTGGCGCCGATGGATCTTATCGTTCTGGACGAAGATCGTTTATTGGCCGTCACCCGTCGAATTTTCTGACGTCTTGATTGTGACGCAATATTGACTAAGTATATAAGATCCGCTCTGGAACCCATCGCTCTGTTGACTGCAAACCAGTGGCTGCTTCTGCTAAATCCGTCCTATATAGGCTCGGCCATTAATTAAGATTCACATCTTCTTTGACAACCGTCCTTAAATCGCTCTGTTTGGTTTTCCGTGCGTGCTGAAGTCGACATTAACTATATGGCTAACGCGCTCGAATCGCACAAAAAAGAGGTGGATGGTCTGTTCCTACGCTGTATTAATTGTAGTGGCCTGATGATGCTAACGCCACCGTAGAAGTCCAGACGGATCCTGAGGAGTTTCAATCTCAGTCCTCCGAGACCGACGACGAATCTTCGACCGATCACGAGAAATCGCAGGAATCGCAGCCTAAGGAACGACCCCCGAACAACCGACCGCCCGCATCCCGACAGGCTACTGCGCGGACCCAACGAACTGGGGAGCCCAGAGACGATGTCTCTCGCTCCAAAACCCAGGGAAGTCAGCCCCCCGGCGGGTTCTCTTTAGCGGGATCGAATGCCTTCTGGGGCGCGCCGCCTTCGTACGGCCCCTATATCCATCCGGAATATCACTCTTACAACCCTCATTACGGCAACTCGGAACCCGGTAAACCGGTCTGGAGTCTTGCCCAACCACTACCCCATGTGGTCCGCGATGGTATGCGCTACGGTGCCTTACCAGAGGATCGAAAGGAAGAAGAGCAGGAAGACGGACGATCACGCCCTCCCCCGGCGGCTGAGGAACCGCCGACCGGAATTCCTCAGACCGAGGAGGCAAAGGAGAATGGTGAAGAGCTGGAGCCTGATGGGTTCTTCAATATATGGTCCAAAGTCCGCTTCTATGCGAAAGAGCCGTTTGCGGAGTGGCTAGGAGTGAGTTTGATTCGTTTCCTCCCACTAATCGAGAGCTGACCAAACCCACTAGACGAGTGTGGCTATCACCCTTGGTCTGTGTGCCGGCTTGTCACACTACACATCGCAAGGACAGGCTGGAACCTATGCGTCACAGTGCGCTGCTTGGGGCTTCAGTTTCATGATCGGTATCTACATTGCTGGTGGTGTCTCCGGTGCCCATCTTAACCCGGCAATCACCATCTCACTGTCCGTGTGGCGTGGCTTTCCAGCAAGGAAGTGCACACTCTACGTCCTCGCCCAGGTTCTCGGGGCCATCACGGCAGGCGGCCTTGCGTATGCTATATATCACGACGCGATCGTCGACCTTTCTGTCAAGTCTCAAGTTATACAGAGTAAAACTACCGCCAGTCAAGCCCTCCTGACCGGCCCCAAGGACTTTGTGACTCCGGTAACCGCATTCTTCGACGAGTTTCTCGGCAGCGCAATCCTGGTCGGCATTATCTTGGCGCTGGGCGATGATGCCAACGCACCGCCCGGTGCGGGTATGCAGGCTTTCATTATTGGAATTGTGATTACGGTGCTGCTGCTGGCTTTGGGATATAACACAGGCGGGTGAGTATAACTACTTTCTTTGGAGCTTTAGGAACAACTGTACTAATGACTGCAATCCAGATGCTTCAACGCGCCCCGTGACTTCGGACCACGACTGACCGTCCTGATGGCTGGTTGGGGCGGCCAAGTATTCATGGAGAAAAACGTCTGGTGGGTTTGGGGCCCGTGGATAGCTGATATCTTCGGAGGACTCTTCGGTGCAATGGTCTACGATCTCGCAATTTTCACCGGAGGCGAGAGTCCCGTCAACTATCCACCTCGCCGGCGGAAGCGCGCGTTGCTTATCAAGGAGAAGAATCTGAGAGACAAGCTGCATATCGGGCGGCACAAAATCAAGGATCTGGAGAAGGCTGTGGAAGAGAATCAGGACTGAGCATATGCGACAAGCATCTCCTTCACATTTATATCGATTTTGGATTGATGATTCTAATGGGTCTAGAGCATATACACGAGCGCTGGCGTTGTTGGTGTCATTTTGCTTTTCTTTATCGTTTCCACTCGCACATTTCTTTTCGGAATAATAATATCATGGTTTTCAAAAGCACTACATGCGGAACATTGCATCTATCGTTGAAGAGAGCATTCTTACTTAGTCTCCAGAGCACAATCAAGTATCTCGTCTCAGCTTTCCAGTGCGACGTGACACAGTTACTGGATTCAAACTACATTGCCATAGGACCTCAACCACTCCACAACGTTGCTGAAGTGTTAACCATACCTCTGATTTGTGGGAACCTAATCAGCAAACGTTACGCCAGGTCTTACGTGCACCGTTGTGTCAGCCGCCTCAGGCAAAAATGACCAGGTTAGTCTCCTAGTATGCCGGGCATAATTCATCACAGCATCTGGGTGACTTCCCACTCACAATGAGCTTTCCTGGACCAGGTCGGCCAGTTCTACCCAGCAGTTCCTCTGTGGGCCCCTGTGGCCCGGGGGAAAGAGCCTCATACAGACCGGTGTAGCAGCCTTGGGCCAGCCACAGATCCACCACCACACACCGAAGCGCAGCGGATGGCGTAAGTATATAGTCTGAGAGACGAGGCTACTAGTATCTACGAGAGAGGGTCCTACTGTGAGTGGAGCCTCCAGAGTCGTCAGGCTCTCTTGCCAACGCACTGTCACCCAATCCTTCCTCTCGCTGAGGCCACCCTGCAGCTTCAGGAGAAGATCCATCAAGCCTCTGTTCTTCATGGCCGCCGCCAGACCCAACGGGCGATAGACAACCCGCCCAGTCAAGTTCTTCAACCCAGTCAAATGCGCCTTCGTCTCCGGGCTTCGTCTGTAGAGCTGGTACAGGCACCGGATCACATTCTTCGCCTCGGCGAGGATCGCCGTCCCTAGCAGCATGGATCCCTGGAAGACCGGCGTCAGAGGCTCGATGCCGCACGCAGTCAGGACCTTCACCTTGTCCACCTCGTCCTTCGCCAGCGCCCAACCCAGCGCCTGCAGGTGCGTAGCCGGCACGCACATATGGACCACCGGGCTCTCGCTCTCGCTGTGACACGGGAATATCAGCTCCTTCCCATCCGTGGAGATCCCGTACGCCCAACAGCTCTGGCCCAGATTCTCACGGATACAACGCTGGACCGTGTACGGAGGGTCCGCGCCCCGAAGGCGGGATCTATCCCTCTGGAATCCGGCTGCAGCACCCAGCGGAAATGCTCTGGATCCACCGCGCTTTTCTGGCAGAATGCCACGAGCGCTACTCCCAGGTTCGTGCTATCGAGGGGCGAGATGGTCTCGGTCCACGGCCGCGGGAGCTTGGGGATCCGATCCCCCACATCTTGGTCAGTCTTATTGGGTAGCTTGGCTGATGGCATGTCTCGCACCACCTGATCTTCATCTGCTCCGTGAGCATGAGGAAGAACTGGCCAATCGATTTGGTCTGGGGGCTTAGTGCTGTGGGCGTTGTGTATCATCGGAAGCTCGATGACTAGACCTATCTGCCCCAGCGTGCCACATATGCAGACTGGAATTAACCGCACGTATGCTATTTATACACAACCTAGTGGTGATTCTGGAATTTGCTCCGGGGTATATCATACTTAAGTCCTGGGTCAGACAAAGAACGCTGCTGGCATTCTTTATCAATATAGCAACCTTCTGTCTTCTACGGAACATTGACCTGGATAGCAGATTATCTCCGTCCAAGCAACAAAGCAATGATCGAGCATTAACCCAGTAAAGGTCGTCGAGAGCAATCTGGTCTTTTATCGTTGGATCATGTCAGAAGATCGGACTTCCCTGGTAAAGGGGGCTCTCGTAAAGAGGAGTCTGGTAAAGAGGGTGGGTGATCTCTGAGCTCTGATCCTTTCTCGCTTCATGACCTCCGATGCGCTCTCGATGGCACTCTGGTGTTGGCTACTCCATGTTCTCACACCTCGGCTCGAGTCACTCTGGGCGAGAGCAAGGTCGTCCGAGAAAATAGTTAGTAGACATCGCATGCGTGTACAATTCGGATGTCCTCTGGTAATACCTTGAAGCAATGTTGAACTTTTTTAGTGACTGACAATGCATAATCTCTCTTATAAAATTGCTCCGGTGGTTTTATCATGCATGATTCTCTCGTATACTACATTTCACGTATTTGGCATCTAATCCGGTATTTCATATTTCAGTCATTTTCTTTCAAGGAAAGTCGACCTACAACTTTGTACAAACAACTACTCATTACACCTCCTACTATTCATCCCACCTGGAAACGAAAATTCTCATAAAATATCCTATAATCAATCCTAATTTTGAAGAAAAATCAATTTTGGAGATACGCTGAAACCCAATGCAAAGCTCAAACAGGGCTGAGCGCGAAATTCTTCTGCCCCAGCACCTCATGCTCCAACATCCGGGCCAGCTTCTCCAGCGCAGGCTCAGCCTTGACCTCCTCCAAAAGAGTAAGCTCCCCCCACTGAATGCGGGGGTCAGCCTTCTTCAGCAAGAGCAAGCGGGCAGTGTCCATGACGCGGGCGATATGGCGCTCCAATTCGGCGGGGTCAAAGCGATGGACGCGGGCACGGCGATGACCCTCGATGATGGCGTAGAGCGGGGGCTTAACGGGGCGGCCGTCGTTGTCGGCGCGGGCGTTGCCGTTGCCGCAGCCGGCGTCGAAGAGAATCTCCATGGCGCGGACATCGAAGTGGCGCGTGGCGACGTACAGCGCCGACATGTGGCGGGCGTTGACGGCGTCGAGGTCCAGGTCAGGGAACGTACACAGGTATGCGGCCCCGGCGTAGTTGCCGACGCACACGGCCTCCATCAGCGGTGTGATGCCGTACCAGCAGCGCGCGTTCAGGAACCCGTCGTAGACGCGCCGGTCCGCCGGAAGCAAGCCGATCAGGTACCGCAGCATGCCGTCGTCGGTCGCCAGGTTGGCCGCCGCGTGGTGCAGCATGATGATAGAGGTGTGTATCGGCTCCGTGGTCTCGATCCACCCCGCCTCAAGGTCCGCTACGTCCTCCTCGCTGAACACCGCCGTCACCATCCGGTCCTCGTCGGACTTGCCCAGCACCACGACCCCTGCTTCTTCTCGCAGCGCGCGCACCGTGCGTACCTCGGCGTGCTCGGCCGCCCAGAGCAGGACCGTGGGCGGGACTTCCTGCTTGGGTGTGTAGCGCCGAATCAGGGAAAACATCGCGATGTTATTGACGCTGAGCGCCAGGAGAAGTGGGTGCAGCCGCTTTTGGCCCGGGGGCGGCGTCGTCGTGTCCTCATCGCCTACGTTGGCTTCGACGGGGATGGTGTAGGACTCGTAGATGTGGGTGACTATGGCGGTGGCCGAGGCCAGGATCGCGGTGCCTAGGATGTTGAAGCTCGTTGGTAGAACGGTGAAAGGACTGAGGCCTAGTCGAAAGAGGAACTTGATGGCCGGCACGGCGTCCGTCAGCAGCGCCAGGTCGAGGCAGCTCAGCGGCGCAGAAGCTTCCGTGTACGCCGCCCTGCATTTGCAGGCAGGGCGCGACGGCGGCGGAAGCACCGTGCTGGCGACGACGTCCTCAGCGAGGCTTCGGGCGCGGCCACGGATTGATGAGCCGTGCAAAGAGCTCTGCTCCTCTTGGGTCACGGAGGCGGGCGGGGACGTGGACGCCAAATCCTCTAGCCATTCTGTAAGCGCTATTAGCCCGTCACCCTTTCCCTTGATGGTCGGGTCGAGAATCTGGTACACTTCCCTGTCGGAAATACCCTTACGGTTGAAGATGTCGAGGAAATCTCGAGCCAGCTCTGGACTGGTGCCCGGGTCAGCATTTGCCTTGTCGGTGGGCTTCCTAGAGTGCTGGAGCAGCTGGCGTCGGGCGTTGAGCAGCTCAGCCAGCGCTCGGGGCTTGTAGGTGTTATTGCACCGCGAACATACTGGGACCAGTCTTGTCAGTTGTGTCGGCATTGTGAATAACCCTTTCTGAGCCTGCGCGGATGCTTCTTGGTCTTCCGGGATGTTATATTCAGGCGGCATGAGGGACCTTTATATTTTCCTGTTTGGGCATCTGGACAGACGGGCTTAGGCAGGCAACTTCTTTGTAATTCAATACGCTAGGTTTCTTCTGCTGCAATATGACAGTGAACTTTGCACGTCGATCTTTGTCGTCTTTGTCGTCATAGTGAAACCTGCCAGCATCAGCCGACTCACGTAGAGATCCGCATGGTCTGTTGGACCGGACCGGCTACCGGTAGTTGCCGGCACAACTGAGATAGGGTAGACCTTTGCAAACAGGGATCTTACCTAGCATTGCAAAACAAAGCGATGCCAGTGTGATTTTCCGTTCCATTCGAAAAGCTGGGACTGAAAGAGCTAGCGTATTCAGCCACCCATAGCGGATTCTCCTGCCTTGGCAAGCTCACTTCACTCAGAAGGAATTGGCGCTTGCGAAGACGACATACTTGGCGCGAGGGATTGAATTGGTGGTACAGAGAGCTTGCTGATGCTTGCTCTGCGCTTGCTCTGCGCTGATGTTCATCGTCAGAGGATACCTTGTATCTGGCAAACTCCGAGCTTCCTGATCTCTGCGTGCTTATCTCGAAAACGGGACAATAAAATCCCTGCGCATACCTAGCATTGATATGCTGCAACGGCGCATATTCACCGGTTAGTAGATAGGAAGCCAAGCGAGCAAGCTACTGCCTTTTGTACAATCGGAAGATGGACAAGGGCCTTCGTCAGCGGTGCAAGTGAGACTGTCGTCCAACCATCGCAGATATGAAACGAAAGTAAAATATCACTTGCCGCAAGTGTGAGCACCACCTTGCCTGCGAGATAAATTAAGAGAAATCCCAGGGGAACAATTGCATTATATTCTTCTTGCTCGGAATATCGCAGCATTACCTCAATGGGTAATCTTGTAATACATGTATCCCTAAAACCACCCAGTTCAGAAGGCGGAGTTCCCGAGTTCCGATTCCTTTGTAATTGTAATATGTATGTTCCTGTTACACTTGATTAAATCTTGGAGATTGTACTGAATTGCGAGTGGACTGCTCCCCGTGGACCATTAACCGCCTGAGAATCACATATTGTTGATCGGATATGCGTAGGCGTTGTCTGACTCGGCCGGGCTTGCCTCTCCAGAGGCGTCGCTCATGGGGGATCCGGCAACGTCTTTCTCTATGGCCGGTACCCACTTTACAACATGCAAGTCCAGCATGTGGGCATGACGATTGAACTTGCATGATTTTGTGCCCCGACATCCGTCTTTCTGACAATGATGTCCGAGAAAACACTTGAGCGACCGACAAGCGAGACCAGTAGCACACGGGTGCTGACGAAGGATGTAGGTCATCACGCCGCGGCTGATCTTGTCGATGGCGGAGTGATCAAAGTCGCAGTTCATTAAATCGCATTGCCCGGCCAAGTGAAAGTTGTTGCAAGGCCGATGATGTCTGGCGCGTCGGGTATATAATTCCCATGCTTCCGGGGAGGGCACCGCACAGTAGGTGTCAATGCGGTCGCCTGTCTTATTGGTAGGCACGTGGTTCCCATAGAACGGATTTGTAGTCCCGGGTAGATTGGCAGCATAGTAGTCCTGAGTCCGGGGTGTGAAAGGTTTTTCTCGATCAAAAATTGATGGATTTTCGTCGGTGAATTTAGATAGTTGTGGGCTTGGTTGTATGTGGAGCTTCGTGCATGAGTTTCCATACCTGCATGTACCCTGCAACCACTTTAGATCTGCATCGAGACTTGAACCACACCGTTTCATACCTTTTGATAATGCCGACAGACCTGGCGGCTAGGAGAGGGGGGTACGGTCTGTGCCGAACTTTGAGACTGGCTGGGGGATTCTCTTGAGTGAGCAGCACCGAAGGATGTCGACATAAACACCGCCGGCAATTCACTGACCGGCAGGCCCAGGTTATCGTATTCGGCATGGAATCCAGCCGCTTTTAAGAGGGTGATACGCTCTGATCGACCGCGGTAGGGCGTCAGTAAGCTTGTATATCCGGCGTCGTGGCACCCAGCAAAGAATATATGCTTGCATTGGTTATTGTCCGCAAACAGACGGAACATTTCTATTCTTGTCAGTACGCAGACGGTCGCAACAGGAGGAACGTCTGACCTCTTATTTTGTGATCCGCCGCTTCCTTCTTATCACCTGCGTCGACAAAATCGAACAAATCTTGAGAGCGCGTCAGGTTGGCCATGAAGGGAGATAATGAGCGAGCCTCATGGCCGACAAGCCCCGAGCGTGCCAGCGCCTTGGACAATCCCAGAACATTGGCATAGATGCGAACCATTATTCGACACTGATCCGCCTGGGCCCCAAGGCGATCGTGTAGTAATTCGCGAATCGCGTCATGCAGGAGTCGAGCGGCCGTGATACCACCATCGCTTCCAGCTCTTATCAGGTGTTCTCTAAACTGAAGCCTGCGTCAGCTGAGGCATTAAATAACGTTAAGAGCAGTTGTACATACTAAATAGCCATCACCATCGACTAGAACCAACACGAAGGGGTTTCGTTCCTAGGTGTTCCCGTTCAGCCGCCGGTCAAGCAGGAGCTGCAGTCAGCATACCTGTGCCCTTGCCAATCGTTTATAACGCTCTCGTCCCTCTTTCTCCTCCTCGTAGTCACTCTTTAAGTTGTTATAGTTCTGGAGCAGTTCCTGGAATTTTTGAAGCAGGTTCTGTAGATTGTCGTGGTGTTGTTGATTATCACGCACAACGGTGCCAAGGTGGCTTTCCAGAGCGTTTATGTCGGCATCTGCGAGCATTTCGAGCTTTGGTGGAGTAAGAAAGTGTTTGATTGCGAGAGTTGTACTCAAGGATAACGATAGTCGAGAATGAGAGACTGGTGAAAGGTGAAGCTGATGGACTACTGGGGGGTGGGTGGTCGCCTGCCCCTTATAGTAGTGGAAGTGGATGGAGGTGCGGCAGGCATTCAACCGATATGATGAATATAAGTGGAGATATAAGGGAATAGATGTCTGAGAGGGTTGTCAGAACGGGTTGAACGCGACCCGATTGCTGCCGGTCTAGAAGGAGAGGTGAATGGAAGACTGAAGATGATTGAATGATGCGGTGATATCAGGATGGAGGCAGCAGCTCCGAAATTGTTTGTTGTGTTGGCAATCGCTTAGAGCGTCTTATCGATAAGAATTACAAGACCAGGCAAGGCGGTGAGAGGGGGATTGGTGGGGTAGATCACCTGACCAGATCTGACACAACCGGGGAATTACTGACTCATCCATGCACTGGGTTACGCACATTTCAGCTGCCTTGCTTCCAAATGCTTCTCTTCGATGTCTTCTTCCTCTCTACCAATCTGCATTTACTACATGTTGGCCAAACCACAACAAGCTCAACAACCTTCACTCGAAGGAGTTTCGTCTCAATGGATCCTCTCCAACACCAACTAAGTTCCTAGCCGAGATCGGCCAGGCTTTGCCGTTCGTTGTGCTCCACTGGGCCAGCCATGGCTGCTGAGCCGAAAGTTTCTTCTGTGGATGCCCTCACTATGCAACCGATTCAGATTCTTCCCTAGAAGTCCCAAGGGAGACAAATCCCTTGACCATGGATGTCACCAGCACTGTGAGATCAATGAGACCAATTCCTCAAAGATTCTGCTGCTACGACGGATGAGGTTTCTGCCGTCTTCCCCTGACCCCTCGTCAACCGAGGCAACACTACCAACTACCTTACCCCTTACGGGTACCACAGCCCTAGCCTGGAAAACAATTCCCACGCGCCATGAAATGACGTCGGGTGGATTGGCATTCAGCGGAGCCCAGACAGATACTGCCAATCGCCGCCCAGTATCGGGTGGCTCGACAGCAGGTTCGATCGAGCCGGTGGGGCCCACATGCCTCGAGATGGGCTGTCAAGGAGCTTCGGCTATCCAAATCTTCTCGGCCCTCGTGGCCTGTTGCCTGGGGTTGGCCTTCCCAGGCACCTTGTTTGGATCTCTCTTGAAGGTTGCATCCATTTCACTCTCGTTTGCTCAAGCATATCCTCTTTGTCTTGTTCTGTCGCTCGTTACAACTTTAGATTTTCTTTCTTTCTCACTTCTTTACCCCTGATATTCGCCCATGATTAAGACAGAGGAAGAATCGTCTTCTGGTCCATACCATCAGATGGAAGATGAGCACAATTTGTCGGAACAAGCTGTGGGCAAAGATGCACCTCCAGTCGCAGCGGAGGACGATTCTCCGGCCGACCATCAGAGCAAGCAAAGGATCGCAATCGTGATGGCGGCACTCAGTGTATGTGCGCAACTGCGGAGCCAGTGTAACAATACTAACGGTTTTTCATAGTTATGCGTCTTCCTGGCGGCGCTGGATATTGTAAGATCATGTACTGGATGATCACGGATGATGTACTCACCCCTGACAGACTATCGTTTCGACGGCCCTTCCTGAAATGGTGGCCCATTTCAAAGCCTCCGACAGCGCATACTCTTGGATCGCATCGTCTTATCTCCTTGCTAACGCCTCGTGTGTGCCCCTATGGGGTCGGATCAGCGACATCTGGGGTCGAAAACCCATTCTGATGATCTCAGTGGTGCTCTTCCTCGGGGGGAGTCTGATTTGCGGCGTGGCCATCAACGTCGCCATGGTCATCGCGGGTCGAGCCATACAAGGCGTTGGGAGCGGAGGTATCACCGTGATGGCTAATATCTGCGTGTCTGATCTGTTCAATGTGCGCCGCCGGTCTGCGTACTTAGGAATCTTCGGTGCGACCTGGGCCATCGCTGGTGCCATTGGACCCATCATTGGCGGCGCTTTTACCACATATTCGACCTGGCGCTGGTGCTTCTACATCAACTGTATGTCTCTCCATCATCACATTGACGATCCGTCTAATCGACTCCAGTACCAATCGGTGGCCTTTCCTTCTTTGGCCTCCTCTTTTTTCTTCAACTCGACACCGCCCCGCTCACTCCACTCACCACCGGGCTCCTCGCCATTGACTGGATCGGTCTCTTCCTGATCGTTGGTGCCACCCTCATGGTCCTCTTCGGTCTCGAGTTTGGAGGCTCGCAGTACCCCTGGTCGTCCCCCACCATCATCTGCCTCCTTATTTTCGGACTGGTGACCGCCGGGCTCTTCCTGCTTAATGAATGGAAATACGCCCGCACGCCCATCATTCCGATCACCATCTTCTCCGACCTTTACAACCTGACCATCCTCCTCATCAACTTCTGCCACGCCACTGTGTTCATTGGCGGGTGCTTCTACCTTCCTGTGTACTTTCAAAATGTCCTCCTGGCCAGCTCCCTCATGAGCGGGGTGTATCTGCTCCCGCTGGTGGTCGCCCTGTCTATCTCGTCCGGGTTTGGGGGGTTCTACATGCGGAGTACCGGCCGTTCCCGCGAAGCGATCTGCCTAGGAATGCTGTTCACCACCCTTGGCTATGGGCTCTACATCGATCTCCAGTCGTACGCGTCCTGGCCGCGGATCATCCTGTTCCAGGTGGTGGCGGGACTGGGCATCGGGCCGAATTTCCAGGCGACGTTGATTGCTTTACAGGCCAACACCAAGCCAGAGGAATTGGGGCGCGGAACGGCGACGTTCTCGTTTGTGCGGCAGCTGGCTGCGGCGGTGTCGGTCGTTGTTGGGTCGGTGGTGTATGGCCATGTGGTGAGTACGAAGCAAGGGACGATGGCCGCTGTGCTAGGAGATACCTTGGCCGGGGAGATTGTGGAGGCCTCTACGGCGGCCGGGGCGTTTGTGAAGATGTTGCCGAGGGGAGAGGAGAGGGAGGTGGTGTTACACAGCTTGACGGAGGCGTTGAGCTGGGTATGGGTGCTGTATACCGCGGTGGCTGGATTCGGGTTCCTGATTAGTTTGTCGTTGAAGGATTTGAGGTTGGGAGATGCGACCCCAATCAAGGACGTGGAGGATAGCTCGGTGGAGGACGGCCACGCAGTTGAGATGGCCAAGTGTCGGGGATGATCCGTAGTGATTAGATCCGATCCAAAACCAGAAAACCATGATATCTCGCAATTCATCGAATGTTTGTTCCACGCTCTTTGTGGCTGGCGAGAGACTAACCCCAACTGGGGTGAAATCCGTAGCCGATCGTCTAATCTCACCGACGCCTCAGCACTAGTTAGCATTCGTCTCAGACCGCGCCTCTTTGTCTTGTTCTATATACTGTGTCCTTTTAACCCTCCTCCCCTCCTCCCCTCCCCCGTCTCATCCTCCAATTCCCTTCCCTCTCCTCATTCCCTCCTCACCACCACTACTACTTCAACAATGACCACAATCCACGGCACCAATCACCCAGCTTTCGCGTCGGTCCGCGAGACCTTCGCCAATCACATCGCCAGCGGCGTCGAACTAGGCGCCGCACTGTGCGTCTCCGTCAACGGGGAGACGGTAGTCGACCTCTGGGGCGGGTCAACGACAACCACATCACCAAAACCATGGGAGCACGACACAGTGGTCCCAGTATGGTCACTCACGAAGCTCGTCACCGCACTGTCTACCCTCCTCCTAATCGACAGGAAGCAACTCGACCCCTTCGCGCCGGTCACACAGTACTGGCCCGCCTTCCGCGCCTCGCAGGACATCGAAGTCCGCCACCTCCTCAGCCACAGCTCCGGGCTCTCAGGCTGGGACACGCCCCCGAGCCCAGCAGAGCTATACGACCTGGGCCTCACAACCGCGAAACTTATTACCCAAGAACCGTGGTGGACGCCCGGCAGCGCCTCAGGCTACCACATGCTGACGCAGGGATGGCTACTGGGCGGACTGATCCGGGAAGTAACAGGCCAGGCCTCACTGAGCGAGTTCATCAAGTCCGAACTCACGCGACCGCTGAACGTAGAAGACGGGTTCTACCTCCGTATCCCGGAGCAAGAGTGGCCGCGCATCGCCGAGCTCGTGCCCCCGCCTAACTTCGCCATCCCCGCCCTCGACCCCGCCAGCGTCGCCATGCGCACCTTCCTCAGCGCACCGCTCTCGGTTGCTAGTGCGGCGACGGCTGAGTTCCGGCTGGCGGAGATGGGCGCGTCGGATGGGTTTGGGAATGCGCGTGCGCTGAACAAGATTCTGTCTGTCGTGTCATTGGGAGGCGTGGTCGATGGGAAAAGGTTTCTGAGTCCTGAGACGGTGGAGTTGATCTTCCAGCCCCAGGTGTCTGGTGTTGATCTTGTGCTCGGTGAGCCCGTAACTTTTGGGGTTGGGATGGCGCTTGCGAGGCCGCTGGGTCCGGAGTGGTTACCTGACGGGCGACGCGTGGGCTATTGGACTGGCTGGGGCGGGTCGCTTGGGTTGATGGATGCCGAGCGCGGCGTAACTGTGACTTATACTATGAATAAGATGGCGGATGGGTTGCGTGAGAATGGGCAGTGCAGGGATTATGTGGCTGCTGTTTATGAGGCATTGGAGGGGTATTTGGCCGGTTTGTAGGGTTGTTTGTATACTTCCGAGGGAGGGGGAGAGAGTACTGTACACTTCTGAGGGTTCTCCATGGTTCTAGAGATAGTTCTGAAGAGCTTATGGTTTTGCGTATAGTCTGAATACTGCTGTAGCGAAATTTATCACTCATGACATCACCGTAGCCCTCTCATCCAGCCCTCATCCGTACCAATCAGTACTATCAACGATCTCTATCCCGACTGAACCGTGGCTCTCTCCCGGCAATGACACCACCACTTTCACTCTTTGAATACAAAATACAACACCAGCAGCATGTCGAGCCATGCCCATCACCCCGTTTTCCTTCCGCTTGATCCATAAAAATGCCCATACCGCAATCCAGCTCCTCCTCCCTCTCAACCATCCCAACCGAACACCCCAGCTTCGAGCCCGTGCGCAGCACCACCACGAGCCTGCACCAAACCCAGAGCCACGTCGCCATCTCGCGCATCGAGTCGCTCCGGCTCACGCACTCGTCGACCGTCGGCTCGCGCGTGGGCAGCACCCGCACGCCGCGCGAGCAATGGCTCCCCATGGGCGGGGGGAAGGAGTTTCCGCCGCTGCTCCCGGACCCGGAGCAGTATGTGGTTGAGTTCATCGACGAGAAGGACCCGATGCATCCGCATAACTGGAGTACGCGGACGAAGTAAGTTCGATGCTACATGGTGAACGCGCCCTACTTGATCAACACGATTCTGACCTACCTGGCACCTCCACAGGATCATCCTCTCCGTCATCCTAGCCTACGTCACCTTCGTCTCCTCGTTTGCCTCTGCCATCTTCTCGTCCACCGTCACCGCCATCAGCGCCGAATTCCACATCAGCACCGAGGTCGCGACCCTCGGAGTGACCCTTTACGTGCTGGGTTTCGCCGCAGGCCCGACGCTCTGGGCACCACTGTCGGAGCTCTACGGCCGGCGCTGGCCCATCACGGCGGGGATCTTCGGGTACAGCGTGTTCACCATCGGCACGGCGACCGCTAAAGACGTGCAGACGATCATGCTCACGCGATTCTTCGCGGGGCTCTTCGCGGCCAGCCCGCTAGCCATCGTGCCGGCCGCTTTCGCCGACATCTACAACAACCGGAACCGCGGGGTGGCGGTCGCGATGTTCGCGATGGCGGTCTTCGTGGGGCCCTTCGCGTCGCCCTTCACGGGCGGCTTCATCACGATGAGCTACCTACACTGGCGGTGGACCATGTACATCGCCAGCATCATGGGGTTCCTGGGATTCGCGCTCTTGCTCGTCTTCTACCGCGAGACGTACGCGCCGGCGCTCCTGAAACAGAAGGCGGCGATCGTGCGGCGGCAGACGCGCAACTGGGGCATCCATGCCAAGCAGGACGAGGTGGAGATCGATCTGCGCGAGCTGATCACCGTGAACTTTAGCCGGCCGTTTCGGATGCTCTTTACCGAGCCGATCGTGTTCCTGGTCACCCTGTATATGTCGTTTATTTATGGGTTGATGTATGCGCTGCTGGGGGCGTATCCGGTCGTTTTCCAGGGGATTCACGGCATGAACTTGGGCGTGGGCAGTTTGCCGTTCATCGGGCTGATCATCGGCGAGTTTGCCGGGGGCGCGTACGTGCTCATGAGTCAGGGCACGTACACCAAGAAGTTGATTGCTAATGGAGACGTGCCGGTGCCGGAGTGGAGGCTACCTCCTGCGATTGTGGGTGGCGCGGCCTTTACGATTGGGCTGTTTTGGTAAGGTCTTTTGTTTGCCCCAGGAACAGCCGATTAAACAAGCTACTCGTAGAGAGCTAACAAGGGACTCATTCAGGTACGGCTGGACGGGCTGGACGCGTTCGATCCACTGGATGGCTCCCACCGCGTCGGGCGTGTTCACCGGCTTCGGAATCTACTGCATCTTCTTGCAGTGCTTCAACTATCTTATCGACTCTTATCTGCAATTGTGGGTTGATGGTGGAGACAGACCCTCGCCCCCTGCATCCTGCGAGACATCCATCAGCTGACGAGCAAGATAATCTAGTGCCGCCTCGGTTTTCGCTGCTAACACTATCCTGCGCTCCGCCGTGGGCGCATGCTTCCCCTTGTTCGCGAAACAGATGTTCGTCAATCTCGGGGTGCAATGGGCTGGGACATTGCTGGGCTGTCTGGCCGCGATCATGATCCCCATCCCGTTGGGCTTCATCCTCTATGGGCCCACCTTGCGACGGAAGAGTAAATTCGCGCCGTCGCCGGCGGTGTTCCAGGAGAAAACTTGTTGATAAGCACATGTGAAAATGTTCCGTAATAGATAGAACTACTCTTGAGTTTTCCGGTGGCTGCCAAGCTTCGCCGCTGTTATTTTCCCGCGGCTTAGCGATGCAACCCTAACCGATAACGATCAGGATGGACTTATAACCGGTATAACCGTCGGCGAGATATCTATACTAGATTAACAGTATACATGATGAAGAAGAATCCGTTAAGGAAGGAAAAGTGGTTCACTACCGCTTCTACACCTTCAAAATTCCACACAGGATGATATCCCATCCACTTTCTCAACTGTCTCCCAACCCTCTGACTTCATCGGGAAACCAACCCTGCGTCAACGGGAAGGAGCCTCCTTTCAGCTTCTCACACAATGGATTCAGGCCCCTGCACATACAGTTGTGGAGAACGGGGCTCGATGTGCATGCTCAAGAGGTCTTAAAATTTCATTGAAGAGGGAGGAAGGGCAAACGACGTTGTCGAGATGCACGATTGAGACGTGCCATCATCCACTCAAAGGACACTCTGCAGTTTTACCCATAGTGTACACACTTAATCCTGTCAGCGGTCATAATGAAGAACTAACGATATGGTAAACGGATAGTTAGGATTGATCAGTAGTTAGGAATAGCATCATTGCTTGTGATGAGACGGGAACTCAATGCAGGCTAGAAAATGCAATATAGCCTAGCCAGTGACAACCACGGATGTTTCAACTGAGGGGTGTATGTTGAATGGTTGAACCAGATAAAATCCCTGTTCCTTTTGCGTCACAACGTAGTAACTGTAGTCTACTGCCTCACTCGAATCAACTGGAAAATTGCCAAGGACGCCACCCATGGGCCGGGCGACCAATCCAATGTTCGCGAATTCAACGCCAAGGGGCCAAGCTGATAAGGTGAAAAAATCTGTTGCTTTCCCGATCGCGTGGGGGTGCTTATCACTTGGCCTCGTTCCCCGGCTGCGACATTTTTTTTCGCCGCTTCTGCCTGAACCGCCACATAAAATCCCCGGTTCCCCAGGGTGTCAGGTGGAAGTGTCACCGTTACCTTAACCATTTCTCTCCGCGTCTGATTGTCTGTCAATAGACTGCCTTGCAACAGACTGTGTCCTGCACCATGGGTTTCCATAACTGGGTGCATCAAACCAATCTCGCGGTGGCTCGCAGCCCCGTGGGGAGATGGTTCCGGTTGGAGAACTCGGGCCATGTAAGTGGTGGCACTTTGTGGATGCACAGCGGTGCATCGCGAACGTGACTGATCCCTCCCTTAGCCCAAGGAACGTAAGGGTAGTTTCTTCTTCACCGAGATCCGCGGCGGTCTCGCCACCTTCTTCGCCATGGCGTACATCATCAGTGTCAACTCCACCATTACCTCCGAGTCCGGCGGGCCTTGCGTCTGTCCCGAGGACAGCATGTCCGATCTCTGCGCGACCAACACGGAGTACCTCCTGTGTCTCGAGGAGGTCAACCGGGATATGGTCACCGCCACCGCCGCTATTGCGGCCCTGTCCACCTTCTGCATGGGCCTGTTCGCAAATCTACCGGTCGCGCTGGCTCCAGGTATGGGCCTTAACAGTTATTTCGCATACACCGTGGTCGGATATCACGGGTCGGGCTTGGTTCCCTACGGAATCGCCCTGACGGCTGTCTTCGTGGAGGGTTTCGTCTTCTTGGCTTTGACGCTGCTGGGAATCCGGCAGTGGCTGGCCCGTGCGCTCCCCGCCTCGATTAAGCTGGCGACCGGCACGGGTATCGGGCTGTATCTGACCCTGATCGGACTGACCTATAGTGCGGGTATCGGCCTAGTCACTGGCGGGACCAGTGTCCCCATCGATCTGGCAGGATGCACTGAAAGTCTGAAGGACGCCACGACGGGTGCTTGTCCATCTTCCGCGGTCATGCGTAGCCCAACCATGTGGATTGGAATTTTTTGCGGCGGCGTCCTCACCGTGGTGCTGATGATGTACCGAGTCAAGGGTGCCATCATCATGGGTATCCTTCTCGTCTCGATCATCTCATGGCCTCGACCCACCGATGTTACCTACTTCCCACATTCCGCGATCGGAGACAGCCGGTTCGATTTCTTCAAGAAAGTGGTCACTTTCCATCCTATTACGCGCACGCTGGTCGCGCAGGAGTGGGATATCAGTAGCCACGGAGCCAAGTTCGGTCTGGCTTTCATCTCGTTCTTGGTATGTAGGATCTTCCGCGACCGCTTGAGACGGCGTACGGTACGGCGACTAACGGGAGCAGTATGTCGATATCCTTGACACGACGGGAACGCTGTATTCGATGGCGCGCTACGCTGGTACGATTGACCCGGTCACGCAGGACTTCGAGGGCAGTTCCATCGCTTATGTGAGTGATCCTTTCGCTGTTGTCGCGGTCTGGTGCTGAAGGCTAACGTCCTCAGATGGTGGATGCCATCTCGATTTCCATCGGATCTCTGTTTGGTGTTCCCCCCGTCACCGCTTTCGTGGAGAGTGGAGCAGGCATCGCAGAGGGAGCCAAGACAGGTCTTGCCTCGTGTGTCACCGGTATGTGCTTCCTGTTGTCGTTCGTTCTTCTTCTCCCCTCTCTCAGCTTGCTAAAGCTTCTGTTACAGGCCTCGCATTTTTCATTTCACTCTTCTTCGCACCATTGCTAGCGAGCATTCCCCCCTGGGCTACCGGTTGCACGCTGGTCATCGTGGGTGCGCTCATGGCGCAGGCGGCCACTCAAATCAACTGGAAGTACCACGGCGATGCGATCCCCGCATTTTTGACGATCGCCATCATGCCGTTCACGTATTCGATCGCGTACGGGTTGATTGCCGGTATCTGCAGCTATATCACGATCAACGGAATCACTTGGGTGCTGGCGAAGGTGACTGGTGGGCGATTGGTGCCTTCGAACTTGGACGAGAGCGAGCCGTGGACCTGGCGCGTGCCGGGAGGGGTCTTCCCGCCATGGTTGAAGCGGGCGGCGCGAGGCAAGAAGGACTTCTGGCGCGAAGATGCCAAGGATCGAACGATCGGAGGGGAGGTGGAGGATGAGCGACAATCGGTGTCGGTGGTGTCGAACGAGGAGGTGTCGCGGGAGAAGAAGCAGGTCGACGTCACGGGCCATTCGTTGTAATCAGCTGACCGGAGTGTCTGAGGCTACAACCAGCCGAGCTGAGCTTCTTGCCAGCCTGAGGCGTCAGGCGTCCAACGCTGGCGGCTACTGAGCCGGGCTGCACTTGCCGACGTCGACTCTCCTCCGTCTGCAGCGGACCCCTTAGTCAACTGTACTGTACATGAGTACCATAATATCCACATCACTAATTGTATATTCATTGATCTGATCCCTCTTTGCCACTTTCGTATGACTTGAGTAACTCCAACAAAACTACGGAACCGTGTCCCAAGAGTCATGGAACAACGCTAAATTCTCTGATGCATTGAGATTACTTTATGCAGGTATAAATCTACTAATCTTATGCAGGCAGATATATCAAGCCAATAAAAGTAAGCCAAGAATTATAATCAAGATGAATAAGTGTCTAATCAACAAATTATATATCATAAGTATTGTTATCCCTGTTATTCATAAAAATATGATCTCTATCAGTACGATTTGATTTTATTTCTTACCTTTAATATTACTAGTGTTGTTCCATAACTTTTGGGACACGGCTCCGTAGCATCGGCACACAGACCCAGCGGAAATGAAATCCTCGCGATACCCGCCCCCTGCATCATTGATTACCCAATGCCCAGGAACAGCAAGATCGCTGTTTGCCACCGCATCGTCGTGACCAGTGACCACGCGCACCCACTGGCCCAGATCGAGTTAGGCCTCAGCTGGTGGGCGATATTCGATGGAGACTGTCGGGTCTGGGCGGCATAGGAAATGGTTTCCGGTGGGCTTCACGCACCACGATAAGTAATTTGGCTGGAGGGAATGCCGATGCTGGGACCCAGTTTGACGGCTAAGGTGTATGGCGACTTAACTGTAAGGAGGGGCTTTCTTGGGAATCGAGGGTCTAAAAATGAGCCTGAAGTGTTTGACCACTGGATGGTCACTGGCTCGGAAACCTTTTTTTCTGTCCTCTTCTTCTCTTTTCTTTTCTTTGTTTGTCTGGTTGTTGGTGGAGACTCAGGAATTTTCGAATCGAGACCATGTCGAGGAGAAGATCGCAGGTACTTAGTACTATGGAGGTATGCTGGAGGGGTCTTTTGATTGATGATTGACTGCGATTGAAAGGCTGTCATTGTTGCCCACTTGTTCCCATTCAACCTTTCAACCTTGTTGGCAGTCCCGATCGGCCGCCGGAGATAGCCAGGCACCAACTGCCAGCCAACCAATTCGTCCGGAGAACGGAGGCGACAGCCGGATGACCGAAAGAGGCTTAGTGATAGTCGGGCCGCCCGGTCCCGTGACTCCATGACAACCAGTCAGATGCAGTCGCTGCAACATCATTGCCGGTTCGGGAGTTCCGCCCCATTCCTGTTTGGGTTCGGCCGGCAGAAAGGAATCCGCTCGGGAATCAAACCCAGACCTACCATGATGTACAGTAGGTAGGTATGTATGATGTATACTCAATCAAGCAAACTGCGTTAGTAGCTGAACTGAGCTGAACTGAGAAAGAAAGTTAGTAAGTAATAACTGTAGCTCAGTCAATAGTTCTTACTGCGGCTGTCTGTATGTAGGTATCACTGCAAAGACATACGATCTGAGAGGTATGAGTATCTATCATTCTTGCAACATACATACCTCCCTTTGCAGTGTACTCCTACTGAGTATGAGCGTCGAAAGCGGGTCGATCCACCTTCTACTCTCTCTCTCCACCTTTCTTCTTTGTTCCAAAGGTGCAAAACCACATTCTCCACTTTGGTCCCGATTCAGTGGAAGGGATACTCTTCTGGCCCAATGATGCTTCGCACCGTTCATCCCCCACCTCCCTGCTTTTCTTCTCCTCTCCTGCACGGGATCTGCTACCATTTCTGAAGCAGGCAATAAACTAACTCACTCAACTCTCTGCTGGTTCCCGATCACCTCCGTCTTTTTAATTCCTCACCACTACTATTTAGTACTGACTAACTAACTAAACTAACTAATTGACTAACTAACTAACTACCAAATGACTAGCTAACCAACAATCAATCAATCAACCATCACCATTTCCTTTCGCAGTCATTCTTGCATATTCATCCAACTTTTTCCCGTTTCCTGTAGTCTGCCCTCTTTATCCGACCCCATCTTC